ACAATCTCTTCTCCAGAACCCCTCAAGGAAAGTGCTGTTTAGCCGCGCAAACCTTTGTCGAATGCCTGGCCTCGCATGTTCATTTCGGAGCTTGTTCAAGGCATCCCATCCGTCCTTCAATCATTATTGCCAACAAAGTGCCTGCATTGCCGCGGTCCTTGTTTCGTTCGTCTCCATTCAATCTTGCCTATAAGCAAGGGTTCCATTGGAAGAGCGATTCGTTTTCGAGAGTAGAGCCTAGGAGCGCACAATGTGTTTCGATGTGTTGCCGAATATGGGTACACAAGCGGTTCCGACATGAGCATGGAACCCGTTGAAGGTTGTTGGTGGTAGAATGAAAGCGTTTCAAAGTAGTTTTTGATATCTCAAGAAATATGACATAATATGGGGAGAAGTGTGACTCAAGAGGGAGAGAATTCGATGAACGGGCTGGCGGTACGGGGTGAGATTGCAAGATGCGTGTGCGCAAGTTGATGATCAAGAGAGCAACATAGCTTTACACTGACGACGAAGATTGAAAGCCATAGACAAAGCAGAGGTGGGGGTTTGTGCATACCCTACTTGGGAAAAATGACGTTGACGGGCTGCAAAGGACTGGTATAGTGTTAAAGAGTTTTCATGTTACGCGCCTCAACTTCTTGAGAGGATTTGATGAGGACAGAGTGATAAAGTTTTGATGATCCTCACAAACGCAGGTTGAAAGTGGGCATACTTATGAACTTTTAGGAAAAAAGAAGAAAAGTGGATACCTGATCGAGTTTGGTACGCTTCAGAAAATGATAAATAAATCCAATCTGACATACGTATCCATGCGTGTATAGAATGAAGGTGAGTCCCAATCTTTAATTCTAGCCAAAATCATTATAGTCATGTATGGTTTTTTTTTTTTTTTTTTTTCCCCCCCAAAAAGAATTATATTTCCAGATCACATTTTGTTACGCAGTTGACCTAACTTTTTTGTAAATAATTTGTAAAATGACCGAATCATTAATATTTTTATTTGTATCCCGCCTGTATAAAAGAAGTATGGTTTAGTGTGGTTTTTTCTCTTGCTTCCTGTGTGCTTAAAAATCCAGATTTCTACAAAAAACAACACCAGAAATGGCTCAAAGAACGTAAAGCGCCATTGATCATCAGGAAGCCAAGATCATGTTGATCATCAACAAGTTTTCTGAATCAGCAGTAGGAACTCAAAGCCAAGAAACTTTCATGGCAAAAGTGCGAAGAATGCTCCTTGGGAACACGAGTCACGCAGTTTCACTGCTCACACACTGCCAGGCCTCCGAGGTCTCCATTTTGCATTTCTTATTCTTGTTATCATTTTCTGGTCTGATATGATCAGGCATAGCATAACCGCAACTACATTATAGATTTGAGTAAATAACGTATTTATAGTATAAAAGTTTGAAAACGTATAGCCACTCGGGGGGCTGTACTCTTAACAATAAAGTTAATCCTTTTTTTTTATAAATATTATCGCCGCGCGGCTATACTATTTACTATATTATCAAATTTAACAAGTATAGGCACCACGGCTGTACACGTTTGTAATAAATTATTATTTTGTTTATAATAAATAGTAGAATTCCTTCCCGCGAGTCTATAACGATTTAAAAGACACTTTCTTTTTCTTTCTCCCGATAATAGATTCTAAAATAAAGCGCAATGTGTTTCGGGGTGTGGTTGCATATACGGTACACGGATGTTCTAAATGGAACTTTTTAGAAGTGTTTGTTGGTGTAAAAACGAAAGCGTTCCTAAAGGAAAATAAGTTTTTTTGATATCTCGAACAACAGTGGCACAACACTAGTGGAGAGAAGGTTTGAACTTCAAAAGAGGGGGAATCCTATGAATACACTACGAAATGTTGGTTCAGTTATGAGAATTGGTCAACCATAGATTGATTGCGAATTTGATCGATCAACAGAGCAACAAGATTCTGTTTGTTACAGAGAGTTGAAAAGCAATGACATCATGGATGTTGTCACTTAATGGCGAACAATTAAGTGACACAAAATCGCTGTATAAATCAAAGAATTTTTATCGATTATGCTTACACTTTCTTTTGATTAGGAATTTGAGGCAGGGTGAGAAAGTTTTTGTGATTTCCTCACGAAGCGCATGCTGAAAGTGGGATGACTTTTTTTGAACGATAAGAAAAACAGAAGACGAAGTACAAAAAAATTAATGCCCGAGCGCGCGCAATCCTTTAGACGTCGGGGGGCCCGGGGGCCCATCCCCCATCCCCCACTCATGATCTCATGTTTTTGTGGATTGATTAAACACTTAAATGAACAGATGATATACCGCATTATATCTTACATATTGAATCCCAAACGCTGATTTATAGATCTGATATCAGTGAACCGTCCCTGCACGGCTTCTAACATCATATATGATGCCGGAAAAAAAAAAATCAAAATGCCACACCCAAAAATATTTCCAATTAGTTTCTTGTTCTCCCGCCGGCAAAAATTCACACAACATATCATATTGGCTTCCACAGTGAGCCGTGAAAATGCAATCCATGCTGTCTTTTTTGAATACTACATATAAATGTGGTGGCCTGCTAAAAGTTGATACACTTGGGAAAAGAAATGCAGAATAGCTAGCACGTGTAGATTGGACTTTTCTAGGTGTCACCATGGAGCCCTCATAAACTCCATGCCTGCGCCTCTTTCATATTTTTTTCTGGTGTCGGAGATTTCCATTAAGTGGAGAGTTTTGACTAAGAAATCATCTCACAGGCCAAGAGAGTACGTAAACACATATAAAAGGACAGAAAGCGCCCGACACGACCAAGTGGACTTCCGCCCCTGAGTCGCAAAAATTTTTAAATCCCTGTTTCAAAATCTCGGAATCATATATTCGGTCCTCTTTTTTTTCTTTTTTCTTTTTCAATTGGCATGAGGAACCCCAGAAGGCCTAAATAATCATTCTTTTGCACTTGTTTGTTCGCCATAAGCCAGGAACCCTCACAAAAACCTTGTAACACAACTTGACCATTAGAGCTTAGTCTCCTCACTTGTGGAAGATGATCCAAAAACTCCATTTCATTAAAAAATCGTCGGCATGATCGAAACTAGATGTGTTTTTGTTAACGACAATTAAACCCGGGAAGGTGAGCCCATGGCCACCAAAGGATGTGGTCCCGGTACAACCGACAAAAAGTATAGCTGTGGTTATCCAAGGAAACCCTAGAGCTAGCCGTTGATACATTTAGCCACCTGACTTCATGAGTGACGGATAATGTGGTTTTCCCTTTTTAAATTAACCAAGAATCAATGCAATTAGCTAGCTACCTTCCACTCACACGGCATCTAGCATGCGCATGTGTGTGTATATATAGATGGTAATTTAGATGACAGGAATTTTGAGAGAGAGAGAGAGAGAGAGAGAGAGAGAGAGAGAGTTAATTCAAACGGTTAGAGTGCTCAAGACTGTAAAACCAAACTTCACTATAAAAGCTAGAGAATTTCGTAGGGTATGATTTCCAAGTCCAGTATTAATATAAAGGGATTTACACTAACACCCCCCCTAAGTTTTCGGTGTTTTCACAAAACTCTCTGAGATTTCAAAATTTACACGAACACCCCTTGAGGTTTCAATTTGTTTTCACAAAAAAACCCATTTTCATTGATTCTTCACCCAAAATTTGATGATTTCATACATAAAAACTTTTGCAAATAACACAATTAACCTCAACAAATGTATGTGCAATCTAATCTCAAATGCTAACTTTGTCATTTGAATGAATTTTTTTCATATAAAATCATCAATCTTTGAACGAAAAATAAATGGAAAGGGATTTTGTGAAAACAACGAAACCTAATGGGTGTTAGTGTAAATAACTCATTAATATAAGAATACCATAAGACGAACTTAAAAGCAAATGAATATTTGTTTTTCGCAAAACCTGAGTTAAAAGCATCTAATATCTCATATCGGATTTTGATTACATCAGAAATATGAACAAAACATGGTAGAAAAAGGAGAAAAGGAGTATGTTTAATTGATGTCTCTTATGAGTGAATTTCATATTCAAAAGGCCAAAACCATACATATGGCATGTTATACACCAACAAATGCAACGTTTAACCCAGAGAGAGTTTTTGATTTACTTTTGGAAGTTGGCTGGACAATCTTTTGGGAGAGATTTATATTCCTATATTCAATGGAGGCCAAACGGGGAGGATAGGTTATTCGAAGATAGTTTTAATTCGAGCAACCAGAGTGTTTCAAATGTAAACCAATTTCAAGAGAATTAATGTATAAGATATTATCTGCCAGAAAACAAATCGAAATAATTAATTTGTATTTTTTCCAAAACTGAAGATATATAAAACCCTAAACATCCAATCTCTGAAATAAATCATATCAGATCTAACTCACACCAGAAAGATGTGAGTAGCATCAAAATTGAAAAGAGATTATGTGAATTGATCTCTGGTGATCGTAGATTCCAAAATAAAAGGTCCAAAAACCCTAACGGCAGTTTGCACTAAGCAAAATCCAGAAAGTAATCAGAGATACAAACATCACTAGTGTTTCAGTTGCTTTGTAGTTTAGTGATCTTATGGCTTCCACCCCGCGGATATTACATAAAGAGTGAAGTATATCCCATTCAACTAACCCTCCTTGATTTCAAGTCAAGGACAAAATTGAAAAGGAAAGATTAGCAAGATAACAGTATGTCATGGATTACTTCCTAATTACAGTTTAGAAAACTAAGAAGTAGATATATAAGCTCATCAGACAAATAAGTCAAAGGATTAACTCCAATTTCGCATATTCTCGAACTAATAACAGTCAACCAAAGAAGAAACCCATTATGAGCACACATGAGAAACACAAATGAAAAAAAAACCTAAAATTAAACCTTCCCACTTAATTATCTATAGTCATGTTTATAACATCATCATCGTCACCTTCAACTCATACAGTTTAAGAAGAGTACCACTAATTTGAAAGTATATTAATTACCTCGCTTCATATGATCATCACTCAAATCGCCGGGAGAGCGAGCTATTTCCCCTTTCAAGCACATTGAACTTTAAGGGACTAGAGGTACTTGTCCTTGGTGGTGACACTTCGTTTCTTTCTTCACTACTGTTGGCCTTGCCTTGGTGAGCCGCCTTCTCTCCTTCCAATTCTCTGTACCTATGCAAATACCTCTTCAATGGTTCAGCATAATCATCGAAGCCAAGAGTTGCAAGAGCCCAGCAAATGTCATCTCCATTCACTGTCTTGCGCTTCTCTTTGTGACACTTGTCAGATGCTTCTCCAGTCACAAAGCTTATAAACTCAGAAACACATTCCTGCATGGTTTCTTTGGCTTCTTTCGAGATTTTTGCATTTGGGGGAAGAATTTGCTTCATGATCCGCCCAACATTAGCAATCGGAAGCAGCCGATCTTGCTCCTTGATGACCCCATCTTCTTGATGATGATGATGATCGCTAGAGATACTACTGCCTGTGAAATTGTACTTAAACCCTCTCTCTCTGATGAATTATTGCCTATGTTATTATCCTCTCCACATGAATTTTGATCCTCTCAACACAGACACGTTGCTACCTCCTCTCAGTTGCTAACTAATTAAGCTGCTGCTTTATATAGAACATCAGATGTCCATATGTGCATGTGTATGTACATATGCACCATACAGATGGTAAAGCTTCCTCTATATGATGATGACATGCTTCGACAAATACCTGGTCAGCACAACAGGCAATTCTCTAGGTTGCTATTGGTTGGGTTTATTTTATTTTATTTTATTTTTTTCCCTCTCTCTCTCTCTCCTCTCTCTCTCTCTCTCTCTCTCTCTCTCTCTCGTGTCACTGTGTAAGGTTTTTTGTGGAAGCTATCTACCCCCCGACCCCAATAAAAGCTTTGAAAAAATAGTAAAAGACTAAACTGATCAATTATGGAGAATGGTCCCCGCTTGGTCTTTCATCGATCTGTTGGATTAAAGCCTAAATGAGATTAAGAAATAATCTTTAAATAATACCAGAATTTGAATTTGTGGACTAAAGTTATGCACGTGTATTTGTTGCACTGCAGATATACAAACTAATCAAACCTAAAAAGAATGGACTAATTATAATACATATTAGTGTTTGATTACCTACTGCTCTTAGGTTTTTCCATGGGATCGATGCTATGTACAACGGCAAACAATACTAGTACTACTTTGTGAGTAACTTTTGTTAAGGTGACAGCCAGGTCCAGGAATTCTGAATGGGTTTATGAAATGCATTGATGATGATTCGTTTGCCTAAGAGCACAATTATATAGGGTTGGCATGTGGCAGTTCGCGGTAGTTGATCATCTAGCTAGCTAGTGTATGAACCGTACGTGGATACAATTTTACTTGGTGCAAATTAATCTAGAGGTCCTAATCTTGATTATTATGCCTAATTGTGAACCCTCCCCTCACCAACCCTTGTGAAAATGACTCGGTTAATTATATTTTATTTGGTCTAGTCACTTTTCAAGGTGTAATTAATTCACTTTTTAATTCATAACTAAGTTTTCCTTATGCATACAACGCATCTCAAATTAAATTGAATAACCTCGACAATCAAAGATTCTCTTTAAAAGAAATAGAAAAAGCAAACACCCGCCACAATTGAAAAGAGGGTTGTGAAATTATTCGATGTCATAGTTATTTGCAATGAAATCTGATTCGTCTATGCAAATTGTTTAAATATCAAATGGATTGTTGAAAAGATTATTCGTAGTCATAGATTCAAAATTTATTTCTAATTTATAAATATTAGCGTTTAGAGAATTGTTCTCGACAAATCATGAGAAAGAAACATGTATGAGATTTGTTAGTGTATCATATATGCTCATGAACATCAATTTATATTAATAAATTACACTATATATGAGCCTATGAATGAGAAAACATGTGCAACTAACGACAACACAAACCCATCGATCTATGCAGGAAAAGTTATACGTTATTGTTGGTCTAATTAAAGTCATAGGTACTTTTAATCTTAATTAATCTATATGAAGCCACATTTTGGATATGCTTAATTCGAAATGCATACGTATGTAGATCGTGAGACGACCAACAAATAAAAATGGGATACAAATAAAAGTTTACAGATGAAAAGGACCATAAACTTGCCAAATTGGGTAGTTAAATATATATATTAAAACCAGACATGCATAGAGAAGGATCAGACAGAACAGATAAATTCAGATTTTATTTCCTGTTTGCCTCTGGATTAAGATTTATTTTTAAGATCTAAAAGCTTAAACTGTATGTAGCGTTGCATCTACTTCTTCTTCTGCTTTAATTTCACAACTTACACAGTACACTAATTCCTTGAAGATAGAACATATTGGACGGTGATAACAAAAAAGAAAATTTAATATACCTGCCTGCACCTTCTTACATGCATATTCGTGACTTGTTCTTGAAAGAAAAGTTAAAAAAACATGTATAACATTGTCAGAAGAATATATCACATCCCAGGCCTATTTTATATTTCCACCACATCTTCGTTTTGTATGTTCCTCCCTCCCTCCAAGGCTACTCGCAAAAGGTGCTGCTTTCAAACCGACGTTCTGCTTCTTACCGTACGATTTCTCAGCGTGAAGCCACTGTTTACAGAACATGATTTGTGGTCCTTGTTCACTGAACATATACCGAGTATCAACCCCTGGTCGTTAGGCAGATCATGCAAAAAGTGCAAGGATATAAGTCCATACTCATGGCTCTCATAGCTTCTGAGTACATAGTATTTTACAAACAGCCTGGTTTTGTATGCTTAGTCTTATTCTTCATTGATTTAAAATTTTCTTATTTCTACGACACAATCATCATCCATGCGTGATTAATTGGGCGACTTAAATAGGATATGCGCCATATATTATAAGTCACTTTCGTTTGGGACTACTTATGTAGGAAACACTTATACTTCTTTATAAAAGATTTTATGACCCATAAGTACTTCAAAATTTTCTGCTATAAGCATTTTCAGTTGTCAACTCATCTTGTGATTAGTAGTTAGGCCACCGCTAAACCTTATGGAACTAATTAGCAGTCATGTAATTGTTCTTTGTTTTTTAGTAAACGATAGCCTAAATTAAAGAGATGAGAGAGTTCTCACACACACACAACTAGATGTCATGGGAACCTGAAACCTCTTATCTATAAGTCAATGCCCTTTTTCATTAGATTAGACTCCGTTGACATTCTAATTATTCTTAAAAGCCTCTTTGCGCATCATCATAATTACTTTGTATGATGTGGTGAAGATGTGCATTATTCTAGATATTTTTCATATTTAGGGGCCACACCTTCCCACTTTCGTTAAGATTCCCCAATTTGCTTGCTCTAGTGGGCATCTTTAGTTGATCCGATCTTCTCTTTTTTAAATTTAGGGCTTTGGTACGTACACTGCCCTTTTGGAACAAAGCTTGTAAGTAATTAAACGCTGCCATGATGATAGGATTTTCCTTTCTTTCTTATGCTATTTGTGTGCTTTGTTTTATTTTATGTATCCCAAATTTTTTTGGATTGTCGACAGTATTTATCCCAAGTTCATGACGATAGATTTATAGAAAATTAATATGACGAAACAAACCAAACCGCACTAACTAACTTTTCATTATAGTTGAATCAAATATATAACTGAAAAGCAAAACCACATAATAAAGAGAATATCAGTGTTCTATTTGCAGGTTGCTGATATAATTAAGTTCGCTTAAAACCTAAAAGGGGAATAATTATTGCTGCATCTCAATGGTGGACCTGCCTACAAAGTACAAACCCTTCAAAACAAAAAAAACTTAATTAGCTGTCATTCTTAGACATCACACGCATTGATTTCGTCTAAGTTAGATTGATTGGATCACTTGAACCAGCTTACAGTGTTCATAATTTAGCACGTATAATCCACTAATCAATGTAATTAAGCACTAAGCGTAAAGTTTACACTGTTCAGAACCATTTTCAGGAACCTAATCACCGTCAACATCAGGAAATACGTAAGTAATTCCTGAATTCCTTGTAGAGTCTTCTTTGGATCTCCAACTCATGCTTCCATGGCATGCATGCGTGTGAAGAAAAAGCCAGGATTTGAATGTTATACCAACCTTTGTTTCAAGGCCTCAGCTTAAAAATTAATTAAATTAATTGCATATATATGCGACTTTATACTTTTATTGGTGCATATATATTTTACCTTTTACATAGGTCTTGAACAACATAATCCGATCGCCACACCCTAAAAATAGTGTTAATCTATTTGAAAAATAGGAAAACCAAAAGATGTGCAGGCAAATTTTCCCAAGCGTAAAATAAGAAAAAATAAATATATATAATGGGCTCAAAACCGGCCTTGTTAAGGTTTAGTTTGGTTCAGTTTCCGTAGTATTTTTTGTGATAACCAAACCGAATTAAACCATGTAAATTTTCCAGTTTCGATTTCAATTTCAGTGCTATAGGAAACAGGACCGTACCCACGCCTAATAACACTTCATGAAATAAATGTGGCCTTGATTTATGGGTTGATTACATTAGGCCCATATAAAGGTAAATGGATCTAGCTTTTGACCCAAAAAGGTATTTCAAAACCTCAGGATCAGGCCCAATAAAAAGGTTCAAGTGGCCTTACCAAATTATCGGTTTTTCTTCAGGGCCTTTCATGGACTGTTCAATCAAACTAGCTTGGGTTGGATCATCCTAGTTTCTCTCTTTTTTTTTCAGTTTTTTTACTAGAAGGTTCTTTATACTAATAGTTGCATGCCTTATTATAAGGTTTTTTTTCTTTTCCCTATAATGCTTCTTCACAGTTCCGATCTCTTGGACCACAGGAGTCCAAGAGATTGTGGTCACCCACCGTTGGATATTAATCTAATGGTTCAAAAAAGTTTCTTAAAAAGAGTGTAAGAGTGTGTAAACCGTTGAATTTACATTCACCAACGGTGCTTCTTTAATGCAAGGGGGTTATTTTAGAATAGAAGTTGTGAAAAATGGCTATTTTAGCCAATTTCACTATAATATATAAATACGTCTCACCCTTTTATGACCAAAATCGGTACATATATTGCAAGATCATTTGTGAGTTAAAAGAAAAAATCAATATAATTTGATAATATTTTATCATATCATGCCATAAAATTTGAGAGATGTGAAATTAAATAGCGTTAAGGTTCTGCAAATAGAACACTGATATGGAATTGAGGCATGAGTGGTATTGATTCCTTATAAGTTGTTTACTATAAATTTCCATGAATCGGAATTGAAACCAAATTGATTACTAAAATGCCATTGTAGTCGGGTGAAAGTACATGAAAAATTGTGTGAGGATATAATTGATAAAAAAAGACAAATTCCTAATAGATTAGTTCTTCAGGAATTAGAATACCACCTCATACCCAAGAGTCCAACTCTTTCAAAATTAAGAGTTGAATTCCTAATTTTATATGGATTTCACACGTATTTTCACTCCTCCATGTGAAATAAACACAGGAATATCATTGGAATTCAACTCTTTATTTTGATAGGGATTACTAAACGTGCCATAAAAGTTAGTTGCCAACAAAACCAACCAAGCAGAAGGAACACGATAATGGGTATTTTCGTAAATCAATCTACGTATAGTCACCCAAATGACCAGCGACCGCGTGTGGTCTCACTCTCATAAATCTAACCGAAACCTCTCTCTCTACATCGAAAAAATTTCTCAGCTTTTTCTTTCTTTCATATTTTTGCTCTCTTGGCCTTCTTCTCCTCCTTCCTTTCTATCTTTCTGTGCCTCCCTCTCCTCGAGAACCCAACTTCCACATCCATGAAAGCTCAACTCTCTCGAGTCTTGTACAAAGGTAAAATCTCTTCTCTTCTCTTTAGAATGCTTTTTGTCTTTTTGTCTTTCTCTCTAGCCTGAGCCTCTCTGTCCATCATATCCATCTTCTTCTATTATATTTATTTATTTAGTCTCTGTCTTCTTTCTTTAATGTTCTTGTTTCCTTTGATTTTCTCTATAATAAAAGTTGACAATCGAGGTTAATAATGCAAAAGACCCATTTACCCACCCAGGTTAATTTTTTTTTTTCCCACGTGGGTTTTAACGTCAACTTCCTCCATGGTCATGGAGGTTTTAGTTTAGTCGCGCTGCGCACATGTTCTCTCTCCAACCATCTTTGCATGCTTTGCTTTTTCTTCTTTATGCATATCTCATGTGTATCTGTTTGTATGTTTCTGTTTGTCGATCTTGACGAGTTCTTTTTTCCTTTTTTCTGTTTTGAATTACTACTTAACAATTAGTACGTGCTATATTTGGTTGATTTATTATTTACTGTACTGTTGTAATCATGCTATAGATAATGTGGTTGATAATATTTACTTGGGTTTCTTCGATTTTGTTGTTCTTATTTTTCTGTATTTGTCTAGTGCTTTTTCTGGTTGTTTAAAAAAAACATTCATATTATGGTATTTACTGTTGATTTATTAGTTAATTTGTGGTGAACAATGCATTTAAATTATGCACTCGGATAGCTTTTTGACACCAACTGCAAAATTTTTTGGTTCTGTTTCAGTAGATCTTGCACATACATATTTCACTTATGGTACACTCGAACACACATATATGCCTGTATGGTTTGAGATCAGTGACAATTAAACTGACTGCTGAAGCATCTTACTTTTATGAGAATTGAGAACCAAACAATGAGATGACAATCAAAATGCTTTGTTCAGTCTTTCAGTAAAGGCTCAATTTTTATTGAAAGAAACTGAATGTGGCATTAACCAAATGATGTTCAAGGGAATGGTTCTTGTTGTCAAGTCATCCAGAGATGCATAGTGATCATAAAGGTCATGACATACTAGAAAACTGAATCTGTTTACATTTCCTTTCCTCTTAAAATTATGAAAACTTTCCCTTGATGGTGACGTAAGAGCTCAAGTTAATGGTCATCCTAATGTCTGAGTTCAAATTCTCCTGTTTTGGCAGATAGGTCCTAATCAATTGGATGACCATATGGAGAGTGTTGAAGATGAATATGTTGAGCAAGTGGTGTCTCCACGTTCGTGTAGTCCAGTTAATCATTTTGAGGATCCACAGGTGCTTCCTCGAATTGGAAATGAATATCAGGCAGAGATTCCACCCCTAATTTCTCGTTTCAATTATCTGAAGATTACAAATAAGCCTGCTGATTCCAAAGCCCAGCTTGATCTGTCAAATTATTTTTCACTGGGTTTACCTATCCCATGGAGAAATTGTGAAGTTAAAAAGTGCAATGGAAAACTAGAGTCTGGAGGTGTTGAACAGAGCAGGATTTCCTTAAACAATGAAAATTCAGAACTTAAAGTTAAACATCTAAATCCTGTTTTGGAAGATGCAAAAAACGTGGAAGAATTTTCAAACCTTGCACCTACGGTTGGAAGGGGCTTGGTTTTACCTCTGGAATCAAATATGAAATCTTGGAGCAAACTGGAGGAAGATAGTTTTCTCCTTTGTCTATATATCTTCGGGAAGAATCTTAGGCTTGTGAAGAGATTTATTGGAAGTAAGGAGATGGGGGATATACTGTCTTTTTACTATGGAACTTTTTATACTTCTGATGGATATCGCAGATGGTCAGAATGTCGGAAGTTAAAAAGTAGACGCTGTATACATGGGAAGAAGATATTTACAGGATGGAGGCTGAAGGAACTGGTATCACGATTGATTCCTCATGTGTCAAAGGAATGCCAAGATATGTTGATGGAGGTAGTTTTCCAACTTTGTTCTATACAAGCTGTCATCTTATCATGCATACTTCTAATGGTTTCTTGAATACCATGTTCTTGTGTTATCCTCCTCAACCAGTGCAAATCAGCAGTACAACTTTCAAAGTGGTACTGGTCAAATGTATATAGGACTAAGATGTGTTAATAAGCGAAGGAAAGCGGGGGTTTTTATCTTTTTTATTGCAAAGGGAATCTGTTTTTAGAAACTAGTACTTTTAGATTTGGCTATTTGGGATTTTGATAGTCAATACTGGTCAACCATTTCTTTTTATTGTTCAAGTATTTTCATTTTCTGGCATTCTGAAATTCACAAGCTCTCCGGATATTGCTTCTACTGTGGTTTGCAGTAGATTTACAAATTTGGTAATGAAAAATATGCCATGTCCTGATAACTTAATAAGTTTCGATCTCTTGTGCAGAGTTCAAGATATTTTGTAGAGGGAAAGATTTCATTTGAAGAATATATATTCAAGTTAAAGGATACTGTTGGCATCCATATGCTTATAGAAGCAGTAGGTGTTGGAAACGGGAAGCAAGACCTTACTGGCACTGCTTTGGAGCCAGTAAAGAACAATCATGTAATTTCTTTTCGTCCTGAAGTACCGATTGGCAAAGCTTGTTCCTCCCTTACAGCTTCAGAGATCATCAAGTTTCTAACGGGAAATTTTCGGTTAAGTAAAGCTAGAATGAATGATCTTTTCTGGGAAGCTGTGTGGCCCCGTCTTTTAGCAAGAGGATGGCACTCTGAACAGCCTAGGCTGTATTTGGTGTTTCTGGTACCTGGTATTGAGAAGTTTTCAAGGAGTCTTGTGAAAGGCAATCAGTACTTTGACTCTGTCAGTGATGTCTTGAAAAATGTTGCATCTAACCCAGGTATTCTTGAGCTTGATAATGAACCACCTAAAGGCAGTGAAAGTGAAGATAGGAAAGACAGGTGGGATCTGCCAAAAAGTCAGGGTCCAAATGATTTGTCAAATAAGCAACACCACCATTACCTCCTTCCACGCAGCGTAAATGGCAGTAGAGATCTAAGGAAGTTTACAATTGTGGATACCAGTATGCTTCTTGTAGCAGAAAAACCGAAGGTAAGAGAACTGAGGAGTTTGCATGTTCAAACTGCAGGTCTAAGCACCCTTTATAATCTTTCTAGTGAAAATGAACAAGATACATCTAAAGAGTCGGAAGATTATGCAGAAGAAACTAATACCTCAAACCCAGAAGAGGATATGATTGACAGGGAAGCATTTGTTAACTCCTCATATTGTGTAACTAGTAATGTGAATACTGGAATGCCTAACACCCCAGATCCTGCTTTGGTAGCAATGGAAAATCATGAAAGTCAAATTACAAGCCTGCTTAATCATGAAAGTCAAAGTACAAGTCTGCTTAATGATAAGTGTCCAAGCAAGATAGTGAAGGATAAATTCAGCCGGAAACTGACATCAGGCCGCTTAAAATATTTGGCCCCTAAAATGAAACAGAAGGATTTGACTGATTGTAAGCATGGAGAGTCAAGCGGCAGCAGTGGTGAAATTATCTCTGTGGATAGGAAGCCAATTCAAGATGAGTCTCATGCCCTATCAAACTTGCCAAATGCATGTGAGGTTATGGAATATCAAGTAGATCCACAACATTTTTCAACAGCTAGTTCTCTGGAAAAAGGCAGTCCAAGTGGAAGCAATGAAGGCAGTGTCACTACGAATTGCCTCAATAGAGAAGGGTCTCCTGAAAAATCTCAACCGTGGACATTGATTGACTTGAACCTTCCTACTGTTTCACCAGATTTAGGAACTGATGAACCTTTGATAAAGTGCATGATGCAAAATAATGACAATTCAAGTGAAAACAAGTCATCATCTCTATCTGAAACAAGCAAGCAGCCTGAGCCACTGAAGCTTCCTGAAGTTGGGGAGAGTATGGAGCAGCAACAACCTGCTATTAAGAGCCAGAGGCAGAGTACAAGGAACCGACCATTGACCACAAGAGCATGGGAAGCTCTTGAACTTGATTTCTGTAGGACAAAGAGGAAGAGAAAGGGTGAGACTCTACAAAATATGTCAACGTCAAGGTTGCAAAGAGATCAGGGAAACACTAGTGTTAGTTCAGTTTTTTATGAACTCCAGGATATAGGAGAAAAACGGGTTAAGAGTTTCTAGCAAAGCGACAATGCAAACGCGGTTGGTGTGCCTCTGGTTTGATGCAAGAAGAAATGTACTGGTCATATTAAAGAACGTCTAATTAGTTGCAGGCCATATGTCGAATGTGGAGAATCAAATGCACTTCTTTTCACTTGGCAGGAGCAAATTGGTAAGTTGACCTGCAGAAATTGGCTTGACTGGAACTCAAGAGTGTGTTTGAATGGTCTGGTTTAGCTCTAGTTTCTGAAGCTTTAGTAGCTTCATTGTATACCGATATACAGTACAGCTACAGGTCACTGAGGTGAGGCAAGCAAGGCCATATTTTGTTGCATGCTTCCTTCTCTCTGCCTTCATCTTTTTAATTTTTAGTCTTTATTGGCCTATACTTCTCTCACTGATTCTTGAGGGCTGACCTGAAACTATGACAAACTCCATGAACAGAGTAATTGTTATTCTGTCTTCATCTGCATATAAACTCATCATCCAGCTTTCTACCTCTATAGAAACTTGATCATGAAATTATCTTGACCAAATTATGATGATATGTCATTCTATTGTATATCAGTCTGAATCCTACATCACAGAGAATGAGAATCTCTTGTTTTCTCAAATTCTATCACGAGAAACCAAGTAAATTCTTAACATAACGATTTTTCTCTTTCCAACATTAGAACATGTGTCAAGTTCATTTCTCCTTCATCAATAAGAAACCAAAACCTCAGGACTCATGCACCTAGCTAGGCCTTGGAGGTGACTTTCGACTCGAGTCATTCTACAGTGAGGTAAGGCCCTTAAGGCGGTATTATTTCTTAATTGTTTGATCAAACTAATCAATTTGATCCAATAACTAACCAATTTGATTTAACAGTTGAGAGATAAGGCCCTCCCTATAGAAAGAATTCTACCTTTCAACTTTCGAACTTAAAGACCTCCCAGGTTTTCTCTGACCTTTGATAGCAACATTTATTTTCATCAAGATGGGCTGGGCCCACAGTACAGTAGCTCATTTGACTTGTCAAACAAACAGCCCTGTAAAATCAAGAGGTCTCTAAATAGTAAAGTGTAATGAAGGATGGATTAGTTTAAAGTTCTGGGGCCAAACTGCAAAGCACTAGTTGCCCAATAATCACGCAAATGAGGAAAAAACTTAGACAGCAGTGCCCTACTTAAATCTAATACCAAGACAGACACTGATTGGAAATTCAATTGACGAAGTTGAAGCTTTGATGGTTGACTACAATTCTAAAATATCCTCCTCCCTAACTTGTCCATATCAACCCCTCCCAATAAGATAACCCTTTTGTATTTTGTTTATTCAAACATCGTTTTCCATGACACAAATAATATTCATTCATAAATTAATATGCCTTGACCGTCTCTTGTGTTGGTTTTATCCATGGGGCTCCTTTGCTTATGTCAATTAGCAACTCATCAGCCACTAGTCTCTTAGTATTATGAAAAACTTAACTATAATTAGCATCAAAATGCTGCTTCGGTCGCCCTAAATTCGGTTTTAATCATAATATAATCAAGGAAAACATGGAAGAATGCGTGTGATGTTTGGATGCTATTGTCCTTACATTGTTGTGTTGATGTTAGCTTCATCAATTGCATCGATCTTCCTCGATGATTACTAAGCAATCTCTTTTGGTCCCATTTGAAATGATCGATGATTTGTGATCAAGAAAGAGAATCTTGGATGCCAAACTCTTTATATAAAAATTTATTGACTGAATATTTACATGTTTTCCCATGTTTGATATTCTAGCTTCTGTCTCCTTGTTGTTTTCCATTTTATAGCCCAGCTGCTTGTTTTTTCCCATTAAGCTTCTGAAAAGCTAGAGGATAAACTGCATGCCCAACAATAGCTTAGCAAATACCCAACAATATTTATCACATCAAGATTGTTGAGAGATTAATAGTTTATTTATTGGTAGAAAATTAATTAATACTTATATATATATTCCGTAAATCGAACATTATTAACAAGTCAGACGTCACCTCTAAAAAGATGATTAGTGTTAATTAAGTATGGCTTAGCGGAATGGGAATGAATATAATTTGGCCTAGTGCTCTTCTTCAAGATTGTTGATATGAGGTGTTTAGCTAATGTCCTTATTCATTGATATTGAACTGGACCTAGAAAACAAAGCAGCAACATCTATTATGTCATTAATTATTTTTTAAATAAAAAACATAAATAGACTTGTTTGGTTCCCTTCGATCGTTTGGGAGAAATAAGACAAAAAGGGTTCGGCAGCTCTCAACTAATGACACCCAATCTCATGTAAGCTTGTGCAAATTTGTGTTTAAACTTGAAGTCCTGGGTTTATTAATTACTGACGTGGGTTTTAATTAAACTAATTGATTTTAACAGGTAGGATGCATGGTAAAATACAAGGGCATCTAGTCGGTAAGGTCTGTTATGAAAGCACAATAGACAGATAAATAATAAAAGTTGAAATTAGTTTTCTGTACAAGCGGTAGTCTAAATTACTAGGAGAGAATTTTCTCACACACATTATTATGATGTACTTGAGACTACTACAAGTTAAGACCATTTTCTATTGAGCTAGACCCCGTTGACAGCATGCAGCTAGCGATGCTTTGAACTTAAGAAATCCATCCTTTGGTTGAATAGCCACATTTCTTCCCATCTAAACTAATACTATATTTAGAACCTAAAGCTACAGCAAATGGCCTTTGGGTAAGTAAGTTTGATTAGGACATATCGTCTAGACTTCAGAAGAAAAACGAAATATTAAAACCCATGTTAATTTCAGTGCATCCTCATATTTAAATCCCAAACCCACCCCTTGCGTGCAAAGTTAATTTCAGTGCATCCCCATATTAAAACAATGTACTTATTTTTCTTCTTCTTTCAATTCTTTATCTTTTTGTTTATAAATTGAGGTCCTAGGTTGATTTTTTTTTATTTGACTTTAATCTTTTTATTAATTGGAAGGAGCTGGGGGCATCCAATGTGCCAGGGCCTTTATAATTTGCATGTTTAAAAAAGGGAAAAAAAAAACTTTCTAGAAGTGAGCATACCTAGATCATTAAACAAGAAAGTGAGAATGTATATTGTGCACATAAATAATTAACAATAATAAATTATAAGGAACAAATATTAATTCATTAATTGGTCACACATATTTATTATTTACCCAAAAAGAAAAAAAGAAGAAGAAGAATGGAATACAAGCTAGCAAGGCCATGGTTGTATTTACCCAACAAGTGAAGGGCATTTGGTTATTAAGTTTGCAATAATGTTTTCTTGTGAGCAGTATATATAATTATATAAGGCCAAAGAAGACCAAGTTCCAAGGTTAAGTCTAATTGCAAAAATAGTTGCTTCTCTCATCTCCTCTCACCAGAAATGAAGGAGCTGAGTTCCCTGGTTTTGTCTTCCTCTACCAGAAGCAAATTCCTGAATTTCTTCTCTTCACCAAAAACAAGCCCCTCCTTTTAGCTTTCTCTTGTGACAAGCTAATTATAAGCAACATAGAAAAATTCTGAAGAGGTGTAGAAAGGACAAGCTAATTATAATTGTATAATTATCTCAAACCCCTTTTGTCTGTCAAGATATGTCAAATATTACAGGTGATGTTGAAGAAGGCAGCTTCTCTTCAGGGAACAATACTGGGGAGCTAGAAGTTCATCAAGAAAACCAGCAGCAAAACCACTTGCAAGGGTCTGGCTCCGGAGGCGCTTCTGGTGCCCAGAGCAACAGCAATGGTTCTGTCACTCAACAGCAGCAGCAGCAGCAGCAGCAGCCTCCACTTAAGAAGAAGAGAAACCTTCCAGGAACTCCAGGCAAATAATTTTCAGTCAATTACTTGAGTAGTAATAATATCAAGTATATTTCTTTAATTTTTTTTGGCAGTTATTATTGTTATGGAGTCTAATTTTGCATGTGAAGATGGATATTTGATTCACTTCAAAATAACTGAAAAAACAAATGTTTTCTAAATTGAGTTATCTTGTAAAAGAATCAAAACTTTTTAATTATTGCTTTGAGATTACATGAACTGTTTGCTTGATTTCACCTTTTGTTGCACACCAGGTTGTTACATACATATATTATATATATAATATGCTAATTTAATTATTGTGTATGATCAGATCCAAGTGCGGAAGTTATTGCTCTGTCGCCAACAACGCTGATGGCAACCAACAGATTTGTGTGTGAGATCTGTAACAAAGGGTTTCAGAGGGACCAGAACCTTCAGCTGCACAGAAGAGGCCACAATCTTCCATGGAAGCTCAGGCAGAGAACCACCACTGAGATTAGAAAAAGGGTTTATATATGCCCCGAGCCGACTTGCGTCCACCACAACCCGGCTCGGGCGTTGGGAGATCTCACCGGCATTAAAAAGCACTTCAGCCGCAAACATGGAGAGAAAAAATGGAAATGTGACAAGTGCTCCAAGAAATATGCAGTGCAGTCGGATTGGAAGGCTCATCAGAAGACTTGTGGCACTCGAGAATACAAATGTGACTGTGGAACCATCTTTTCCAGGTACTTCAATTAACCCAAACCCATGATTTAATTCATTCATTCATTCATTCATTCATGTTTGGACCTGTATATAAAATCAATATTGCATGTGCATGAACATATGAGATTATATTGGGATCGCCTACAAGTTCATTTCTGGAGCACACTTCAAAGATATAAATATATATATATATATATATTTATTAAGTTAGGAAAGAAATGTGTTGACCAAAAAAAAAAGTTAGGAAAGAAATGTCCGACCAATTGAAATATATTTACATTCATCGATATCCCTTTCTGGGACCTTTTAGTTTTTAAGTCTCAAATGATCTCTCTCTTCCCACCAATATCTAATTAATTATATGAACAAAGAAAACAAGGGCAACACCAACACTTGAATATCATGCATGTGTTTGTGCAGGAGAGATAGCTTTATCACCCACAGAGCCTTCTGCGACGCATTGGCAGAAGAAAACAACAAAGTCAACCACGGCCTCATGAGCTCACAGACCCAAGTGCCTCTCCCTCATGACCAGCTCATATCATCAATGGCCATGAACACCAACTCATCCATGGGAGGAGGATCCGACGTCCTCAATTATGATATTTCGAATAAAAACTCACTCAATAAATCCTTCCCTGACGATCTTGTGCCAATGCCATTCAAGTCCATGAACATGAACATAATGGCAGGTGGTGTTGGGGGGCCAGGCATGTTTTCAAGCACCTCAGGTTCACTCTTTGGCGGGCCAAGAAGCGTTTCATCAGCCTCAGCCTCTAGCCTTCAGCTGAGCTCCAACAACAACAACAGTTCATCTGGGTTCAATTACCTTCACCATCAAGAAACCAAAAATGGGGGGAGCACCCAAAGTAACATTACTGGGGCAGCTCAAATGTCTGCCACTGCCTTACTTCAAAAAGCAGCTCAAATGGGTGCCACTGCAAGCAACTCTACCATCAACTCCCCCATGATGCAGAAGAGCTTTGTTAGTAGCATGGCAGGCCCTGATCAGCTCTCTGTTAATCCTATTTCCATTAATAATAATAACAACAATAATAATAATATTAGACCACCATCATCATATGATGATCATCATCATCAGTTCCAACAGCAGCAGCCGCCTGATCATCATCAACCACATAATTCACACAACATTGTGGTTGGAGGATTCACCAACCAGCTCATACAGAAGGGCGGCCCACAAGAAATGTCTCAGCTTTTTGATCATCATACCAACTCAGCTGCAAGCTCTGCAATGACTGACATGGGTCTCTATAGCCAAGTCTTCATGGGGATTGGTGGTGATCCCCATCATCATCATGAGATTAGTGCTGCCAATAATAATTCTAGTCCCAATTCGATACATGGAATTCGAATCAACGCAATGGAACGGGGCGCGATGGGACCGTCCACGACACTTGATCTGCTGGGGATTGGAGGGTCAAGGCCACCAAATCTGCATGAACACCAGCAGCAGCAACAAAGGTTAGACTTGGAGGCAATGAGCCAGCACAGATTACCAGCAATCATGAACCCTTTTCAGCAACAGCGCTCGCATGGAGATTCAACTATGGAAAAACAGATTTGGGATGTTTGACAAAAAAGTACATGCATGTTATGATACTTATAACTTCCTCATCGTTTGAAGAAGAAGAAGAAGAAGTAGGTCTTGTTTTGCTTTGCTGACACGCTGAGTGAGTTTGAGATTTGGGTCCTGATTATCATTTCATTTTATTGTATTGTGATGATGGGGTCTTGGAAATTCTTTAGGGCATAGTCAAATCTGGGCCTTTTTTCTGTCAACCCAAGTCATCTTTTTTAAGTACTGAGTTATTATGACCCAATGAGATAGATGGCAAAAAAAACTCTTGGGTGCAAAACCTTAAAATGTATTTGTTTTAAGTCAGCTTGCAAAACCTTAAAATGTCTTTTCATTTTCATAATCAAGAATGAATGTTCAATTTTTACGTCAATGATATGTGTCGTGTCAAACAACATTGAAAACTTGTCTTACTTTGTTATTGGATTTTGAATTTCAAGCTTGGTTAACATCCATGATCCACAGAGGCCCAATGGGCCATATTGGGCTGTAGCTGTAAGGGTAATTTCGTAATTCCAAGAATGAATAGACGGCAAAACCCTCTCAATCTCAAACCCTAATTCAGATCGCTTCCCTATATATTGAGAGCTCAAAGCCTCTCTCTCTCACAACCATCCCTGTCTTTTCGTCTCGTTTTCACGCTCTCTCTTCATCTGTAGAACAAATTCAGTAGGGTTTTGTTTTGGTTAGTTGATTTTGCATAGAATAGAAGAAACAAGGGTTGGAGGAGGCTGTGATGTTGATAAACTACCTATTTTCTGAGGGAAGATATTCCCTTATGATTACAAAATTTACCAATGGATCCTTCTGAGCCTTCACTCTCTTCTTTCTTTTCTTTATTTTATTTTTTCTTCGTTTTTATTTTCTGTTTGAGGAGAACCATTGACGTGATGATATGTTTTTCGGAATATATAGTGTCGACTTAAAATAACAGACTACAATTATCTGATCAATGGTTTCTCTATCTTTTTTTCTCCCTGTGTCTTTACTTTTGAAACCCAATTATTATTTTTCATATCAGCCTAATTGTTTGCGTTTGAACTTTGGATTGGAGTAGCATCAGGTTTCAATCCAAAATCTATAGCCGATTAGAGTTTTATTTGTTTCTAAAAACTGGGATTTTGCTCCCTAGTTAATGCGTTAACTCGTGTGCTTTAACAGTGCTCGAAAAATCGGCCTGGTCGGGTCGGGTCCTTGTTGGTTTTTTGTTTTGAAGTTGTTTTTCCTGGCTTTAAAGTACCTCACGCTGCCTCTCTCTCCTCTGAGCCGTCACCGCCTTCTCTCTCCCTCCCTTTCTCCCTTCTTACGAAACATTACCCAAAAAATACCATGAAATCAAATGCGGGATTGAGCTTGTGGACGGATGGGCGTCAAATATTAAAACATTAAGTTACTAAACAAATTGTGAAAAAAAAAGATATGGCATGTCGACTCATCTAGTCTTGTCTTCCATGTATTCCAGTACATCACTATTCACTACAATTTAGGGTAGACTAGGTAATTCTGGGGTAAGGATATAATGGTAGGGATGACAGGTAAATTCATGTTGTGAATCACCAAAGACTAATATGAAATGAATGCCCATAATAAATTATCATCCCTGCCATTGTATTCATACAACATAGTTCCTATTATTATGATTTTCCGGAATACAAGACTAGATGAGTCTTCTTCCAAATTTCTCTCCAAAATCCTCATTTTATAACAAGTATGGCATGTCGTCTGCTCGAAACAATAACTGGGAACAAAATTACAGAAACGAATGTCAGGGTTGATAACTTTCTTCGATGTCAATGACATTAAAAGATTACATCAACAACAAAACAAATGTTAATGTATCCTATCATTTCTTCTCCCCTGTCTGCCAGGGGTTAATCTATTATTCTCTATTGTAATATATGCAAAATGATCAAGACCCTAAACCCTAAAGATCTTATTATTGCCATTGGAAATAGTATTTCTCACAAAGCCTTCTTTTCTATCTGCCGTGTTTTAGTCATGGTTGAATTGTGGAATTGGACTTCCCAGACGTAGCTGAATGCTAACATGAATTAGATTGGTCGCCGCCTTCAAAATCTCTTCCTCAGCGTCTTTTGCCACCTCCACTGCATCTCTGGGAAGAAAAGAAAAATATTACTTGACCGTTGCGAAACACTAGACGGATTGTATCAAAATCACCAAGTTGTTATACAAGCTTTTACCGAATCAGGATGTCCGCAGGCATGGAAACCTCAATTTGGAGTAACATCTTGCCCCGCAACAAGTGATGCGTTATGCGCTCAACAACCATTTTCTTAAACACACAATGTCATTTTCACTTGCAATAGTATATAAAAAGGCTCAAGAGTGTGCATAGTCGAACTAACTGAACTATGAATTTTAAGTTTATCCCCTCTTAATCTAAATTCCATTCACAATATAATGCAAAAACACAAGTCAAGATTAACTTCCATTTCCAACTTGATAAGGAGACAAGATTCACCTCTGCATACTTAGATGTGATGATTCGAGAAACAGCCGCCTCAATGTCCTTATCCTCACCAGGAGAAAATTTCTGGCATGCAATTCCCTTGAGAATTTCTTGCTGATCTACACTGGGGCAAATTTGTTGAATTGAAGGATCTACAAAGAAGTTAGAGCAGGGAGATGAGAATTATGTGGAGTGAAGAAAATGAGAATAAAAAACAACATAGTGAAAAACCAAAAACCAATAATATATGGAAGGAAAATGCTGAGTGTTTTTTATCCATTTTTTTCTATGTAGGAAAATACTGAATGTTTATATAAGAAAAAATTGGATAAAAATTATTAGAGTTCGTCTAGCCCAATTTCAGAAATTCGCCAGTGAAACTGTGCCTACCTATGTGTATGAAAACCTCAGAGACTTCAGGATGGGATTTGTGAATCTGATAACGAACATTTTCTCCAATGTCATGTGCAGCACTAACACTACAGAAGGGATCAACCTGCCAAGTAAAAGTAACGAATAAAATGCCTTATAGGAGAAACATTGCACAATATTTGTCAACCCCACAGAGAATTTCCAGTCAAGCAGGAGAAAGTGTAGAACAGGAAAATCAACCTCAATATGTACATCAAGGTATAGAGTTGAACCAGCCCTCCTTCCCCTCAAGCGATGACATCCCTGGACACAGTTTGAAAGAAAATTGAAACAGGACAAAACAAAACGTAAGATCTTAGCTAATACTATTAAACATAAGAGCATCCATAAGCCAATATTTATGGCACGGCACCCTCTACAGAAGCGCTGCTTGAAAGCTTAAATACATGAAGGAAAATAACAAGGAGGACTTCAAAGATCAGATAAGCAGACCAATAATTTCATGAACACATTATAAGAATTTTACACTAGATACCTTCACACCCTCAACTTGTACAATTGTCTGTTTAATAGGATCCAAATGCTTTGCTGGGATTGCCGCATCCACCAGTTCCAAGACACTAAATTGGGTCCACCATCCAAAAACACACATACACATCAGATAGCGAGATGAAAAATTAACAGACATGCACACAAATAAACATATAACAAGCTTGCATTAAACTAAAGACCATCTTGGGACACATAGAAGTGTCAAAGTTGGAAGATTGACAAAAACATTGTCCTACTGTAAGATCATTAGCACAAAGTCATTAAATGGGCATTCATGCTCCCCTATTCCTTCACACTAGTCTTATGATTTTGCAGCATCACAATTGAGCATAAAGTTTAACGACTACAGACGCAATCTATACTACCAAAAGGCTTGGCGAGATATGATTGCTATAAGTAGGTTTTATTCAGTTGAGGAGACTATACGTAGCCTTAAAGGCCTCACCCAATCAGGAAACCAGCAGAACCTCTAAACAAAAAATTAAGGAAAAAATTGAAAGTATGGATGTGGATCAGAGAGATCTTGAAAATATCTTGCAACTGCGTTCATATTGCCAATCGACACTTGCAAGTTGCAAAAGCTTAAACATTCACATGACCTCCAATGGAAGTCTAAGAAGCAAGAGTGATACAAAGGTGCAGATAAAGTGGAGAACAAAAATCAGACCTCTGATGCCCAGTTTCAAGTCCCGCTTTTAGGATCATGCCTGAGACAAGTAGTCCAGCAAGTGGATCTAGAAATTTCACTCCTAGGATTGAACCTCCTAAAATAAAAAAGAATGAACAATGCTCAGTTGATTATTTAAAATTTAACTCGTATTTTAGAAAACTAGAAATAAAAATTATCTGTAGGAAGAACCAAATTGTCTCACCAACTCCAATGAGAGCAACTACTGATGAAACGGCATCTGCACGATGATGCCATGCATTTGCTTTCATCAGTCCACTACCTTGCCTTTCTCCTGCCCGTTTTGTGATCCAATAAAGTCTGGAAGTAAAAAAGAAGACACATTAGTTTGTTTGTGGGTGGGGTTTTTTTTTGTTTTGGGGGGGGGGGGGGGGGGGGGGGAAGAGAGAGAGAGAGAGAGAAACAGCACGCATAAAGTCAGAAATAAACATGAAGTTGAGATGGTTAACACATAAGCAACAAGGACCAATGATTCAATGACCTAGATAGCTATGTCGTTCAGATAAGGAAATTCAATCTGCTTTTCAATGACATGGAATAGGAGACAACTCTTGAAAAATTAAGATTTTATGAACTTTAGTACCCTTCTTTAACAAATATCGAGAAAACAGTCATGCTCAAAGCTAGAGCAGGGTGCTCCATGTCAACTCCATGGTGATGTCCACGATGATGATTATGCACATGATCAGTCAATGACTGACTAACTATAGCAGGATCAACTGAAAACAATCCCTGCACATTGAAGACAATGGTTTCTAAGGACAAATACAAAAACAAGAATCTGATCCAGTATCAAGAGACAAACTGACCACCAAGTATCAAATTGTCAATAGACTATCAATCTTGAAATCCATTTGGAAACCGCAAAGTAACTACATATGAGTACCATTCTTTAATGAGGTAGAGGGAGAAAGTAACACTTACCAGCAAAAGATCCAAAGCATGCCAAGCAATGCCACCAGCAGTTGCCAACAGCATACAAGAGATTCCAAGTGCTCCAAGAGTCTCAAATTTACCATGTCCTGGAAAAACAAGTGAAACAAGAAAACAGTTGTATATGAACCCAGCACACACAGACGACAATGAACTATAAAAGTAGGGGTGTATATGCATAATGTGAGATCAATGGAGTAGCGTGTAGGTACAAATCAAGAGTGACCATATGGGTGTTCTTTGTCTTTGGGAGCCTTTGCAGCTGTAAATGACCATAAAGCGATGCTGCTAAGAACCTACAATAAAAGCAGAAAACGAACAGAGTATGCATGATAATCTAAAAATAGAGTTGATATAAGATAAAAGAAATATCTTACATACATCAAATTATGCTTGAGCCCAAAATTCTACAGGATAACAGATATTGAAGTACAAGATACAAAAACAAAAAAAATCAGTAATAGAGGCAATCTAGCACAATTCAGCTCCTAGATGCATAGACAACAACAATAACATATAATTCACCCAAAACTAGAAAATAAAAAATGAAAAACCAACATGGGCAAACAGGAAGAGAGCAAAATAACAAAAGTTACCACGTCGGAGACTGAATGGGCTGCATCAGCAATGATGGCAGTGCTTCCAGTTAAGTAACCAGTCAATGCTTTGCCAGTAGCCAGTCCAATATCAGCTGCCAATCCCAGCCTGAAGATCTTCTCGCCCTCTTCGACAGAGCCACGGTGCTGGTGCTGGTGCTCATCATCATGGTGGTGGTGCGAATGACCTAAATGCCATCTTCTGGGGATTGAGTAAATGGGATTTTGAGAGAGAACGAAAGAAGGGCCTTGGAGATGGGAAGTGAGGAAATCTTGGGCTACTGTGCGATTAGGATGAGGAGGATGCTTGTGCTTGTGCTTGTGTATGTGCAAAGCAAGCCTTTTATGCAGGGAATTGAGATTGTGAAATCTGAATCCCATACTTGAAACTCCAAAGAGAAAATCAGTCGATCAAACCTTAAAATTGATTTTGTTCTAATTTCCTGATACGTGACGGAGCTTGAGCTAGAAGCCTGGAACTGGAACTTGAAGGTGAAGCCATGAGCTACCTCTGTGGTTTTTACCTTTTTTTTATTTTTGGAATTTCCTTTACCGCACTGATACTATATGTTCATGGGCGTAATGGATCAGGCCGATACTCGAAAGTGGGCCTACCACTACCAACATTGTTTTAGCTGAGATTGGGCCTTTTCCCTCAAACTCTTGACAAGAACCGAACAGAAATGAGTGAAGCCCAAGCCCACTGGGAAGACGTGAATATTGTTTTCTGGACAGGCCCAACAGTTTTTTTTAAGGCCGAACGGCTTTATTCTATTATTTAATTATTTTTTATGAACATTCTAATTATGTAATTCTTAAGCCAATACACAATCTATTTCTTTTATTAATCTTATTTTTTTTTTTCTTTTTTTGTTTTTTTTTTTGTTTTTCTACCCAGATTATTATCTACCCAAAAATCTATTTATCCTTTTTGAGACTTTCTACCAAGAAATTGGCCAATCTATTTATCCTTTTGTAAATTGAATTACTTCAACTTTAATGCATCTCTGAACTAGAACTCTAATGCCATATAGATATAAGTCTTGGGCCCAGGGCCCCACCCCAATTTTATATATTGTTTAATAGAAGTGGAAGAATAAGAATAAGTTGCCAAAACTTTGGATTTTTTTTTTTCCTTTTCACCATATTAATGATCACTAAAGAGTTAATACGAGCATCCCAAACTATTATAGTCAAAGTCACAATGGCTTTTACAAGCTCCACTAGTATCACAATGTCCATCACAGTGCGCCATCCCGTCCGGATATAAACAACTCTCACTGTCTGCCGCGGTCCGGCCACCTGTTTCCAAGCCTGTTTTGGCCTCCGTATCCAGAAGGATTCATTTGCCTCGACCTGTCAGGCATGTAATCCCGTGCGGGATTCATCCTGGGTTCTCTTCCGTACATATACCCAGGATTTCTAGTTGGACTATTGTCCGGACTCCATGATTCGAAGTCTTGGTTGCCACCCACGTGTTCATTTCCTTCCCAAGAAGGACCTGGCAACAACTGAGGTTGCTGCGAAGGTCCTCCATATGATGCATTATACTGATTTTGGTTCTCTAAGTAACGGTAGTTTGAGGGCACATCCTGCCTGGCTCTCCATGAATCAGATGGAGGAGGAGGGCCTGGTTTTCCCATTTGTGGTTTAGATGGGTACATATGTGTGGGGAGGCGAGGCTCCGAAAAACGGGGTTGCTGCAGCGGTTGCGGCTGCCTTTGCTGCCGTGCTGGAGTGGAAACCAAGGGCGGTGGGAACGAATTTGGCTGCCTTTCTGCTACATTATATGAGTTAGATAAGTTGTTCAAGTGTGTGTTCTTCATGGTTAAAACCATCTCTGACGCTGCTGGTGTTTGCATAGAGGGAGGAAAGTAGTCTGGCGTGTACGACGGCACTACTGGCTGGGAAGTTGATAGCCGTTGTGATGGAATCATATGTACAGCTGACGAAACTAAGCTGTTGTTGGTGGTCGCCATTTGTTGTGGAAATGCATTCCTTCCAGCATCTGCTCTCCATCCACTCTGTGAATTCTAAAAAAAATGGAAAACAGAGAAACACAATCAGTTTATCTTGTGAATAATTATATTATCAAAAGTAGCTGATGAGCAAAAAGAAAACATATAAAAAAGTTTCAGTTTTTTTATTATCGAAATTAATTGAATTTCCCAACGGATCTTTTTTTTTTCTTTCCTTTTTTGCTGTTATTCAGAATATTGGCATCAAATCAATATGAGGCTCCAATGCCAGGCCATGATTCCATGGCCCATGCACAGAGGTCCCTACCAGCCACCCATAAAGGAAAATGGCATGCACCCAAAGTCTGGATTTGCCACTTGTTTCATCGATGGTCTCGCTCCTACCCAAAAGAAAAAAGAAAAGGGAAAGAGATAAGAAGGCCCTACAGTTCAAAACCACTAATGGACCAGATTCTCTATCCTAAATTCTCATTTTGTAGTTCTATTTCCTTCGCTGTCAAGGTTCTAGAGAAGGAGAAGGGTAGAATACAGTGCACATTAAAGTTGCAAAATGAGCCCAAGTAACGCACCGTTCCAGGATTGCTCGAAGGTGTTGGGGATGGAAGAGAAACTTCCACCCTCTGCTCCATTTTTCTACCTAACCCATTTAAATTACCAGCCCCCCCGGACTTAATCATATCCAGCAGTTTTACTGTATCTTCGTTTGACAAGTTAGCAGCCTGCCCAGAAGTCAAGGCAAACACCAATTCTGGGTTCTTTAGCAGTACAGCAAGCAACTCAAGATCGGGTTCGGCTGCTGCGCTTGCACCATTCATTTGAGACAAGGCGGGTGCCAAAGAAGCATCACTGTTTACTCCTTGAGAAGAAGCAACCCATGCTTGTGCATTATTTCCTTCTCTACTTAGGGAAGCTTGTGTTTCGGTGCCGTCAGCATCAGGGGGCTGTTCTATTGGTATCTCTGGGGTCAATGAATCATCATAGTCCATTTCAATGTCCCATGGTTCCTTGGGGTTAGATGGTATCTCCTGGACTCTCTGGTAGATAGTTTCCTTCTCGCGGCGGTTTCTGTTTCTCTGGACTTCAATTTCTTTGCCGTTCTCACCACCACCGACCCTCCATTCAGGGTCCAGTTTTATTTCTGCAGAAAGGAAAGGACAGGAAACTTAATAAAAAAAGGTCAACATCCACAGAAAATGTTACTTAACACTTAGAAAAGTCGTCAGCCAGCCAGCCAACCAAAGGAGTACCAAAGTAAATCAGGAAAAATGGAAACAAAAACAGGTACTTCATTATACAAGAAGTCATGTTTGTGCTCCAGACATGGGTGGGGTATCTAGTAGTCAAGTTTTCAAGCTACCGTGCCAAGAAAGAGGCAAGGTACTGAAAATAACAAGTCATGTTATTTTACATAATGAAAATTAATGGTTGAGTTCATCATTATCCAGAAACTGAAAGCTTCTGCATCAAAATGTCATCTGTCCATGCCTTAATGAAAATAATTAGGGCTAGTTCATTGGCTTTTATATCCGGGTGTCATCCAGTTACTACGTTTACCAAATTATATAGTCAACCCCTGGGAATAAAAAGTCCTTCTCGAGATACAGAACATGAGGCCTGTTACCAGAGTTTCAATACGACCTTTGCAAAGTGAAGTCCTATACCAAGTTCGACCAAGACGGGTATTGGAGAGTAATCAGTTAGAGACTTGAGCGGGTTCAAGTTCAGACTAGCCATTAGCAACAACCCCTCATTCATTATTTCATGCTTATAAATTCAACACCGAGGATATTTCCATCCACTTAAGCCTGCTTGGAAGAATTTCCCAATTAAATTAGAGCAAACATGTAGATTGGAAATCATTCACATTCAACCCACCATAGTAATAATCTAGGATTTGACTCCGTAGAGGTAAAAACCCATGTGGACCTCAAAGAGTGTCCAAATCTTACTAAAACCAGACTATTTAAAGTTTTTTTTCTTTTAAGAAATAAAACTGAATTTAAATTTGTAAGTCACAAGATGAAAGCAATCCAGGGCAATGAAACACCACATGAACAACAAAATCAAATAACGAGTGACCATATCAAATAAATCTTGTAGCACATTTTTTTAATGATGTGTGTTGTAAAACAGCCCTCGGAAGTATTGCAACCCACAATGGTGATTGAATAGAAGGGGAAGTAAGGATTGGTAATTAGGTGTGATTTATTTCTGTAAAAAAAAACAAACAAACAAACAAAGCCATTAATATGCTTAGAAAACCAAACTGAATAATCCCATTTTGATCAGGCATGCAACACCCACTCAGGCACCATCTTTCAAACACCCAGCAATTGTCACATGGAAGAAATGACATCCTCCAATCTTTTGCTCTATGCAGCACGTATAATCTACCGTATAATACTGATGCCTGTACTGTCACATTCCCAACCAAAATGCAAAATATGAATAATAACCAGACCAAGTCCAAGCGTCTAAGGGATTTTAAGAGCCACATCAACTGCTATAAGATTGTTTTTTTTTTTTTTTTTTTTTTTTTTTTTTTTGCCCTGGTAGACATTATGACAAATTGATTTTATAAAATCTACAATACAGAAATGAAATACCATTTAAGATTCAATTTGCCATGAAAGTCATTTGAGGCCTAAATATTATGATGACATAATCCACAGATTTCCCATATATGATGGTTTAACAGACCATCAGTAGAAAAGAGTAAACAAAACTCATAGTTGTGCAGGATCAAGAATTCATACTTAATAGTAACTAATTATATTTTTTTAATGAAAAAATAAAGAAAAAGAATGAGGAGGAAATAATTTCAAGAAGCTTTCACCTGCTAACTTATACAACTGAACTACTACCCCGGTTTTCCATGGAAAAGCATACTTGAGGGTTATCCCATTCTATTCATATCAGTGAGCAAACATAGATAGTTGGAAAAGGAAATTATTCATCATTTATTAACACAAGCAAAAAACTCTCCCTCTGCGAAATATGTTGGAAATACTGAAGGCGCTTTCTCCTCAAAACTCTAAACAACTTAGGAGGATCTCTTTATATATATTTTTTTCCCTTCTATAATGCCTGCTGCTTTCACACTAATATTATGAACAAATAGTCAAAGGAAGCAGCAAAGTTCCACTAAAAGCATATGTACCTGGCGGTGTCTTCCATGGGACCCGGATTCTCTGGCACTTCTCCAATATGGACTCCTTCAAATCCATTCTCAGCTTTGGAGCAAGAGAAGTTTCCAGCCTATTAGGAGTTTCCCTCTCTTTCAAAAGAAGTGTCACAGGTTTCTTGGGTTCCTCAATATCAGGCCGAACTGGAACTTTAGGTACCACAGGCAAAATGCTGGCCTGAGAGGCTGAAAGTTTGTTCCCACCTTCGGTCTTCAGTTCTTTATTTTCATTAGATGAACCAGATTTCCCATATTTGCTCTGCATAAATTGTGCCCGCATTTTTGCTTTTTGGATATCATCAGCAGACATTGGACGACCCTTACTCACAGGTGTTGCCCTTGTGACCTGTACACTTCTCCCAGCTGATTTTTGGCCAGGCTGTTCCACCAACTGAACTTTTCTGCGTGCTCGAAATTCTGTTACTAGCTAAGGAAATGAGCTCCTTCACTTTTATATGTTTTACATGAATCATTCATATAACCTCTTTTAGGCCATCCACATGGAAACATAACTAAACAAAAAAAGAAGCAAAGTATAGGGGACCACGTAACAGCTCAAAATGAGGAAGCTATATGAATTGTTAACATCTTTCCTAAACTTATTTGATAACCAACATAGAAATAAAACTTAAAATTAACAAAAGCCTACTGTCTTAACTAAGGAATATAATTTTTGTTCTTTCAAACAAACTGTAAATGTTGCATAGGAATTCTAAAATATCATTTGGGATAAATTTTAAAAAAATGATATTCAGGATACGAGATGAAGATACACCTAGGATCTGCTTCTTATTTGACTCATCTGATGATGCTGTCAATAGCTTCAATGGTTCTGAAGCCTCTGATCTCCTGAAAATGAGACATTTAGGATGGGATTAACACCACAAACACAATCAGAAACAATACTATCCTACCAAATGTATGTCAGTTTAAAGAAATCTTCTTACCTGGAATTCTCTGCATTTTCAAAAGGCGTTGCAAAGATGTCTTCCTGTACAACAGAAAATTACAATCTGTAAACGATAGGCAATTTAAATCAATTTGAACAAATCTTTTTTTTTCTAATTCGTGGAGCACTTACAGGAATATCAATGTTTGACTTCCATGATTCATCACCCATAACTTCATCGATACTGTAAGAAAATTAGAAATAATTAAAAACTGATTACACTATTTTTTAGTGCATGGGCAGTGAAAATGTACTTACCTCTGCTTCAGCATTACTAACTCGTGTTGCGAGTCACTAGATGTTTTCATGCCATTTGGTTTCTTCATATTTTGGATTCTTGCTAATAACTTGCTCCATCTTGATAGCAAAACTCTTGCCCTGTTTGATATGTCTGATCTTCAAATCAGATAAATGAGATTCGAAAATTTCATGGTTTATAAAAATGACAAATAAAGCACATACAGAATTGCTTATCATGCACAAGAAGCTTTATAGATGCCACAGAAAATGAGATGAAAAATGTGATGGTTTATAGTCAAATACAACCCAAGCACATATACAGTTGCTTATTTATACAAAACAAACTTTAGAGTCACTAAACATATGGTTTATCTACGCATACAGAGAAGCTTGTTTTAACATTGAGTCAAGAACACGTTTAACCACAAAGAGATAAGCACGGGAGAAGAATTTGAGAGAGACAGAGGAAGTTATATAGAAGTGACAAAGCACCATAGTGGTTTCTGCAACAAAAGCACACCTGCTGTCCTGTAAAACCGCAGTCTATTAACACTTTGCAGTATGGCTGACATATGCACAGGAAGAGCTTTATGTAAAGGCAAATGACAAAGAACCTGTGCAGCAGATAACTATCAGAATTTCAAGCAGCAATCATAAAGCACATCAGAAACAGATTTCAGTTCAAAAAATACCTTTAAGATGACAAGGAGAACACTTGTTTGTTCTTCAATGGCTGCTTGACTCAACCATGTTGCTAAGATCATGACACCACCTGTATTTAAAAACCTGCGTACATACAAGTTTGTCTGGTCTAGACCATGAAAAGAGAAAATGGTGACATATTATCAAACCTATAAAGTGATTTGTAAGTACCAACATAATACTGAAGAATTTTGTATCTGCAATATCCACTCCATCAGTTTCACTTGCCCAGAAAACGTTTCTTCTTTCCGCATCAAGTTGAAAATGTTGTCTACAAAATGTTTATCTAAGTCATCTAATCCAGAAAGAGCATCATCTTGAGTTGAGCAAGATGGTGCATCTTCGACACTGGAGGGACCAACAGAATTTAAGGGAACCGGATCAATTGGTGTCAGAGGGTCAGAGCTTGTTGAGACCCCATCCTGCAATTCTTTATGTTCACTGGATCTCGTAGCCTTTTCCCTTGACAACTGGACTAGTTTTCTAACTCTCGACCGTTGACTATTAAAAAAATCACGAACCTGTCAATCAATGGAACCCGAGTCTGTCAGACACAATTATATGTTGAAATAGAATTATGCAATCATGTAGATGTTGTAAACCTTCAACCTTTCGCTCTTCCAAGTTTCCAACCAGTAAAAAGAAATAAAACCACACTGGGGAGAAACTGTCATACTGGGTATAGATAATCATAACCTAAAATAGCCATTAGTAGGAGTGTAAAACCATGTGTTCTTATCTATTTGATCCGCATTGGCATTCATGGGAGAGGGCTAACGGTTCAATGTACTACAAAAGCATATACAGTAACAAGTGAACTAAAAAAAGCAAGAAAGAAATATTCAACTAAATGAAAGTACGAACCTGTGTGCCTGTAACGCCGAATAGAGCACTGAGCTCACGAGACTCCTTCTTGCTAATTGCATCCTTAATAGAAAAAACAGATTGCATATACTTTATAGCTTTTGGATTTAACAAATCTCTAGGTCTTTTTCCTGCAAATGGACCATCTAATTAGAAAAAAAGATGGTGGCCACGAGAAACAGACAGGCAAATGTATAAAGATTGTGAATGGAAAATTATAGCAGCCAAATGGACATGTAGCATCTTACATACTGAAGCTAAAGGAGCATATTCAAGAAACATAAACATCAAACATTACACTTCCAAGACTTACCAATCTTAACAGAAAGAGCACCAGCTGCCTGCATATGGCAAAACGAAAGAAGAAAATTATTAGAATTATTTTTTGCACATGGAACTTGTTTCTTCTCAGTTAGACAAAGAAAAAGATAAATCAACGGCAGGGCTAATTCTTCTCATTCTCGGAAACCAAACGCAAAACGAAATTCATATTTTAAAACGCACCATCTCTTGGGAGAGCGGATTTACGCCGGTGAGATTGCATTGGGTGACAACAACTTTCTGAAGCTGATCGATCTGGCTGTGGAATAGCTGCCTCTGCGAGTCCAAGAACTTCTGGAACGACTCCACGGAGCTCCCAATCTCCATCTCCGAAAGATCCTCCATTGCCAACCTCCAAGCTCCAAATCCCAAAGCTAAATGTAGCACATAAGGAATTCGAAACCAGGCATATTGGGGTTTTGAGATAAAGTTAGGGTTAGGCTTTGATTTCCAGAAAGAGAAAGACGAAGAGGGTAGAAACAGAGTAGGAAAGTAAACCCCAAAACACGTCCACGTCGCAAGAGCGCTAGGTATAATTGGCGCGTGTATTTTTCGGATCCGGTTTTTGCACAAGTAAAAGAAAGTATTCATACGCACCTCTAGTTTCCATTTCCCCTTTATCTAATAAACGTATAGCCGTGCGGCTATACTTAGAATATCTTAGCCTGATTTAATTACTTTCATTAGTAATTATGTTGTAGTGAATAATTAGAATTTCTGTAGTGAATAATTAGTATTAAATATTTTAATTAACATTATAAATGATATTACTTAATAAATAGTATTTATTTTTTAAAAGTTTTGAATTTAATAAAATCCTTAAATACTAATTATTAAACAATAATTAAAGTAATTAAAAAAGAGAAATTGAGATTATGGTATGTATAGAGTATAGCCTAACTTTGGTTACGCACTTCACATACATATTAAACGAAACCATGCAATTATAAATTCAAAAAAAGGCGAGAGAAATACCCAGAACATAACAAAGCTTGTTGATTGCTGCATAAGAAGGGGGAGGAGATCCCGATGGCGTGAACATGTTTTGGCAGAGTTTGTAGAGAGCTTGAACTTCGGAGCTCTATACAAACTTATACTTCTTAAATACAAAATTAGTTTCTTTAGTTTAATATTTGTAATTAAGAAATATCTAGTCTTATTTAATCATTTTAATTAGTAATTACGTTTTAAGTATTATTTATTTAGTGAAAAATTAGTGTTTAAATATTTTAATTAATTTCATAAATTAGTTTATAAATAGTAATTAATGATTTTAAATTATTTTATGGACTTTGTTTTGAAATTTTTTTTGTACAAAATTAGTTTGTTTTGTTTAATATTTGTAATTAAGTAGTGTCTTAAGCCTTATTTAATTACACTAATTAGTGTTTATGTTCTAATTAATAATTTTTACTGAATAATTAGTATTGAAATATTTATTTTATTTAATAAATTACTTAATAAATAGTAATTAATTATATTAATTAGCTTAAATAATTTTGTGGACTTTAAAATTATTTTTTATTTCTGAAATCATTTTTAAAATAGTTTCAATTATCTAAAATTCCTAGAAAATTATTTTAGTATCCCAAAAATGAATTTTATACTAAATCCTAAATTCAACTATCGAACCAAAAACTCTAGCTTTCGAACTTGTTCCAAAATCTTTCTCAAGCCTCGAACCCCAACTATAAGCCTACTCTATGACACTCATGACTCGATTAAGCTTGGATACTCACGTAACTCTACCTAACTAAGTATCCAAAATGACTCAATTTCACTGGAAACGTTTGTCTCGACAAAATTTTCCTTAAAAAAGCTTATTACGTAATGTTTGTAATTAAGTAATATCTTAGCCAAGAACATCACGATGAGGGTATTATTAAGAGTTCAAAAAAACAAACCGCAAGTGTAACATTGACATACAATATAGATGATTTATGCAATTTAGGCTATTTTCAGTGTTGGATAAGAGCTACTGGTGAACAATGTCCTAAGCTCGAATCCTCCATGTCATGTTGCTGATATGATTTGAATAAAGGTCTTTTGGGTCTCCATGCTTTAAAATAATTACATTTTTTTTAAAAAAAAAGGCCCTACTTGGTTGTAGCATTTTTTTCAGGAGCTTGACTTGTGGGCCTAGACTTTTCTCAGTTTCCGGGCTTAACGAAATATAAATTTATGACCCATGAAAAAATGTTGTAAGATAAAAGTTTTAATTGACGGAATCACACATAATTTATTTATTAAGAAAATTAGTATAACATAAAGGAAAATGATCACATTAATCTCCCGTCATAGGCATATAATTTGGTAATTCCCTCTTGTTTTTTTTAGTACAAACAATAATTAAATTAAAGGGGAATGGTTTCTTATACACACAATTGATATCATACAAATTTGAACACGAGACCTCTGGTTTGCAAGTTAAGGAGAAAAACTCTCATGTAACGAGGATAACACTTTTTGCTATCTCCAACCAATGACGAAATGACATGTAAGATAATTTTTATACATGTCATTGTATTATTGGCCGAATATAACAAAACAGTGTTATTCTCGTTACATGTAAATTTTTAGGCAAGTTAAGGTCTTTTTCCAAACAAGCAACAAAACAAGTGGATTAAAGCAAACCAAATGTATTCCACACGAACAAATGGGCCTCAGAACCCAGTTAGTAAATCTCGGACCTCCACAATAATGGCGTCTCTTCTCCCTTGCACTTATCTTTTTATTTTAATTATATTTTTTTAAGGGTCAAAATAACTTATTCTATTCATAGCACATCAGAGAAAGTATTTTACCAATCGATTATTTCCTGATGAAAAATAAGGAATAAAAAAGAAAAAGAAAAAAGTTTTTGGCTTATTTAATCAGTGGGAGAAAAATAGTTTAAAATGGCATTATTAAATAATACTAATTTTCTTACACGTTTTCGTGCGTGCGAGAAATTTTTTTAATTAAATAATATTATGATAATCAATTGCTACTAATTTCCGCAGTTCCGTTTAATGCCGACTTAGGCTTAGTAATTTATTTTCCTCCGTCCTTCTATATAAAAGAAATACCTGACTTCCGATTAGTCTCGTCCTCCACTATTTCTCCTCAATTTCCAGGGATTGGGTTTGGGGATTTTTCCTAGCTCTCAATTCTCAACCAACGTCACTCTCTCTACGATTAGGTTTTCTTCTTCATTTTTTTCCCAAATTCTTAGCGAAGGTACCATCTCCTCCCTTATAACTCCTTCTCATTGTTTGGAATATCATAAACTCATGCGCAGCCCTCTTGTTCTTGTTAGTCTGCTTCGATTTCAGGGTTTTCTCGTTCTCTTGTCTCTCTCATCTTCGTGTAATATTTGTTTCATGTTTATCTTTCGTATAGGATTTTGAGCTATTGTTTCTTCAATTATATTTGGTACTGCCCTTTGTAGTATACTTTGTTTTTCAGGGATCTGTTTTTTCATTGTTTTAAAAAAAGATTTTTCGCTTTTCTTCGTTCGCATTGTATTATGTTTTGTGCAGAATATAAATTCAAATCAATGGTTGATTGTTCATCATCTATCTAGGGTTTCTTGCTTTTTTTCGCTTTTATTAAGTTTTTAAAAATATTAAATATACATATGCATGTAGCCAGTTGTGGGTTTCTGAATTCGATTTCTGGGTAAACATCACGCATCCTTCAGTTATGTGCCTTTAGAATATTGTCCCTGTTCATTTGTTGTTACCTATTGGTAGTTGTTACGGACTCTGCGATTGTTATTCATTCGTCAATCATTTGTTATGACTATTGGGTGTTAATCTGGATTTGTTCCCAAATTAAAACACGCCTGTACCCAAACTCAAACCATGTGTTAACATTTGAATGATTTTCTTTCTGTGTTGATAGAATTATAGTTGGAGGATAGCAAATCCTTTATTGCACGACAATGGAACGGAAAATTATTGAGTTGGATCAAGGATGGGACTATATGCAGAAGGGGATCACGAAGCTAAAGAAGATCCTAGAGGGAATACCAGAGCCTCAGTTCAACTCAGAGGAATATATGATGCTTTACACGTATCCTTCTGTTATTTTACATGTGTTATTCAAATACTATTGTCGTGTATGTGTGTGTTCCTTCTTTTATTTGCTCCGTTATGGTTGTGTGCTATGAGGTGACCTTTCCTTAATTAAGTACAGAACTATCTACAACATGTGTACCCAAAAGCCCCCGAACGATTATTCTCAGCAGCTTTATGACAAATATCGAGAGGCATTTGAGGAATACATTACTTCAACGGTGAGGATTGAGGAACATCGTGATATGTTTACTTATGGTTTCTATGTCTTATATCAGTTACTCAAGTGATGTGGTTTCATTTACTTTCTGAACTTACAAAGAATCATATTCTTATTTGGTTGTTCATCCATTAGGTGTTGCCCTCTCTAAGAGAGAAGCATGATGAGTTTATGCTGCGGGAGCTTGTCAAAAGATGGGCTAATCATAAAGTTATGGTTAGGTGGCTGTCACGTTTCTTTCATTATCTCGATCGCTACTTCATTGCAAGGAGGTCACTTCCTGCTCTAAATGAAGTTGGACTCACCTGCTTCCGTGATTTGGTTAGTTATTGCACTCTTTTATATGCTTCTGCCTATTTTATGCAAAAAACCTTACACCCTTTTATATGCTTGCCGCTTGTCCAAAGTTTTCTGTAATGATGTCTGATATAAATCTGTAATCGCAGGTTTATCGGGAGGTCAATGCTAATGCCAGAGTTGCTGTTATTGGTCTTGTAAGTTTATCGGTTCCTGATCATGTATTGCGAGAAGTATGCATATGTATGTATCCTGTCCATGATGATCGCAGTAGCGGCTGTATATAACCAATACTTTTTAACCAGATTGATAAAGAACGCGAGGGAGAGCAGATCGATAGAGCACTGTTGAAGAATGTGATTGACATATTTGTTGAGATTGGGATGGGACAAATGGAAGCTTATGAAGGGGACTTTGAAGCATACATGCTAGGAGATAGTGGTGAATACTATTCTCGTAAAGCATCAAATTGGATTTTGGAGGATTCTTGTCCCGATTACATGCTGAAGGTAAGTGTATGATTTAGATATGCTTATGGGTGTGGTGTGGCTTATCAGGTAAGTTCATGTCTAAATCTCTTGTGGAATTGTACAGGCAGAGGAATGCTTGAAAAGGGAGAAGGAAAGAGTTTCTCATTACCTTCATTCAAGTAGTGAACAGAAGCTGGTGGAGGTTAGTTAATGTGTAATCAGATAGCAGAGAGTACTTAATATATATGTATGTATATATGTATATAGAGTGGTAATGGGCGGTAGCTGTAATTTGGGAAAGATTTGTTACATTTATAGATACGAGAGAGAGATAGAGAGTGTGTGTGTGAGGTTTGTTTTGCAAGTTGTTGTGCTAGTGGGTGGTAGCTCTGGTGCCTATATTGTAGTAGGATCTCAAAGGAGCTTTTAGTTTGTTACCTAAGGAGTTCATTAAGGTATTAAATCAGCTGTACCACTCCAAAAGTAAGGTGTGTGATTCAGCGTGCAGACCAATATTTAGCTTGAATCATACTTCTGTTTGCAATCATTGATTACAGGAATTCCAAGAATAATAATTGAACATTGATTAATATGTGAAGCTTTTAGAGACGAGTTAGCACTGATGCATTAGGAATATATGAGGAAGTACCTATCTACCAAATCTATCAGCACTCATGTAACATGGGATGTGGTGTGGCGTACATTGATGCATTGTTAGGAATAGATAAAGTGCCTTTTAATTTCTGTCATGCTACATTGAAAGTGGAATTATTTTAGTGGAATTATTTGCCTAATCCTGTGAGCCTGCTTCTATGATTGAAAGTGCAGCATAAAAAGTTCTGGTTTGATATTGTTGCACTACTTTTAATTTTATATGTTATCTTATATTGTGATATTCCCTGTAGAAAGTGCAACATGAGTTGTTGGTGGTTTATGCAACTCAACTGCTTGATAAGGAGCATTCTGGATGTCGTGCTTTGCTTAGAGATGATAAGGTATTTTGTCGCCTTGCAGGTTATGATCTTTTTATCCAGTCATTCTTGTAATGCATTTCTAAGGCTGCCTACTTATTTATGTCAGGTGGAAGATCTTTCTAGGATATATAGACTTTACAACAAAATACCTAAAGGGTTGGAACCTGTTAGTAGTGTATTCAAACAGGTTAGTTAGTTTTATGTGCATCTTCTATTTCTGACCTCTGTGAGCTGTTTCTTTATTACAACAGTACTAATATCACTGATGGTTTGCAGCATGTTACTGCTGAAGGTACAGCCTTGGTCCAGCAGGCTGAAGATGTTGCAAGTAACCAGGTTCAGTCTCTTGTTGTGTTTATCCTGGAAGTGATATATTAGCTAGTTTGTTGGTGTAATTGCTGCTTTAAATTATATGTTGTGTTCTGTTATTTGATTCATCCTGCTTACAACTCTGTATGCATGTTGGAGTGTAAATTGTGTGGATTTTGTGTGTTAATTCGACACGTCTAATGGGCGCCTTTGAAATCATTGGTCCCATGTTAGAATTCTGGCTACTTAATAGGAGGGTGCAAACATTCTTTGTGATTAATTTAATAGTTTGGTATTCTGCACAAACACATATAAAATATGCTTCAGTGATGATGTGTGTTTTCATGAAATAATCACAATCCACAATTTTATTAGTGATGCCCAACTAAATCAAATGGATTTTGAGGTTATTGTGATGGTTGCTTCATGCACAGTTAATCACTTATGTTCGAGTTTTGTTTCAAAGGCTTATTAACTTCAAATCGACATGGCTATAGGAGCTGATTCATGTATATAATTTTTAATTTTATATGCTCTATTATATTTGATTAAATGATACAGTAATTTCATCTTAGAGAAGAGAAAAAAAAGTGACCTAGTAAGGAGATGATTGTTTAATTGGACTTTTGTCATTTTTGGCCCGTCAGTATATTCTTTTTTTTCTTCTTTTTGTTAAACAGTTCTTGATTATGTGTGATGGTGTGTGATTATGTTGTTAGCATGGGTTCATGCTTGAGCTAATTGTTTATCCTGCTTTTTATTATTATGATGCTAAGTGGTATCAACAATGCTTCTGCAGGCTTCAAGTGGAGCTGGCACACAGGAACAGGTACATTATTCAATTATTATATTTAAGAATTTTAGAAGTGATTGGAAGTCCATGATTGACTTAAGTTTGTGGTCTTCAGGTCCTTGTCAGAAAAATAATTGAGCTGCATGACAAGTATATGGCATATGTCACCGATTGCTTTTTAAACCACACTCTCTTTCACAAGGTTGGTGCTGTAGTTACTGGTCATTTACATTTGATCTTATTACTTAGTCTAAAAGGCCCTCTTCATTTGTTTGCATCATAGGCTCTGAAAGAGGCTTTCGAGGTATTTTGCAATAAAGCTGTTTCTGGGAGTTCAAGTGCTGAATTACTTGCTGGATTCTGTGATAATATCCTCAAGAAGGGTGGGAGTGAGAAGTTGAGTGACGAGGCCATTGAAGAAACACTTGAGAAGGTATTATTCTTTGGGTATTTTCTTATTATGGTTTTCATTTGTTGCTGATGTTATGTTTGGATTCTTGCAGAATTCAGTTGGTTTTTCAATTAATCTTACGGTTGTCATTGAATTTTTCCAGGTAGTTAAGCTACTTGCTTATATCAGTGACAAGGATCTTTTTGCAGAATTCTACAGGTAGAACATTGTTTCTCAATTTGGGGGGGATTCGGTTTCATGTGTCACTGACAAGTTCAATTCTAGTTAGACCACTTGCCTGTTAGTGTTTTAATAAGGCACTTGACATGTCAAAATAGTACAAAGTCTTAGGTCATGCAAGCAAGTGCCACAATCATATTGGCCATTGAATTTACATCCTATGACTTACAAAATGGTAGATACCTTATTAAAATGCTTTACCGGCAAGTGTCTAGCACTCCCATATATGTGTGTGTGTGTATGTAATTGCAAGTCATAAACGAATATATTATTTTTTATTCACAGAAAAAAACTTGCCCGTCGGCTACTTTTTGATCGGAGTGCCAACGAGGACCATGAAAAAAGTATTCTGACCAAGCTTAAGCAGCAATGTGGTGGACAGTTCACCTCAAAAATGGAGGGAATGGTGAGTTGACCTGTTTTTCTCTGGGTGTCTTTCTGTATGTTACTCTTGTGGTAGGAGATTAAATTTGGCGTTGGATTTTTCTTGCAGGTCACTGATTTGACATTAGCTCGGGACAATCAGGCCAACTTTGAGGAATATCTTCACAATAACCCTGACGTAAATCCTGGGATGGACTTAACAGTCACTGTGCTTACAACTGGTTACTGGCCAAGTTATAAATCGTTTGATCTGAACCTTCCTGAAGAGATGGTAACATATGCGTCCATATTTAGTTTGTTTAAGATTTCCCTAGCAAATATAGCTTATGCTTGAAAATTTTAAATGTTGGCTAAGGAATTTGTTGTATGTGTTCATTTCAGGTGAAGTGTGTTGAAGTTTTCAAGGGATTCTATGAAACAAAAACGAAGCACAGAAAACTTACATGGATTTACTCATTGGGAACTTGCAATGTTAATGGCAAGTTTGAACCCAAAAACATTGAACTGGTCGTGTCAACGTATCAGGTAGCTTAGTAGGCAGTATTATGGTTCACTTGTTGAGTCTTGGCACAATGTCTCCTTTCCAAGATGTTTTCTAGTACGGGGACTTTACATTTCTTTGCCGCCTTTTACAGGCTGCTCTCCTGCTTCTCTTCAATACTGCTGATAAATTGAACTATTCAGAGATATTGACTCAGTTGAACCTTACCCATGATGACTTGGTTAGATTACTTCATTCGCTGTCATGTGCCAAGTACAAGATCCTCATTAAGGAGCCAAATACAAAGACTATCTCTCCAACTGACAGCTTTGAATTCAACTCTAAGTTCACAGACAGAATGAGAAGAATTAAGGTCTGAGATCCCTCTATACTTTTTTCACTTCAATTTTAGATTAGGATTTGAGGATTCATACCTCTGACAATTTTTTTTCTTTTTAAATTTTAAATCCTTAGATTCCTCTCCCACCAGTGGATGAAAGGAAGAAGGTAATTGAAGATGTTGACAAAGACAGGCGATATGCTATTGATGCTGCAATTGTGAGGATTATGAAGAGTCGGAAAGTTTTGGGTCATCAACAATTAGTCATGGAGTGTGTTGAGCAGTTGGGACGTATGTTCAAGGTATTAAATTGAGCTTTTAAATTCAGGAGAATGGTGTCATATATGGTTTAATAATAATTAACTTGAAGTTCAAGATTTCAGTCAATAGTCCTTGTTAGAGGTCATGGCTAATTTAGCCAAAAGAATAAAATGGAAGTCTCTCATATCCGTATAAATAGTTTTTGTGTGATTTCTTGTTCCAAATAATTCTCTCTAACATGGTTATGGTTGAATTATGTGCAGCCTGACATCAAAGCAATTAAGAAGCGCATTGAAGATCTCATCACCCGTGACTACCTGGAGAGGGACAAGGAAAACCCTAACATGTTCAAGTATCTTGCATGAATGATCTGAGTGTCGGAGTTTTCATTTTACTTGGGATATGGTGGTGGAGGTACAATTGATGCCCTGAAGTACAGGAACATGAAGAATATTGTAGTTTCTTTGGAGTTGGGATCTGCTGTAAATTATGTGCAGCTCTTTTAGAGAATTCTAGGATTTTGAAAAGGAGTGGAGAATTTTTTGTGCAATTCTTCGCTATTAAAAGCCAGTTTTGTGCAATTCACCCATATATCCATCCATATATGGGAATGTTGATAAAATTTGTTGTCGCTCTTACTCGATAATGTTCTGTTTTATGCTTTTCTAAACGCAGCAGCCCCCTTTCTTTATAAGGATGATATCATGATAGTTGTCCGAGTCGTTGAGTTTGAGATTGCCGGCGACTATTTTGGATAAAGATTCAACAAACAACTTGAAAAGTTTTCAACTTTGAGATAGATTGCAAAGTTTGATTGCTGTTGGACTCGCTGTGTATCTGTTTTTGGGAATTTTAAGCTTCAAATAGAAATTTTAATTTTATCAAACTTTAATCAATGTGATTTATTAGCGTGTTACATTATTCTGAGTAAGAACAAAAGCAAAACGTGTCAAAATTAAATCGCATAGGCTAATGTTCTGTTTATGCTAATGAATTTTCGCACTCCGGTGTTTGGAAAATGAATTTACACAATCCAGGGTATCAAAAATGAATAATCCCATTTTGGGGTTTTACAAATGAATTTTCACATTTGTGGCTTTTGTTAATGAATTGTCTCCTTTTGGGATTTCGTTAATGAATTTTTGCATTTTGGAGTTTCAAAAATTAATTTTTTGCCTTTCGGGTTGTAGCGAAACTCAAAGATGTGAAAATTCATTAGCGAAATTCAAAACAATTTATTAACGAAACCTCAAAATGACTAATACCATTTAGAAACCAAAAATAGAAAAATTCATTTGCAAAAGCCCCAAATGCGAAAAATTCATGTGCAGAACCCCAAAATTTGAAACTTCACTAACGAAACCCCAAGATGCCACAACTCATTAGTGAAAACCAAAAATGTGAAAATTTATTCATGAAACCCCAAAAAAATCGAAAATTCATTTTCACAACCTCAAATGCAAAAAGTCATTTGCAAAACTCCGAAATGCAAAAATTCATTTGGGAAACCCCAAAATGTGAAAATTCATTAATGAAACCCTAGAGTGCAGCAATTCATTAGTGAAACCCTAAATTGTGTAAATTCATTTGGGAAACCTTGAAATGCAAAAATTCATTGACAAAACCCCAAAATGTGTAGATTTATGTGAAGCCCCAAAATACGAAAAGTATTTAGTGGAACCCTAAAATGCGAAAATTCATTGACGAATTTCATTTACGAAACCCCAAAATGCGACAAATTCATTAGCGAAACCCAAAATACCAAAATTCATTCTTGATACCACGAAATGTGAAAATTCATTAGCGAAACCACAAAATTAGAAAATTCATGTGAAGCTCCAAAATGCGAATATCACTTGGCGAAACCCAAAATGTGAAAATTCATTTGTGAAACCCAAAAATGTGAAAAATTATTCATGAAACTATGAAACACAAAAATTCATTAGCTAAACCCCAAAATACGAAAATTCATTAGGGAAACCTCAAAATGCAAAAAATGCATTCGCAAAACACCAAAAAGGGAAAATTCATTTTCAGAACCCCCAAGTTTTGTAAAACTCCAAAATTTTATAGTGGATTCAAAATGTGAAATTTCATTCTTGAAACCATATAGACAAAAATTCATTCATAAAACCCTAACATGTAAAAATTCATTTATGTAATCTTAAAATGTGAAAAATTCATTCTCATAGCCCCGGAATGCGAAAATTGAATAGCAAAACTCATATCTCTGACACATAACATGCAATAAGGATTATCATTTATTTAAAAAAAAATTAGGCGTTGGATTATACTGGATTACACCAGATCATATTAAATTCTACTGGAAATTTTGCATTTTTTTGGATGGATTGGAGGTGAGTCAGTTGAATTAATTAATTTTTTTTAAATTTTTTTTTTTTTTTTTTTTTTTTTTTTTTTATACGTCAAGAGAAATGGATTTTGGAGTTGGGTTCTACATTTCTGTGGTGGATTTCGAGATTGTTGAGTAGTCCAAAATGAGTGATTAACGACACTGCTTCCCTCCTATAGGAGGCATTCTTACTTCTTGTAAATCAAAGCTCAATATATATGCAAAAATAATTCATCAAAAACACAAAAAGAAAAATCTCTACACACATGTGAAATTATGATTGGCAGAAAAATAGGAGTTTCTAGTTCCAGGGAGGAGGCAAATATTTTCTAGTGAATAATACCATCTTAACTTATTGGTTGAATTCCATTTTCGCCCAAAAAATAATAATAATAATAATAATAATTGGTTAAGGCTTAATTTATTAGTGTTTGTGTCTGTATTGTATAATTTGTATCGAGTATTAAAGATAAACTTGAATATTTGACAGAAGGTTGAGTTTGAAACTTGACGTAACACACGCATCTCTGGCCATCAATGTCGTCACTTGAAACAATCGAAAGCTTTATTAATAAAACCCGGATAATTACAATCGCTATGGGTAATCAAGAATAAATAATTCAAAAATTTATTGTCTAAACCTATAATAAATGTTATCTGTATGGGTAATCAATCAACCGTTTAGTGACTAGTTCATAATTGGGATAGAAACTACACTACACACCCACATCGGGGAAAACTGAAAAAAGGAGAATATCACATCAAACTCAGCGAGAGCTGCCGTAGCCGCAACTATCCCCGTTGCTCAGCCTGCAAGCAGAGACCCTGTTCAGTTAGCAACTTATCAACCAATCTCCTAAAATTAAAAAGTACAGGGTAAAACAATATAGAACAGTGGGAGGGTTATGTATGAACCATTTATACAAGTATACAACGTTCCATCATTACTTTCTTTCTGCACAAGATTAAGAAGGAAGTTTGCAAATAAACCAATATTATATCTTAAAATTCAATTTACAACTAAGGATGATCATGTGCATACACAATATTTAGCCCTTAGAAAGAATGTTTAATTTTCAAGTTGCAGGATGATAGATTTATTGATGCTTTTCTTATTATTTATTTACTATCTTCTCCATCCCTCCTCTCATGCTCGGCAATTGTAATTTCAATTAATTTCTAGACACATGCTTCTAATTTGAGAGACTCACACCTTACAAGTACATAAATTGATCTGAAGTCGGCGAATAAATAAACATTGCCAAATCGTTACAACCTTACCTGTTTGATCTGAAGGACTGACCTAATAATATCCAATCATCCCCTTCTCTTTACAGACGGAAACACATGCAGAATCTTCAATAATCTCGATTCAATGATTTGTATATATACATAATCTCCACTGGCAGGAGAAAGTAAAAACACAGAGAAATCGTTAGAGATGAAGGCACATAGAATGAAGCAGCGAATTTTCGCAACAATTACAGCTACACAAACCTTTGAGGAAAGAAACTCAGGCAAGTGCAGCAATGTGAGCTCATGCATCGCAGTGATAATAATTTTCTGACAATATATTCTTCTGGTTTCATCTCTATTAACGCAAAGAGGATAATTATCCTAACTACAACAAAGGTGACGAAGACAACCTGCACATATAACCAAATTAAATTCAGACAGAAATAAATGCAAATATTTTTTATTTTTTTTTACAAAAGGAATTTTTGGTAACTAAAAAGAAAACAAAGACAAATAAAATAAAAGTTGAGGGGGAAAATAGAGGGTATCTATTAAAGAAACAGCATACCTACGATTTTCATCTTTTTCCACTCTCTCTCATAGTGTTGGTGTGGTCTCAATCTGTAAACTGTAAGACAGCTTGTGCACATACTGGAAGCTGCCATTCACAGGTTGTCTCCATATGATGCAAGATAACGACTTATCAAGATACGTTAACAGTCTGAAGAAAAAAGACGCCCCAAAGTTGTACTTTCGTGTTTTGGAACTTAAAACAAACCCCTTAATTGTTTTTAGAACCAACGTTCTCCTTATATACAACTATTATGTCTTCCATCACATTGCTGATGAAGCATATCCACCTTCAGAAGTTGCTCAGAATCTTCTCAGCAGAGCCTTAATCAATGATTGTTCACAACACCTCAAAATGAATATTGATTATTGAGATCAGAATAACCTCTTTGGTCCCTGTCTCTGCTAGAAAGCAGATTTTAGGACCACATAAACTAAAACGAATAGGAGTTTATCTGTATTTCAAACAGGAACGGAATCCACCAGTCCCCCGACAGAAGTTCCAAGCAGTTCAGCGGAAGTATCAAGGTCAGCCTCTTTTTCCTCCCTCCTTAAGGCATGAGACAAAAGATTCACAGACCTTCCTAGGGTTGAAGTCATCCCACAACCTCTTGGACTCTTTCAACGGCTAATGGCATCCATCGCGAGCCGCACCAAACGTAGTAATCCCTCCACATCATGGAAGTTGAAATCAAGAGCCCTTTTAATGGAAGAGATGCCTTCTGAACGATTAGCGTCTCCCACGTTTGTATTAGCAGCTGCAAAAGCAATCCGTGATTTTCTTGATGCTTCCATTGCAAAATTTACGTCCTGAGCCTGCAATTCATCATATTTGATCATGTATTGTTCATTCGCCGTCCAATATACAGGTATAGCAATTGAATCATGTGGCAATGTATGACAATAGGATGCAAGACTCAGAGAGAGAGAGAGAGAGAGAGAATTTAATTCCCCTTGATAAGTTGGTAAAACATTATATGTTTGTTGTGCTTGAGGCATATAACAGAAAGGCATGCAGTGGCCGATATCCACACTTCTCTTATGGTAGACATGTGAAAGGAGAATACCCTTTTTTAGATAAATTGGTAGTCAACTCGTGTTCATGACCTTCTTTGACCATGTTATATGTGCTAAAGATGTAAAGAAATATTTTGATAAAGATTTGTGCATTAGTATAAGAGTAACAAATTAAAGCTTCAATAGAAGATTTATATATACTTACAAAATTGAGCATCCTGAGAAAATTGGGACGGTTTCGGGCAGCAATAACATGGTTTCCAGCAACTTGGGGAGAGCTAACACCCTTGGGTAAGGCAACCTTGTCTACCGTTGAGGGGTTGTTCAAGTTATCAACATCAGAGGCAGAGGAAGAAGGAGATTCACCTGATAGAAAAGCAACAAGGACATCAAATATGCAGCAACTCAAACAAGGTTATTAAGAGCCTTGCATATCCTTTAGCACCAAAAAAAATAGCTCAGTTATGACGCTTGTCAATTTACCAGGAGGAACCAGTTGTAAAGCCGTTTGCAACTCAAGACGATCTCTGCTTGCACTGGCATGTGAGATATATATCACCTTCATATAAGCCACCTCCATGCATTTGTAGGCCAAAGCAGCAGCAGCCATATCCTTGGCTTTCTCGTATTCATGAGCACAAAACCTACAAGATAATTCAAATTAATAAGGAAAAGCATAAAAAGAGGCATGGAAGCTCCATAGTCCATTAGAGTATAAAATCTGCAAGAAATGGCTCCTATTCATGCTACGACGGTAAATACCAATACCTATTCTAATGACCAAATATAGACAGTCGATCATGAAGCACAATGATTTACCTACTATGGTCCAAAAGCATATAGCTATGCGCAAAGACAGATGAGACCACTTCACTAAGTATGAGAATATTGTAAAAATTACTGCTTATGTCTTGAAAACTAACCCTACCCCAAAAGTACAGTCTCTGTCAACCCTCCCCACCCAATACAAAAAGGCTTACATGAGGGTAAAAACCTCAAAATACAACTGAAATTAGAATTAATACCTAAAATTTCACAAGTCTATTTATGGGTCCTAATCTAACACTTGCAGGGTTCCATCAAGGGTAGGCAGAGACTTGCATGCAAGGTGTACACGTCAAACGGGTATGAATCACTAAGACCCAAAATCAGTGCATGTCCCACAAGAACAGTGTTTATAACGCTTAAAGGTTGACTTACTCCCATAGTTTTCCAGTGCTACTATACATTTGCATGCTCTCATTATGCTTGGCGCCCTCACTGTTAGTCAATTCCAACTGAGATGCTGCATGAAGAAATTTGACAGCTGCCTCGAAGTAAAGACCCGTACTTTCAGATGACCCAGAGTTCTGCAAAAATTGGTGTTACACATTATTATCACATTAAGGAGAACATAAACATCTAATCATGAAAATATGATAGGTTAAAACCTTGAGACGATCAGCAAGGTGTTTTAAATCTTTAGCTTCTTTCACAGCATTTGTAACAGCCTGGCTGCTGGAGTCCCTTCTGACTGGACTAGGGGCATCAAGACTGGCCCTGTGCCCATTCTGTGTAAGATGTCTTGAACTGATATGCTGAGTTCCATTCTGATTATCAGCCTTTCTGGTCTGTACTTGCACCTTCACAGCATTATTACCTTCAGAGGCATCAACTTGTATACTATCTGCTCCATTGCTTTTGTGAGAACCAGAAGCTGGTCGGGGGCAACGAGTTGTCATCTCATTTTGAGCTCCTCCGGAGGGTGGCAACGGTAGTGACTTCCCCCTAATTGAGCCTGTATCCACTCGATCGGTTTTTTCTGAAGGAATCCTCCTTGAAGGCCTTTCACTATCACAGTCTTGCAGCGAATGCTGCTTGAGAGTAGAAATTGCATCTTTTTTGCAAATAGCATCTAGTCTAACATCTGGGCCATCATTACCCCTTAAATTTGACTGACTCTCCCTTTTACTACTCTCATTGGAGGGTTTTCCAGTAAAACCTTTCTTGCCGACATTTTTGTTCTCAGTTTCACCAGACTTGAGCCCAAATTTCTCCTGCAACTTGTTTTTACCATCCCTTGGTTTTATTCCATGGGACGGTGAATGATCTTGCAGTTCATTGAAAACATTAGAATTCTTGCCCTCACCCATATCCAAATCAGACTCAAAGCTCCCTCCATTCTTGTCCTTCGACCGTGAAGAAGAGAAATCCTTCCCTGACTTTCTTGGGCGAGAACCATTACCATGATAATGGTTGCCATTATCTCTGTCTTCACCACCAAATTGATTTGAAGCCAATGGTTTACTAGGGAACCGAGTATCTTGGCCTGAATTACCATTAACAGAAAGACCATTTGTGATATCAGGCGATGGGACAACCAGTCCTCTAGCTTTACCACCAGATATGTGATTAGAATCTCTGTCCTGAAAATCAAGCACAGAAGAATCAAGGGACCCATGATTAGCCAGTGTGGAAAATTTGTCCCTCCTTGCTGTCCCAGATCGATCACTCCCACCATCATCTTCACCATCCGAGCATCTTCTTGGGCTACCTATTGCAAAATGACCAGCATCTTGTGCCTCATCCTTTCCCATGAGGTCCCTGTGTACTGATGTAAGCTTTTCAGGATTCAAGATTCTCATAGGTGATGATGAAACAGATTCTACGGGTGAACCTTTAACTTCCTGAAAGCTGGATTTGGTTTTCTGGGAACCAGAAACTTTGGAAGAGCTTGAAGTGGCAGCCATAGGAACCTGTACAGATCCCAAATCTTTTTTCGAAGAATCCGTACCATTCCTACTCCGGTGAGTTAGACCACTACTTATATCTTTTCTAAGTTGTTGATTCTTTGTATGGCTGTTTTTTTTGTCTGTTCTACCACTTCCTTTGCTTGCACTAGACTCTTTCCCGTCAGATCTAGATACCCTTGCCTTCTTTTCCTTCCTGTAGTCATTCTCACTAAACTCCTCCTTTGCAACGACTGAACGATCCTGCACATAGCTCCCTGTAGCAGGAATGGAACCCATATGAATTTGAGTATCGGGGAATTCCTTCACTTTTCTCTTTTTTGATCTACCTTTAGAATCACAAGTTCCCGTATCTAAGGATCGATTATCTAAAACTTCATCTTTTGCTTTTGTAATTGCCTGTGGCCTATTCTTAATTTGATCCTTCCCTGCTGCAGCAGTCCGAAAACCACTACTTGAGCTAGGACCTACCTCCCCAACTGCCACACTGTAGTCTGACGCCCATTCTTCATCTGTAATACGCTTAACTTCAGTCTTGATTTTCTTGGAAGCTCTAGAAGAATCTGGATCGGAGTCTCTTCTGCTCTTGATCTTTAAATTCATGATATCACCTGTTTCTGTTTTAACATGCTTTATTAATAAGTAAATAGCATTCAACATATTAAGGAAGTCTTCCAAGCACAAAAAATCACTGCTTCATATACGTACCTCCATTGGTAGAGGGCTCTAAAACTTTATGCTTCTCTTTGTACTTATGCTTTCGTTTCTCCACTGCCATGTCACTGGATTTGCTTAGCTGCTGCAAATCTAATTCACTTAGCAATGGAGACTGGTTCACGTCATTCAAGCTTCTACTCTTCACTGATGCCTGTAAGTTTTTCTTCATGGAGTTTGGCAACTGAACGGAACCATCTCTATTAGATGCATTTGACAATTCTTTTGGTCCATTTTTTTTCTTTCCGCCACTAGGCATGGCATGCAAACCAAAACTTTCGAGGTTTTGGTCAGGGTTCCAAGACTTAGGCAATGCCTCTCCTTCCATAAACCCACCAGGATTTCTGGGCACATTATTTTGGCTCTCAGGGGCAGGAACTTGGCACTGCGCAATTAGAGCTTTCGTTTTTTCTGTTGTTTCCTCCTCACTTACACTACACCGATTCATCCCAGGCCTGCATTTGAATCAAGACATCAAGCTTCAGAGAGAGAGAGAGAGAGATTGGAACAAACAGTCACTAACAATTTCTAAACTGACATATATCAAAATACCACTCCAGGTTTTGTCGATATACCTTGTAATGCAATGAAAATAGCTAAAGAATAGAAAATGCCTACTAGAAAGTAACTTACAGCCAATTAAGCATGCTACACAGCCACTTTTCAGGTAGGTTGTCCGGGTTTGTACCATGTGGAAGAAGCCGCCATTTCTGACACTTGTCACAACATACCCAATTATCTTCTATGAGTGCAGGAGCCCCTGCAGCAGGAGTTGCAGCAAAAATTGGTCCATTTCCAAAGCGTGGGGCTATATTTGAAGCTGAAGTTAATGGTTTATCGATTTTCTTGCCACTTGGTCTCTCCCTTGATCCACTGTTAACTGCAGATGTGCTTTTTGCAACAGTATCGGAGTCCTTAAGCTTATCTTCAGAAGGAAACTCAAATAATTCCATTTGGTTCCCGTCATCAGTATCCCCAAATAAACCTCTGTCTGTATCCCTGATTTTATCAATATCTTTACATAGTTTGAAGTTTTCTGGATCAGTATTAGAATTGTTCACATGAGTGCTCTTCATTTTGGGACCTGAAGAGGAACCAACCCTCGAGCTTTCTTTTGGCAACTCTGCAACCAGGGTCCTGTGACCTTCCTTCGATTTCTTTTTCTCTGCAGGTAATGGATACTCCTTCCCAGAAACTAGTCTCGTATCATCTACCTCATGGGATGTGGCCCTCTGATTGACCTTCTGCTTTGAATGGTCCATGACTTCAGTATTTAAAGCTTTCCTCCCTTTAGAAACATTTAAGTCACCTTTCACTGATTCATAAGTTTTCTCTCGTCTACAAGGGCCCTCTTTCTTTGGATGAACCAAAACATCATCGCTGGAACTTACTTTTCTATCTTCCTGAACCTTTCCAGCCAAAATGGATTTTCGCTTTTCAACCCAGGCATCCTCTTGGTTGGACATTGGGTCCATTGATTCATCTTCTACTTGACCATCCTTCAATAAATATTTCTTATCCAGTTCTTTGCTCCTTATCACGTCATTGACAGTAGCAAATGAATTGGATAGAAGTGGGAGCTGCAAGGTTTTAGAAACAAGCTCCTCACAAGCAAACGCGTCCACATCATGTTCCTTCTTTGACAGGAGCCCAATTCCATCCTTATTATTCCCATTCTTTGATTCTGCTGAAAAATCATTTCTTTCAGCAGATTTTGTTTTCCTCTGCCCTGACAATTTCCCACCACCCTCCATGGTATGAGTTCCATTCACTAGGGAGCCAGACGTTTCCCAGCTATCCCTTGGACGAGTCACAGATCTACCCTCTTTTAGGAGCTTTTCCTTTTCAGTTAAGTAAATTAGGTCGTCAGGAAGAGGTGACATCATACCCTCGTCCACCGGAAAGGATGTCATAATCTACTCCAGAGCACGATGAAAAGAAATGTTTCAGTTTAAGCACATTAAGTTCAAATACAGAAAACATCTGAATGTCACAGGGAGATGATTCACCTGAAGAATACTGGTGGGAGATTCAAATAGGGCATCCTGAGGCTCATGAGATATTCCTTCACTATCGGAAGGGCTATCATCTAGCGAGGAAGACGGTGTGCCATCAAGGCCAAGCCCGCTGTAGATAGCATTTTTTCGTGTCGACAAGTTATCCGATCCCACTTTAATTCGCACCTTCAGTGTTTTCTGGTCTGATAAACTAATAGCTTTCTTGTTTGCAGATTCATGTCGAGGAGCATACTGGTCAGCTAGATCTAATGACATGCTTCCTTCTTGTTTGACTGGATCGTTCGCTGATGGCACCTTTGGTGCAACCAGCGAAGTGGAACCCGTTGAAGCAGGCCCAAGCCCCACTGACTGAGGCGTAGTATGACAAACTACATTGTTACGTTGACCACCCTGTGCAGTAAAATAATCAAAGATGATTGAGAATTGTCAAATAAACCAATAAACGACGTTGGTTCCTCTGTACAGGATTAGACATAAATCAGAAAAAAATAAAAATGAAAATAAAAGCTGATAGAATTGATACCTCAAGTTTCACGTTGTAAGGGGATTTGGGTAAGCTGTAGTTGTGAACTTTTGGTGGAGTCCTCGAATGGGACCACACTGGAGACCGCTGATAGGAAGGTAAAAATGAGCCATACCCACCAAACTTTGCCCCTGTTGCAATGTATTGATCGCCAATTCATTACTTAAAGGAGAGGAACTTCAAAGTAATGAATCTCTTAAGCACAAGAGAAAGTGTGATTCCTTTCTATTGACTTACCCAAATTTTCTGCAGAAACCCCACCTTCAAAATCTTTCTGAAACTGTCCCAAAACATCTTGAATCCTATCATCCTATTACCAGACAGAGCAGTACGAGTCATTAAAATGACAAGCTCATATAAAGAGACAAAAAGTGGTAACAAGGGCTAGAAAATATTTAGGCATCTTTAAGATTTAAGATACTACATTGTAGACCTACCAACTATTAATACCCTAAACACTTCACGACCCTACAACACTTACGCAGAAACTCAACACCCAGTTTCAAATTCCGAAAGATCATGCATTGCACTTGAAGTTATCGTAGATAAATCCACCTAACTTGATTTATAACATTCAAATTTCACAACCGCACTAACTCATAACTAGACAGGAGGGCAACATAGATCTAAAGACTCCAAACCTGAATAGAACTCAAGGCACATTATATGCCATAATAAACTGTTACCATAATCAGAAAGTTCTGCATAGAAAACAATTATTCGAATGAACCAATCCCTCAAAACAGCATTGCCATGCCCTACCATAAGCCAAAGAGGGATACTACCTTGCATTACAAAGTGGACAACTATGATATGTTAATGTCGCAATTACATTACAATAAGCATGAGCTAAGTAACGAAGTCCTAAACTACAGTTTCTGCTCCCTATAAACAATTATGAAGTCCTAAACTACAGTTTATACGATATAATTTAAGAAAAGTATTTATATCATTCAGTGCCCTTAAAGTTTTAACACAATCAAAGTAAAATTCAAATTCAATCAAACTCCGAAGCTTGGATCTAAGACATCAATACAAGTCAACCCGAAAAATTCAAAGCAATTCAAAACCAATATTCATGTTAGGATCAAGCTTGTATGCAACAAAAAGTACACATACACACATGTATATTCATATCTACACGTATTATGTTATATGCTTACGATGTAAGAGAGAGCAACATCAGGGTCGATGTTGGGATCGTATTCATTGATATGGGAAGAACAAGCTTCGCCTTCTTCAAGCTCAGTATCCTCCATCTCTCTCCCACCACCAAACCCTAACCCTAGCTCCTTCCTCGCATCCCTAGTCCCCACAGAAATCATCCACGCAACCCCAACCCTTCAAAGCCTTCAATTTCTAATCAAAACCCGAAACTCTCTACGACCCATTCAACAGAATTCTCCTAATCAATCAAATTCAGACCCGATCACACAAACACCCCAAAAATCAATATCCTAACCCCAAATTCACAACCACCGAATTATTCCAAATTAAAACGAATAAAAAAAACTAATTGGTTTCTGAAAACCACGAATTTGACCACAACAATCTTGTGCGTGAAACTTCTTTGGAGACACTTTCTGCGTGCAAATTCTATAGGAGTTGAAATTGATTCAGCAGAACTCCCTCTCTCTCTCTCTCTCTTCTCTCTCTCTCTCTCTCTCTCTCTGTGGGTTTTGGTGTATACAGCAGCCGGTCTTTTTTTCAATTTTTCTTTTCTTTTCTGGTTTTTTTTTCTTTCTCTTGAAGCAAAATAGTTAATTATTTATATATTTTAGGTGGCCACATAGAATTAGGAAAGAACCGGGATCTAACCAGAGAGGAGAGACGATGGAGAAAAAAAGGTCAGATTCACCGTTTACATTCCCGGTAACATACTTTCCTTTATTAGAGTTTCAGCCCACTATTTCATGTTTTTTTATGTCCTGATAGCACCTGGATTTCCAATGTCAGACGCAATCGGATGCGCGTGGCGACACGCTTCACCCTGTTTGACTCTTGAGAAAAGCAAGAATGTAAAAATTGTGGTGGTGGTGGCTTCTAAGTTGTTCTAACATAAACACAATATAAACAATTAAACCATCAAAAATTTATGCTCAAGAGCATGTATTAACATATGTGCCATTTTCTTTTACACACGTGACTTTTGTGATATTATGATTACAGGAATGTTCAACAATAAACTATGGGTGTGTTCATTTAAACCTTTTTTTTAACATAATCAATCTCTACACGAGACGTAATATCTTATTTTTCACTATATCTTACTTTATTTGTCTATGTAGTTGCATGTTGGGGTTTAGATCTATTTTCTATAACTATCTTGAAACGCATTTTGTTAAGAAAATCTTAAAACTAACATTGAAATAAATAATGAATAAAAGCGTGAATCGGTTACTTTAAAAACCCTAGGATGTTTAAAAATATACCTTGTCAAGATTGTTACACTATGCTAGATACGTAACTAGCTGTCTATAAAAATATCTTTATATAAAAAGAAGTATATTCGGCATTGGATTAAGAGGATTATTTTTCTTACCATTTAATCTGACACGTCATGTTAACATACTGTAAATTTTGGACATTTAGTAGTTATACTATTGTTTGAAATGTGTCGCAAGTAATATTGTCAAACTAAAAATTTGTGTCATTAATTAAGTATACTCTTGTAAATAAATTTTGATTACTCAAGATCTGAATTGAATAAATTTTGATTACTCAAGATCTGAATTGAACTAATTAAGTGTTATCTTAATTGTAAGTGGGGTTACTAATTAGGTGTTATCTTGTATGAACTGTATATAATGATATGCTAGGAAACTGTAAATTCGGGCTATTGATTTGAACGTTAGGTATAATTTGTGAATTTGGACAATTGATTTGGCAAAATCCCGTAAATTTGGACCACTGATAAAGTAGAATCTTATTTGTGTTGTTTGACTATAAATCTAGACCATTTATTAAGTAGAATCTTGTATAAAATGTTTGGCATGCATATACTTATCTTGTATGAAATGTTTGACATATATACTTATTGTATTCTAAAGATCTTATTATATGGTGAATGAATATAGTTAATAAAATTTATAAATGTTTTGTTCTCTACTTTTTATGAGGCGGGAAGGGCAAATTTCGAACTTGGAATTTATCGTCGTGTTTAGATTTAAACTCTTAGAATCATAAAAGAAAAAAATTACAATTAGGTATTTGTATCGATTGTCTTAAAAGAATCATTATATTTATTTGATTTCATTTAGTATAAAAAATTATAAATTGATCGCTTAGTATAAGCTCGATTAATGGTTAATTAATTCGATATGAGACCTCTCTCCCATTTATTAGAAAATGTAAATTCGGCTAAGTATAATCAAGATTTTTGTAAAGCGTTTGGGGGCGAAAACTCTCCATGGAGCCACTTGTCAGCTGGCGAATCCAACACGCTCTTTTATTTTACAAAATTGATTATTTACCCAAGTGTTTCACTTTCACCACATTGACAGCGACACCACCCACCCCCGAAAGAAAAAGGAATTTACTGTTTTCATTTCACCACAAAAAGAAAAGTAAATAATAAACAAAGAGGTACGGACATACATACATACATACATGCTGTGTTCGGTTGGTGAAGAGGAGGACAAGAAGCGATGGTTGACCCTTGTTCTGGTTACATATTTTACGGGACAAAAATGTCCCTGAGGCGCCCTTTATTTATGTGGTTCTGCTTGTGCTGTGTGTTTTTTCACCTCGTCGTGGAAAACAATAATTCAAAGCAATGCAAGTCATTTGCAGACAAGATGCTGTTTTGAAGTTTGTAACCAACTTGAGTTGACAAATACATTATACATATATTATGATCATACATGATATATCATCCATCCTTCATCATTCATCATTCATGATTCATATCATATGTGACTCCTGTGCTTCGTTCCTCCAAAGTCCAAACAAACAATATAAAAGCTAACGAACACGAAGCTATCTAGCTAAGCTACCTATAACAGAACAACAGATTTATGAACAATGATCCTGTTCCTGTTCCTGTTCCTGTTGGAATTAATTATTAAGGCAAACATAAATCCAAAGGATGATATTATTATCAGTAACAAGTATTATTTAAAGGCATCAAGTCAAGCAACAGAAAATAGATAAGATCATTATGAGCAGCCAAAGCCAACAATGAATTAATTTTAATTTTCGTTTTCTTTTTTGGATTCCTTATCTTAGTTAGGCAATAGAATTGTAGCACAGACAGCACGTGCCTGGCTGAGTAATAATGATAATCAAATCAATAATTATAATTGGGTCCTACAATACAGGGTTGGGTTGGGAGGAGAAGGATGCCTTTCTTCTCTGTATAATAGTTGCAGGAGAAAGAAAGAAAAGGTTTTTTTGTTGGAATATACTCGTCGCTAATTATGACAGAATATGCTTTGGATTGGATTTGTGCCCTTTAAATTTCACTATCCAATGTCACTCAGATCATATTATTTATTTATTGGGATGATATATCTTAAGAATTATGCAATGGGAATAGTAATACTCACTCTTTCTTTATTTTCTGTCTTATTTTATATTTTCTTTTCCTTTTTCTCTCCAAGTACAAACAGATATCATATACAGTTGAGTATGCAACAAGTGGTTCAAAATTTCAATTCCCCTCAGATTCATATTAATATGTGGGGGGTTTACTTGGGAGCTCCTTCAAACTGATCTCGCAGCAACTCGTACTTCCTAAGCTCGGCCATGGAGAGGGAGGGAGAAAGCTCCCCTAACACCTAACACGTTAGGACAAGGCAGTCAGGCCATAATCTGGAAACAGGATTTAGAGCATTGCTTTGTACTGTAAAACACACAACTATTCATAATTTCCCTCAAACGTAGTGGAGAAAACAATTGCCATACCTTGACAAAATCATCATACTCAACAATAACAGAGTCGGATTGGTCATCCATGCAAGAAGCATCTGAACCTGAACTCAAAGCCTACACAAAACCAACCGTCAGTCGATACAGGAGCATTCCTTATCTACCTAAGTATTATGACCAAAATTTCTACCTTGTGAATAATCAAGTGTCAATAAGAAAAGTCCAGGGTATTGTTGAGAATACAAAGTCCTAAACTGGTTCTCTATGCTTTCTATCTCAGCATAAACTCAGTTTGTTAATTGTCTTTGGGTTGGATACTCCCAACTTTAACAGAAATAAAACATGTAATTTGCAGTAATAATCAGACTATACAGTCAACTACTATTAAGACCCCAAATCAATGCACTTCAACTTTTAACTATCATTTAACACCCCAAATAACAGATAACATGTACTAATAGTTTAGTTTATCAGAACCAAACATCCAGTTTTTGGGTTGACCTGACTCACCTTGCGCTTTGCTGCATTAAACCAAGCGTCTGCACACAAGGCATACATGTCTGCACCAGTGAAGTTCGGGGGACATCTCTTTGCTATTGAGTAAAGTGGTACATCTTCATGTAGTTTAAACTTTCGGGTAAGTGCTTTGAGGACCCTAGAAGAGATGAAGAAATGCAAAGAAAATTTAAAAAAAAGGCTTCATCACACTAATGACGTATGCATGATCTGTTTCTTTATTTTTGGAACAGACGTAATTTACTTACTCATGAAGTATGGATTATAAAAGAATGAAATCGAAATTACGAGAATACTAACCGCTCTCTGTAAGATGCATCAGAGTTAACTCCAACATACAGCAGCTTATCAAATCGTCCAGGCCGTAGAAGAGCTGGGTCAATTAAATCTGGTCTGTTACTTGCTCCAATTATAAACAAGTCCTAAAAGAAACAAAAAGAAACATGAGTTTAGTTTCTTTATCAGGACAATAGTATCAAAATGAAAAGGCAGGTATATTAGATAGAACAAATGACCTGTGTAGAATCGTTTAGGCCGTCAATTTCTGCCAGCATCTAGCAAAACAGAAAACCTATCTCATTAAGAAAAGATCATGGAACTAAAGAAAATATTCTGTGGAAGGCATAAAAAAAAAAGGAGACTTCACCTGAGAAACCACTCTGTCCATAACACCCCCAGAATCCCCAGAGGCACCCCGAGCTGGAGCAAGAGAATCAAGTTCATCAAAAAATATAACACATGGGCGTGCTGATCTGGCCTGCAAAGTATGTGCAATTTCACTTATTGTGAGTTAAATTGGATGTTCTGAAATTGAAGTATATAACCAATACCATAAGTACTTCCATTGAAAGGATACTGATCATAGTGGAATGTTTTACCTTCTGGAAAATGTCTCTAACATTTTTTTCTGATTCTCCTATGTACATATTGATTAGTTCAGGTCCTTTTACGCTGAGAAAGTTCAGGGAACACTCAGTTGCAACAGCTTTTGCCAATAAAGTCTGAGGTTTGAAGTAAGCAAAACAAAGGCGGTCAAAACCCATAAGGTAAGCGAGAGGGAAAACTGAGAAGTCCTCAAAACAGTTGACAGTAACTTACTTTCCCAGTTCCGGGTGGCCCGTATAACAGAACACCGGAACGCTTCCGTAAACCAGATGAAAACAAGTCCTTGTGCAGAAGAGGTAACTACAGATACAACAAAAAATAACTGAGTACGGTAAAAAAGCCTTCCAACTGCCAACTACTGGAATCTTGCTAATGGACAACAGGTAAAAAGGACATCTCTCTATCTCTCTCTCTCTCTCTCTCTCTGCCAGAACTCTGGTTCTCTCAAATTCAGTGTCATTGCCTTTAAAGGGAGACGTGTTAAAATTAAAATTTAAAAAACAAAAACAAAAATGATTTGGAACTTAATAAAACATAAAAAGTGTTCTAGCGTGATATGTATCTAAAGATGAACATACAAAAGGCTTAGAGGTACAAAGAGAACCTACCTGAACAGTATCCAGAATTGATTTCTTCACATCCTCAAGACCGCCAACATCTTCCCATTTCACATTAGGGACCTAAAGGAAAAAATGACTTGAAAATTCCTTTTATATACATCATAAATGTTATATAAGATTACTAATTCCCTGAGTGCTGATTTTAGTAGTAAAGCTCTTTAGCAAGGATATAATATTGTAGCGAAATTAGTCTTGTCTCTGAATTACCTTTGGAGTACCCAGGGCTGATGCATTCCTTTTCTTTGAGCGCTCCAATGCCTTAGTCAAGTTTTCTTTCCCCAGAATCTGAGGTGCAACTTCGGAGGACTTACTGTCCGGTTCCATATCAGCTCTGAGAGATCCATCTGATTCCTCTGACTTAACGGTGTCAATTGGAACATTGCCTCTGGAAATCAAATTTGCACCAGCATCAGCAATCAAAGCACAAATATCTCTAGGCATGAAACCAGATGTCTGCCCAACTATATCCTTTATAAAATCCTCTGAACCAGTCTGCAAAAAACAACAATCTGATCCATCAAAGTCACCAGTTATGATCAGAAAAACTACAATTAATACCAAGTAGAGTATTCCTAAGTAGAAGATCTTATAACAACTTATCTGGACAAGATTAACTTCAATTTCTATAAAGGGTATACGACTTATTGCTTTATGGATTTCAAAATTCACATAAAGCTTTGAATTCAAAAGCGATACAGATAGGTAGCTTTGACAATTGATAACACTCAGCCTTAGGAATTCAAATAAAGAAATGCTACCAAAGACACACTTGAGTAATCTCAATGTTTGGTGCACCCATGACAAGCTTTTCCCATGTAATAGAAGGTGATGAATCGTCAATTGAACTAGTGGGGGCTGTTAGAATAAAAATATTGTTCGTCACATCCTAACAGTTAAAGCTTTGAGAAATAATGGGAAACCGAAAAATTGCTCATGGTATTATAACAAGAGATCCTGAGTTTGAATCCCTGAAATTGGAACCCTCTCAACATAAGTTTCACAGTGTTTAGTTCTAGTGCTGGAGAGATGCTCACATGCGAGAGGAGTGTCAGAATCAAAATTGTTCACCTACATCCTAGTGTCTTAAGCTTTTAGGAATAGCATATACATCACTGTTATATTTCTATAAAAACCACACACAAAAGGTACAGAGAAACAACACAGCTGTTCACATACATTAGAAAGGAGTTCAGAGGCCGTTTGCAGAGACTGCGACACCATTTTAAACCCTTTGTTCTTCATTCAAAGGACCCATACTCATTTCATGGCTAAAGCAACGTCTAATAGTTGGTGGTAGACCTTCAGAACTGTCGGCAGCTGCAACTAACAGCACCCGATGCCTGCCTATCTTCCCAGCATCCTGCACATGCTCCATTATGAATTTGGTTATTAAGAATAAAAATAAGGGAGATTCACTAATATACCCAATATAGGAGCCCAAATTATAAAAAAACCCTATATGAAATGGAATTTATAAACACACCCAAAGCCCATTTATAACATAACAAAAGGCTTTTAACTTCTTTTAAATAACAAAATTGCCATTGATTTCTTAAAACAAACCCAACCCAAAATTTCATAAAAAAACCCAAAACACTCAATAGGGTATCAAAGTAATTTAATAATTAAAATTAAATTTAATAGTACCATTTGTCATTTTTTGGGTTTTTTTTGGGTATGTTTATAAAAATGAAATGATGTAGGGTTTATTTATAGTTTTAGTGCTAAGAATGGGTATGTTACTAAATATCTCTAAAAATAACTAGAAGTTCACTATTCAACTACTGATCATTCGTGAGAATCAATATTACTAGGTTATCTTAGTATCCATAAACCAAGATATGTGGCACTAAAACATTTGCATCTTACCATATCACCATTCCATTTTCCTTCAGAATCAGTGTCTCCATCATCAGAAATTGGCTCAGTAAATTCCCTGATAAGTGATGCAACTTCATAAGTGATGCCAACTTGATCATTGGGTGAACCTTCGTGAGAGGCCAAATTCCGGAAAACGTCAAAATGACGGAGAAGAAGTATTGTAGGCGAGTATCTGATAGAAAAATTGGCATAAGGAAAAAAATAAGAGGGAACGATAAATAAGGACAATAAAGTACAATAATATTAGTATATTTCCAGATGTAACTGAGATATCTCTCTCATCAAATGACAGAATGGTTGAGGGACAAAACAAGGATAGAATTGCATAGACCGGTTTCTCATATAAGTTGGAATAAATGATGTATAGATAATTAGTGAAACAGAATTAACAATAATAATAGTAGCATAAACATTTAACAAGGATGCATAGAACTGTGGCTGACTTGTCAAGTATAAATAAGAGTACTACAGCAAAGTATCTAACAAATTTTGCGACAACTAAACACTTTACTGGTTCACCTTTGAGCTGTATTCAAGGTTTGAGCTAGTGCAATGGACATCTTTTTTTCAGATGATGCCACTAGATTATGACAACTATATTCAACTACATGCAGGCCCAATCGACGAGCAATATATCTAACAACAGTTCTCTTCCCACATCCTGCAGCAAGCACTGAATCAGTACCCAATAACACTACACACATGTGCACATGAAAAACATATCTTAACCAAAACAAGCAGTTTTCGTAACCATCATTTTTCATAACTGGTAGTAGGTTTAAAGAATATTGCACATGGTTACCAATTAGTAAACTTGTTAGAAACCTTGTCAACTTAAAAAATCAATGCCACCATCAAAATCAAACTGCAAAAGAAAAGACCAAACATACCTGCCAATCCATACAATAGAACTGAAACTCTGAACTTTGAAGATAGTGCTGAGGAGCAGAGAGGTGGCATAAGTATGGAAGCCAATATTTTCACTGTGTCCCCTTGCAAAGGTGCAAAACCTTGTTGTCCAGCAATCAACAAATCTGGAGGAACAGAAGAAGAGACACTTCCTCCAAGCACGAGGGCCGTTTGAGAGCAATTAACTCGAAGAATGGGTTCGTCTGAAGGTTCCATAGCCACAACCTTGCAATATAAATTTACTTTGTGATTGGACTTGGTACACTATAACAAGTGTTGAGTATAAAAGTAACCAGAGAACAACATTAAGATTTCTTTTTTAATAGGAAGAACAATACTGAGAAGTTACCTTGAAATAGATGTTATCGCTTCCATCTTGCGATCTTTGGTTGCACGGAATGCACATCATTGACTTGCAATTCCAATTTATACAAATGCTGAAAATATCACCTCTTGCTAGATACCTATCAACTCCAAAGTAGTTCTGTAATGCCAAATCTATCATTTCTTGACGATCTTCATAATCAACGGAAGAATTTCCTTTAAGAGAGTCAAGTGTACCACATTCCGGTATCTTCACAAAAGAAGCTCTCAAGTGTGAAGCATATCTCGGCAACTGAGGCTGAGGTTCCAACAGTAATCCAACTATGGAAGCCTCAATGCCTTTCCCACTCACCGCATCCTCCACTCTAACTCCAAAATAAGATGCCAGAGTCTCTTCCCCTCTATGAACGAGTGATTTCAAGCACAATGTGTGCAAGTCAAGGTTAAATGCTAACAGAGGCGATATATAGGCAACTTCCTGGTTTAACGACATTTGGTCATTTTCAGGGAAGGTATAAGATGGCAAAATAAGCATTGTGTGAGAAACTTGGGACAAGGATGGTTCAACGTCTGCCGCGCAGTCATGGCTGTTCGGAGGATCCAGAACAATGGCCTGAGCGGTTCTTTGTATGTTTGTCTCGACATTCTTTACAACCACCTTGTGTATTGAAAATCCAGCCAAACCAGAGAAAGGAAAAAACATAGAATACTTGGTCTCAGTTACTATGAAGTTTGCATTATAATCTCAAGGCCAAAGATTCTAAAGCAATTAACGAAATTCAGTTGTCTTTAAAAAGCAAAAAATGGATAACTTAAGTCTTTAATTGCGTAATTTAATTTGAGTTCAAGTGTAAATTCTTGTCCTTTCAGTCATTTTCCCGGCAACCAAACAAAAGCAGGAAACTTTATGGGAAAGGAAAACACAGAGTATATGAATGATCATCGGAATAATTACCAGTGAGCCTGAGGTGATAGAGAGCCTTTTGAGGGCAGAAGTGGAAAGCCCAACCAAAGCAGAGTCGTCGAAAGAAGCCAATTTGGGGCTTGAAATGGCCGCTTTGTCCTTAGAAATTCGGAGAATTCCCGGCGGCAACTGTAAGCTAGTCGACGCGTCATCGGCATCGTCGACTCTGTGGTCTTCACTCGGTCGCGACAAACTCAGTACGGAATTAATTAGCGTTTTGGTGGAAGTGAGTACCAGAGGCTTCCTCCTCCTCCCCACCATTATAGAACGGAATTCTATGCAGACAAATATTTACATATTATACACACAGAGAGTGAGAGAGAAGAGATGAGACTGACTGAACTGTAAATAGCACAAATCGATATAGGAGCTTATTGCAAGTTGGTCTGCCTTCTGCTTCTGCAACGGTTTCCATTCAACGTACGTAAGCAGTGTTTTTGGGCTAGAATCCGGATGCAAGGACTTGCAACTTGGGCTTGTACCAAGACTACTAAACTCTTGGGTCCAACACAAATCTTGAAAGAATGTGTATGAGTCCAATCCCACGCATAACTTTCCCAAATTGTCTCATTCTAACTTGATATTTTCTCAGGTCTAATACTTCAGAAAAACTTCATGTTGTACTTTCGAATGAAAAAATTGTAACATACAATCAATTAGAAAATGACAACTGACTAATGAGGTTTTTTCGTCTCGAAATAGGCTCTCAAAGTGTTCCAGTATTAAGACACATAAATACACATAAATATCTAAGCTCATCTTTCAATCGGTTGGTGACAGAAAATCGAAAACTAGACAACATGGTTCAGGATTTGAAAGGTTGATACTTTTTTCAAACGTAAATGTTTGTCTATCTGCAGAAGATGAAATTGCAGACTCTGTATTTGTCGAGGTGACCGGGTAGCTTCTCGTGATGGCTAAAAAGAGCAATTGTAGAAAGAAACCATAGCTATGATCACCTGAGAATTTCAACTACATAATTACAGTATTGATGAGCACAAAACTTTCATCGTTTCCATTAATTTCGTATCCTTTTTGCATATCAGTGACTTGACTTGCAATTCCAATTGAGCCCAACATACAATAATGAAATCAGAACTTCGTGTATGTAATAAAAATTCTAGGGAAATTAGCAAAGAGAAAAGAAAAGAAATTTTCCATGTAAAGCTGCGTGGTTTTCAAGTCAATAGAAAACCACACGCGAAAAACAAAGGAAGAAATATGGAGATGCGGGGTATCGATCCCCGTACCTCTCGCATGCTAAGCGAGCGCTCTACCATCTGAGCTACATCCCCACGATTGTCTGAAGTGTCGCCGTTATCATATTTATTTGTTGGATAACGACGCCCCTATGTAGAACAAAATGGAAGTTCTACCATTTTACTTCGTTTCGTCGTTGATGACAAGCTCAATGACAATGAAAAACTATAATTATACCACTAAAATCAAATTAATTGTTAAAGAACAACGCTAAATTTGTTTTCTTGATTGATGATGAATCTTGATTTGAAACTATTACAATCAATCATATATGTCGTGGATATCCACTTTCCCTTGGTACACATTGGACAACTGAGGTATTTGGTCGAGATATCTGATCACAAACCTCTCCAAGAAGGGCTTCTCCGCAGGACAAAGCACACTGGCCAAACTCAAATTTTCTTCAACCAACAATCCTTTCGAAAACAGAACTTTTACAACCGAACACCTTGGGATGATTCTCCTCTCCAAACTCAAACACACGACCGTTGGATATTTTGCAATGCTTGCTGAGGGCCATCCCATCTTGTTTACCAAGAATTCCATTGTTTCCATGATCTTCTTCTCTGACTTGGTCATGCACATGGGGTTCAATTTGAAAGCAGAGAGAATGTCATCCTCAGACCAACCCCACTTCCTATAAGCCTCTGAATTTCTGCTCCATATTGTCTTCTTCCCAGACAATACGCGTATGGCAGACACAAAGCTCGATTTCATTGGCTCAAATCCCAGTTCTTTGACCTCACCCACAATCTCACTGAACAACTCATGCTTTTTCATCACGATATTCGGAGCATGAGCTAGCAACAGAGCAATGCCAGAGGAGGGCATTCCTAATTCTCTCAACAGCTCAATATTGGGCACGACGTTCTTGGATAGATTTTCCAGGAAAATCCATGGCTTGTTCTTCAAAACCTTCATGACCTTATCCTCAGAGAGCAGCAAGCTCTTCAGATAGTTGTAAGCGGGTATAATCTGGTTTTGCAAGCTTATCTTCAAAAGGGCCGGATCATAGCTCAGAGTTCGGGCAAGATCCATCCTTGATATCCCTGTGGAGCAGAAAAACTCAAGCTTGGGCAGAAGGGTTTTCTCGGCATCGGCCATGAGAACTAGTGGGTGTCTCCTTACAAGCTTTGAGATGTCGGCGTTGGAGAATTCATGGTTTCTCAAAAGGGCCAGAACGGAATCTGCTTTCTCTGAAGATCGCAGCTTTACCTTCTGGGCTGCTCGAATGGCTGATTCCGGCGACAACCCACATGAGTTTACGAGGTAAGAGACTGTATAATCATCTTGCTCTGCTGAGATTTTGGTCGTGACGGGTCTGCAGAATGATAGATTTTGAAGAGGAAAGTGTGAATCTGCTACTGCAAACCTTTCGACTGCGAGCTGGTTTTTGCAAGATAAACAAGAGAATATTGGGTGTGCGGATCTGAGGCTCTTGAGAATGTAGAGCGCTGCCATGCTTTGGATGGATTGATGGATGAAGATGATCAATTTTGATATTTTATTCAAGTCACTCTAGGGTTTCGTCGTTATTAAACTGAAAGCTACCGGTAGAGCATTAGGCATAAGCTGGGCGCTTTTGCTAGGCCCAGAAGGACAGGTTGAGCCTTCTCCCGCAATATTAGAGACACGAAAACTAGTTTTAAGACAAATTTCTTTTAATTCTAATATATTTTTAGAGTTCCTGCATTATCACTCCATACAAAACGAAGTAAAAAACAAGCAAATCCTTGACTTGACAGGCAAGATAAAAGCTCTGCTCAAGTATTAATGTAGTAGTCCGATGAGCATTGAAACTTTTTTTCCTTTCTTTGATAAATAGAGCTAAGAAAAATTTGCATTTTACACAACTTATTCTATAAACTTCAACTTTCCTCCTCACCTATTCACAATCACAATATTCAACCGTGACCAGAGACCAACAAAACCAAAAGATAAAAAAATAGATGAGTTCAAACACTATCTTGGACCTTCCTTGCACGTCCTATACACCCACACCCATTAGTATCGTTTAACACGACAGAATCTGTCTCGACTCCATATGAACATACTACTGCACTGTCCCAAGGGAGACGAAAGTCATGCTAAATACATTAAAAAGTATCCTTCGTTGATATTCTATTCCAATTACAATCATGCAGATAAGGATGATTTCTGGGAGAGCAAAGCCACGAGGGATCCGGGGTCATTTACAGGAGCACTGCAAGTAAAGTTTTGGCACACAAGAGCAACCACTTTGTCAGCAGCAAAATGATTCTTTGCCATGAGGGCGATGTTGCTATTGTTGCCCTCCCAAAATTGCAACTCTTCGGAATTAGTTGGATCTATGTGAATAACCTGCCATTTGGTTGCATCACGAAAGTAATATTATTTTTGGAAATCGCAAGAGACTTGGATACAAGAGTATGAAAAGATGAACTTGTGAATTCAGACATAAAAACCCCAAACTCACTGTTTTGTTGATGTCATATGATGCATGAGCAGCGGCAAGCATGTTCTCAAACTCTACAGAATGCTTATGGCCAACCAAGACAACTTGCTTTCGGGAAGGAACAGTGAGCATGTCTGCCGCACAACACATTAAAGGTACAGCCATAGCCATGTCTTTTAATCTTGTCTCGAAAACTGCCTGATGAAGCAGAGAATAAGCAAGTGAGCAGCAGATGAGACACATTCCCCAGATAACTTATAAGAACTTAATTTTTGGTTAAGCAACTCGAACCAGAACATGCTCTGCATCCCTCCTGTGATGATCAGACCTGTTGCCAGCTACCATGGATGCCAATCTTACAAGATTGATCACAGAAACTGAGTTTCCAGAGGGCTCTGCCCCATCATGATCTTCCTTCACACGAAGGAGAATATTGGGGTCTTCTCCTGGTGTATTAAAATATCCACCTCCCTCTCTATCAAGAAATAATTCATCCTAGAAAAATCTCAAGTAAACTAGCATCAAAACAAAGAAGAAAGTGGAAAGCTACACAACTTGGAAATGGCAGATATCAGTTCTTGCCTGGGTGTCTTGCAGCTCAGTTGCCCAAACTAGCCAGTTGGTTTGACCACCAAATTCGTAAAGATCCAACAACCCCGAAATAAGAAATGCATAATCATCTAAAAATCCAGGCGCTTTAGATGGGCCATTCCTAAAGCTGTGTTGTAGTTGATGTGTTTTCTCATTGTAAAGGTGTCTCCTGATAAAAGATGCAGCCCTGTCTGCAACTTGAATGTACTCCTTTGGCTAATTTTGGATGTAATAAACCACAATGGTCAGTAAAATATGAATAATGGAAATTAATTAATAAATTGGATGTGCCACATACAACATTGTCACCTCCTGTGTCAAATCATTAAACCTAACAGCTGCCTATCCGATGAACAAATAGTTATGAGTACAAGACCACTCAATCCACTATGGTATTAAAGCTTTCAGAGCACAAGCCTATTCGTGGAGGAATTTAAAATGTCTGCCACAGTCAACATGACAGCCACAACTACAGAACCTTCTCCTCCACAACTCAAGCTACTTGGAAAAGGATAAGAAAAAACAGTACACAAATCGTAAGCTACCCACAGATGAACTCAAAGATGGTATAAACTTACATCAGAGCCGACAACAGGAAAGTTGAATTTGATCTCCTCAGGTTCATTCTTGAGAATTTTAGAAGCCCTTGCAAAAGCCGAGATAGCCAGTCCATTCCATGAAACAATTACCTAGAAGGAACCTAATCTATCAAATTGTACTTTAAATAAGAGAAAAACCAAAACTGTATGAGGTTGTTTCTTCCACAATCTTATTCATTGTGTTAAGAGAGAACACCTTATCATCCAAATGTGGTCTTGGTCGAGTACACCTTACTTCAAAAAGCTTTTGCCTGCTCTGGCCCAGAATATCAAGGTATTTCTCAACAGGTATTGCAAATTTTGATGCCATTTCAGAAGAGTCTTTTCTCTCAATGAGTACATTCTTTCCCTTGAATTCATTGTGAGGATCACTCATTGTAGAAAGGTCGCAGTTCCCCGAAGGTTTTATATAATAGTGGCTCTTAAAAAGAGTTGCATCCTTTCCTAGAATGTCTTCAACCTAGTGGCAATAACCGGTTTAACATTAGGGGAGACAAAGAATAGAGTAACTAATGACCATAAAATGTTGCAGATATCTCATACTTAGCGTTCTCTACTTCAAGATCCACAGGGAACTTGAAAAATTAGAATTAACACCAATCAAATGAGTCAATTTAAGGTTGAGACACTGAGAAACCTCTTGACTAGTCCAAACATAGAAGGCTCCTTCCTTTTTTCTTGTAGCACCTTCAGATTCAGCACTGTCAGCATCTTCTGCTGAATATATTTCACCTTCCGGTCCAATCATGTCTCTCCTTAGATAATCAAGAATATCCCGAGCAATATATGAATAGAAGACATCTTTGGTAATAGAAAAGGCATCTAAATAAACATTGGCAAGCTGCCCTTGATCATACAGCATCTTCTCAAAGTGCGGGACTGCAATAAAACACTACAGCTTCAACAATTTGTTGCAGAAACAACCAAGAAAAAGAAGGAGGAGAGGAGTTCGGGCCAGCGCATGGTAGCTATAAAGTGTATAATGGTATAAGACATAGGCATTTGATTGAATAAACAGTTCACTATATGAGGACGTCTTATCAGTTAATAAACACCGACTATTGACAGAAAAGATTTCTTAAGGAAAACTGACCATGCCAGCACTCATCAACGCTATATCTGTGGAAGCCACCTCCAATATGATCGTGGACACCCCCTCTTGCCATGCATTGCAAGGTAAAGAAAACCATTTCCAGACCCTCTTTTGCCTCACCCAACTTTCCAGCTTCCTCTAACTTTTTTGAGTAATAAAGCATGAGCTGAACCTCAACTGGTCTAGGAAACTTTGGGGCAGATCCAAACCCACCAAACTTTGCATCATAGCTTTCAGAAAGCTATAAACACATTGAAGCAGGAGGATCAGGATAAATAAATAAATATCTCGATCAAGCATTAACAGCCACAAACCAATGCAAATACATAACAGCTATGTTCTCTTACAACTAGAGAACCAACAATGTTTGAGTTATGTTTTGACCCCAAATTTTCAATGCAGGCTTCTATTCTGAAAAAGTAATGACGTTTTTTTTTTCCTTCTGGAATGACCTTATTTAAAAGAAAAAATAAAGGAAGGAGGGAGGGTTAGCAGACTGTTTACTTGCAACACAAAAAACTCAAAAGTAGGTATACCATGGACGAGATAAACATAGGAAAGTTCCCAGTGTAAAGATACATACTTGCTCAGCACATAGACGCAACGCATGTTGTGGAAGCCCATCCGGCAACTTATTAGAATTCGCACTTGCTGACAATGCTTCTGATAGCTGTTCAATTGCAAATGCTCCACTTTTAACAAGCATATCCCTCTTACTATCCCAAGCTTCTTTCACCTTTCTGAAACAGAAGATACAATAAAATGAGAGTGGAGGCCAAAATAAACAATAGCAATAAGTGTGCAGGTAACATGCAGAGTCCAACTCAACAATCACTTGTGTCGTAACTTCGAGGTTTTCAGCCAATCAAGAGAACCATGGGAAGAGAAGGGGCAGGGAGGGGAAAAGGAGATAAGTTGAACTGTCTCAGAGACCACCGTCTCCTCACCTAAGTATAGTCTTAAATCCTGGTCTTCCAAACTTATCATCTGGGGGAAAGTAAGTTCCACCCATCAAAGGTTTCAAATCAGGTGAAAGGAAGACACTCAGCGGCCAACCTCCACCACCATACAGAGCCTGTACATAGGTCATGTATACCTGTAAGAATGAAGAAAACAACAAAGAAAGAGTTCTCAGCACATCACGATACCAGTATAACTGGTGAAAATTTATTGTTCTATTTTTAAAAAAGTACTTATTTCCAAACTAGAAGCACTGATGCCAAAAATGCATGCACTGGATTCAAATGCATACTCAACATTTTTTTCTTCTTCTTTAGATTTGGGCTAGGAAAGATTTCGACCCAAAACAAAGTCTAGCCCAAATGTATTGCCTTAATAAAACATCTCTACCTGTAAGTAAATACAGGATTCAGAAGCGCATTACTAAGGTACTAAACCTCACAGAGGTCACCTTCAATATAGTTGAACATATAGCACAACAACTTGAGACATAAAGAAACTAAAAGTGAAAAGAACGCAGGTCATATATTAGAGAGCTTTGGAAAGCCTGGCTAATAACTTTTCTTCGAAGTAATGATGGTAACTTCAAAGGTTTATTACTTTGTATCATTCACCTTATCCACATCTGGTCTTTCCTCCCGATCCACCTGCAGTATTGATACGTTAGATAAATTTAACACAGAATGACAAAACCAGAAATAAGGTTCTAAAAAAAAGTTCATTTTTTTTCTTTCCGAAAACTGATATAACTAAAATATTAGAAAGAGGAAATTGAACTCACGAACTACAGAACGTACATCCTGTGAGGCTAACAAATTAGACTCACCTTGATACTAACAAACCAATCATTCAGCAATTTGGCAACCCCTTCATCCTCAAAAGACTCGACCTCCATAACATGGCACCTTATTGACAGTTAAACACCAACTAGTTAGTTCATCTCATTCAATTATCACCTTGATATTAACCAGTAGATTAATCAACTTTCAAGATTGGATGAGAAATCTCACCAATGACATGTGCTGTATCCGACTTTGCATATACAATCAACGCATTTGCAATGAGAAATCGATCATATGAATCACATATCAGTTGACTACCAAAGAAAACAAAACATGGGTAGTTTAACACTAGAATAAAATTACTTGATACGAAGATGGGAACATCTCTCTTTCGAGCTTCGGCGAAAGCTTCTTCACCCCATGGATACCAATCAACCTAGTTAAAGTAGTCAACTTGCCCCAATCAGGTCACAGAGAAAATCAGGAAAAAACTAAAATTAACTAAAGCGAGGCGATTCAGAGAGAATTGAGAATCAAACACACACCGGGTTGTGAGCATGTTGAAGAAGATATGGACTGTGCTCAGCAGCGAGGCGATTGGTGTGCTTGTGAGACTGCGAAGCTGGGTTGGAAGTCTGTTCAGCCATGGCGAGAAGCTTGGAAGCGTAAACGGGTCGACGGAAAATGAGGGAGGAAAGTGCGGGAAAATGAGCAGGGGAAATATGTTGGGTTGTTGTTGAGGAAGGCAATAGTTTGGTTGGGTGAGAGAGGAAGCGATGGAGAGAGGAAGAGAAAGCAATCCTTTTCAGCATAGAATTGTGAAGAAGCAGAGAAGAAGAGAAGCTTGGTGGTGGGGATGATGACGGTTTAAAAAGAGGAATTGCTGAAGGTGGTGGTGCCATGTGTGGAGAGAGGTGAGGAAGAGGCAGAGAGGGCCATGTGGAGCTTGGGCTTGTTTGACGGGTGGAGCAGGGCAGAGTTAACTGTTGCACGAATGAACTGGTGGCCCAGCTTTCATGCCTTTGGATTGTGGTAACTAATATTAGTAACACTTAATTATGTTTTTTATTTATTTACAACAGACTAATACCCTCACAAAGCTATACCATTGCAACAAATATATATTATCAATCCAATCAGAGATATACTAACTCATTGAAGATAAATACCACTAATTAGTCAGTTAATTTTGTTCACTACACTTAATTAATAATAATCCACCCTCAATTATATCTCAAAAGAAGACAAAATATATATATATACAAAAACCCACCGGTAATTGGAATGTCCACGTCAGCATGATGACCCATTCAGGATTCTAGGTGGGTTCTACCTCCAGACAATCCCACAACACGAGTTCACCGGAGCAACAAGAGAAGTGAAAACAAGAATTGGGCCCATCCAGCAGGAGGGACCCATGGAAGGAACTTTGGTTCGTAAAGGCTTGGGCCATACGCAAACCCAGTTGTTTACCTGGATTGTTTTCTAAGATTAATGGCCCAAATAAGCAGTTTGATCTTGCAGCTAAAAAAGTTTTTCCAATGTCAACTCTGTCCTGGAATTAATCCAATGTGAAAATTAAAAACATGGAAATTTGATCTGTACATATAAGCTCTGGATATAACGGAATACAAAAATTCCAGATTCAAATTGGACCTCAGCTATTTAACCTCTGTCAACAAGAATTTAAAAAAAATATTTAAAAAATGTGCCTGTCCAGGATAATCATATAGGAGGACTGCCCCATTTTGAATAAATTTTTTTTCCAGCGAAGATTTCCTGATTATCCAGTCCGGCGGTATAGATATCACAGAAGGCTACAAATTAGCCAGCTGGAGCTCCTACAGATTCAGCGAGTTCTTCCAGTAGTTCCTGCTGTTCCAGGGAAGTACAAGCCTGCAGGAAAGTAGGTGATGGCAAACGTATTGTTACAAAACCAGCATATAAGTCCATGCCTATAATAATACTTACTAAGAAAAGGGCATGTCTTAGAAGAGGATGCTGTGGAAACCATACCTGAACTGCGTTCTCTATATCACCACCAAGAAAAGAGGTGAGCTCATAGTTCGTCTTTAACCGGTGGTCAGTCACCCTATTGTCCTAATTCAATAAACAAAAAGAGTCGCTAACTTTCAGAAACATAACCCAATCTTATGAAAGAACAAAATGAAAACATGCAAGTAATCTCACAGACAAAATTGTTGGACACTAGTATCAGATTGGTTAGCATAAGTGCTAATAGCTATATATACATATTGGGCCCTCTACACCTAAGTGCTAAAGCTTTTGAATTGAATAGTTCAATGAAAATCGCAATTCCTTAAGCAGCACCCTAGCCAGTCAAATTTAAATATCACACTATCAATCGTTAATCAACCTCGCTTGGAAACTTCCAAGGTGAAAATTTTGAAAACTATGGCATGCATATATAACCAAACTAAACTCCAATTTTTTCAGTACCTTAAAGTTGTATGTCCGAATTTTTTCTGCACGAGAACCAGTACCAACCTGCATTTTAGAAATATAAACATCACATAGTTTAGTCCAGTGCCTAAAACCATAATCTAGACCTCCCATGTCCATACCCTAATCTCAAAGAATAGCATATATGTGACGGCAAATATTCACACCCGAGATATTGCAATCTCACATGCCTCTTAATTATTCTCTAGCTAAAAGATACCTGTGATTTCCGTTGATTCCTAATCAACTCTTGCTGCTCTCTCAATTTTATCTTATACCTGCAACAATGTCATTGATCATCATATGGACCGAAGAAAAATTGTGCACAAACAAGAGCATTACGTGTAAACCGGCTGATTGCTTGCATCTCCGCGGCTGTAACAAAAATCTTATGCAAAAACCAAAACATTTCATAAAAGGTAACAATAAATATACCAATCAGACTACAAAATTGAGGACATCTAAAACATGGTGAAATCAGTACTCACAATTTTGCTCGCAGCAACTGAAAGGCACGATGCTTGTTCTGGAGTTGAGACCTTTCTTCACTACAAAAGATGCGGATGCCCGTTGGTTTATGGACAAGATCAACAGCTGTCTCCACCTTATTGACATTCTGCCCTGCATGATAATCACGCATGAGACTTAACTCACGCGGAATCCTGTTCCGAAGAGTGAGGCATGGAAAATTAAGTCAATTGAGAAAATTATATCATTTGCACATTAATACCTCCAGCACCCCCAGACCTTGCTGTTGTCAGTTCAATATCTTTTGGGTCAATAACCACCTCAACTTCATCCGCCTATATTAAGGAATTGAACAAGCACAAATAAGTCAAGAAACATAAATGCTTGATCATAAAGATTCCACAAAAGATTACAGTGACAAGTAAATATAAGCTACCTCTGGCATGATTGCAACAGTTGCAGTGGATGTATGCACACGACCCTGCGTTTCTGTTTGAGGAACACGTTGAACCCGGTGAACACCAGATTCATATTTTAATTTGCTGTATACACGTTTTCCTTTTATCTCCATCACATAGGTCTTGAATCCTCCTTTTTCAGCCTGAAAGAGTGCAAGAAATCTGTGTCAGTCATGTAAACAGCAACAGGATATACCTCTAAAAATGTCAGTGAGACATACCTCTGAGCTTGAAACTGCGCTGTACCTCCAATTATTCCTCTCACTGTACTTCTCATACATACGAACCTTGATATGAAAAAACAGAAAAGAAAAAGAAAATGCAGAAGCATCAAGGTATGCTCAGACGCGACTTGAGAAGAAGGATTTCATACTGCAAGAAATATCTTTTTGGCCAATGAGGCTTTTCATTTAAAAAGAAAACATGAAAAGAAAAGAAATATTGCACAGGCACATCAATAAGAGATACAAAAACATGTACTTTGTTTTGTAACATAACCCATGAATATAGTATGATTTATCTTTGTTTTTACTAATTTTTCTGTTGTATGCAACTCAATAATAATGGGACATTCTTTACATTTTAAAGGACAAAAGAAACATATACCTACAAGATCACCTGCCCAGATTCCAGCTTCATCACCACCAGTGCCAGCCCTTACTGCAGCAAGGGAAAATACTGCTTTTTAGTCCTAATGAAATGGAAAGACAACCTCCAGCATTGCAAACAATTAGCAAAGCACTCAATAAAGATGATCTATGTCCACTGGGAACAATATATATGTGGGAGGAACAGTTTCAGTCAAAGCTAATCACTCATTCCACCTCCGCCGCATATATATTGTTCCAATGTTTGCATATCTCTTCCTAAAACAGAGAGAACATTTTACTTTGTTATACTTTGTTAAAAATCATGTCGTCTGCAAGCAATCAAATAGAACAATTCATTTAAAGGGCAAGTATGAGATTACCTTCAAGCATTATATTTCTTGCATCAAGAGGGTCACTAGGAAGGAGTAGCATCTGTTAGCATAAAATGGAACGTTATCCCAATGGATATTTCAGAATATGGCAAAGGAAAAACATTATATACGAGAAACAACAATCATAGATCAAAGTAGTCAAGAATACCAATTTCCTATCAAAAGAACCAGAGAATATAAATAAATAAATAACTCCATTATGCATGTAAAAGTACCTTGAGCTTCCCTTCCAGTTCTTTGATTTGATTGGATAAAGATTCAATTTCATAAGATATCATCTCTGCCATATCCTCATCATTGCCAGCATCTTTTGCTAAAGCTGGTATATCGATTAAGAGGGGGAAAAAAATCAGAATGAATGTTAGTGAATACCTCCAGAATTTTCAAAAGAAATGTTTTACACAGGCATACAAGTTAGAGTAAACCTTTTGTCTCTTGTAACTGCTTCTCGCAGTCTTTGTAATTCTTATAGATTGTCACAACCTGACCAAAGAAAACAAAGGCAAAATATTGTCAGTGAAAACCTGAAATGAAATTCGAGAAGAACATACGAGTAAAACCTGGCACGAGAAGTAGCAAAGATAAACTGCATCACCTCATCAAGCTCAGCCACGGACTGTGCCAGCTTCTGGTATTCACTAGGATTTGACACGACGTCTGGATCAGCCAGCTTAACCTGCAATTTTATTTTATTTTATTTTATTAAGTACACTCAAATGTAGAGAAAACAACTGCAATAACTAACCGTGCAGCAGCATAGTACAATACTCTATACTGAAAAACCAATTAAACCCAATTTATGCTGGTCTTTCTTAATCCTTTGTTTGATGGCATGGTCCAGAAATGCCGTAATGGTACTAGGTCTTAGATTTAAATCATTCGAGAGAAAGTCTGGAGTTATCGCCTATTGCATAAAAAAGGGAGGGGGGGGGGGGGGAGGAGGACCATAAAATTTTGAGTCAGAGTTTCATGCCAGAGTTCTCTGAAATGGCCCTTCAATTGCAATCACTGCCATAAAAATTTAATGACCAAAATGACATATTCCCAACCTTCCCAAACCATTCAAATTCTCCACCAGACAAATCCATAAACCCCTGCCTAAAACCCTAACCCATATACTTAGATAGTAATTCAAAAGCTCACAGACACACACAGAGAGGGAGAATACTCGATAACCCAAAACATTATAATTTATTTTAGTGTGAGAATCATACCGATAAATCTTTCCATGTCTTCTCGGCAGAATCCAGCTTTGTAATCAAATAGGGCTCCTACAATTTCACAAAACAACACAAGAAAGTGAGTCCTACAGCATCTGTTTGTTTCTCGGGAAAACTATTTCCATCACTAAATAAATATAATTACAGAAAGGAAGTTAAAAACTGTTAATTATTTTATTATTATTTTGTGATGTACGAACCGCCATGCAAATGAGTCTAGGAGCTCTTGGAGGAGGTTTATTAAAGGCCAGGGAACTCCGCGAATGGTCGTGGAAACGGTGTCGTAATGGAAATGCAAGTAATCGAGCGGGTGTGGTGGAGCTCGTACTCATTGCAGCCATGGAAGTAGGAGGGCAGGGAAAAGGCGCGCTCCGGTCGAAGTGGTAGCAAAAGAAAATTGGTTTGGTTTTTTCAAGTTATGGATGGGGTAACCGCGAAGGAACGAACACGTGGTGTTTGGAAAAGATAAAGCTCCCTTTACAAGTCTTGTTTGGTTACTGGGATATCCTATCCGAATCGCGGAATAACGTTGTGATTGGAAGCAACTACAACAAGCTTCTTTGGTGGAAACAAAAAATTGCCAAGAGGAGATTGTTGTTAACTTGCTACTTCTGATCACATGCTAAAATACAATTCTCTCATATAAACTAGAGGCATACGATAAGGTGCTTGTACCTAGTTAAGTTAAGAGCATTTGCGTTCTAGATTTGATTCCTCATTCTCCCAGTATCACTAATATTTAAATAATAATAAAACTATAGTAAGTAAACAATGTTTAATAATTTATTCACTTCTCTCTCCCAAACCTTAGCCCTCTCTCTCCCCAAAAATCCTGCTAGAGTCGTTTTCACTTTAAGGGGGGAGGAAGTCACTATTCTTCCATCCCTCTCCCCTCTTATCTTCCTCCCTCTCTTCTCCCCTCATTTTAAGAGACAAATGGTTTTCCCTGTTTATCTTCGTTTTGTTATAATTTTCCTCCAATAATCATAGGCGGTTGTGTCTCTGCATCGGATCTCCATCACCACCTTTTTTGCGGTTTCTTTATGTTCATAGTAAGTCACAAAGACTATTTAGGTTCTCTGTATAGTTTTGACCTCTCATTTTGTAAGAGCTTTCTACCTCTCCTTTGTGAGAGTTTTTTTTTATCTCTCCTTTGTGAGAGTTTTATTTATATTGTTATGACTTATTTTTTTCAAGTTTTTATTTATTTATTTATTATGAGTTTGCAATCTTAGTTGAGATGCATATACCAGAGTTTATTCGATCATGCGTGGTCGTTAGTGGAGGCACACCAAATTGTCTTAATTTTGATATTAGACAGCTCCGTTATTGTAATGGCATTTTTATGGCTAGTTTGTATTGACTATTTGTGGCTAGTGGCTATTTTGAATAAATTATGAATGCAATCCTATAATTTATATATATATATAAATAATGTTTCAAAACAATGAATACGTCATCCATCTCGCTTCGTTATTTCTTTCTAATATTCATTGTTTTATAATATTTATGTGGTTATGGGTACGTAAGCGTCATAACTACATAGTAGACGATATGCTAACATCCAAACGGTCTGGAACCAACAAGATAAATAAGGTCTATCACTTTTAAAGTAAGAAGAAGGGGTATAAAAGCAAATTGTTGATAAACTAAGGCCTTTACTAAAGAAAAGTACATATCTCGTGTTAATGCGCGTCGCGCTTCTTCTTCAATGATTCGGCTTGGCTTGATATACGAATCGGTAGCGCATAACTTTATGTAAAGTTGCTTATATACGAGATTTATTTAATTCATTCATCGCCTACCTAAATTGAGGGAGAATATGATTCGTTTGATTAATGCAATGACTTTTCCTTAACTCCCTCTTTGCTTTTTTAACACATGATCATTTTTTCACCATTCATGAATTTGACAATGTTGATTCAAAACAATTGATAGACACATAGCAAAGTTATAGTTGCCTATGTAAGCCATGAACAAATGTGCAAGGGTCATAATACATTTTAGCCTTTGATTCTTCATCAATAGAAGAGGAATAATTCAAAATTTTACTTTTTTTTTAACATTAAAAAGAAAAATATCACGAAATGTATTATTTATTTATATCCTAACAAATAAGCTCATAAATTTTTGGTGTATAAATTTGGTAAGAACATTTGTTGCAACTTGCAAGAATATAAGGCAATCAAAGCATTTTATAATTGAATGTGCACCGCAGCCCCCAATAATGCGATCGATGGAGCGAGCCGTTAATCTTGTCCTACATTCTTAAGCTAGATTTTAGCGCCGATTTCGTTTTTTTTTGTAGAGAGAGAGCAACAACATTCATGAATCGAGAATCTAAACTTCCGACCACACGCCGTACACTGCAAAACTCGTAGTTTTGTCCGAGACCAGCTGAGTCGGAGTAAAACTGGCTCCATTCGTGCACGGCTGGCTGAGAGACCAGCCAAAAAACGAGCCAATCAGAAGCCTCTCCCACTCCAATTACCGAAATGACAGTTTCGTCCACCACAACGAAGCCCCATTTGTCACATCCCACGTCTTCACCACAAGGGCTGCTTCGTAATTTCAAAGGCCCAGCGTCGGTTCCAAAACGAAGCTTACTCTTTCCAGGTGTGCTTATTTTGGCCGGTACGGAAACACAGTCCAAGTGTTAAAAAAAAAGAAGAAAAAAACCCAAAACAAAAAGAGGGAAAAATAGAGAGAGAGAGAGAGAGAGAGAGTTTTTGTGTGTGTGACGCCAAAAAAGCCAATACCAGACCGTACGGATACGGTCTCTTTAGAGAGAGAGAGAGAGAGAGAGAGAGACGAGAGAAAGCATTAAGCTCTTCTCCACTACTGTGAAACCGTCTCCGTTTTCTCTCCTCTTTGGTTTCACACCATCTCCACTCGATCGAGCTCTGTGACCATTCTAGAAGGGTTGTGAAATCTTGTACAGCCTTCCTTTTTTACCCTTCCCATAGTCCCTACAGTTGCTGTAAGTGTACAGAGACCCCAGACGACACCGTTTTTTGATGGAGTTGTACGGTCGAAGCCCCGCCAGAAATGGGTCGAACCAGGAGTGGAGTCCGGGCGCCGGCGAGACTGGCCTCGAAGGTATTACTTTACTTGCGCTTCGCCTTTCCCATTTGCGTTCGTTTTGAGTTCGATTTGGGCAATTTGGTACCGTGGGTTTTCTAGGGTTTTGTATTGTTATGGTAATGTGGGGGTGTGATTGGGGTTTTGTTGTGATTTTGATTGAATTGTAGAACAAATGTGGCAATTGGGGCTGACGAGCAGCGAATCGTACCCGGAGCGACCCGGCGTTCCCAACTGTGTCTACTACATGCGGACCGGGTTCTGTGGATACGGTATTCGGTGCCGTTACAACCATCCTCGTGATCGTGCTGCGGTAAATCCTTGTTCATTGGAAATTTGCATTGCAATCAGTTAATGAGCTTTTTCGATACTGCTTTAATGTGGGTTTTGAATCTTGATATGTGAATGAGTCTTAAGCTTTCAGTGATAAGTGACTGCATCAGGAAATATTGGTTGTTTTGAATTTTCATAAGTTTGAGTGTTTTGGCGCTGATAGGTTGTTGTCCCCTTGCCCAAAACTAGATGATTGTTTGTTTGCTGAGAAAGATGGGGAAATTTTTGGAATGACTTGTTTTTGGGTTTTATACCTAGTTAAGTAGTCTATAATTGATGAAAATAGTATTTGTGTTTTGGGCTCAGTGGAGTGGGCGATTTTGCTTGAGCGACTAACAATGAAAACTCATTTTCTTTGCTTGGATTTTACCAATAACTGAATAGTCTTATTGGAGAATTTTGTTTTGTTTTATTTATGATTTCTTTGATGCTGCACATAGGTTGTGGCAGCTGTAAGAGCTACAGGGGACTACCCAGAGCGAGTGGGGGAACCTATATGTCAGGTATGCAGTTGTTTTTGTGATCTATTGTAATTTGTAGCATGAAATGCAATGTAGATCTGGAAACTTTGCTGCAATTTTGTTCTGATGTTTATTTAATTATTTGAGCTTTGAACTTGATGGCATTTGTTTGTTTAATGTGCAGTATTATTTAAAGACTGGGACCTGTAAATTTGGTGCGTCCTGCAAGTTCCACCATCCAAAACATGGAGGTGGATCCCTGAGCCGAGCTCCCCTGAATATTTATGGATTACCATTACGACCGGTTTGAATTTCCTTTCTCTGCCTCTCATCCCCATATGTGTGTGTAGAATTTTGAGAAACTTGTGGTATAAATTCCTTACAATTTGTGTTACATAACAGGGCGAGAATGAATGCTCCTACTATTTGAAAACGGGGCAATGCAAATTTGGCATAACCTGTAAATTCCATCACCCACAACCTGCTGGAACAACAATACCTTCTTCTGCACCTCAGTTTTATCCATCGGTGCAGTCTCCTTCTGTTCCTATGGCAGAGCAGTTTGGAGGGGCATCCACCAGTTTGAGGGTGCCTAGGCCTCCACTATTACCTGGTTCATATGTGCAAGGGACTTATGGTCCTGTCTTGATTTCTCCAGGAGTTGTTCCTATTCAGGGTTGGAGTCCTTATTCGGTATGATAAAACATATTTAGGTTTGAAATATGATTCGAATTCATCTCTTTATGTAATTGGTTTACTTGGTGCAGGCACCTCTTAGCCCTGTACTGTCTCCCGGAGCCCAACCCACAGTTGGAGCAACTTCTTTATATGGAGTGACACAGTTATCTTCTCCAACACATGGACTTGCAAGACCTTATACCTCCGTACCCTCTGCTGTTGGTCCTTCTAGCAGCAGCCCAAGTGAACAAGTTTTCCCAGAGAGGCCTGGCGAACCTGAATGCCAGTACTATCTGAAAACTGGGGACTGTAAATATGGACCATCTTGTAGGTATCATCATCCACGGGATAGGGTCGTACCAAGGACAAATTGTCTCCTTAGTCCAATTGGTCTTCCACTTCGTCCGGTATGCAAAGTTGTTTTCTGTTTATTCTTTTGAATCTTTAATTTTTTAAATTTCCACTATTAAAAGTTATTGAATACTTGCTGACTTGGTTATCCAATTTTATATTCTCTTCTTACTCTTGTTTAAACAGTAAGTTTGTTGTAAAAGGTAGGTGTAAGTGTGACATTTAGAATCATACATAGTTGACTTCCTTTGTACAACCATATTCATACAATTGAGTAGCCGAGACAGGCTGTCTTGCTATGTGTTGTCTTTTTCTCTTCCTTAAAAGTAGAATAGGTTATGTTAAAAGGTTTTGATTTTAGAGGGTTCTGCAGTTTTACTTGGGGTGTTCGTTTTCCATGTTCTCTTTAGCGGTCTTCTTTTATAAACGATTTATTTTGTACAGTAATCTTTGCGATTGTGTTCTGATGTAGTTTATGCTCATTTTTGGATTAATCTGATCGGTAATTGGGGTAATTTTAATGTAATATTCTTCTTTCATTAATTACCTTGTTTCAGATCTGTTCTTCCTTTTCATGCCTTTGCTAATTTGATCCTCTAGGGTATTACTCATTCCTATTGAGATTTCTTTAATGTTGGTATACAGTGCTGAAAAGGTTATTGTGATTTTGTTTCGGACTTTTTATGTTTAATTCATTTCATAATGTGAAAAACAGGGAGTGCAACCTTGTACATTCTACCTGCAAAATGGTCACTGCAAGTTTGGATCTACATGCAAGTTCGATCATCCAATAGGGACCATGAGGTACAATCCCTCAGCTTCATCTCTGGTTGATATGCCTGTTACTCCATACCCAGTTGGGTCTTTGCTGGCTACCCTGGCTCCTTCATCCTCGTCAACTGACCTTCGGCCGGAATTAATTTCAACTTCCAAAAAAGATACTTATTCAACTAGAGTGCCTTCTTCTGGGAACACCTCAAGCAGTTCAGTTGGATTGATTTTTTCTCAGAGTGGATCGGTTTCACTATCTGATGTGCAACACACCAGTCAGACTTCTGTCCCTTTAAGCAGTAGCAGAAGCACGAGACAAGGTGGTGAGGTTCGTCGTTCAAGTTAAACGAAATACCCAAAAGTGACTCTTTCATTATCTCCGGAGAGGGGTGCGGTTTCACCAACATCCTCGTTTTGTTTATATAGAAGTCAGTTAAGTAAATGTGTAATGGTCAATTGTGCAAAGGTTTCACATTTCTCAGTTATGGTCGGTCGTATCAACCAAATCTGTTTTTCCCACAGTAGTAGGACAGACATTGTTGATGCTTGTGTCATCTATATACAGCAATCGATATAAATCCCAAATAAGCTGCAATGCTCAAATTCCTTCCATATCTACTTTTCATCTCTTTCAAGTAATTACCATTACCATTACCATAGCAAGCAAGCAATTTTCCCTTCCACTAAAAGTGTCACCAGTTTCATCTCATGTACTGCGCAGCAATTACTATCAGTGTCTCTTTCTTAACACAAATGAAAGGGAACCGTCAAAGTCAATTTTGCCCATACTTGTTTTTGTCCTCTAGTTGGGCAAAAAGGACATTACACATATTTTGCCTTATTCTCTCATATTCGGCTTCGCCTTGCCCCAAGGTCGTTTGTCGTTTCCGGAAATATTTGCCAAGTGGGGTCTCGGAACCTATATTTTTGGATGCTGACACGTATTGCCCGTTACACGTACGCACCTACTCTCTGATTCTGTCGGACTCACAGTTTCGTTCTTCTTGTTCAGTTGAGCCCTTCTCCATTAGGACTAGACGAACCCCCTTTGCTGCTGTTGTCTCAATTTCTCTCAAGCTCAGCTCCCAGGTCTCTGTGTAGACCTCGTTTAAAAAAAAACATATATATATATATATATATATATTCTAAGCTGTCATCATTGACATTAGTGTAAAAACCCAGGTTAAAAACCTACCACTTTCAACAAAAGTAGCAAACAATTTCACTTTAGCCTCATGCTTGCTTCAGGACAGCTTGGTGAAGAAAATGACTCCAGCCCTTTGAAGCATAAACAAAAAAAACTACAATGGGCTAGTAGCTCAAGTGGTTCAACGCATTTACTCCTGTAACCGAGCTTATGTGTTGGATTCTATAGAAAAAGAAAAAAAGTGTACAAGGGGAGAGGACTTTGGCCAATGGCTGGCTGCTATAATCCCAAGAAAATCACACCCACATTAGCCATAAGTGTTCTTGAAACGGAAAAAAGTTATAGTATCATGCGACTTTCTATGTTGGTCACCACCCCAAATAATTGAAGAAAAGGCCCATATCTACATCTCATCTCTTGAACTTTGCTTAAAATAGTTAATAACTCAACTCAAGCAGCATCATGATCCACCTAGTCACACGTTTGACAATTACATTCGCATGCTTGCTTTCAAATACATTCACACACCATCATTCTCCACAATTAAAATAATGGGCTTAGATTATTATTATTATTATTTTAAAAATAAAAATAAAAATAAAAATTGTATTCTTAAAATAATCAGTGGCTCAACCACCCCTTTTCCTCACCTTCTCTAATGATTCAAACTCATTTTTCACCCTCACGAGTAAAAAAACAGAAAGACATCATTTTCCCATTGATGTCCTTTTTTCTTTTTTTTTAATACTCCCTATTCTATCTTCCCATTGAGAAATACTTGTGTGGAATGTGAATAATTCTATTTTGCTATTCTCAGTCAATCACGCTATGCCATGCATGATAACTTTTTTATTTGACGTAACATAATTGGTTGAAAAAAAAAAATGTTATTCCCGATTCATATAAGTTTTTCATTTGAGGATCCAAGCTCTTCAATTAGATATTAAATAAAGGCACATTTCTTGAATTACATGGTTCATAAAATTTGCGTAAAATAAGTTAAATTAAAGAATAAAGATTCCCAATGCATAACTTTATTACCTAGGTAGGGTACACTTACACACTAAAGCCAAAAGACCAAAAGGTGCAAACTTGATTTGATGAGCCAGCTCTGCAGTGGCAATTTCAATTTGCTACAAGCTTTAACTATATGCCATTTTTATATGGGACAAGTTCCATAACTTCAACAAATAATTGACTCTTATTCAAGAGCCAGTGGCCTTCATTATAATAGAGAGAAGATGGAGGCACCAACAACAGCTTTGACTTCTTGTTGATACAATTTTATTTTCATAAATTTAAACCAATTTTTTTCACAACCTTTTCAAGAAAGATCAAATAGGTAAGTCAGAAAGTTGATTATATTGTATGTTTTGGGTCAGACAATTTTGTTTGTTCATTTATTTAAAGTTGTTACAATCGATAAAGAAAATATGATTTTCACACTCCGTTTTGACAGACTCCAATAAAGAACAAATGAGTCCAAACCTGATTTTCAATAAATATTCTTCTTGTCTGGCACAGACTCTACAGAAAAGATTGCCATCTAGCAGCAAGCAAGAAGCTCCATGGGGATCTCACTCTGTCACTCTGTCACTCAGTCACTCATGATTTGATGCATTGTTTGCGCCTAAATTTCTACTAATATGAAGACCCAATTAAAGCACAAGTGGCTGGCTGGAAGCAATCAGTGCACCCAGCAGCAGGGCACAGGGCACTCTGATTCATCTTCTTTGCCTAATGCCTCTGTAACTGTTCATATATATATATATATATATATATTTAAAGTTTGGAAAGCGCCAAAGCTGGTGGTTTATTATTTGGCAGCTTTGCGTACAGTCAATTTTAAATGTTGTTCACCCACCGGTCATCCAGCAACACAAAAGAAAAAGATTGATGGGGTTATCATTGTCACCTGATATATGCAATCTTAGGCCATGATGAGCCCAACAGAGTAACACTAAGAGCACTCAGCACATTAATGTATTTTGTTTGCATAACTTAAGCTTAATACATCTGTACTTGGAAAGGTAATGTGTCATTATATAATCCTAGGTTAGTTTTTCGCTCTATGCTGTCGAAATCGTAGTGACCGTGAGTCTGTGCATTCATCGAATTCCCCATTCTATGTTAATGGTAAAAATAGAAAAGAAAAGCACTTGCGTTAAATTTGTTTCTAAGAGTGATACTGGACATCAGACTAGAATTTTCTATGATAAATATATTTTAAGTGGAAGTTTTGTGGTTCTCATAATAACATGTAATCCCACTCATCCTTTTTAATTTCTACTTTAGTGAGCTTTACACATAATAGGGACTTAATTTAAGCAAAAGCTATTTTATGCTCGGTGGGTTGCTTTCAATGACCATGATTACAACCCCCAAAAGCACTGCAACCCCTCAGGAATCCTGCAATTCCTCAAAAACAAAAACCATGTAAAAGAAAGGTCACTTCTCTCCCTCACTACCTTTCACCGAAAAGTTCAAGCGCAGCTACAATTCCTTGACTTCTACATATTAAACTCATTATCAACACTCATTAAAAGCATTTGTGTTTCAAAGTCATCATCAACCCTTTTGTTCCTGCATGGATTCATGTGACTTTCTCTTCACTCCAGCATTTTCTTCCCTCTCACACACATGACAAAGAGAGAGACACAGAGAGAAAGCAATCAAACCATCTGTCAGAAAACTAAATGATTTGTTATGCAACTGAAAATACACTATGAGTTGGGTTTTTAGTGGGCGCTAGTTATATTGTTGAAAGAGTTACACTTTTGAACTTTGGTAGTGGGATTGGTGTTGCAGAATTTTCAGTGGGAATTTTGAACTCTAGGTGTTTGAGGAAAGATGGGTGTTGTCACCATTGGTGAACTGAAGCCTAGCATTTCAGGGAAGCGGTCGTTTCGTCCAAGTTCCAGTATCAGGCATGCCACAGAATGGTAATGTTCTCCTTCTCTGCTAGCTTTTGATTAGTTACCTGCATTTAGTTTGCTAGTTGCAAGAGTAAAAACTCACACACACAAAACACACCAGAAAGTTTGTGTCTTTGAATTTCAGCCTCATTTTCTCTAGCTACTCGTCTCATGGTAGTTTAGTTTCCACCTACCAAAAGGCATTTAGGTGCCCCAGAGTTCATTTGTTGCATCTGTTTTTGGGATTTAATTTGTCCAAGTCAGAGCCTGGGTTTATCATCTACAAATCAACCTAAGCTGAGCAACTGAGGTCTCCCTAAATTTTATGGAAGATAACATCTCATGGCCGTGAACCCGTGACCTTCTACCTGACACTACCAAATCAAAACGACAGTGGCACGAGGTCCAGGCGAATTGCTGTCCACATGCTGCTATGTTTCACTGTCAACATTTTGAAGTGCCAACTGCCAAACGCAGTTAATGCCTTCTTGCATATCAATTATTTTTGCGCCTTTGTCATCTGTAGGCCCTCAAGGCTAAAACATGTACGGACAAGTTATACATTTGGTCACCGAGTATGACAAATCTTCTAGCTTTACATAGAGTAACAACAAGCAAATCCACACCCTGCGAGCTTGTTAATCTTAAAGGACCCCACATGGTGCCCCTGTATTTTTGTAAGGCCGGTGAATTTGGCCAATTTGGTTCCATTTCAGGAGCAAAGCAAGTTCTTCAAACTTTAAATCAACTTTTTAATCCTTTGGCATATCTGGCCTTACTGCCTGTGCAAACTGCAATCCACTCATTTTGAAATTATTGAGTCGTCCCTATCGAATAATTAGTCGCTAGGGAGGATCACTCTGTCCATATGTTTGAGATGTTCCACTGTTCTTAGGTTGAACATAAATTGTGTAGTGTTCTTTCATGGAAATATATAGAAGAAGCTCCTGCAAAGTTTCTGACATGTTGGTACCTATCAACATGTATGCATGCAATTCTAAATTATAACTTGCTTTTTAGTTTTCTTGTCTCTCTTCAATTCCCTTTTAATAACGTTTCCATTTTGCAGGCCAATCTCTGATGTTTCCAGCGATCTTACTGTGGAAATAGGAGCTTCAAGCTTTGCACTTCACAAGGTAAGGAAAATCGGTTCAGCACTAGTAACGCTATTATTCAATCAACTTCTAGCTTGTTATATATCAATATCATGTGACAACTAAACGAACAGTCTATTGAATTATGAAATAGTATTAATAATGATCTGGACATTAATAAGAAAAGAAAGAGAATTAGTAATGTGATGGTGACTATTTTGCAGTTCCCTCTAGTTTCTCGGAGTGGAAGGATTCGGAAACTGTTGCTTGAAGCAAAAGATTCGAAAGTATCACGCATAATTCTATCTTCTGTTCCCGGTGGACCGGAGGCATTTGAGCTAGCTGCAAAATTCTGCTATGGAATTAATGTTGAGATTACACAATCAAATGTTGCCATGCTCCGTTCTGTATCCCATTTCCTGGAAATGACAGAAGAGTATGCTGAGAAAAACCTGGAAACCAGAACTGAAGCTTATCTGAAGGAGATGGTGTTCCCAAACATATCAAAATCAATATCAGTTCTTCATCGTTGTGAGACCCTCTTGCCAACAGCAGAAGAAACCAACCTGGTTAGCAGGCTTATCAATGCAATTGCAAATAATGCATGCAAAGAGCAGCTCACCTCTGGCTTATTGAAACTTGACCACAACTTTCCTACAAAAGCAGCTCCAATTATGGAACCTGAAACACCTTCAGATTGGTGGGGGAAAGCGCTTACAGTGCTTAGTCTTGACTTCTTCCAACGGGTTCTATCTGCAGTGAAAACCAAGGGTCTTAAACAGGATATGATAAGCAAAATTTTGATCAATTATGCCCATAATTCTCTTCAAGGTCTTGTTGTCAGGGATGCCCAATTGGTAAAAGGAAGTCTCTTGGATCTAGAATTGCAAAAGAAACAAAGGGTCATTGTTGAAGCTATAGTTAGTTTGCTCCCAACACAATCAAGGAAGAGTCCAGTTCCAATGGCATTTCTTTCGAGTTTGTTGAAAACTGCAATTGCAGCATCAGCATCCACTTCTTGCAGATCTGATTTAGAGAGGCGGATTGGTTTGCAACTGGATCAGGCAATTCTTGAAGACATCTTAATTCCTGCAAATTCACATGGGAACAACCACAGCACAATCTATGACACAGATGCTATATTGAGGATCTTTTCAATATTTTTGAACTTGGATGAGGATGATGAAGAAGATAATCACTTGAGGGATGAAAGTGAGATGGTTTATGACTTTGACAGCCCTGGATCTCCAAAGCAAAGCTCAATCCTGAAGGTGTCAAAGTTACTGGACAATTATCTTGCAGAAGTTGCACTGGACTCAAACTTGATGCCATCAAGGTTCATAGCACTAGCAGAACTACTTCCAGACCACGCTCGGATAGTGAGTGATGGACTCTACAGAGCTGTGGATATTTTCCTCAAAGTGAGAGTCTCTCTCTGTCCATGTGTTTAAGTCCTAAGCAACTCAACTTTGATTTACACTTTGTCTATGTTCTGCATTTTCATTGTTTCTTTCCAAGATGTTGAGTACCAATGTGCATTTGCATCTGTTTATAGGTTCATCCAAACATCAAGGACTCTGAACGGTACCGGCTGTGCAAAACCATTGACTGCCAGAAACTCTCCCAAGAAGCCTGCAGTCATGCAGCACAGAATGAAAGGCTACCAGTACAGATGGCAGTGCAGGTACTCTACTTTGAGCAAATCAGGCTGAGGAATGCAATGAATGGTGGCCACAATCAGTTCTTCTTTGGGGCAATAAATGGAACCCAATTCCCTCAAAGATCAAGCAGTGGTGCTGGCAGTGGAGCCATCTCCCCAAGAGACAACTATGCATCAGTCAGAAGAGAGAACAGAGAGCTGAAGCTTGAAGTTGCAAGAATGAGAATGAGGCTAACAGACTTGGAAAAAGATCATGTGTCTATGAAACAGGAGCTTGTAAAGTCTCATCCTGCAAACAAGCTGTTCAAATCATTCACCAAAAAGTTGGGGAAGCTCAATGCATTGTTCAAGATCAATAGCATTAAGCCCCTAGGGGGCAAGGCAAGCTCAGAGTCCAGATTTCCATTTCAGAAGCGAAGGCGTCATTCCGTTTCATGACTGTCTAGGAGTGTGAATATATACAAGTACAAGAGTGTATAGTATTATTTCTGTATTGTATTAGTATAATTATAAATTTACAATTCATAAAACTAGTGTGGTGGCTTCTAATCTCAGTTTGACAGTTTTTGAGTGTACGTACTTGAGAGAGATTCTATTTATTTGTTATATAACTTGTGTTCTTGAGATCAAATCCCTCCACTTTTTTTTTTTATCAATAATCATATGAATGCTTATATGTTTGTTTGAGACAAGACGATAAGATTATGTCATGTTTGATGTCGGACAACTATATCTATATGTGGTAATCTTGGGTTTGGTTTGTCAATGTCAATGTCATATTATGAACCCTTCTTTTTGACCGAGACCAAGTTCAAGATTAGTGATATGAGTTTGGGATCCAAGTACATTCCCTTTCAGATACTAAACAAACCAAGCAGATAAATGTCATTTGGTTTGTCAATGTCAATGTGATTTTACGAACCCTTCTTTTTATGGGATAGGTTTTAATTTGGCCAAGCAGATTAATGTCAAATTAGGCGAAAGGACCGAGATTATTAACGGAATGAAACACACGCGCCAAAATATAAATTCAAGCAATATAGAGGGACCAAAGTGGTATTTAACTCTTTCATATTAATATAAATAGGAAGTGGAAAGCAATTCTAACAAGTTGACTCTGTGGCCCAATGGATAAGGCGCTGGTCTACGGAACCAGAGATTCTGGGTTCGATCCCCAGCAGAGTCGTTATTTATTTTTTTTTTTTTTTTTTTTTTTTTTTTAATTTGCCACTTCCCGTTCGCGTTTTGAAGAAGCTTCGGAATGACGTCGTTTTTAGTATCTTGATGAAAAGGGTCTCTCTGCGTGCAACCGTCGTACAACAGAAACGGCGCGTCTTTGAGGTGGGAGAGAGCGAGAGAGAGAGATGAGCAGGTCATTGCCCTTTTCCAGGCTCTTCAGGTACCTCCTCATAATAAGTTTTAGGGTTCCTTCCTTTCAGTTTTAGGGTTTTCAAATGATGCCGAGTAAATTGTTGATAAATAGAAAGTGATTCTAGAACCTACTGGGTTTGATTTAGTGAGCTTTCTCTATAATTAACCCGAATTTGTTTCCTTTATTTTTAGTTCAAATTGGAAATGCTATAAAGCTTTTGAATTTAATTCTGTCTGTTTGGGTTTGGTTTCTGTAAATCACAGGCTTATTAGGATATATGATCTAATGCTATTCTGAGAAGACCCAGATGGGCATTGGCCATAGTTGTTTGATAAAATTCATTTTCTGTTATGCAATGGATAGTTCTTGTATGCCTCATTCATTGCATCTAAGTTGCTGGATAAGAGTAGAGTTGCTAGCTGGGATTTTTATGTGAATGGGAAAAGAAAGAATTGTGCATTTTGGGGTGTATTCCTTTGGCATCATGGTTCGTAGATCGAAACTGAGTTCATCTTGCTGCCCCCCTGTGGTGAAGTTACCCTTCATCATGTGTAGTTGTATGGGTTGAATTTATGTATCTATCTGATGTCCGTGTTTCAAATGATTGCTAGAAACTAGTTTTGATGGCCCTAAAAATTATGCATCACAGACAAGAGTCATGTTTCTGCTTTGTTTTCAGTTGCATACTTGATGTTCCTATATACTTTTGCAAGTTATTTTCTTTGTTATTTTTTGCATTCAATTGGGATTATTTCCTATTTCTTGTTGCATAGGCAGCTGGAGCAAGAGATGGAAACTGTGGTAAAGGTACTGCAGCCTGGACCTTTAGGAATCATAGAGCACAAGTTCTCTGCTGAGGAGATACGCAAGGCAAATGCTACAGTTCAGAGGGCTGTGGAAACTTGGCGGCAGAATGCAATCCTAGAGCAGAGGAATCCACTCTTGAAAGATTATATTCATAAGTGAAGGATCTGCTCAAAGCTAACCTTCATGGGTAATGGATCAATCGAACTTTGTTGAATACATAAATTCTCTCGCTCTATGCGGGAAGTGAGAACCTGTTACAAATGTGCAGTTCATGTATTCCTTTCACAGTTTTGTTTTTTATGTTGTGATATGAAGAAGGAAGTGCTTAATTTCTTTTAGTCTCAATAATTATGACTCATTTGGCAAGTATACATATCTCCTATCTTTCACTGAAGATGATAAACTGTGGAGACGTTGTGTTGACATTGATAAGGAAATAAACTGCTTCCTTATGAAAACAGCATTGGAGGTGCTGAACCAGTGCCCTTTCAATAGCCTGCCCATTTAGAAGTTCATCCAGCTCGTACACTGTAGGATTTGCCCCATAACTCGATATCAGTGACTTGATGGTGTGGCTCATGTAGCTAGAGCTCTTGCTGAAGACTTATCGTATCCATGAATGCCTGGAACGATGCGGATTAAAAGCGTCGTGAGTTGTTTGTGAAGTGAAATTGGTGGAGATTGCTTGCTTGCTAATAGCTATGTGGCTGCTGTGAGGAGCGCTCGTGTTGGTCCCTTTATGTTGTGCATGTGTTGTATTGTAACGAATAAAATATTACATCACCAGAAAAAGTCATCGATCGGATTCTCAGACCATCGCCCTTATTCTTTAAGCATGATTAGTCGATAAAGACGGACCAACTTTGCTCTCTGAAAATTGTTATTTATGACATAGGCTTTAATTCACGGGGTCTAAGCAATTGTCAACTCAATGTATAACTTACATACAAAGAGTCGTTCTATGGTGAGGGTGTCATATATGGATCATAGACGTGGACCTTTATATTAGACATAAGATTCACTTGAATAGTAACTTCACTTAAGTTTAATGAAATGATCTTGTAACTAATATAATTTTCTACATGAAGGGTCCATATATGGCGCTCTCGCTATAAAATTTCGCTACGTATAGACTAATAAGGGTGTACATGAGGTTTTTCAATCTTGTAAGTTTATTGTAATATTTTCTTGGGCCTGATTTTGTGCATGTCAAAATGTGGCTCACGCTCATTTTATTAAATCATGGGCCTGGTTGGGGCTTTATTTTATTTACTAGAAAAAGGCAAATTCTTTCTTAATCAAAATGTATGCATGACGTACAAGTACAATGGAGTGATGTTTCTGCTTTGTATCCAGTTTGCATACTTGATGTTCCTTTATTACTTTTGCAAGTTACTTTCTTTTTATTTTTTGTATTCCAATTAGAATTACTTTCCTGTTTCTTGGAGCATCTGCGCAAGCTAACTTTCATGGTAATGGAGCGATCAAGCTTTGTTGAATTATACATGAACTTCTCCATTCCATGGCAGAACGGACAGCTCGGGGGGAAATGTCAACTTCAGTGGATATATTTTTCAGAACCAGAATAAAGTAAAGCAAAACGCAAGATCGATTCGTGGCATCCTAACCATTTTCTTCTTCATTGATTTTCTTTGAGCTTGATTGATGCAAGTTCAGCATTCACAGTGTTTCATAGTTCTGTGAATTATAAATAGTCTTAATTAATCACAGTTATAGATAGATCAACCATTGCAGTTCAACTCTCCGCCTTTATTACATACATAATATAATTAAGGGAGATTACATGAACTGAACCCGAAAAAAAAAGATTACATGAACTGAAAACATATAAATAATAAGCTCATCCTCTTCAACCTAGACCAAGAGGAAACTAATAACTTCAGCCTGGACCAGAAAAGAAGAAACTAAAGAGTAAACAAAGCTAGGAGGGAACAGAAAAAACTGTTATTTGAGCTTTGTTAATTAGTGGACGTACGTAGGTACGTCTTGAAATTATTATTATTATTATTATTATTATAAGAGATATAATAATATAATGTGTATTATTTTAATTGTAGATAGATGAGGAATTTGTAGGAAAATATTATTCAGGTTCTGTTCCAAACCCAAATAGCGTTGGCCCTTATGAGCCGTGGGACAAGCTGGTTTTGGACTTGGAGGCTCATGACCTGATCAGCTCCACCAATGAACTGCTGCCCTATGAAAACAGCCGGCACACTTGGTTGGCATTGGAAGTGCTGAACCAGTGCCCTTTCAATAGCCTGCCCATTTGCAACTTCATCCAGCTCGTACACTGTAGGGTTTGCCCCATAGCTACGTATCAGTGACTTGATGCTGTGGCTCATGCAGCTAGAGGTCCTGCTGAAGATCACCACCGGCCTTTCGGCCACCATGCTCGTTATCGTATCCATAGTCGGAGCCTGGAACAATGCAGATTAAAAGCTTTGTGAATTGTGAATTTATTGGAGCTTGCTTGCTAATAGCTAGGTATAGCTTGTTGCTGTGAGGAACTTAGATCTCTCATGTTGGTCTCTTTATAGTGTGCATGTGTTGCATTGTAACGAATAAAATATTAGATCACCAGAAAAAGTCATCGATCGGATTCTCATATCATCACGCTTTATCTTTAAGCATGATTAGTCGATAAAGACAGACCAACTTTGGCTCTCTCTGCAAGGTTAGCTCCAAAATATGACCAACCCCATTTTGGCACTCTTTCTTTAGTTATATGCACTTCAAACAGAATATTTTACAACTCACGTGAGGACTGCAAATAGCGCTAAGTGTTAAAATCACTGGCCTTGAATAAAGCTAGGGTGTGATTGGAGGATGTCACTGTAGACCCAAAGGATTGGCATATTCACCACCTGCAGGAAGAAACAGTGGAAATGATGCCATGCCAATATATTTTAGACATATATAAATTAAAGAACACCTACTAATGGTTGAGAGTGTTTGTCTCACGTGGAAAAGTTAAGGGACATAGCTTGGGTTTATAAGGAGTTGGGCTACTCCTCTATTGCCAATTGGTTTTAAGGTAGTATCTCAATTTCCTTCATGGTATCAGAGCAAGGCTTCACGTGTTTGGCCCAACGGCCACACGTATTCCCACGTCATAGAATATATGTTGTCTACGTGTTAGGTTTGAAAGCTCGCCATACGCACGGAGGAGTGTTGAGACTAGTGTTTAGGAGCATCTGCTCTATATTCTGCTAAGGTGGAGACAGAAGATGAGTTTATCTAAAGGGGGCAAAGATTCCCATCCACTTCAGTTTAACCAAACCGAAATCGATCTATTGGAGAGAGAGCTAGAAAAAAAGTAAAATAGACTTTGGAGGGATAACATATATGCTTAAGAAAGATTATTTGTCTCCTACTTAATCCACGTGATTACCGTACAAGTAGGAGAAGATACCTCAAGGACCCACCCCACCTCTTGATAGAATTGATAATATTCTGTGTAAATTGTAGCTAGAATTAGTAAATTAGTACATGGTTTTTGATTCAACTAATTATTAGTTTAGTGATATTTCTCTTCAAAATATTCGAACTCCGAAACATAGTCGGTTGCTGCCCACAAATTCTGACCATTGAATATTGACCAAAAGGATTGGACATGGGCCATTAACCCTTAAAATTAAATTATAGTTTTTAGGACATCTAGTCAATCCCTAATCATTGATTAGTTTCCAGTTAAGACCTTTGCAACTTTTGTAGAACAGTCCAATGAACAGAAGATAAAATAAAACTTTGATGATCGATTCTTATTGCAAATGTCACTTAATTATATTAGTATATATACATACATAGGCCAGTCGCATTCGTAGGTAGGAAACTATAGTTCAAGTGATTTGCTATCAATATCATAATTAAGTTGCTGCCAGTGATGGATATGGATAAGAAATTCCTTATACGTACAAGTTCAGATTTTTTTTATATTCCCGATGTCAACATTTTAATAATCAGTTAATACTTAGTTCATTATCAACAGTCAATGTAGAATTGATTTTGTTTGATCTTGATTCTGATTGATTTGGATTTCAAGAGCATATATGTCCATGCTTGCATGTGAATGAAAGAAAAGGACTAGCTAAGTTTTTTTATATTATTATTATTTATTTTTTAATTTTTAAAGTTTGATTTGTCTGCAGGTACGATTTTAGATTGAACCGCAACATCATGATGATGAACCTGATACCTGAGCTCATTTTGCAGTGATAAATTAAGTAATCAAATCATCATATATATTCTTGCTTTTTAATCTATGCGCGAATTAATATTCTTGTGATTTTGAGAGACATACAATAATATATTGCATGCACCAACATTTTCATTTCATGTTGATCAGTAAACTTCTGCTTAGAGCCCATTTGATAACCGTTTGCAAAAATTTAGTGATCTACATTTTCTTTTGTATAGAAAGCTTTTGCAGGAGAATAAGCTTAAGCTAGCTCCATTTCAAGTTCATACGGAGGATATACAGAATGTCAATTTTCTTTGGATAAGTGGGGACTGTATCTATATTTTTGTGGACAACATATGTCTGGAGAGAGAGAATACATACATATATACATATATACAAGATTGCAAGGTCGACGGCTCCTGGCATCACACAAACCTTCTGAGACTGCAGCCTATAAAACTTATACATCTCGATTTATTAGGTTCACATTTAAATAATAATATTCCATGAGGTGGAAAATCTTTTCTTCTTTTGGTCCAACAGATGGAAAATCTATCTTGTTTTTAGCAACACACTAGCTATCAAAGACAAAATCAAAGTTTAGGACAATTCCAAAGGTGGATGGAGAGCATCTTTGTACGCGTAAAGCTTTAATAAGTTGTTCTTTTCGTCTTTCCCTTGTCATCACATGGGTTGCCTTGCTATTCCATATTTTCTTGTCCTTCTCGCGTAATGTGATCATACCCTTGGGGCCTCTCTCATGGAACACGTGTTTATCAGATTATTGAGAAATTTCCGTGTATTACTCGAATAAAGACACGTGGTATAATTGTACACAATAACCTAATTATAATATAAGTAGATATTTATTATACTGTAACACATATAAACAAGCTGTCTAACCGTATTATAACATGTAAAGACATAGTCGTATTACATGATCATATTGTGTATTGGTACCATTGTGGGCTTTACTTATGTTATATGAACATACTGTATAAATACGATCAACTGGGATTGTACAAGTAGTTTTATTTTGTGGGGTAATGCTATACTTACTTATCACGTTTTAATATCATCTCACATGGCAGTTGAGGTGGACATCCAACTTATTAAAATTATATATATATATATATATATATATATTGACATATCAATTTCTTCTTATTTTCATTAATTAAAAAAAAACTAACCCTACTGGATTAGAGACTCTTCAGTTTTCACGTTGTCTGTCGACCTCCACCAATTCCATCTCTCCCTCCTTCCTCTCCTCCCCACCGTCGGCACTCTACCGAACCCATTCAGCATATCCATCACCTCTTCGCCGCCGCAAGACTCCCTCCTACTTGGCTTTTTGGTCAGTACACATGTAATAATAACTGCAGATCTGCTTTATCAAAACCCATATCATGATCAACATCATCGCGGTATAATGGTCCTTCTATGAGAGGTTATGGAGGTGGTCGAGGCTGGTGATGCAAGGAGAGTGTTATGACCCCTCAACTACCATTGACCATAGACTGTAGACATCATCTCAAAGGTGGACTAACCAAAAATTAAAGGAGGAGGGAGGGAAGCGGTGGCTGAGATCGACGGCAAAGATCGGGCGAAGCGCTGATGATGGGTAGAAGGGAGAGGAGAGGAAGAGGGAGAAAGGGAATTTGGGGACATCAACAGATAATGTGAAAACTGAAAAGTCTCTAGGGTTAAGTTTTTTTAATTTTTTTAATTAATGAAAATTATAAGAAACTGATATCTTTTTAAAAAAAATATAATTTTAATGAGTTGAATGTCCACCTCAACTGCCACGTGAGATGGTATTTAAAATGTGCTATAATTATGTGGTAAGCATAACATTACCCTTTATTTTGAATACAAGTCATAGACTAAATTATAAGATAGAGGGAGTTTCTCACACACTATATACCAACGTGCCAAGAAAGTTTGAACTTGAGATCACGGATCTCCAAATCAGGGCCCTTTTCTACTAGGTCTAGACCCATTGGCTTACTTACTTGTAAGTAATATAGATAATCGTATGTATCCGATCTTTACATTACTTATGGTTTATATGTTCGATGAAGCCTCTGTAAATACATCTACATATACATATATAAAAATATAATTCATCAAAAACATGACAGTACGTACGTAGTTCTCATTTAGTTAGTAACTGATGCAAATCGAAGTACAAAAAGATATGGACCGAGCCTCCTATATTGGATAGAGGCCGGCCATTTTATCAGTACATCTGCTGGGTGTGCATAGTAAGTCTATGCTACTAATCATCATCGATCGTTCCAAATCCAAATAGCTTTAGCTCTCATAAGCAAAGGGACAAGCCTGTTCTGTACATGGAGACTCATGACTGTGTTCGTACCTCCCACCAACTCTTGGCCTATGAACACAGCTGGTACACTTGGCCTGCAACCCCGCTGAAGCAGCGCCCTTTCGATTTGCTGCCCGTTCGGCATTTGATCCAGCTCGTAAACTGTAGGGTTTGCCCCAAACCCACGTAGGAATGACTTTGTTGAGTGACTCATGCAACATGAACTCTTGCTGAAGATCACCAATGGCTTCTCATCCACCAATCCTGCCACCATGTCCATCTCTCTTCGATCGCTTCGATCTCTTGCTACCTGCCTTTTTACTTGGAGAATTGACTTGAGGTTTTTGCTTGATGAGGAACTTGAGATCCATTATGGGTCTATTTATACTGGTTCATATCATTGTTCAGTGCGGTAGGGGATTGCAATGTTTAAAACTTTGATCGACATAGAATATAGAAGCTTTTAGCTAGCTAGTGATTATGTAATTCGATTCCCAAATTACCCTTTATGCATGCATGATTTACTTGGTTCTGTGCAAGACATGATCAACTGAACACTTCGCACGTTTATATGAAATTGGGTATGTGCAGGCATATGTATCTGCCCAGCATTTTGGCAAGGTTGAGGTGAAACTTGTCATTGTGAAAGGGCCATGCATATGGAATAAACAAGTTGCATATACATATACTTACATGCAAATTGTGACAGCATTGTGGGATCTCTGAGTTCCCAAGTTACCCTTAACGTACCAAACAATCTATAGCCGCAATATATACATTGTCCTTTGCAAGCACCAGATTCATGTTTTGCATGCATTTTATCCCTAACCAAATTAATATTCATTACAAAAATAAACTTAACTATTGGCTCAGGTTTAGTTTGATATTGTAAGTAATTAATGTCAATGTGTGCAAGGGGTTTATTTTATTTAATTATTTTGAGTACAAACGGTAGTCTAAACTATAGGGGAGAAAGATTTCTCACACATAAAACTGTGGGATTCGAACATAAGACCTCTTGTCTGCAAGTCAAGGCCATTTTCCACTGGCGGGGTTTATTTTGTTATTGTTATTGCTAAGATATATATGAACGGAACGCAGGAGTTTAGTTAAGGGAAAGTAAGCTAAAGGGTATTTTGGTATTTATTCATTGCAACCCAGGTCTCATCATCTATTCTGGAGCATCTAGGTATAGTTTATAGTGGAGAAGAAGTTGGGTTTATGGAATGAGTAGGATAACAAGATTCGTGTACGTCCTCTTCAAGTTCAATTGAAGAGATCCGAAAGCGTGAATATAAAGTCAAGAGAAAGGAAGAAACAATAATTTACGTACATACATAGTTAAGATTCTGATTAAAGGTAAGTTAACAGTTAACTTGCCCCTTGGCAGCATGAAAATCCACCCAAAAATAAAACATTAAAAAGAAACTAAGATCCAAATTATTCAGGTCCAACTTGAACTTGCTATAGGCTATGTATCAAGATTTCAATGGTTTCTTTTGGAACAAATTTATATATGTCATCAATCATCTTGGTTCCAATTCGATTCGATCTACATAAAAAAACCAATTATCTCGTGTGCCAATTACATTAAATATGTTTGGCCCGGTTTGATTAGAGGAGCATGAGGTTCCAAAAGAAGATTGCTTTCACAAAAGCTCTTTTCTTACCTATATATGGATATTATTTCTTCTGCAACTAGCCAGTTACACACTGACAAAACAATAGAAAAGGATTTGCTTTGGGTATATTCGCCACCTCACCAAAATGATCTCAGCTATCCATCCCATTTGATTTCATTGCCAATGTATAAAGTTTGTCAACCCTAAACGTCACGATTATGCATGCATATGCAGAAAAGAAAGAAGGATAATCTAGAACATAAATTATGGATAATGTTATAATATATGTTTGAGTTTGACAATAAAAGTAGTACGAGTGGACACGGTTGGGGATATGTAGAATTTAACAAATGCGATAGCATCCCGAATGGATTAGATAAAGATTAAAGAGTGCTTGCTTGCTGCAACTTGTTTAGAGTAGAATTCTGCCCTTTTTTGCAACTCCATCTGCCTTCTTTTAATATATATTATAGTTTGCTTACTAATCCAGAAAAGGAAAGAAGATATTTCATCATCAACTAGGTTTTGACTTTAGAGGAGTGAGGTGGGCGGTTGTCACTTTGCATATGCTATATGCTACGGGTCCATTTCATAACCATTTTCAATTTTAGTTTAGTTTCATTTTTCATTTTTTATGCTAGAATATAGAGGAAAATTAGAGTGAGATTGAAAGTATGAGATTGAGTGAGAGGATGAGAGGGAGGAGAAACAAACGTGAAAACAAAAACTTCAAAGTGATGAAAAAATTTCAAATAGATTTTTTGTTCTCACTTTTGTTACTTCTCCCTCTCAATCCCATCTTCACTCTCATTCTCCCTTTTTTCCCTTTGTGCTCTAGTAAAAAATGAAAACTAAAAACTAAAAATAAAATGGTTTTCAAGCGGGACCTACAATTTTAGTGATTTTCCAAATTTTCTTTTGGTCAAAATTAGTGTTTGTTGCCAAGCCCTTGACGCCCAAGCGATGAGAGAATGTGGGGCAAGGATTAGGATTTGTTCAGGTTTTGCTTCCCTTCAATGTAACCAAATAATACACATTCTTAGTACTTACAAGTAACTGTATTGGTCCAAAAACAGATTTAAGAAATAAGGGAAGAATAAAGAGTGATTAACTCGTTTTGCATGCAACGTATCAATGGACTTCTCAGATGGATAAAAAATGGATGTGGCATGTGAGAATCTCTGGCACTGGGCCTCTTAGGAACTCACAATTTGTGGCCAATTATGTATTCATGCTGGGTACTCAAGTTTCGACATAAACGAGCCAAGAGAGAAGGCAGAAGAGACAAATTTGACTACAAAACTTAGTCCAGAAGATGTAGAAAACTTTAAGGAAAACCAATCTGAATATAACCACTGTCTACTGTAGTATCAATAATTAGTTTAGAGCTCAAAAAGTGCTTGTTCACACCACAAATTACAAACCAAGAGTGTTTGCATTGTGGTTGCGCTGGCCATTCGATGATCATATTCGAACCACAGAATTATAGTGCTCACCAAGCCCAAATGCATGCTTATGGTATGACAACATAATACTCGAATCAGAAGAATCCGTACTGCTGCTATCTGATTTGTACTCCTTGCCCATCTCCACATCAGGGAAGGATCCTGAGTATATCATGATATGCTTTTTAAGGCAGTGAGTTAAAGCACCAAGCTCTAGCTGCCCTCCCCATGCCGCTGTTGACTCTACTTCTTTACAGTAATTCTCAAACCTCTCTGCAAGTGAATCCTCAGAATCTCCATCTACTGGATTCTCTGACAAAAAAAAAGGGAGAAAATCACATGCATGCTTCCTCATATAAGCAGCCACCATTTCTCGAAGCTCTTGGTACATGTGAGGTGATGAACCTCCGGAAAGATGGGCCAGCTGATCCTGGATAGCTCGGTAGAGGCAATGACCATCGGGCTTTATTTCATTAATGGTCAAACCAAGGGGTTCAAGCTTTTTCTCTAGCTTCTCATTCTCAATCATTCGATCACTTACAAGGTTGCTCTGCTCTTCTTGAATTCTTTGCTCCCTAGCTGCATCTTGCTGAGCTCTTTTCTCCCGCCTCTTTGAACTCTTGCTGGGCTTTGCTTGGTCAGGTTGACTGGTGACGGAAACACCAGCTATGGCTTTCACTAAATTGTCAAGTTTTGCTTTCTCAGTTCCATTACTAGTGCTATAGCCTAATGAAGCAAGTTCTTCAGCATGTTTTTCTTTAAGCTTAGCAGAAAGCCGAGAAATCTCTTCCTCCACCTGCTTTTTCTTAGCTTTTTGTTCGGCCTTGCTACCTTTGGCAGCTGCCTTCTTCATTTCAATTTCCTTGTCCTGAAGTTTTGATATCTCTTTCCTGTATAAACAGACATGTCAAAGGGGAATACCAGAATTATCCATGGGAAACTTAACAAAGTCGACCTAACCAATGTTTAAGACACCAGCCTCAATGAACCTATAATAAGTCGTCATTCTTATTATATCAACCACTTCTTGGAGAACATGAAAACGCATCATCAACACAATTTCATCAATTCAAATATATTGAAGATAAACCTTCGTATTAGTCAACCACAAGTGCGTTTGACTACCATACACATGTAAATAACAGATCGTATTTGCATTACCAATGTAACTACCAGCCAACTACAACATCATAACAATAACTAAAAGAAAACAAGTGATAAAAATGCAGACTTGATGAGCAAATCACCTGTGCCTCGAAAGCATTTCATCACGAGTTTCCTGTGTATTTTCAGATGATTTGTCTGACATTGTTTCAGATACTTCTTGGGCATCCTCCATTTGAGCAATCCTGAAAGCCACTTTGAACAATAATAGTATTATCCATCAAGAAGATCATAAAGTTTCAAACTTTTCTAAACCCAGGCCTAACCCAACATCTAATAAAAGCAGAAAGTAAGAAATTTTCATGACTAAACCAAATCCAAACATGAAACATAACACCACCATATACAAGGAACTTCACTTAAAGTCCAGGGGATACAATAAACAACTTAAAATATACTAACCCAAACTGAGATAATCAAATTCCACACCCATGGAACCTGTAAGTCTAATCAAGTGCAATCCAACCATTTGACAATTAAAACTCTGTTTCGGTTCAAGGATTTGAACCAACGGTTTGGGTGCTTGACATGCTGAGACAATGAACTTGAAATTCCAAATTTATTTTAGCTGATAGGTAGAACGAAATCTACTTACCCGAGAGTCCTTTCAACCTCGATGCCGACCGAAAGCTGAAGCCTCCAAATTTATCGTTATCACTGCAAAGCCCTAACCCTAGGGTCCAATTCCGATTACACACTCTCCGCAAAGCCTAATTGAGGTTGGGGAGAGCCAAAGGAAATTTCTTTTTAAATATTATTATATATAAGGAAACATTCGACTATTAATTCGAGGGTTTTGCATTAGAATATAAAGTTTTTAAATGGGAAGGCGCGAATGTAACGCTATCATCAATTTTTTCTCTATTGTGCTATAGGTTAGCATGGTAAGTCGCCAGTTAGATTAAGTCATGCGTCCTAGGTTTTGATTTATAATTAGGATTTTGTAATACATAAATGTATTTTAATGGTATGTGTCACGTAACATGTAAGTTCTTACTTAAGTTTTTCTCGTATGAACATGGTGTGCAAACTCACTCATAATGTTTTTTTAGTAAAAATATATTTTTCAATCTCGACACACAAAGATATTATTAAAATAATTTTGATGAAATTTATAACTATCTTTCAATGATTTTATTAATTTAATCGTATGATTATGTTAAGAGATCACAAATGTTAGAGAATATTTGGGTAAGTAAGATCTTGTAGCACCGGCAGAGGAACACATAGAACCTATTAGATTTGCTTGGGTTTAACGCATATAATCTGAATTTTTTTAGGCATATTTTCCCGTTATGGAGAAAAGTGAAAATTCTCAAGCAAAGGGATAAAAAGAAAAGTAAAAGAGAATCAAGTCTCAACAAGCAATAGGGCCCAAAATGCCCCTCTATTGTTCATTATCTAGCCCATCCTACACAGCACAATTTAAGCAGGAAGTGGATCCAATGGGTTGAAGCCCACCCACTCCCCAACCCAACCAAATCCCACAAATGCTCCTGAGTCATTTTGTTAGTGAGGGCTTTATATATGACCTTTAGGTGAGGTCCTATTCTTTAACTGTTGAATCAAGCTAACCAATTTGATCCAACGATAATCAATTTAATTTGACGATTAAAAGATAAGACCTCACCTAAATGCCATATATAAGACCCTCACTATAGAAATCTTGAAATGCCCTCACCCTCATCTAGGAAAAATACTTATCTAACCTGTTTCATTAAAGCGATTCTAGCAACAACACTCAGCCCATGGCAGGACAAGGCCTAAGTCCAAAAAGCAGCTTCCAGCAGGCTTGTGAAGCCCAGGCAGGCCATGGGTCCCACGAGACTGGGCCAACCTGAAGGCGAAACTAGCCCGAAGGCTATTGACGTCAACGTAGTAATTCAATTTTTTTCTGCCATGTGGCGCGTTCTGGTGTGCTGATGCTTTTAAAAAATAAAAAATAAAAAATCCAACGGCTGGGTTTTTTTTTGGGCAAAAAAAAATGTGAAAAAAATTCACCAAAAAATTCTGAACTTTTTTTTTCTATAAACACCTACCATTCTTCTTCACTTTCAACACAAAATCCTCATATAATTTCTTCTCCTTCTATTATTTTTCATTTTCTACACAAAATTTTCAACACATTCCATACATCAAACAAAATATAATCAAAAGAAAAAACCACAACCAAAGCATAACTAAAAATAAAACATAAACAAAACATAAATAAAAATATTCTCCAAGTTAATTGTTTAGGTTAAAAAAAAATAAAAAATGAAACAAACAAAAAATGAATAGTATTTGCCATTTTCCATGGCAAATGGGTGGAGTTGTTGTTAACCTCTCCTTTTCTCTCTATCTGAGGAGGGAGGTGGCTAGAGGGGACAATGAAACGGCAAGTTATCCAATCGTAAATGGCTTGTCAATGTTGTGATGCATGTCGACTGATGAGGACAATGCTAAGTTGTCAATGTGATACATGATGATGATGATGAATGGCTTTATTTTTATTCTTTTGATTGAGATGGGTATATGGAGACACGTGCCATATTCCGGATTTTAATATTAGGATTCTTTGCCAATAGAGAAGAAGATCATGCAGAACAATCAAGAAGATGCATTTATTCCCAATCTTCAGTGTCATGGAATGAAGACTTATTTTTTTTCCCTGGAATTTCTGGGATGGGATTGCTTGCAGGGCTGTTTACTCAATGACACATAAAGGAATATTATTATTATAGGTATCAAAATATAGATCATAAATATGCATGTGAATTTGATGGAGGGACCATATCAGAAAGAAAGAAAAAGAAAGTGAAATTCAATTGGATAAACTCTATCCCTTCTCCACATCAGCCACATACTGCAACATATGCAATGCAATCCGAACAAAAACCAGATTGATTAACCAGCTTTATCTCTGCATTTTCCCCCTCTTCTTAGATTTGGGTTTGGGTTTATGGGTGGTGTACGTTTTGTCTCTGTACACAATGCCAAAGTGGGGTCTAAAATTCCTAGCTAGCTAGTCTCTGACTTTGTAAAAACAATTGCAAAGGAAAACGCTAGGGATAAAGTTCATTCTTGTTGTCCCCCTCTTCCCTAAAGAGTTAATTTGCAACCAACCAAGAAATAATTAATTAGTATATCTTGATGCAACCAACCAGGGCCGAAAGTGTGTATTGGTGGTCAATATATAAACATATATGTGTGATTCTTATTCTTAACACTGTTCATAGTACGGACATTCCAGCAGATCTCAAAATAGACTGAAAATTATCATTACCCTGTGTCTCTGTCTGTGTGTGTGATTTTATATATATATATATATATATATATATATATAAATTATATTGTATATATGCTGCATGCAATTTGTGTATAGCATATAGCAGAGTCGCCATCATGCAAATCATCAGGGGCATTTTTCTTATCCAAACAAATATCTAAAGCAGCTACTACTTTCTCTTTCTTATCCATTTTATGGTTCTTAATTGTTTCTCTCTCCTTTTTTCTCTCAAGATTAAACAATGCCATCCAACAGCCTCTCCAGCCTTTATAAATAGGCTGATCAATCCCAAACTACACCAAGCAAACCCTCAAACCAATTAGCCATTAAGCTCTTAGTACATCTGCTTTTGCTGCTCTTGCATATAGCATTTCCCATCACAAACAAATCTTTAATTATAGTTTCTGCTTCTGGGTTTTGATTTGCAGAAGTGATCAGCATTGCTAGTGATTTCTCTGCCCTTTACAGTGTTTGCATTAGTCAGTATACTTTGTTTTCTCTAGAAAAATGGAGAGTGTAAGAGAGTTGGCTTCAGAGAAGGCTGCTGTGATTTTCACAAAGAGCTCATGCTGCATATGCCACAGTGTGAAATCACTTTTCTATGAGCTTGGTGCAAGCCCTGCGATTCATGAGCTCGATCGATATGCCAATGGGAGGGACATGGAGTGGGCATTGAGGCAGCTGGGCTGCAACCCTGCTCTCCCTGCTGTGTTCATAGGTGGGAAATATGTAGGCTCATCAAAGGATATCATATCCTATCATGTTGATGGATCTCTAAAACAAATGCTCAAGGATGCAAAAGCCATCTGGTTCTAGCCAGGCTGCTAGCTAGCAGCTTACACATATTACACAGAAATTAAGCTATGCTAGTTAATGCTCTGTTAATTAGCTCTAAGTATACACAGAAAAGAATCCCAATACCATGCTTCAAGAAAAATGAGTATTGAGGTATATTTTCCTTTTTTCTTTTTCTACTATGTATGTAACTTCCCTGGCTGCATTCTATGTATGTGAAATGAAGTCAGATCATATGAAAAGTATATCCTGGAGAGTTCTGAAACTTTTCTCCATCAAAACATCTTCTACTTTTACATTACAAGTAATTGGACACTGCAATTTTCCCTATCTGTCAAATCAGCAATGGATCTAACTACATTGACCTATTTATGTATTTGGAATCCCAACTTAGGTGGCAACTGATATGCACCCCACATCGTTGTCCAATGCGAGAATGCCACCTAGGTTGGGAAAGAAAATTGGGAGAATGCCACCTATAAAATTTCATGATAAGACTGACTAACTAAACTGCAGCAGGTTTTTCATTTGTTCACAAAAGAGTGTTTCCATGCTAAGCTAGATTAAAATTTTCTAATAAAATTAAGTTTCAACCAAGCATAACAGTAACCTTTTATCATGATCAAGATTTCTGATCATCTGATCAATGATAAGAGATTTCCAATACAAAAAACATATCCTCTAGATTAGGTGGGTCCCTGGTTGAAAAACTGAGAATCGCATTTGCCTATGAAATGTAAAAGGCTATAAAGTTTTTTCTGTTATTATGTGAGTTTGTATATGCATGGAAGATAAGAATCTTTTCTTTGCATATATAATATATATATATATATGTATATATATATATACTAGGCTGTGGGTGCAGGTTAATCTTTGAAGGAAAAGATGAAATGGTTGGGTGGTTCTCAGCATTCTGACGGTTGGGGCTCTCTCCCTTGAATTCCCCAGAGACTACATGCCAAGTGAATTTTATGGGAAGCCATGTGCATGACAGCTGCTGAGGATCAGAGACAATGAAGCTTTGATTGATGCCTTTAGGCTCCTATAGCTAACCTTTTTGGGCCTTGTATTCCTCCAAATCCAAAAGGCCAAAAAGTTCTTCCATATGTCCTTCATCTATATAAAGAATAAGAAATTTAATAAATCAGAATCTCTGCAGGAGTATCTGATATGAACATCAAAAGAATTTAGATTTTCACTGATATGTTATATATGCTGATTGATGACTCATTATACTCTAAAAAGGCTTGCTCCAAGAAGAGGAATATCTGGCCTCTTCATTTAAACAGAAAAGAAGTTGCTCTTCTAAAACGTATGGTGATCATTTCCATATGCCTATCCACATACATGTGGAGCATGGAAAAGTTTGGAAACTTAACAGTCTGTATGAACAATATCTAAGCTAGCTCTCTCACGTACGTGTGTGCCACATGTACGTGTCACGTGTGAAAAGGAATCGTTCAAGTTGGTGGACGCAACACAACAGAATCGCAGCCACCGAAAGCCATCTATCTATCTCATTCCCCATTTTTCTGCACAAGGATTCAAGGAAGGTGATTTAGGGAATCTGGTATAAATTGATCCCAGCTGCCTTATGGAATAACTTTCTACTTTTGTTGTGTCTAGACAGAGAGTATATTTATATTTGATGTTTGTTTCCATTAAATTTGTATAACCTGAAGAAATGGTGCATAGGCTATACACGTAGGTCGCATATAAATTACACCACTCAATATATATGCAGTCATATACCTGAGAGATATTAATTCACTTCAGCTAAGCATGTACTGCATGCAGTAAATACATCTGCCATGCAACTTGTTCAGTCTAATAGATGTTTGGAGTCTTTATCTTAAAAAGTAGCTTTTCTTTGTTTGGGCATCTAAATAAAGACCATCCTCTTTTGAATTTTCTTGTTCAAAGAAAAGCAGTCCACCCTGCTAATGCTGTCCCTATAAATAGTCCAGCAATTGAGAGCTCAAATATTCAAACAACCTTAAGCTTCAAACTCTTCTCTCTAGCCAACCTAGCTAATTATCTATTTCTTCTCCTCATAACTCCAAAAGCCAATTTAACCATTGGATCGAGTTCAGTTTGAATTCGATCCGATGGTTCTGATAAAGTCTTAAGTAAACTAGTAGTCTTAGGTAATCCAGAGGACTACTCTTTTCCTTAGTTCTTTTTTTCCCTTCAAGGCAGAACTTTGCCATATTGGGAGGATACTCTTGATCAAGTGTTTTTTTTATCAAGATGGACAAAGTAATGAGGTTGGCATCAGAGAAGGGTGTGGTGATTTTTAGCAAGAGCTCATGTTGCCTGTGCTATGCAGTTAACATTCTATTTCAAGAGATTGGGGTGAGTCCTGTGGTTCATGAGATTGACCAAGATCCTGACGGCAGGGAAATGGAGAAGGCTCTTTTGAGGCTGGGGTGCACTGCCCCCGTGCCGGCCGTGTTCATAGGCGGAACCCTGGTGGGATCAACCAATGAAGTCATGTCCCTCCACCTAAAAGGCCAACTCATCCCAAAGCTGAAGCCTCACCAGCAGCAGACTACGTCTTAATTAAAACTACTCAAATATCATGTTGGAAAAAAAATAAATTGGCTCAAATTAGTACTGTCGTAGTGAGTCTGCATGCAAAGTCTATGTAGTAGTGCTTCTTTCTTTTTTTTCTTATTTTTTTCTCCTTGAACAAGTTATGTAGTGTTTGATGTGTCTAGTGCTCTGTAACATTTGATCAGCTATAGCATGTATTCTATTTCCTATTCTTAATGAAGTTAGCATTATATACTTTCTGTCTTGGTGTGCAATTTTGTAGTTTGCTGCTTCCCCACTGCCACTATACAATGTCCAAAATGAGAACAATACCATTTTAAACTATGAAATCTAAACATTGCAGTAATGCAGACTCTAGATCATTTGGAGATCTTAAAATGCTCTCCCTTCGTACTTCCCCCACGCAGAAGAAAAGGCGAAAAAAGAAGAAGAAGAAACAAAGCTCTCTCCACAACGTGAAACAAAATGTAAGTGAATAGCCAGTTTATTCATTATTTGTTGTTGTTGTTGTTGTTTTCTACGGTCAACCTCTACATATAGAATATCCTGAAGTACACTGTATGCTGAAAATTCTCTGAAATGATTGGAAACAGACAGCGCAAAATATCAAGAGTTCGGGATTTAACTAGCTTTCAAATCATTATAGTAAATTGTGAATCTCTTTTTTTTCTTTTTAAACCGTTTTTAAGCATTCTGAGAAAAGCTGCAACGGAAAAATTGAAGCAAGACAGAGAAACTTCCCAGACACTGAGTAAAAATCCGGAGTTGTAGAGAGAGAAAATTTAAAATCTAACTTCCATAATCCACCTTGCTTTCCTCCATACATGGTATTAAAAGGAAAAAGGAGAAGAAGAAGAAGAAGAAAAAGGTGTATTTTTCTAGGTATAGATTCTTCAACTTTATCAGAGATAAAGAAAGGTATTACATTCGTTTCCTTTTAACACTTTGCTTCCTTTTCTTTTATTCTCTTGATTCTCTCCCTCCAACGATAGATTTGTGTTTGGTAGTCAGTGTCACCCTATCAAGAACATCATGGAAAATTACAGCTCCACATGTTATTAGTGCGGAGCAAGATGCATATATGGCATCTCCCGTACATATTCCTTTTCAACTCACAGCCTCAGAGTCAGACGACACACATATCTATCCTTCTCAAACAGAAAATATATACATGTCAATTCTACAACTTGCACATACAACTCTCTAGCTAGAGAGAACTGTTTTTGCACTCAAATTCCAGCAAACTTGGATGCGTAGAGTTGTACAGGTTAACTTTGCCAAACTCTATAGCTGGCTCTACTTGTCCAAGTTTGTTAACTTTTAAACAACCAAAAGGAATCAGTCGAGTGGTGAGCTCCCCCAGAGAATCACACTGGAACAAAGATTCATTGTTGGCTTATGTTCTGCTGATCAATCTTAATCCAGAAAATTCAAAACAACACATTAATCTTAAAGTAGTGAAAGGGGCATGCAGCTGGCATGAAGTTTTCAAGGTTTTATTATGAAGAAGAAATGAAGTCTGTAATGTTTATGATACCATAACAAGATGCTCCTTGTCAGGCAGAACAAAATATTGTAGAATTTATCAAATTTAACCTGATAAAAAAGTAAAAAACTATAGCCATGCCCTGCAGAATCCATTCAAATTTTACATTAGGTGTACTAAATCTTACATATCAGTATCAAATATTACGAGCATCATCATCCGAATCAATTTTGAGTTGAATGAACTGATAGTAAGAACTATAATAAATTATGAGATGCAGGTTCACTGTTGTAAAGTTTATCCAAACAACCTATTTGTTTGAAGAAATTATCATGAAGGATACAATCATATTGGTGCGGTCCATTTTAGGTTACCCTGAACACTAGTCCACATGAGTAGTGCAAGTGCTTAGGTCATGTGTGGCGACTAGGATTGAATTGCATTGGATTAGGAGGTAGGATTAGTTGCATTGAATTACGTTCGATTGAAAAAGATATGGTCTAGATATTGTGAAATGCGGTTAAATATACAAGAACTAAAAGTAGAGGCTCGGATATTGGTGCGGTCCATTTTAGGTTACCCTGAACACTAGTCCACATGAGTAGTGCAAGTGCTTAGGTCATGTGTGGCGACTAGGATTGAATTGCATTGGATTAGGAGGTAGGATTAGTTGCATTGAATTACGTTCGATTGAAAAAGATATGGTCTAGATATTGTGAAATGCGGTTAAATATACAAGAACTAAAAGTAGAGGCTCGGATCCCATTAGCACTAGTGTCCTGAGTTTGTGTCGCAGCTCCCGGATCTTGAATTCAAGGTCAAGGGATTAAAGTGGCAAGATTATGTATCCCATGTCATTGATAGGATAAGTTGTCCTACAAAAAGGCATATAATAGAGGTGCGCCTGCGACTGTCTTTTATCCTATCCACATTCCACATTCCACGTTCCACGTTCATTTTTTAACACAAAAAATGATATTGGATTAAGTTAATCCAATCCTATTCCTTGTTCTACCATAAAAAAAAAAGTTCGATTTATAAAATTATATTTTTGTCTCCTCCTACCCAATCACATCTTGACACATCACTATCCATAGACCATGAGAGAGGTACCTTAGTCTTCGAGGCGGTCGGCAAAAAGCCTCCATTCTACACGTGGCGAGATATCAGTTGGAGTTTAAGAGCACGAAACTAAAGCCACCGATCAGAGCTAGAAGAAATCGTAGTTTCTTATCTCGCGTCTTTCTTTCGTTCAAGAATCGATTCTCTTACCGCCTGTTTGGTTGCCAGGAAAATGAAGGATAACTACGGAGGAGAATGTGAGAATTTCTCGGATCTTAATTACTGTTCCTTCGAATGCGAAAATCTTAATTACTGTATTCAGATCACTATGTAATGAAGATTTCTGGTTTTCATTATAAAATATTGAACAGATTGCATTATCAAATTTAATTGGTAAAGATCGTCGTGGATCACAGTATTTATAGTCTGATTTGATTTGGAAACTTGTGATTCCTTTTTTAATGAATATATATGGCATGAAATAGATTCGACATTATATTATTGTTGCAGAGAGATATCAATAGGATCGAGTTCTTGAGGTACTTGGGTCATATGAGGTGCTTACTTGGTTGGATTGGTTCCCAAACCCTTGATTCGGATGCGCAGCTTTTGCTTCTTCTTCTTGCACATAAGGTTCGATCCTCATTTGCCGCGTTCTTGGCTTTTATAAAATCTATTTTTGATTTGGTTTATTAAAGATTATGAGGATTTTGTATTTCATCATTAGTGCTGAATAATCTGTTTGAAAAGGGAATGTTGAAAACTAAATGAGGGTTTTGTTTTGCTCTCTTCCTTTTTTTTTCCAGGTGGGTTTGGAGAGTTTGAATTCTTTCTGTGGAAGAAGTTGTCTGTTTCGGTTTTCAAGTTTGGGGAAGAAGAAGAAGAAAGGAGAAGGAAGGGGTTTATGATATGGGTCAAAGAGAGGAGATAGAGCTTAAGTTCAGGATTTATGATGGGACAGATATAGGACACCATTCTTATGCACCATCTATGACAGTAGCAAATCTCAAGAAAAGGCTACTTGCTGAGTGGCCTCAAGGTAATATAGCCACACCCAAATTGGATTTTGATGAACATGAGTTGCTGAAAATTGAATTTCATGAACTGATATATCATGTGGCGTATACATACAGATGAAAGTAGTCCATATTTCAGCTGCATTTTCATGTAACATAACATATTTTGATTGTTAAAACTTGTCTTGATCAAGCTAGCTGTAGTACTTTTGTCTAATCAATGGAACTTTAATTTTTCGATCACCCCCAGCGAAAACAGTGACACCCAAGTCTGCAAATGAAGTAAAACTCATACATAGTGGCAGAATTTTAGAGAATAACAAAACACTTGCTGATTCCAGAATAACCTCTGCTAACCAGCCTGGTGGTGGGGCTGTAATCATGCATGCAGTAGTGCAGCCCCTTGTACCCAAACAAAAGAAGACAGGTTAGTTCTGTTCAAACCCGCCTTTTAATCTCGGAAGTAGGACGGTCGATCGATCAGATTCAGATATATTTTTGTTTTTTTAGTCAATGTATCTTTGTTTCTGCAAAGTTCTTTCTTTTAGTATCAATGGATACATGCAATGTCCTGCATGTTCATGGATGATGAGTGCCTGATTTATATGTTCCGGGTGGGTTTTGTGCAGATAAAAACCAGAAAGATATGCAAAAGATGAATTCATGCTCGTGCACCCTTCTTTAATCTGGGAAGCAGTCTCTGTAGCTGCGATTGCAGAGAACCACCACATTTAATTTTTCACATGTTATTTTGTTTCATTTTTTCATATTTGATTCAAGTTGTGTGTAAAATTTTGAGTGACATCTATAGTCATGCAGTTAAGTTGCCTTTGTTACTTGAAACTACTGGTCATATTGCTTCATTTTTTTCATATCAGGGGACTACTCTTGTTGTGTCAAACCTTATACGAAAACTTCAATTGTGGACAAGGCCAATCCTAGGTTTCTAATACACATGCTAAAGTAAAAGTACAACTCTAATATAATGCACTATTACTATTATTATTATTATTTTGATTTTTTAACAAATAAGTCCATTCTAACTTGAGATATATCGCGTTAAAACTCTCGTCATAGACTTACAAATCGAACAATAAAAACCTCAGTCATCTTAACCACAGTTTTTCTTATCAACAATATAAAGTTGGTAACTAAATATTCTAGTCTCAATTGATCCCCTGCGTATTTTATATTCACCTTTTCTATAATAATAGTTGAAACTTGAAACTACATTAACGTGTACATGCAACATGTATTCCAAATTTACCCTAAGCATAACAAACAAGGGCGAAGAGTCTTGTATGGATGTGGAGACTTCAGTTGTAATTTGAAAAAACATTGTAAAAGGTAAATAAATAAAATAAAATAAAATAAGGAGACCAAAATAAAAAGACGATAAAACTTGGGTTACACTCTGACTCCGTTCACCCTTTTGGCCACATCCATCCAGACCAGAGCAATTCAGGCATTCACAATTGACCAGCAATAAACCATCCAATGGAAGACTCTGCTTCTCCTGCTTCTCCGCCTCCGACCAAGAGTCGACAAGATTTCGGAAAATTGGATTACGGGTAATAATAGAAGATAAAGCAACGGCCTTTTCTTACGTTTCGTCTTTTTCGTCGGTAATTTGTTAATCTTTGTTTTGTTTCTAATTATTGATTTAGATGCGACCATTATCGGAGACGATGCAAGATTCGAGCCCCTTGCTGCGACCAGATTTTCCCCTGCCGCCACTGCCACAACGAAGCCGCGGTCCCCTCTTTCACCTTATGCCCTTTTATATATTATATAATTCATAATTCATGTGTAATTGGGACTTTTTTCTTTTTTATTATTTATAAATTTTGTTCGTTTTGTGGTTCTTAGAGCTCCCTCAGCAACCCCAAAGATCGCCATGAACTTGTCAGGCAGGATGTGAAGCAAGTATGCCCCTTCCCCCAAATGTATTTATTTATTCATATTAACATTCACACTTGCTTTCACTGTTCTATTTAATCATAATAGTGTTGATTGTTTGGGTTTTGCAATTGCTGTTTTAGGTTGTATGCTCCGTTTGCAATACAGAGCAACAGGTTCGATTTTGGCGGTTCCTATGATATAATGCGTTTGTTTATTTTTAGTGCAATTGAACCTTTCAAATGTGCTTATTTTGCTTGCACTGTGATCTGTTCCCAGGTTGCTCAGCTTTGTTCTAACTGTGGTGTCAACATGGGAGAATATTATTGCGATATTTGCAAGTTCTATGATGATGATGTAAGATAATTAGTTTCAATCCTTTAGTCATCTTTGGATAAATTAGACAAAAGTGTCTGAATTTCGGGATACAGCTGTTTAGCTGTTAAATTTGAAATATACTGTTTGTTAATGATGCAGATCAGCAAGCAGCAATTTCATTGCAATGAGTGCGGGATTTGTAGGTTAGCCAACTGGTGATATCTTCCTTTTATTGATTTCTGTTTTTCGGATCATGCCCTTCTTTCAAACTGAACTATTTCTGTCGTTGAATTTTGATTCTCAGAGTCGGTGGTCGTGACAAATTCTTTCATTGTCAGAAGTGTGGTATGCACTTACCTTGTTTTGCTGGATTTGTTCTATGGTTTTGTAAGCTTAATATTATAATCCCTGTTATTTCTTTTTCAATCACACTAGTCCAACTTTACACCTTCAGATGTACCATGCTTATATACAAGTGGGTTATTTCACGTCTTAACTTGGAGAGATGAAAAGTTCCTCCATTTTTAGGGTACTTCCAAGAAAAGAGTGATGATGAGGCAGGGCCTATAACTCAGAGAATTAGAGCTTGTGGCTGGAAAGTTGAAACCACGGTGGTGAGGGGTTCAAATCCCTCACTTCTTATAATTGGCCAAAAAGTGAACAAATCTTTCCTTTTGGAAGTAGGGAAATCATGATAGAGATAACAGATCCATAACATAAGGTGGGGTTGGCCGTTAGGGTCCCCCGAAGTATTCATACATTTTCAGTCAGATTGCATTTTTCATGGAGGTTTTATTCATCTTTTCTTTTTTATTTTTGGGAATGGCAACACAGGGAAAGTGGAGGCTGGCTGATTTGCCTTTTCTATGTTCTTCCATGAAAACAGGTTCTTGCTATGTAGTGGAACTGCGTGATAATCACTTATGTGTAGAAAACTCCATGAAAAATCACTGCCCTGTTTGCTATGAGGTTTGTGATTATTTAAAGTTCAAAAATTAAAATAAAATAAAATTTCTGTCTTCTAACAACCCTTTTACTATCCTGACAGTATCTTTTTGACTCGGTTCAAGGCACATCAATTATGAAGTGTGGACACACAATGCATTCAGAATGCTTCATTGAGATGCACAGACAAAATCAGTTAACTACATATTATCTCTGAGATAACTAATTTATTATATAAATTGGATGAGTCAAACAGTAGTTGTTTGGTCATAATATATTTTAGATTTGTCATCCAATCCAGGTATCGTTGTCCCATTTGCTCCAAGACAGTACACGACATGGATACTATTTGGAGATTGTTGGATGCTGATGTGTGTATTCTGCTCCTTTTCATTCCTCTTTAATCCTTGTATCCTATATTATTGTGATTCTGAATTAGTTTTCTTTTCTTTTCTTTTGGGTGATAGATTGAAGCCACTGCCATGCCCGAGGAATACCAATATGAGGTCGTTGCTTTATCCTTTCTTTTTCTTCCTGTTTTTCAATTGTCTTAGCCATAGTATACTAAATGAATCTATGCCTTTATCAAATACTTGTGCATCTACCACATTGACTTTCATTGATGAAGGTATTTGATAGTTGCATGATTTTTGGTATAGACCCATGTCTGCGTTACTCTATCTATTACTCTACTCTTCCTAGTTTGAAACATACAAAAACTGTCAATTTACTTATTGGTTTTCTATTTATTTTATTGTTTTTTTTCCCCAATTGTAAGCATATTGCTCTGTTATACCATTCTTGGGCACAAATTGAATGTAACAAGTCGCATATTCTCCAGGTATCAATTCTTTGCAACGATTGCAACACAACTAGCAACGCTCCCTTTCACATTTTTGGGCTCAAGTGCAGCAACTGCGATTCATATAACACCCGAAGAATTTCAGCTGCAGATCATCAATGACTATTGATTACAAGTTTTATTGAATATGCAAGGCTACGCCAATTCACATTAGACTTTTTTGTCTATGCTTCGCGTTGTTTTGACTAGAATAGTCCTCTTCTATTGTACCTGTGCTTCTTGTACGCCAAGTGTATGAAAGAATGTACAGCTGCTGTAATTGACTAGCTTCCATTGGTTCATCCAATTTATACCAACTCATTGATTTATTGTCCAAGTGAGAACAGAATCAATCTCTCTCTCTCTCTCTCTCTCCCTGCGCCACATTGCTATGCCCTTTTTCCTTTATTTTCTTCACAAACACAACACGAAAGAAATACGGGTAAAAAACCTCTCTCATTTGTATTTTTGTGGCACAATACAATTAAAGAACAAGAAATGGTGCAGGCCAAGTATTCTTGTGATAAGTTGGGCAGTTTGTCATGCTCGCCTCGTGAATTCTCTTTTTGCTGAGTGAACTTCATGAGGAGGCAGCAGCTTTGTCATGGCAAAACACAGCTGCATGTCTTCTTAGTTATAAAAAGGCAACTGGTTTCTGCTGGGCTCTCTGTGTTAAAACTTAAAATTGCTGCCTGACCTGTCATGTCAGCTATTGGTTTATGGCATCAAGTAGTGTCGACAAAACCGGACTGGACAGGTGGTAGGGCTGCCTCACAGAAAGAAATCAATTGAAGAAATAAAAACACATCACTTTTGTGTTAAGCTGACTGCTGCTGACCCAGATTAGGGGTTGAGAACTTGAAATGCAAGCTAGGAAAATTGATCTCTCTCCTCCCTCGCATTAATTTTCATTTACAAATTGGTTCCCCTATCGTATAATGAATCTGGACCAAACTTATGGAGGGCCTAGATTATGGATGTGCCCAGATTCCATCTTCAACTTTATGATATGTTGACCCCTTTTTTGACAGACAAACGAGGGCTCCTCATCAAGTTAATGAGGAAGAGGGGCCCATCCCGTCCCATTCATGAGACTTCTTATAACAACACATCATCATTTTGTTAGCAAAAATCAAGAACCATCTAGAGATTAATGACGTCGTACATTGGACTAATGACATCATCAATGCCTCACCTAAATTTGTAACTCTTTTTAGTTTTTTTAGTTTTTTTATTATTTTTGGGTCAAAAACTTTTTTTAGTTTGAGACCCTTAACAAAAAGGTTTTTTTAATTTAAATTAATAAAAAGGTAAATTGTAGTTTGAGAGAGCTATACCAAATAACTTCTCAAAAGAAGGGGCTTTATTTTCCTTTTGTTTTTAAACAACAGAAAGCGCTTTGTTGAATATGGGTGATTACTCATTATTTCTTGTTTTATAATGACCATACTATTGTAATGTTTATAATTTCTTGTTGGATAGGGTTTCTATTAAGAAGGATAGAGATTACTCATTATTTTATGATTTGTTTAATTTTTTATTAGTTCTTTTGGAACTTTTTCCGAACTTTTAAAGTAAATGTAGACCATCGACATGGAAAGGTCAGCCACCATAGCTTAGCAACTTTGAAGTTCGAAGGGAACGTGAATATTGTTGAGCTTTTATTATCTTCTCTTTTATTCGCAGTCCACACAAAAATGCTATGGAGGAGACGTCACCGCCAAAATTTCACTTTCATCTGCCTTGGCCCTTGCCCTGCTGCTAGCAACTAGCAAGTTCCAAATTCAACCTTTTTCAGAGCAAATACTGCAAAGTCTCTGCGAGTGTTAACCAAAGGTAAAACATCACTTTCCTATCTTTGTGGAAAGCAGACAAAAATCAACAAACCGTCTTTAAGATTGTTCGTGTTCATCAAGTAATGATAAGATCTTCCTCTTTCTCATATTCAATTCTTCCAGCCCTGTTTCAAAGCCACACCAATATCTGTGATATTTAGAAGAAAATAAGAAAACAGAAAAAGAAGAAGAGAGAGATTCATTCATTCATACAGATATTTGCAAACCCAGAAGCCACAGAAACACACAGAGCAAGAAATGAATGGTTCTTCGAGAAATGAAGAAGCTGAGGCGCCACAACCAGAACGAGAGCACCAAAAGCGTCTCTGTGACTATTGTGGAAGCTCAATGGCTCTGCTATACTGCAGAGCCGACTCAGCCAAGCTCTGCTTCTCGTGCGACCGTGAGGTCCACTCGGCCAATCAGCTTTTCTCCAAGCACACTCGGTCACTGCTCTGTGACGCCTGTGACGGTTCCCCTGCCTCCATCTTCTGCACAACCGAGAGCTCTGTTCTGTGCCAGAACTGTGACTGGGAAAGCCACAACCTTTCGTCGTCGTCGGTGCACGACAGGAGGCCTCTGGAAGGGTTCAGTGGGTGCCCTTGTTTGAATGAGTTGCTTACAGTTGTGGGGTTTGAGAATATGGATAAAAAGGCTCTGCTTTTGGGTGATGAGAGCGGTGATGGTGGAGGAGGAGGTGATGGGTTTTTGGGTTGTGGGGTTGATGGGTCTTTCGATTTAGATGATGGGTTTTCGGATTTTTTGGTTTGGGACACTCCCTCTGTTGTTAGTCTTGACGATTTGATTGTTAGCAATCCGGCTTACAAATTTCAGGCTATGGGGGTTCCTCCTCTGCCTAAGGTATTTTTATTTTATTTTATAACTTTCTTATAGTTGTTTTTTTTATTCGCAATTCTCTTTGTTTCTTTAAGATATAAAGGAAATGACTTTAATTTTCTAACAATTTTTTATTAGTGAAGGTCTTATGTTTTCATTAAAAAGAAAAAAGAAGCAAATGTTCTATATTGCTCTTTTCCTCTGTTCAATATGGTGTTAGTCTTGATGCTTTGCTCGTTTACTAAAAGAAGTGATTTCTTTCAAGTAATATTTCTGGATTTCTTTTTTGTTTTTCCTCTCAATGTTCCTGGTAAAAATTCAGTTTCTGCTCAAAGAAATAAAAAACAATAAAGAATCCTTTAGTTCTCACTCCCTTTGCTTCATTACTACTTTTTAAGAATATGATTTAAAAATTTGGAAGAAGGGTTTCTTTGCGCTTGTGTATACTGTTGAAATCGTCTATTATTTATTGCAATTTGACTTGGTTCGGGATATTGTTGTTGAATCAGAATCGCAATGCTGCTTGTGGTCGACACAAGGAAGAAATATTTCGTCAGCTTCGTGTGCTTGTCAAGTCAGAACCCAACTTGTTTAGCGAAAATGTGGATGTTAAACCCCTTAAGTCCCTAGCTTCTGAGCAGAACATGCAACGAGGAAGTTTGTTTACAGGTTTTGAGCATGATATAGAGCCAACTGTATTTCCTGCCTATGAGGTATGCTTCTCTTTTGTCAATGTTAGTGCCTGCAGATTGAATTTGAAAAATGATCAAGTGTGTTCCTTTCATGCAGGCACATGATTTTCAGTATAACGATTGTGGCACAGCCGAAAAGCGAGAATCTTCTCCTAAAACATTTATAAGGAGCTACCTTCAGGAATGTTGTGTAGTTCCTGATAAACATTCACATAATGATGGTCATGGTCATGGAGGGCAAATGAATTCTGAAGCCTCCTCAGCTTTTCCCAAAGTTGCTGCACATGAGTTAATTAGCCAAAACAGAGAGACTGCTCTCTCGCGGTACAAGGAGAAGAAGAAAACAAGAAGGTATTACACCCCCATTTGCCACAAGTATCTCTTCTAAGTTTAAAAAATTTGACTTGATAGGATTGCAAAGTTCGTTTCATGCCAATGAGATTCTGAAATTTATATGTATATCATTTCAAAATTTATATTAGTAACTGAGGTCTTTCTTTTATATATACTTGAAATCCTGTTGAGGTTGTTAGTGATTGATGGAGAAGTTCAGAATTGGAGGGAAGTTTATAAATTCTTTATTATCATTATCACTTGTGAGCCTAATCTGATATTATTTGCATCAAGGTTGTGGTTTATTTATCAGCCTAACTTATTTGTATGCACCTCCTATTCTGCTTGGCCTGTCATGAATGTTATCATGTCAGCATCTTTGGACTTCGGTATGTGACGTATGTTTACTTGGAAACAATGACCAGGTATGAGAAGCACATCAGGTACGAATCGCGGAAGGTTCGGGCAGAAAGTAGGACGAGAATTAAAGGACGTTTTGCGAAGATGGATCACTGAGGAGAATGGTAAGGAAATAAGACAGTTACAGCACACTTTGATGTCCTCCTATTCACACATCTTCTTCTTCTTCCCGGTAGAAGTGAATGGGAGCAAGGGCTATGAACACACTTTCCTGTTCTTATATATTTTCCTTGGCATCCGCTTTTAATTTTGTATAATGGCATAAGTATTCAACAGCTTTGACAATCAGATGAGGAATAGCTCAAGACAGAATTTTCGACATTTTGCTTTGCTAGGAGCCATAGAAACATCGGTACGCGGTCCTGAGAAAATATGACATTTTTGCTTTGCTAGGGAATTATTTATTATTAATCTTGTATTCAGAAGCTTTTGAAATTATAGCTTGGATAATTTGGTTGCTTGTTTCTGAAAGAAAAAATAAATGTAAAATCTTGTATTTGGATAACTGTGATGTACAAAGCATCTCATCATGTTCAACTTAACCTCTTTTTCTGTTGTGTTAAGTTAGTTATGACAGGAACTCAGTTGGGTTACTGTGGTCTCTATACATGTGTTTAATTTTATGGGCCATGGATGGAATTTCGTGTTTAAATATCCTTACTTTTCTTCAAGTTTTCGTATTTCTTTTGTGCGTGCATGCGTACGTGTGTTTAAGTTACATTTGGGCATATCAGATATGCTCATTCATAGAAGATGAAAGTAGAAAAACATGGGCGTGGTCTATAGTCTTAATGCTGTATGTAGTCATACGTTGGGAGATTGATATTGTGCTGAAATCATTGAATTGCAAATTAGCTTGGATATATCTTTGCCCTGAGATGCGCAAATGCTGAAAATCTTGAACATCTTCCACAAAATGAGAGGATCCAGCTCCGACAAAAGGAGGAAAAATATACTAGGTGATTAAATCATGAAAGAAATCTAAAAAGTTGCAAAGCCATTGAAGAGAACTAATTATTTTCAACCAACAAGAACATGTGGATGGATAGAAAGAGATACATGATCTATCAAGCTTGAGCTGATTAAGAATTCTTAGCACAATCCTCAGGAGCAAACTTCAACTGCCACCTGTTAAGGTCATATATGAATCTGTAATTCGATTGCTGGAATGATCCAAAGAGAGTACGCTCATCGTCTCGCAGGAACGCCAAACACAAAGCCTCATTCCCCTGCGCATCAATCTTCGCCGTTATGAATGCCTCCGGCGGCTTTACCTCAAGGTCAGCATTTTCAAAGTGAAATGTCAATGTTGGCAGCTGCACCTCTACTGGCGGCGGCGTCGACCATTTATAGCAAAGTTCAAACGAGGGTGAACGAGGACCAGGAGACTTAAATAAGCTAGGATAGCGCATAAAATACATCTCCAGAAACTGAACCAGAGCCTGAAAAGCAGGCGTGATGAGAAAAGTAAATGAGGAACCATTGTCCATGATACACCCTCCTGCTGTGCCCTGATTTCGTATAGCAAACACCAACGGATCTATGAGAAGCTTCTGTCCATGCACACTTATGCCCAACAGATTCACGTAGTATAATGGTACTTCTTTGAAAAGCACTAATCTCGTGACACGCAGACCGCCTGGTGGTGTGGGGATGTCTCTACCAAATCTGAGAAATGTTTGAACATCTCTTCGGCGTGTTAGGCAGTGTGAGAATACTCCACCAGTAAGATAGTTTTGTTGCACTGGAAAGGAACTGGGAGCATATCCCAAACCCAATAGTCCGGAAACCTTGAAGTCTTCCTGCCTACCAAAATCCATTCTTCTGGTGTCATAAGCACAACCAAACACTACGCCTGGAACCGGCTGCGGCTGCCCACTGCTTGACAACAAGTTGAAATTTTCAACTGCAACCAAATCACAAGTTATATCAATATCGAATTTTCATCGATGTCATGTGTCACATTAGTTGCGATAATTGGAGTAGTGATTGGTGCCCTATCTAATATAATAAAGATATTTATCAGAAGAATGTTCTATGTATGTAATATTATAACAAATATTGGAAACTTTTTTTAGAATAAATGATCATGCCTGAAAGAATGGAATTGACAACGTGGCCGCCCGCGTACTCAATGTGCTGGGAGCAGTAAGGACCGACGCATTCGTTTGGCTTGCAAAAGGGGTGCTGATTGCAACAGAGAGGGATATAAGATTTGGACTGGCTGTTAGGGAAAGGGGGTTCCCTGGTTTGAAAGCATTGGTTTCCAGGCTTTTTACAATCCTCACACAGCACCCATAAGAGGCTGCTTCCAGTGTCAATGTACAAGTAGAGTGTTTTGAACGGCCTTGCCGGGAAAGGTGCATCAAAAGTCCCGATGCCAACTTGTACAAGGTAAGAGCCAAAAGGATAAAATTCGAGTTTCGGACGAATATCAAGAGGGTTTATAGTTTGTGACATATTGTTATGGTTGTTGAGGGAAACAGATGCCAAGGTGCGTAGGTATTGAGCTCGGGCATTGGATCGGTGTACGAGTCTTTGAATTTCTTCTTCATAAGAAATGTTGCCAGGATAGAGAGGCGATGCCGGCGAGTCAACGTGGACAAGTTCCATGGTCAAACCATTTGGTTTCCCGGCGGCATTAACACAAGCAAGCAAGAAGCTAAGTGATAGGAAGCAAAGAACATGATGAAATGCTGCCATTATCTGCCTCATGGTTTTTGCAATTCCTCGAAGGGCTTGCTGCTTTTATAGTATATGATATATATGCCTGCATATATATTTGCTGGTCTGATAAACCCTTCTAAGGGAAAATGATGATATGCTTTCCCATATGAGCAGTTTCTGTTTCTACCTTAAATTCCCATATGAGCAGATTGCAACTCTTTTACTTATATTCAGTGATTGTTTTTAAATCTAATCTACAACTGTTAACCAAATTGAAATCCAAACCTACTGGCTGATCCTGAACGTACCAAAAATTTCTTTGATCTCTACATTCTCTACAATAATGTACACGTTTTTTTTTTTTTTTTTTTTTTTTTTTTTTTTTTTTTTTTTTTATTTGTTTATTTTGGTTTCTTTATTCAAGATTTAAATGTTGCTAATAAAGTAAAGAAAGAATCTGAACACATGGCACATGGGGTGGCAGCACCAATGGAAAAGTGGGTCAAACTCTCCCCCTCACTCTCATCCAAAGTGCACCCAGGTTCAATTCATGGAGAGATTATAGAATAGTACAGTACTACCACGTCAGCTGGTACTACTCCTATTCAAAGTTTGTCATGTGTCATTTTTTAGAAAAAAGTTACAGCTTATTTACAGTTGAATTTGAAGTTACTGTTTTAGCCTTCAAAACACTAAAAAACTCGGCAAACTGTTTTAGCCTTCGAAACACTTAAAATTTGGCAAAATCCATCCACCGCCATTCTGCCTCTCCTCCCACCAACCCCTCCCTCTCTCTCTCTTCTTCCTTCCATACAAGGAATATAAGTTGATACCCATAAGTTGACTTGGGTTCAATTGGACATGCATCCATAATGTAATTGAAGACAAGAGAGGAGAGCAAAACTGAGAGGAAGGAAGGCAAATAGAGGGATGTGGCGGCCACCAGTGGAGGTAATGCTAGGTTCGAGGTGGGTTGTGGTTGGTTGCTGTACAATCATCTATTTCTTCGATTTTTTAAATTCTTTTTTAGGGAGATGAGATATGAGGAAATTGAACAATTGAGATTATGATTACAATGCTGATGTTAAGGAAGAAAAGTGAAAAAAACTGAATGTGAAAACAAACACCATATGTAAAATAAGATTGTCGTTTGTACATGACAGAGATGGACGGAGGAATAGAAATAGAGGAGGAGGTGGCGGTGGCGGCCAAAGGTAATTGCATATGGGTTGGGGTGGGAGAGTTCATTCTTTTTTTTCGTTTTTTAAATTTCATTTTAAAGGGTAAAATCGGATGTCAAAGTCTAGCTGTCCAAAAAGTTTTTATTTTCTTTAAAAAATGACACGTGTTAAATTTTAAGAGGTAGTATTACCAGCTGACGTGGTGGTATAATACTATTCTATAATCTCTCCAATTCATGTAAAACCCAATTTTAAATTATGATAAAATTTGTCCATGTAGGTTAGATTTATTTACAAATCATGCCTGTAGATCTTTATTTGGTTGCTAACGGTTTTTCAATCACCTAATTAAAGCAAATGAATAATACCTCATTGCACATTTATGTTTCCACTCCCATAAATAATAGGCTACAATCAAATTACTTCAAATATTCCCTCCTAACCTCCTATAGCTCGAATAAATGAAAATTTTTTTAATACCTAATATCCTACAATTATATTTTAAACATTACCTAATATCCTCCAATGTTATAGATGTATATGTATGATATATATTTTAATAGGTACAATACTCATAGAAAAAATGTGATGGCTTTAATATACCTACAACATACCCATAATAGGTAAATTACGAGTTATATTATTGCATAATAGTCAATTATTAGGTAATTATATCCGAAATGCATTTATAAAAGTTGGGTATATTATTTGAATAATAAGAAAATTCATACTAAGTACATTATTTTCGTAAAAGAAGTAATAGGTACGTTAATTTTTCAACATAAAAATGTATGTATGCTATTATATTTATAAAATAATAAAATAATAGATAATTAATCACATACTTCATAAATAAATTTTTGTAAACATTTTTGTTATTATTAAATAAACTGATTAGGTATGTTAAATATGAATTTATTGGTAAATTTACAAAAATTCCAAATTAATTTCTACATCATTTTGGAGATTTTTTCAAATTCAATGTGTGTCATTAGTTACAATCCAATTAAAATTTTCTATATTGATTCATACATTAATATACAAAATGCAATAATGGTTTAGTTGGGGGTATTTTAGGAATTAACAAAAGTACAATAAATTTGATTTTGTGCTTGATTAGGTAATTTGTCCCGGTTGGTTCATGGGAAGGTTTGGGGATGGGAACCCAATTGTTTTCCCCCATTGGGTTTTGTTTTCCCTTTTATGGAAAAGTTTGGGAAAATGAGCCAACATTAAATGTACATTTTTTTCATGACTATTTTGTCCTCTTAACAATTTAGAATTAAAATATTTCATTAAATGCATTCTTTTTTATTTATTTGATTTAATATGAATATAATTGGAAAATTATACAAACTTTGTTTTTCATTCATACTCAAAACAAACATGGGAAAATGAAATAAAGTGATCTCTCCCGGTTACTTTTTCAGTATTATCAAACATGAGAAATGAATTTTCCATTTCCCATCCCTTGGGAAATGATAGAGGAAGTGATTTTCCCTCAGATCCATTACGTGAGCCAAACGGGGCCTAAAGGGGTTAAGCTAAATTTACTATTTTTTTTAAAGTACTGCTATTTCCACCCACATGTCCTATTTTTCCACCCACCTTGTCTTCACACCCACCATGTAAATTTGAAAAAAATATAATCTATATTTCCACCCATCATTATTCCTAAAATACCCTTTAATTAATTAATAATGCAATTAAATTCAATCCCTTTCTCTCCAACTCTCAAACAATAATGCAAAAGAATAGGGAAGGAAGAGGAAGAAGAAGATGGACTGCGAAAGAGCCAAACCATCACTAACATCGTCGTCTCCATTCTCAGCTCCTTTGACCACCGCCTCTCTGCACTTGAAACCTCCATGCGTCCTACCCATGTGGGTCTTCTCCTAGCTTTCTGTTTGGGTCGCCATAAAATCTCATTTTCATCTCGCTGGACTCTGAATTTGGTGATAGAATGAGTGTTGTTATTAATTGGAAAGAGTATATCAATATATTGCAGCATGCACATATGGATCATAGAGGGATAGTTTTGAAACTATACTGAATTGGAGAACTGGAGCTTTGGATTGGGATGGTGGAAGAATGACGTCACATTGAGGTTTGCCTTGGGGTAGGTCCAGACGGTGAGTGAGGTGAGGTATATTGGGCAAGTACCCCACTAGCCCGACGTCAACGAGGAAAGAGAATAATTTCTGGTGGTGGGATTTGGGAGAGACTACAGAGAGAGGATCGAGCAGAGGGAGAACACAGGACGGGATAATGGAACTTCTAACCCTAGTTTGGAAAAATAAATAGAAAATTTGGTTTCACCCTCAAATTCATTTTTCCTAGTCCGAAACCCATCAAAATGAGAAATTTTTGTAGGTACCCGTTTCACCAGCTGGTTGGTGTACTCGCCAATGAGAATGCGACATGTGTAATAATTTATTTTTAGCCTTAAAATTGCAGTAACTTTTAACTCCATTAGTCTTTTAACTTCGTTAGAGTCTACTCACTCTTCTGAACCCGCATGAAGGTCGGCCCAAATACCCAGACTTGCTTTACAGATACATACACAGACGTGGTAGATCCCATCCCAGTCCTTATGGTCTAATTCCATTTATTATTCCATCAATCTCAAATAAGGTGTGATGTTATTAAGAAATTAGAAGAAAAAAAAAAAAAAAAAAAAAAAAAAAAAAAAAACAAAAATAAGTTTTCAAAAGAATAGCGGAGCGGAAGGGGAAAGAAGGCATCAGCGTCTCCGTCACAGGCCGTGGCTGTCGGAATATTCCAGATCAACATTGCCGTTTCCACTTTCTGTCGACTGGTCGATGCTATCGGCACTGCCAAGGACACTCCTGACCACCACCAAAAGCTGTGCGTCTCTCTCTCTCTCTCTCTCTCTCTCTCTCTCTCTCTCTCATCACTGCTTTTGAATCTTGATCTGCAATTATTAACATATTCTTCCTGCATTTTCTGACATTTCTTTCTTTCTAAATAAAAAATCCATCTTTTTTGTTGTTGATAATTTCAGCCCAGTAAGCAGGTAGAAGATGCCAAGCTTGCAAGGGATTTCCAAACAACATTGCAAGAATTCCAGAAAGTTCAGCTCTGCGGCCTTGTTGGCTTACCTCCAGTAAGCAGGCTGCTATCCTTGACGGCAAAAGGGTTGTTTTCAGAGAAAATTTGTAGCTTTAAGGTTTTGTTTGAAAAACTGGAAATTGATAAATAAAGAATGGAAAGATTCTCGATTGCAGCAAAAGACTAACAGAGTTAAAATACTAATGGAGTTAAAAGTTACTGCAATTTTAAGGCTAAAAATAAATTATTACATGTGTCGCATTTTCATTGGCGGGTACAACAACCAGTTGTTGTACCGGGTACCTACAAAAATTTCTCCATCAAAATATGTTTCTTTGGCTAAAGTCAAGTGACTAGGATCCAACTAAGCAACTTACCTAATCAAGGTTTTAATATTTTCAGATACCTAAATTACCCCCACTTACCGTTCATGTGATATATATATATATATATATTTTTTTTTTTGTGGGTAAAATGGGGGGCGCCGAGCCCCAAAAAGAAAAACTAAATAGAATTAGGACAAATCGCACAAGTTCTGGGCACCCTTAACAAATCATCCATTAGAAAGGATCCCACCCAAGTAGGCACATGATCAAAAGTATATAGACCCAAGTCCATGTTGTAACTCCATTTGGCGAAACAGTTAGCCACCCCATTCGTCTCTCTGTAAATGTGATGCAAGACACAATAATCAAACTGTTCATGTGATATTTAAGGAGAGTTGTCTCCATTTATTGTGTTGAGTTTATTTTCAGCATATTTTGTTTACGCAATTCAATTGCCATACATGTCTATCCATTTCATTAAATTTTTAAATTTCAAATGGTGATTAGCATAAAGTTGATTTGTTAGTAAGTTTTTATCTTCTTTTTTTGGCATTAAAATAGAAAAAAGTCATGTTTTTACTTATGCTTTTTATGTGTTATCTCCTAATATTTTAACGCAACTAATCTTTATTTTAACATTTGATTTATTGGTTACTTGATTTTTAAATTTTTTGAACAATAATTTACCTATTTCATGATTTATTTATTTATTTTTAAATCAACATATCTATTTGTTTCTTTTTCATGAATGATAAGATACCTATTAATTTTCTACTGTACCTATTATTTTATGGATAATAATATACCTATTATTTTTTATGAATAATAATTTATCTCTTTTTATGGATAATAATTTACCTATCATTTTTTGTGATACTTAATGTCAGTTTCCATACTTGAAACTATAAGTAAATAATTTTAGTAGTAGGTATATTAGTCTTTGTTGTGCCTATCGATATTGTGTTGTGTGATTCATTTCTCCCAAAAATTTTACTGTGCCTATCAATACATTAGAGTTAGGTTGATTGTTTGTGGCGACAATGGTGGTGGGAGTAATTGGCCATGACAAGTTAGTTGTGATGGTGGTGACATGGTGGCGAGTGGCAATGATAGTCATGACGTGGTGGTGGTAGTGAATCATATCAAGCTTGAGGTGATTAAAACATTTTAAAAAATCTGTAAGGTTGCAAAAGAACTAATTATTTTGAACAAAAAAAGAGCACATGGATGGAATGATAATGAAAGACAGATTACATGATCTATCAAGCTTGAGGTGATCAAGAATTCTTAGAACAATCCTCAGGAGCAAACTTCAACAGCTTCTGGTTAAGGTCATATATGAATAAGTAATTGGATTGGTGCACTGATCCAAGAATAGTACGAGCATCGTCGGCGATGAAGGCCAAACAAAAGAGATCGTTCCCCTGCTGATCAGCCTTCACCTTTATGAATAAGTCCTCTGGGTTGATCAGAAGGTCAGCATTTTCAAAGTGAAATGTCAAAGTAGGCAGAGGTGGCAGCGGCGTCATCCATTTGTAGCAAAGTTCAAAAGGAGGCCCAAGAGGCCTACCACCCTTAAAAACGCGAGGAAAGCGCATGAAATACATCTCCAGAAACTGAACCACAGCATTAAAAGCAGGCCTGATGAGAACAGTAAATGAGCTACCATTGTCCATGAAGCAGCCGCCACTTGTGCCCTGATTTCGTACAGCAAACACATTTGGGTCTATGAGAAGCTGTTGTCCATGCACACTTATGCCCAACAGATTGACGTAGTAATATGGTATGTCTTTGAACAACACTAATTTGGTGACACGCAGACCACCTGGTGGTGTGGGGACGTCCTTACCAAATCTGAGATATGTTTGGATCTCTCTTCGGCGTGTTAGGCACATTGAGAATACTTTACCAGTTTGATAGGATTGTTGCAGTGGAAAGGAAATCGGAGCATATCCCAAACCCAATAGTCCTGCAACCTTGAACTCTTCCAGTCTTCCAAAACTGATTTTCCTGATGTCATAAGCACAACCAAACACTACGCCTGGAATCATCAGTGGCTGCCCACTGCTTGACAAAAAGTTGAAATTTTCAGCTGCGCATGCAAAGCAACCAGTTGTCATTTATTAGTTAGTTGCGATAATTTCGAGAATTAATACTAAAAAGATTAAGATATTTATGCCTGAAAGAATAGAATTGACAACGGTGCCGTCCATGTACTCATCGTGCTGGGAGCAGTAAGGACCGGTGCATTGGCCTGTCTTGCAAAACGGGTTTTGATTGCAACAGAGAGCAACATAAGATTTGGACTTGCTGTTAGGGAAAGGGGGTTCTTTGGTTTGAAAGCATTGGTTTCCAGGCTTGAGACAATCCTCGCACAGCACCCATGTGAGTATGCTTCCAGTGTCGGTGTACAAGTAGTATGTATTGAATGACCTTGCCGGGAAAGGTGCATCAAAAGTCCCAATCCCAACTTGTACAAGGTAAGAGCCGTAAGGGTAAAATTCGAGTTTCGGACGAATGTCAAGAGGGTTGATTATAGTTTGTGACACATTATTGTTGCCGAGGGATGCCAAGGTGTAATGATGGTGTTGAACTCGGGCAATGGATCGGTCTATGAGTCTTTGGATTTCTTCTTCATAAGAAATATTGCCCGGATAGAGAGGTGATGCCGGCGAGTCGACATGGATGAGTTCCATGGTCAAGCCATTTGGTTTCCCTGCGGCATTAACGCAAACGCAAGCAAGGAAGAAGCCAAGTGATAGGATGCATTGCAATATTATCTGCCTCATAGCTAGTTGTTGCAATTCCTCATAGTGGTTGCTGGTTTTTATAGTACGTACATGATATATATGGCCTTAGCTGGGGAATTAAATTTAGCCCAGTATGGTAATTGTAGCCTGCATTTCTATATGAGCAGCTTATTTACCTTAAATTTTCCTATCAAAAATAAAATTAAAAATTAAAAAAATTTCCCTATGAGCCGTTACCACATGAGCAAATTTACTAAAAAAGGTTCGTCCTTTCATTTCTGTACTAAATTGATGCATATAAATAAATAAATGTCTTTGGAAAATGCATGTATGTGCAATCAAGGGCAGAGTTAGAATTGTAAAGTTAGGAGGCCCAGAAAATACTGAAGTATTCAATAGTTATATGTCTAGAACTAAATATTTCTAATTTATTCATGTCTAATTTATTTTAGTGGAAATTTTAATTTCAATTATAAGTTGTTTAGTACTAATTCTATATGTTATATATAATATGATAGTAGAGAGATAATATATATATATATATATATATATATGGGGGGGTTGGGCCAGGGCTACTCCAGGCTTAGAAGTGGCTTCACCACCATGTGCAATATTATGAGGGAAAGTACCAACCGTTCTGTCAACTCTTTCCTTATATTTGTTCAATGGAAATTTTTTTTTATAAATGACAAATGGAATTTGTTTTTGTCCTCTACACTAATTAACAGCATTTGAATTTCAAGTTCTATCATAATCAGGTTCAGCTAATTAAATCCAAATCTTAACCGATGCCAAATTGCTAATAGCTTATAATTGCTATTTGATCTCTTTTTACTTTCTTTTGTTGTGCATTGTGACTATAGTCTAAAATATCGATAATATCAACGAAATATCGAGGATGTTATCATTTTTTCTGGTCAATGATATTTGGGGTAGGTCCAAACGGTGAGTGAGGTGAGGTATATTGGGCAAGTACCACACTCCGACGTCAACGAGGAAAGAGAATAATTTCTGGTGGTGGGATTTGGGAGAGACTATAGAGAGAGGATCGAGGAGAGGGAGGACACAGGACAGAGATAATGGAACTTCTAACCCTAGTTTGGAAAAATAAACTAGAAAATTTGGGGTTTCACCCTCAAATTCATTTTTCCTAGTCCGCAACCCATCAAAATATGTTTCTTTGGCTAAAGTCAAGTGACTAGGATCCAACTAAGCAACTTACCTAATCAAAGTTTTAATATTTTCAGATACCTAAATTACACCCACTTACCGTTCATGTGATATATATATTTTTTTTCTGTGGGTAAAATGGGGGGCGCCGAGCCCCAAAAAGCAAAACTAAACAGAATTAGGACAATTGCACAGGTTCTGGGCACCCTTAACAAATCATCCATTAGAAAGGATCCCACCCAAGTAGGCACATGATCAAAAGTATATAGACCCAAGTCCATGTTGTAACTCCATTTGGCGAAACAGTTAGCCACCCCATTCGTCTCTCTGTAAATGTGACGCAAGACACAATAATCAAACTGTTCATGTGATATTTAAGGAGAGTTGTCTCCATTTAATGTGTTGAGTTTATTTTCAGCATATTTTGTTTAGGCAATTCAATTTCCATACATTTCTATCCATTTCATTAAATTTTTAAATTTCAAATGGTGATTAGCATAAAGTTGATTTGTTAGTAAGTTTTTATCTTCTTTTTTTGGCATTAAAATAGAAAAAAGTCATGTTTTTACCTATGCTTTTCATGTGTTATCTCCTAATATTTTAACGCAACTAATCTTTATTTTAACATTTGATTTATTGGTTACTTGATTTTTAAATTTTTTGAATAATAATGAGTGTTGCTAAAAGAACCCTAAAATTAACTAAGTACAACCTATAATCTAAGTACGCCTTAATATTTAAATTAAAATATAAAATTAACTAAGCACACCCCATTTAATTATCAAAAATACCCTTATACACTCTATCACACAACACCAAACCTAATGCCGCCTCTGCAGCTAGAGATGATTTTGTTGAAGATATTACAGCCATTGTAAGTTGTTTTGGATTTGTTTTCCAATCTCTAGTTATTACTGGATGAATTTAAAATTAACCTACTACCCTTTGAAATTTCTACATAGGCAGCCAATGCTCAAACTGGTCGTCTAAATCTGTTCCGTAGGTCCCTATTTTTAATTACTCTTCCTTCTTCCTTTTTGTAGTTCCAGAACCAAATAATAAATAGAAAAAAAAGAAAAAAGAAACTGAGAGAATGTTCTAAGTTTGAAGGACTCAACTTTCATCCAATAAATTATTTATTTTTCCTCCTCGTATGAATCATCCATAACCCCTTAAAGAACCTATAGGAGTGAACTCCATGGAGCATCTACCACCAATGACCAAGATCTGTATATCAAACAAACAACTTCATGGCATTCCCTTGCGTTCGATTAGAGTTGAATATGGTGAATAGGATGTACTTATTAAAATAATTGGTTTAACAATTCAATATATCCATTTTGGTCATTTTATATTAAGATAAATTAGTAATTCAATAAATATTTTGGTAGTAGGGTGTACTCAATTAATTTTATGGTTCATTTAGCAGCACTCATAATAATTTACCTATTTCATGATTTTTTTTTAATCAACATATCTATTTGTTTCTTTTTCATGATTGATAAATTACCTATTAATTTTCTACTGTACCTATTATTTTATGGATAATAATATACCTATTATCTTTTATGAATAAAAATTTATCTCTTTTTATGGATAATAATTTACCTATCATTTTGTGTGATACTTAATGTCAATTTCCATACTTGAAACTATAGGTAAATGATTTTAGTAGTAGGTATATTAGTCTTTATTGTGCCTATCGATATTGTGTTATGGTGTTGTGTGATTCATTTCTCGCAAAATTTTTATTGTGCCTATCAATACATTAGAGTTAGGTTGATTGTTTGTGGCGACAATGGTGGTGGGAGTAATTGGCCATGACATGTCACATCCGGGGATTGGCTCCGCCGTAGCACGTTATTGTCCGTTTTGGGCCCCCCTCTCTGCCATCACGGTTTTGTTTTTGGGAGCTCACGAGTAACTTCCCAGTGGGTCACCCATCCTAGGATTACTCTAGCCCCAACTCACTTAACTTCGGAGTTCCCATGACTCCGAACCCAGTGAGCTCCCCAAAGGCCTCGTGCTAGATGAAGGTGGGCATGTACATATAAGGCACATCACCCCCTCTCCGTTGGTCAATGTGGGATGTTACAATTCACCCCCCTTATGGGCCCGACATCCTCGTCAGCACACTCGCACCACACGGGAGAGTAGCTCTGATACCAAATTGTCACATCCCGAGATCGGCTCCGCCGTATTGTCCGTTTTGGGCCCCCTTTTCTGCCCTCACAGTTTTGTTTCTGGGAGCTCACAAGCAACTTCCCAGTAGGTCACCCATCCTGGGATTGCTCTAGCTCCAACTCGCTTAACTTCAGAGTTCCCATGACTCCGAAGCTAGTGAGCTCCCAAAAGGCCCCCTGTTAGATGGAGGTGGGCATGTACATATAAGGCACATAACCCCCTCTCCATTGGTCGACGTGGGATGTTACAATCCACCCCCCTTATAAAAATTTCGTCCTCTAAATTTACATACCTGTCAATTGAAGAGATAAGGGTACTTGGCCCGCATCTGCGCCTCGGGCTCCCAAGTAGCTTCTTCAACAATTTGACTTCTCCACAACACTTTTACTACAGGAATGGATCTGGAGCGCAACCCAAGTACCCCACACATAGACAATATAGATATAAATTCTCAAAATCCATACATACATACTCAAGATACTCAACAGTTTGACCGACACCCATGGCAGGAAGCTTTAGTATCTCTTTGCCTACAGGCGATGTTCTGTTTGCGGACATGGTTTTCAAGGGTTGTTATGTCCAAGTGGGTGATGCAATGTTGGAAGCCGATTTGATTCCCTTGGAATTGGTTGACCTTGACATCATCTTGGGAATGGATTGGTTGGAGAGACACCGTGCCTCGGTGGATTGTTTTTGGTAGGAAATCTCGTTTCTTAGTAAGTGGGCCCGACGGGATCCGTCCCCGTTTTCGAGGAAATCCGGGGCGGGTCCTATCATGACAAGTTAGTTGTGGTGGTGGTGACATGGTGGCGAGTGGCAATGATAGTCATGACATGGTGGTAGTAGTGAATCATATCAAGCTTGAGGTGATTAAAACATTTTTAAAAATCTATAAGGTTGCAAAAGAACTAATTATTTTGAACAAAAAAAGAGCACATGGATGGAATGATAATGAAAGACAGATTACATGATCTATCAAGCTTGAGGTGATCAAGAATTCTTAGAACAATCCTCAGGAGCAAACTTCAACAGATTCTGGTTAAGGTCATATATGAATAAGTAATTGGATTGGTGCACTGATCCAAGAATAGTACGAGCATCGTCGGCGATGAAGGCCAAACATAAGAGATAGTTCCCCTGCTGAGCAGCATTCAACTTTATGAATAAGTCCTCTGGGTTGATCACAAGGTCAGCATTTTCAAAGTGAAATGTCAAAGTAGGCAGAGGTGGCAACGGCGTCATCCATTTGTAGCAAAGTTCAAAAGGGGGGCCAAGAGGCCTACCACCCTTAAAAACGCGAGGAAAGCGCATGAAATACATCTCCAGAAACTGAACCACAGCATTAAAAGCAGGCCTGATGAGAAAAGTAAATGAGCTACCATTGTCCATGACGCAGCCGCCACTTGTGCCCTGATTTCGTACAGCAAACACATTTGGGTCTATGAGAAGCTGTTGTCCATGCACACTTATGCCCAACAGATTGACGTAGTAATATGGTATGTCTTTGAACAACACTAATTTGGTGACACGCAGACCACCTGGTGGTGTGGGGACGTCCTTACCAAATCTGAGATATGTTTGGATCTCTCTTTGGCGTGTTAGGCACATTGAGAATACTTTACCAGTTTGATAGGATTGTTGCAGTGGAAAGGAAATCGGAGCATATCCCAAACCCAATATTCCTGCAACCTTGAACTGTTCCAGCCTTCCAAAACTGATTTTCCTGGTGTCATAAGCACAACCAAACACTACGCCTGGAATCATCAGTGGCTGCCCACTGCTTGACAAAAGTTGAAATTTTCAGCTGCGCATGCAAAGCAACCAGTTGTCATTTATTAGTTAGTTGCGATAATTTCGAGAATTAATACTAAAAAGATTAAGATATTCATGCCTGAAAGAATAGAATTGACAACGGTGCCGCCCATGTACTCATCGTGCTGGGAGCAGTAAGGACCGGTGCATTGGCCTGTCTTGCAAAACGGGTTTTGATTGCAACAGAGAGCAACATAAGATTTGGACTTGCTGTTAGGGAAAGGGGGTTCTTTGGTTTGAAAGCATTGGTTTCCAGGCTTGAGACAATCCTCGCACAGCGCCCATGTGAGGGTGCTTCCAGTGTCGGTGTACAAGTAGTATGTATTGAATGACCTTGCCGGGAAAGGTGCATCAAAAGTCCCAATCCCAACTTGTACAAGGTAAGAGCCGTAAGGGTGAAATTCGAGTTTCGGACGAATGTCAAGAGGGTTGATTATAGTTTGTGACACATTATTGTTGCCGAGGGATGCTAAGGTGTAATGAAGGTGTTGAGCTCGGGCAATGGATCGGTCTATGAGTCTTTGGATTTCTTCTTCATAAGAAATATTGCCCGGATAGAGAGGTGATGCCGGCGAGTCGACATGGATGAGTTCCATGGTCAAGCCATTTGATTTCCCTGCGGCATTAACGCAAACGCAAGCAAGGAAGAAGCCAAGTGATAGGATGCATTGCAATATTATTGCTGCCATTATCTGCCTCATAGCTAGTTGTTGCAATTCCTCATAGTGGTTGCTGGGTTTTATATTTATAGTACGTACATGATATATATGCCTTAGCTAGGGAATTAAATTTAGCCCAGTATGGTAATATATTTGTTGTCTATATGATTAAACCCTTCTATGTATATATAATACTTTTCTATATGAGCAGCTTCTTTACCTTAAATTTCCCTATAAATAATAAAAACAATTTCCCTATGAGCCGTTACCACATAAGCAAATTTACAGAAAAAAAAGGTTCGTCCTTTCATTTCTGTACTAAATTGATGCATATAAATAAATAAATGTATTTGGAAAATGCATGTATGTTCAATGGAAATTATTATTTTTTCAATGACAAATGGAATTTGTTTTTGTCCTCTACACCAATTAACAGCATTTGAATTTCACGTTATATATCATAAAACTTGGAAGTAAATATTCATATTCCTGCTCGAACAAAGTTGGTTTGCTACGTGTAGTGTAGACCCACCAACTTATGAAAGTCACCTACATTTGCCTCTTCTCTTTGTCTTAAACAAACCAAACTTTTGCAATTCTTAGAAGATATTTTGATTGATAATATATTATTAAGGTTGGGTTTTTTTTGGGCAAAAACTAATTTAAAACCGATCAGCCCAAGTCAACAGAAGGTCGAGCTCACGCTTGCTCCACCATGTGGCTCAATCCAAACCAATCTAGTTAAATTGCCAAGACTACTTATAAAGAAATATCCGATAACAAATTTCAACTCAAACTTGCTTGCTAAAACCAGCAAGTATAGTTCTAGCTAATTGGAGTATTTTCTCCACAAAAGAAATAATAAATAAATAAACTTTGCATTTCATAACAAACTAAAAAGATGAGAAACAGAAAGATATACACTTTCTTCTATGCAATAGGCCCCCTTCTGTTGCAATTTCAGTTTGTTCCAGGGCCACTGCATATGCACTAGATTACAAAGAAAATCAAGAAAGACCAACCTATAAGCGAAAAGTGTTAGAAAAGTATATTTATACACACACACATACATGCATGTTTGAAAATTAACTTGACCACAGAAGAGAAGAATGAAGGAGATATCATATAAAGTATGCCCAATGCCCATAACTGAACACGAAAGAAGCCTAAACAAGTGTACAAGCATAGCATGCATGGCCGCTCACAGAAGTTGAAGCGAAAATAAATTGGTACAAAGCTAAGCTTGCCAGGTCCTAGAGAGAAAGGCATAATTAATCGATGATAATTGCTTCACATTTCTGCCTTTTCCATTTAAGTAGCATCGTTGTCTGGCAAGCACTGAGCGAGTGGTGCTCGCTGGCTCTTTCAACATCCAGTACGGAACAGAGGATGACAAAGACTTCATTTATAACTGCAAATCTCAATGTGGCGGGCAATTTATTCACACCTAATTATGGTTACCCTTCAGTTACTAAGCTAATTAAGCTTTTGCAGAGTGTCTTAATCTTGTGGCTAATTGGTTGTAGTTGTCCTCATTGATTGTGATTACCTAGGGAAAGAAAAACATGTGTGAAAAGAAGAAGACAGACAGTCCAATTGCCAATTGCCAATTGGCAGGCAACCAAAAGCTTTATAAACACACACACTGCATATTCTGCGTACAATACTTGAAAATACATTTGCATAAAGCCCTTTAAACGTAACGGCCCTATCAGATATCCATTTTGCTCAACCTTTGCTTCACGTAACCTAATGGCTCAAGCTATTAGCTAGCTAGGCTAGGATAGGCTAGGATAGGCTAGCAGCTCATTTTTCCCAATTCAAAATCAAAACTAGTGATATCAGCTTGAAGGGTTCGAGGAGGAAGCTCATTAATTCTTTGCCCACAAGACATCAAATATACAGTTTGTTCATAGCTAGCTCAACTCTGTTTCTTTCTTCTTCTTTTCTTTTTCTTTGGTCTTCTTTTCCCCTTCTGCTCTCCTATATAAAGGCACACAAAGCAACAATTAGAGCAAGCTCTTTGATTCTTTGGAGTGCCCTCAAATCCTCACACACTCTTAGTTAAAAGAGCTTCATCCCAAGAATGGCTGCCCCTGATGCTTTCCTCTTGGCCTCTGTTTTTGGCATTCTAGGTACCCGAGCTACTTAGTTCTTCTACCTCCTCTAACCAACCCCCTGTATTAATAATTGGGTTCCTTTTTCTTTTCAAATTTCACTTGGTTTTCAATTCTAAATTCTCTCTCGTCCTCTGTTTTTCATTTTCACAGGTAACATCGTGGCCTTCATGGTGTACCTAGCACCACTGTAATCTCTCTCTCTCTCTCTCTCTCTCTCTCTCATGCATGCATCATCTGTAATTGGTACCTAACTTTTTTCATTGCCTTCAATTTTATTTTATAGGCCAACATTTTATAGAATTTTCAAGAAAAAATCAACAGAAGGGTTCCAGTCCATACCTTATTCGGTGGCTCTGTTTAGCGCCATGCTAATGCTCTACTATGCCTTCCTCAAGACCAATGCTTTTATGCTCATCACCATCAACTCCGTTGGTTGTATCATCGAAACCAGTTTCCTTGTAATGTACATAATTTATGCACCAGCAAAACCCAGGGTACATACTCTCTAAATTTATAATGCTCTCTCTTCTCCCTACCTATAATATATTCATTTCTTGTTCATCTTTAATTTTTTATGGTTTTGCAGATTTACACAGCAAAGCTTCTTGTCCTGTTTAATGTGGGGGTTTATGGTGTGATCATATTGAGCACCTACCTAATTCCAAATCATTTTCTGCGGATTAAAGTTGTTGGGTGGATTAGTGTTGTGTTCTCTGTCTGTGTGTTTGCTGCTCCTCTGAGTATAATGGTAACAATATTGCTTATTTATTTCATGCCAAATCAAACACTATATTCTTGACAGATCTAAACACACAATTGATTAACTCCTGCTATAATTTTCAGAGGCTAGTTATTAGAACGAGGAGTGTGGAGTTCATGTCCTTCCCTTTGTCATTCTGCTTAACTCTCTGTGCTGTAATGTGGTTCTTCTATGGCCTTCTAGTGAAGGATTTGTTCATAGCGGTAAAACTTGCCATTATATATACATGCAGAAACACAATATATAATGCAATATAATTTGTCCAAGTTTTAAATATATCTGCCTTGTTTTCTTTCATGTTTAGGCACCAAACATCCTCGGTTTCGCATTCGGGTTAGCGCAGATGATTATGTATCTGATGTTCAAGAACTCAAAGAAATCTATATTACCAGAATTTAGCCTCAATCAGATACCAAATGTGGTTGCAGTAAATGACATTGTAGCAAGTGACAGTCAATTGAAAACGAAGGACACAAAGAAGAGTTCTGAAGCTGAGGAGAATCAGTCAACAGAGAGCATGACAAATGATAGCAGGGCTGGAGATGCAGCTGCTGCTGAACCAAATGAATCAATTGTGTGATCACCTAGACTAGACCAAATGAGCCAAGTGAATCAATTATGTGATTGCCTGAGGTTGGCAAAGGAGCACTATGGATATTGCCAATTAGCATAGGTTTTTTTTAAATATATTTTTATTTTCTATAACCGATATTGGAGGGAATCAAACGGTAGAGATCATATTGACATGTAGCTGTTATTCTACTTCTATTTCTCCATGATTGTCTTTTTCCCTTGCTCATACCTTATTTGGTTTATTCTTACATGTGGAGGCTTTCCTACCAGAATGAATGAATACTACAAATAGAAATGAGAAAATCTAGTCTAATCACAACTGTAGCGAAACAAAAAGGAAAATCTAATCCAATCCAATGGATGCTTGCAAATTTATCTATGAAGTAGATAGACACGCATACCAAACATTATATTGCTTCCTACTACATGAATTCAATCACTTGCGACAATTACATTCTTCAAATTTGGAAGTTCCCCAATGAGAGATCATGCATTCGTTTATTAAGAGAAAAACTTAACTCGAACTATTATATCGCTTCATCATGCTAATTTTATGAGTTTAGCTCAAATGAAGTGCTTTTCTTTTATGACTAATTAACTTATTTTATCAATGAAGCGTATGAAGGAGTTCGAAGATGATATCTTTTTCAACGGTTAGAAAGAAAAATACCAATACATCAAGAGCTAATTGTTTTTCTTGTTACTATACTTTACTTTCTACTTATAATACATGACATATATTGCAAAAAATAATGTAAATATTTTTATTTTTATTCCCATTGATTTTTATTTTTGGTCAAATTTTTTATTCGCATTGATGCTACACCACAGTTTGTCTGGACTCCATACTCCTGGAATAAAAAAAAGATTTAATTTAATTTGAACTGATTTATTTATTTACAATTTGTCATATTTGCTTTTGTTACATAAAGTAAAGGTACCCAATCTCTACGAGTACCGCCTTGCACAGTTGCAGTAAAGCACTTCTACCAATCCTGCAGATTAGGGTTTCCAATTCCTTCGCTTTAGTGCTTAATCTTCCTCACCGTTTTGGCCGAATTTACCGTATTTCTGCATCAGTTTCTCAATATTTTCCCAATTCCTTTCCGTCATGAAGAATCGATACCCAAAAGACGAAGGAAACAGGGAGAAATTCAACGGCTCGACATCGATCAACAAAAAGAAGGATAGCATGAAGAAGAAGAAGAAGAACATGAGGAGAATGGGTGGGCAAGGCCTTTCACTGGAGGCCTTCGCTAATGCCAAATCAAATAGCAGCAGCTACTTCAATCCTGCTTTGATAAGTATAAAGCCCCCTCCTTTAATTGCATTTTCATTATATTTTGTTAAATATTTGCTCTTTACTTGGGTTTTAGTTTTTCTCTGTTTCTATTTCAGTGTTTTCCTGTTTATATGATCATCTTTTACCTTTTTCTTGCTGGGAAGGATCTATATACATGAAACTTATGACCACTCCCTTGTAGCATATTTATAATGATTCTAACAAACAGGTTTAGTTGTGTTTTCTGTCAGAGAAGCAAAAGGAGTTTTACAAGAATTCCAAGTATGTGAACAAGTATAAGAAGTCACTAAAGCAACAGCAGAGCAATCTTCCATTGGCTATAAGACCCCTTGAGGTTTGATTTTTAGCAATGTTTTATTGCCTCTTCTTTAGAAACAGATTGAGACAAGATTAGCATTGTAAATAATATAATAAACCAATTGAAATCCTTATTGTGAAACACAATTTGCAGCTTGAAATTTTACTCCATTTATCTTTTTGGTGGCTGGTACAGGAAGAGAATGAATTTGAACACGGTGATAAGGAGAATGAAACTGAAAATGGTGGTAAGAAGCATAATGAAACTGAAGATGGTAGTAAGAAGGAGAACGAAACCGAAGATGGTGGTAAGAGGAGTAAGAATAACAAGAAGAAAAAGAGGTATGGTGCTCGTAATTTAATAGAAGTGTATGAGAAGAAGCATGAAGAGGAAGAGAAGGCAAGAAGGGAGAGGGATGCGATTATTCAGGCAAAGAAGGAAGAACGAGAAAAGGCCGAAGCTCGGAGGAAGTTTGCGAGGGGGAAGATGCTTAAGAAAACACATAAAGGTCAGCCTGTTATGAAGTACAGAATTGAACATCTTTTGGAGACTCTTCAAGGTTCTGCAAAGCAAACATAGTTTGTGAAAATTTTGAAATGTTTGATTTTTGGATAATTGTAATGTTGCTGATTGAATTACTCAACTAACCTTGATAAGGGCAATTCCAGTTCCTCAAGCAAATGTAAAAAAAAATTGTAATGTTGCTGATTGAATTACTCAACTAACCTTGATAAGGGCAATTCCAGTTCCTCAAGCAAATGTAAAACCATTTTGATATCGTTAAGGTGCCAAATATGTTCTATCTACAGATTATTGTTCTGATTGTTCTTTTCAACATTTGCTATGACCATTTAAATGCTTATTGATTTCAATTATTTTGCCAAGCATAACTCTCTTTTGGGAGAGGATTAAAAGTTTCGAAAACTCATGCCTCAAAGTTGAAAAAAAAACCCTTCTGTATTACTGAAGGACAAACATAGGCTACGTTATTATCAGTTAACACCATGGTTCTAAACAAAACGCATATAAACACTCATCTAGCCGATACAATTTGACCGAACCAGCCATACACCGAGTAAAATGCCGGCCCAGGCATATAATCACACACACAGAAGCACACGGGCCAGTGCCGAAACGTTTAATCAAGAAAAATTGTCAGCGGATGCGATGCACAGCAATTAGAGAGTGCTTCGGACGTGGTTTAATGATGAACATGAGAGTACGAGAGCTATATCAAGTGCCATTAGAGGTCCCATAAGATGCAAACTACCTTCATGTTGTTCTGAGCAAACCAACTTCCTCATCACCTAACTTCAAAGCTTGAGCCTCCTCGGCAACAATTATTTATCAGCCAAAAGGGTGAAAGAAAGAATGACAAAAGCCAGAAACTTGCGCCTGTATTTGAAACTCTTTTCAAGTCGAGTCTTCTGGGAAAGTTAATAGTATGTCTTAGAAACCAAGAATTTAGCATCCAACACTATAAGGCTTGCTCCCGGAGCTTCTTCAGTGTTCAAGTATTTTGGGGTCTACTTGTACTTAAAAGTTCAAGTTTGGTTCCATATCCATGCCGATTTCCTAAACTAAGTCTAGCCCATTTCTTTACTGGCCCTTGGCATTGTCAGGAACCCATATTCTGCCCCCACAGAAATCTGCTAAAAAGGTTTTATTTTTATTTTTCTTAATAGTCGATTATATGATATGATGAGGTTGGATTTGCAGAACATGATATTTGAAACTAAGATCTTAATCCTTGATTATGTTTTCATTTTTGTTTAGTTTTGGTGGGTTGTTGGGGGACTGATAATTAAGTTTCATCCTCATTTTTGTTTAGTGTACTAGCCATCCCCACCTGCATTTATGTTTGTTGGGCAACAAGGATCTGAATTGTACAATGCAGGTTCACTTATTTGGTACAAACTTTAACTGTGTGAGAGAAAGAGAGAGAGAGAGAGAGAGCTGGGGCCAAGGCAGGACACACTGAAGGATTGCACAACTTTAACTCTCTTTATAATGATACATACAGTACGAGTCAGTGAGTGAGTTTACTTTGATATATCATGATGATATAGGTGAGGGTTGGGGGGTGAAACAGTAAAATCAGAGTGAGTGAGTGACGAAATCAGCAAAAGAATTGTGGTAAGGAAGCAGGAGGAGGAGGAGGAGGAGAGAATAAAAATGATGATGATCATCAATACCCTCAAACGTGTGGCCATCATCAACCAATAAAGTGTCTGCAAATTTGATTGCCCCACATTCCATACCACACTCAATTCTCATCTCATCTCAGCTCTGCTCAGTCATTCACCAACTCTTTTTCTTTTCTTTTTTTTCTTTTCTTTTTGGAGTCAGTTTTTCAGTATGTGGTGGGGCGGGGGGGTGTCTGTGTTAAGTTGTTTTCAATCTGTCCTTGTTATCTATTTTTGCGTTCCCTCTCTCTCTCTCTCTCTCTCTCTCTCTGTGTTGGGGTTGTCTTATTATATTATCTCATATTTTCTTTAATTTAATTAATTACTGTGGAAATCTATCTGATATTCAAATGGCTTAAATAAGGAGTGTTCTTGGGTTGCTTGCTCTTGCTGGGTCATCAGGTGGTGGTGTGGGCTAGAAAAGAGAGCGTGAATGAAGCAAAAAGTTGTGGACACCCTCCAATGTCACCGAATCTGTCACGTGGCTCAAAAGTCGAGGTCTCTCTCTCTCTCTCTCTCTCCCTACCCAATAACATTAAAAGCTTGCCAACTCAGCATACATACATTTACCAAAGGAGCTTGCTTTTTCCACCCAGCTGCCCTTTTTTACCTTCCTTTTTTCTACCCTTCAATTATTTTCTCTCTTTTGGGTTGCTGAAATGTAAAGATGTAAAAACCTACGAGTGAAATGCCATTTCTCTCTCATATTATTTACCTACCCCATGGTATGGTTGTTTGGAAATCTCACAACAATGATTACTCAAAATGTCAATAATTATCTTAGTGTAGTGTAACATGTAATGTAAGAAAATTGTTGGCAGAACAATCGGCACCCTCTTGCAGTTGCAAGAAGAACGTATGAAGAGGCCCTCAAACTCAAAGAGAGCTTTCAACAACATTTCCTTCATACATTTCAGCAGCGATCCAATCCAATCCACCACAATCTAATCCATCTTTCACAAAATCAACTAAATCTACATGATAGGATGCTTCAAGATTATAGCTTACAAGTGATAAATATTAAAATTTGAAGCTTTATTTGCTGAGATCGAAGGTTAACAATGATACAAATGGGTCCACATGGCAATTACTTTCTGTTGAAAAAAAGAGGCCACATAAATGCATAAACATGCAAAAGTCTGCAGCTGGTATACATGGTGGTGGCTATGCCGAATAAAATTAACAACTCTGTTCAATACATATAACAACAACAACAACAACAACAACAACAGGAGCTTAAATCTCTTTATTAGTCTAACTGGTATCCCATAGCTCAGCCAATGGTAAAATGAATGGCAATCGAGCTCTTGAGCCTCTGTATACCTCCCTACCCCGCTTCCACTCCAATCAGAGCTGCATCTATATTAAGCTACCGATGAATTTAAATGCGAAACAATTGAGTACCATATATTAAGCATGTACCTGCTATGCCCCCCACATGCAAGACATATCAAGGGTTTGAATCCGTGGGTGTCTCAGCGCAAGTGTCAAGTAACCCCCAAGTGTCAAGTAACCCTCACTGCAGAATCTTCATCCATGGTCCAAACAAAGCCAGGCATGTCAAACCTTGGCCCCGCGACGGACCTATAAATGTAGAGCTTCTCAACAGGACAGCTCTCCGGCCTGGATTCCGGGTGTCCCCTCTCATCTATAACTTCAACATTAAGCCTTGGCAACTTCTGACCTAGCAGCTTACATGCTCCATAACTCACTGAGCAAGAAGACATCCAAAGGGATCGCATTGTCTCCAGCTTTGCAGCATTGGCCAAAAGAGCCTTATCACCAAAAGGACAGTCCCTAATCTCCAGTTTCCGTAGATTCTCACACCCAGACAATACATGATGAAGCCCCAAGTCACTATCTCCAGCAAAGGCTAGAGAAAGCATCTCCAACTTTTTTCCATGTGTTCCAATATACTCAAACGCACGATCAGTTAGTAGACCAGAGACAGACAACCGCCGGAGATCCTTGCAGTGCTCAACAATGGCCCCAAAACCCACGTCAAGTGGCTCAAGGGTAAGGTAGTCTGGAGTTCGGGGCTCAATTATACAAAGACGAAAACATGTAAAGTTAGGTTGATTCCTTGCAATGGTGATTAGCGCATCATTAGACATTTGCCGGCAGAAGTACAGAACTGACTGGAGCTTTGGACAGCCCTCAGAAACAGATATGAGGCCCTGCTCTGTCAACGACACATTTGGTTCCACTACAAACGGATCTGATGGAAACACCCTTAATTCTCGTAGATCTTTGCAAGATACTGCCAGGGCATCAAGGCCAACATCTTCAATGTAATCCAATACCTGCAGTCATATCCTTAATTAGCTACAAAATGGAATTACCAATTGGAACTTATTTGCATCTGTAAGCATCTGACCCTTGGACCTAAGGAGGATTAAAATTGAATTAAAGGCATATGAGGTTGAAAACATCAAAATAAGATGGGACATACCCAAAGGCGCTGCAGATTTGGACATTGGCTAACAAGCTTTATAAGATCGGGGCTTGGAATAATGGCATAACTCAAATTTAGAGATGTCAGCCCAGGGCAGATAGAATAAATAGCTGGAAGATATGCTGGGACCACATCCCAAAACCCAGATAGGCTCTTGAGTTCCTTGCATCCCGAGAGTGAACCTGCTAGGTTTGAGAAGAGATCAGGTCGCAACTCAGCCGAGCAGGCCCCTGTGCCTAACTCAACCAGCTGAGGTGCCCGGTGAAGTAGATTGGCTAGCCTGTCAAGAGGCACAGTGCGATTGAGCCGGAGACTCTTCAGATTGGGACACCTACCCACCAGGCGCTCCAGAGAAGAGAAACTAAACTCAGACCCTAAGCAGGCAATGTTAAGGGAAACAAGTGATGTGTACGTATCAGGAAAATGGCTGAGCCAATGCCCATTCAGGTCCTCCACATCGCTCTCATGCAAGTCCAGCTCCCGCAGATTCCTGCATCAACAAGGTGAAAGGGTGCACTGATAAGGACAACGCATAGACATTTCACAATCTGAGCAAAAAGAGAAGAGTTTTACTAAATAAAGCAATGGGATAAAACAAAACAAAACCATGAAAACTAGATTCCTGATTAAAATTACCAGCTCATCACCATCAGTAACCGACAGTGACTAGACTATTATATTGGTTCAACTTTTCTACAAGCCTAAGTTCACAAGAAAAGTAAGTCATGTATTTTTCACTAGTTTGATGTTCCCACTAAACCATTATCGCACAAAAGTTCACATTTCTTTCCAATTCCAGCATTCTCAAGTGAAAACAACACATCTCCCAAAAGCAAAAGCTAAAAAACAAGAAATCAGGTCAAAAGAATCTTTGAGTAGCAAAGAAGAAAAGAATCTAGTGGAGAGAACCAAAACACAACCGCACCGTCCGAAGAGTTAGAATACAAAATTTGAAAAGAACCTCACATTACAATAGTCCATAACAAGCAAAGTAGCCTTAAAAAAAAGAGAAACCCAAGTGCTCTTAACTACAATTTGAACATTAACCGTTCACACAACAAGATGTCCCAGTCAGATCTACAAGAAATAAAAGCAGAAAATAAGGAAGCCAGAACAAGTAGCAGGAGCTCCATTCGTTTCCAATCACTAATAATTTTAATATATAAATATATACAGAACTAAGTACGGTAATGAACTGGGATAACCCAAAAATGGGAAAATATCTAAGATAGCTATGCGAGACAAACAAAAATGTACGGTAACTCCTGCACGCTGCCATCAAAGGCAACAATGTGCAGCGGAAAACAAACCAAATCAAATGTCTTTACACATTCACTCATATTAACCACTTAACAGCACAACAACCAACAAGTAGAACCCAGAGCAAATATCTTAAATACAAAGTCTTGGTTGATGTAGGAAAAAGCCAAGAAATTGTAAGATTTGTAAATCGTGGGTATTTTACTATTTGAGGCCTGGCCAAAAATGGAAACTTAAACTGAAGCAACCCCAGCTTAAGTGCTCAAGCAGTAAAATCCGGGTGAAGAAAGTTCATTAATTTCCCTAACAAACCGAAAGATCCAAACTTTAATGCTTTTCTTTCTCTTACTTCTTCCTAGCAACCAAAAAGAACCCCCACAGAGTTCAAAAACAAAACAAACATATAAATCGAACCCAAAATTGACTGCCAGAGTAAAACAGAACAAGCAAAGCTGAAGCACCCATATCACAACCAAACCAAACACAGTGCAAAGCAAATGCACAGAAAGAGAGAGAGAAACCTGCAATTGGCAGCAATGGCGGCAAGGCCATCAGTGCTGAAGCCCTCGCAAGACGAAAGCACAAGGAGCTTGAAATTCTTGAAAGACTTGGCAATCAGCTCCAGGGTCTCGTCGGTGACAACCATCCTCTTGAGCTTGATCTCCTCAAGCCAAGGGTAGGCATCAGCCATGGCGGCGATCCAGGGGTGGACATAGCCACCCCAGCCTTCAGGGACCAGATTAAAGTCGGCGAAGTGAGGCTTCCCTTTGAGCTCGATGGATCTAATGTCTGGGAACCGTCTGATCATCATCCTAGGGCTCACGGCGTAGCAGTTCCCGATGAATATTCTCCTCCTGCACCATCGCTCGATCTCGTACCACGACTTGCACACCATCGAGATCGAGTTCCGGTCCGAGTCCGACTGTATGAACGAGAACACGTGTTCTAGCACCTCCTCTGGGAACGAGTTCGCCATTTTCAGCATTCCCACAGCTCAAACTGGAAAATTACTAAAATGACGTCGTTCTGGGAGTGCTTCGGATTTGAAGCAGCTATAAAAATAGCGAAAGAGATAAAGAGAGACAAAATAGATAGATATACTGAGTTTGTGTGTCGTTTAGATTAGATCTGAGACTCCATTAACGAGCTTATTCGTTGCAGACTTGCAGAAGAGATAGAGAGAGAGAAGTGAGAAAGAGAAAGAGAAAGAGGATAAGGTTTTTATGTTGAGCTGGGTGAGGTTAGAGTTTAACCAGGGTTAAATCGCTTGGTGGGCTTCTGTGCGACTGATGCTGATTCACCCTACGATGGCAACACGTGTCAAGTGGAGGGTGAGAGCCGTTGGATTGCGCGGTGGCAGTGGGGTGGTCTTATCCGCTGGGCGACCAAGGGCAGCCGCAGAAAACGGGTGTACGTAAGGGGGTGGAGCCGGGTGTATATCAAAGCGACGAGAGTTTGGAGCATCTCGTTGTGTCGCGATATTATCGGGAGAAATTGAGGAGGACGAGAAGGAATGGGTTGAGGTAAAGTGTTGTCATGTGTACCGGAATGGGTTGTGTAAGGGGAATCTCATGATTCGCATTGCACGGCTGGATCTGTGGGAGAGTAATATTGTGGGGACCACGTTTAATGGGGTAGCGGAGTTAATAAAAGGTTAAAATAATAAGGAATGATTTGATGTGAAGTCCCCTGGTTATCATGACATCATGGCCGTCCAATCATGTGTGACTGTTTAATTCTAACAACGCCACGTATCAGTATATATTTTGTCTTTTGACAAGAAGAAAACTAGAGTTACCAATTTACAATGATCCAGTGCGGTAATGTACGCCTATCAATAAGAAAGATCACATAGGGTATGCAGAAATTTGAATCTAGATTCCAAAATTGTGAGGATAAGTACACTGGTTCGTTCGGGAGTGATTATGGGAGGTCCAAAATCACTTAAGCGGAGAAGTATCTTTTATGTATTTCTCTATATAATCACTTTAAATTATTCTAATGAATTCTTTATAAAATCACTTAAAACCACTTAAAGTAATTTTTCACTCTCAAACAAGCCTACTTTTTTAGCTGAATAATAATAGACCTTTAATGACTAGCATAATTAATGAATTCACATATATACATAAATTAAGCGTCTTTATCCCAAAGATATTAATATACATAGACATGAAGTTGTCATAGCCCTTGGCCCTCCAAGTTGGTCCTCATCATCTAACGTCTATTATGAAATAATTGACAACATTTAAAAATATTTAACTTCGTCACTGCACGTAGATATACATATGTATTTTTTCACGAATAATACATATTTTGTGATAATACACATATTATTTACATATTTTATCTTACACGTAAATATTATTTATGTGGTAGACTTGTTTCTTATTTTACTTGCCATATGGTAACCAAACAATTTGATCGAAAATAAATGCATCCTTAGATTGCAAAATCGTCAAAATGAAATGTAAAAATAGCAAAAGTAAAAATTGGATAAACTGCTAAAAAAGTGAAATTGAACAATGATATAATAATATTGGTAATTATAGCCTCACTTATTATCCAATTGAAAGGTCATGATGGGCAGAGAAATAGTTCAAATGTACTACAAACACTGCACGTTGCATCTTAATCAGACCATACGATGTGGCTTTTTTACAGTGTACGGCGATATGGTAATTTACACATGGACCCATGAAAGCTCATGCAGGTAATTAAATTTTGGTACCATCATAAACGGTAAAAAAGCACAGGTTCACCGAGGGCCGCGTGCGTACATTTTTACATGGGGCCATCACAAAAATTTATAAAATTGAGAGTACGAACTTGCCCTCTTTAGATCACACCCAACGGCCTTCGCTCCACACAAATGAGGGGTACTATTGCCAGTTTGAAAAGGACATGGTATTATTGGGATCCACTGCCTTAGCATGGACTCGATAGACCTGTCCCTTTTCATGTCGAGTTAAAATCAACGGCCCAGATTCAGTGCTTGAGAAGCGAATATCTCAACCGTTGGTTAGAGCTTGTCTCTACTCGATTTCGATATTATATATGATAAAAACAGCAAAAAGCGTTTTGGAAAAAAAGAAAAAAAAGAAAAAAGATTTTGAAATATCGCTCAGAAACTTAAGTCTTAATCAGTTAATTAATTTTTTTAATGGAATAATTAAATGGTGAGCTGAGTTGGCCTGCACGTAAAGTTGATTGTTTATTGGTGAAAAATCGTGATTAAGATATAAAAAATAATTGATTAATTAAAAATGAGAGGATTTAATAATTAACCCCACGCACGGTTCTCCGGGAATCTCTCTTCTTCTCGAGTGGAATGGCTTGGACTTGCTGTGTGTGTGTGTATAATTTTTGCAGGAAGACCGCCCACCTATTCATTTCAAAATGTTTTCTCTAAGACGAATTCTAGGAGTTATAAATTATGCAAAAAATAAAAAATAAAATCATATTCTTCACCACCTTCAATGTCGATGATTAGAGAAAACATTTAATACAAAAATAGTACTATGATATGGGCAAACCGAAGTTGTGACAGCTCAACGAAATGCATGCTGGCACATAAAATTATACATTAGTCATTCTTTATTTATTTATTTATATTTTAAGGTATTGTTTTCTTATATGATCATCTCACGAGTTACGTTATCACTTAAACTATCAATATATCATGAGAATTTGAACACGAGATCACTAGTCTATTCGGAAATAAGATGCGTAAAGAGCATCAAAATAAGGAGGAGTCAATGGCAACAAGAACCCAAGGGACATGATTTAAATTGTGGAGATCCAATCCAATTGGGGTCTAAATTAATTGAAAATCACTTCACTTTAGTGTAATTGAAAGCCATGAATGATGCCTACGACTTCTTTGCCCATCAAGTGATTCCTATCATAGATAACACCCGGCACGTGATGGGAACCCGAGTTCGATTTGTTAATTGACGTTGTTGATTCATATTGGCAATCTTATTAGTGGAAGAGTCTTTATCTTATCATTAAGCAAAGCTCTCTCTCTCTCATATTTCATGTGCAATTACTTCCAAAGTGCGGAACAGTATGCCTTTATATGATAATGATGTGCATGTAGCTGAAAACCTAAGCTTGTAGCTAGAGGGGTGGCTGGCCTTAGGCCTATATACTGTGAGCATCACATAGACGAAATGTGGCAAACTATTGTTGACCACAGCTTTAAAAAATTAAAATTAACATAAAGGTGGATAAGATGGGTACACAACTCTCTCATGCACTAGATGGCTCCCACTTAATCAGGAGAATTCACATAAAAACTATGCACATATATACAGTTTGCTTACTATACATCATTTTATGAAGAGTTTTTTTTTTGGGACAAACGGTAGAGGCTAATTACAACTAACTAGTTACAAACTCATCACAAATATATTTCATTTTAGTCATTCATGTAAGTTGAACTTAAAACCTCTTTGTGTAGATAAATATCACAAAATCAAAAGCTAATTAACGATTAGTGAAAGTACTTTATGTATTCCGAATTAGTTGGAAGTGTATATATATATAAACTCCGCTATTTAGGGTAGTTTCTATAATGAAAGTGTAGAATGATGAGTTTATTTAAGGGGTTCAATCCCACCGTCAAACTATTTAAAATATTTAAGTCCATTAATTTCCTCATATTTGTTGATGGTGAGATTGAACTCTTTAAATAACCTCCTCATTTTAAACTCTTCATTATAGCATTTCCGACTACTGCGTGATTTATGAAAGGAACAAGTTACGTACAGTGTGTGACCCCACCCTAACCTAATGGTGGTAGTATTTACCCATATTTGTAAGGTAACCCATAAAGCAAAGCAAAACAGTAAGCAGTCGAAGCCCAAAAGCCCAACAATCGTAGGGGCCCCTACGAAACAAGAGCTGGCCGGATCAATACTAGAGGGTGGCCGAAGTCTGCCTGCCCTAGTGCCGGCCTGCACTGTCCAATCAAAAACTCGAGTGACAGACACAACCTTTTCCTCTCTCTCTCTCTCTCTCTCTCTTGACGTGAGCTTTTTATCTTTGTACCATCTGTGGTTTTGACGCAAGAAACAACTCATCAAGGAAGCTGGCTTTAGAGTCTTTGTTGAGACAATCCCTGGCTTATCAGTTGTATGCTATGCTATGCTATCTCTCACCGACGAAAGGCCTTTTCCCTGCTTTCCTTTTTAGGTGTACAAGTACTTACGTGGCCTTATAGGATTGGCTGATCGTTATCTCTTCTTTAATCTAAATGGTTGAGTTGACTGCCTTTATCATTATCGTTATCATTTTCCTAAGGGAAACGTGGTATCCTACAGTTACGTATTATGGGGGCAGTAGGCTTTTGAAAAAAAGGAAAGATAAATAAATTGGAATTTAACCTAATTTTTCGGAATTATCATGCGCGTTGACAGATGGCGTGGTGGGTATAATTTTACCTAATTTCGTTGATATAAACAGACACACGATTAAAATGTGGGTTCGGGATTTGTTGAAGAGAAGAATAATAGTAACTAATCATCAACTGCCATCCTTACAAAATATAAAATAAATAAAAATGGAAGCCGTCGTTTTCCGCCGGGTTAAGACAAAAATTGTGTTCCTGGTAGGAGTAGCATGTCACCAACTGGACTTGACCAACAGATGTATGGAGATTCTAACAACAATCACTTGAGTAAAACATTTTGGAAAACATTATCGTATGTACATGAAGTCTTCACGCGAATTACGTATAACCGACTAACGGTAACACATCTCAAAAGCTCGTTTATGTACAATGGATGCCCAATGTAATTGTATGCTAAACAATCGGATACAGCTCGTAGCTGACTTAATATTTAGTTGACATGCACAATCAATCATGCGTAGAAATAAAGTAGTGCTTGGATGTGTAGGTCTTACCAAGAAAAGTAGCGGCACCATGTTCTATCAGCAGCCTTCCTAGAAACTTTCTCTGCTTAGTTTGTCTACAACAGGACAAATTAAGATTCGGTCCCCCAAGCACGCTTGAGCTGATGGGTTTAATGAGAAGAAGAAAAAACAAACCCCATTAATTAGCCAATGGTCAATAGCCAGATATGTATTGTCTTGTACAAAATATAATTGGTTTTAATGATTTGATATGTTAAATATATATATATATAGTGTGAGCGAGCGCAGGATTAATTATAAACCCCCTCCTTTTTGTCATCCTACAACTATCAGTCTCCTCTGTGTGTATGAAATAAAATTCAGGTACTCAAAAATGAATTACTTAGATGAAACGGACTCTCCGCAACACTACTGCCAAGGTAACTCTATCAGTGCTCAAGAAGCTTTTACTAAACTTAGTTGAGTAACAACATTTACTCTTGTACTCGAGATTTTAAATTGATTCTCTTAAGCTTCAATATCGTTTGTATATTTTTTAAAAGGTGCAGCTATTTAGTGCAATAAAGCATTTGTGGATTGTTGGGGGTGGGGGGTAAAATATAGAAGGGGGATTCACTATTATACCTAATATAGGGGCTCAAATTAAAAATATATATATATAATGGACTTTAGAAATACACTCAAAGCACATTTATAACATAACAAAAAAGCTTTTAACTTCTTTTAAATTTCAAAATTGTTATCGATTTCTCAAAACAAACTCAACCCAAAAACCTCATAAAAAACCAACTGTCATTTTTTTGAGTTTGTTTATAGAAATTAAATAATGCATAATTTATTTATATTATTAGTGTTAATAATACGTATATGAGTAAAGATCTCAATTTAATGCTGATGATGGGTGGCTTGTAGCCAGTTGGTGAGACCTCACACCAAGACGTTATAACTTTGTGAGTTATTATCAATTCCATCTGTAGGTTATTGAGCAGTTTATGTCATGGGCCAAGTGCACTTTTCTGGTGGAAACTTTAAATATTATGTATAGCCTATAGGTGTCGTGGTCCTGAGAATCCTGATGGTTAAAACTTGAACCCCCAATTGATCTGATGGCTCTACTTCATTGATTAATCTACGTATGTATACTTTTAGCCATTAATGGTCCAACTAAGAGTGGACCACTAATTCAAGGGATTTCTCTCTCTCTCTCTCTCTCTGTGTCCAATCCAGATGCAGAGGATGAAAGGTTTGCCAATTGGAATTGGGGACCAATTTTTGTGGCATTTGGGTTTGGTTCTTATATGCAAATCCAAAGGACGAAAGGTTTGCCAATTGGAAATGGGTTTTGTGACATTTGGGTTTGGTTCTTATATGCAAATCCAAAAGACGAAAGGTTTCCCAATTGGAAATGAGTGGGTTTGGCTATTATATGCGCATGGGCCTGACATTGATATCCCAGGGGTGAGGCCCATCTTTATAATGTGTGTGAACCCACTATGGTCCTCTAATTATTTTATTTTATTTTTGGGTCGAATAATTTATTGTTCTATTATACAAATGATATTAAATGAGAGGATGACAGACTTACTGTCCTCACTAACTAGCATAACCCAAATGAATTTTTCAGGGCACGTTTGGTATCTTATTTGAATCTAATTTTATAAATTCAAAAATAAATTTTAAGTTTAAACTCACAAAAACCCGTTTGGTAGAATCTTTTTTAAAAACTCAAATAAAAAAAAACTCAAAAACACCTCTATTATTTATAAAAAAATAAAAATTAGATTATATATATATTTATCTCTCTCTCTCTCTCTCTCCTCTCTCTCTCTCTCTCTCTCTCTCTCTCTCTCTCTCTCTCTCTCTCTCTCTCTCTCTCTCTCATTTTCTTTTGTTAATTTCAAATTGGGAATATAGGGTTTTTGATTTTCTGATTTTAATTTCAATTTTTTTAGATCTTAAAAATAATTTAGAGTTCAGTATCGAATAAGTTTTCAGATCTTAAAATCACTATTTGAAAACTCATGTTTTAAAAAAGAATCGTAGTTTTTAAATATATTTTTTTGAATAGAATACCAAATAGGGGCTTAATATTTTGCGAGTATGTCTGTGTTTTGTCAATTCTTGCACCTACCTATACTATTCTCCTTGTTAGTTACAATTTGTTTAGTATAGTAATTCAAAGAAGCGGCTTGAATTAGATGTCTTGTTGTTGGTGAAGGTAGTGAACTTGTCTCTTTACACACAAGTTCGAATAAGCCTAATGGTAAAAGTGAGCTTTAGTCATAGTTTTGGGGGGCATTGTTGTAAATAAGCCTAATTTAAACTATTAACTCTTTTATCAAAATAATAATAATAATTCACTTAGGGCTAAAACTAGAAGCACAGAAAGTTGCAAGGGCACCATCCCTGCTTGGGATTGCTTATTTTCGTGAAAAACTTACTTCACTTTAAAGTTAAACAGTTTTAGGTGTTTTGTAAAAATAAAATATCTTGATTATTTTAAAAGCAGTTGCATTTTGACAGTAGCGTTTAAAAGTATGTTATGAGTTGTTTTTCAAAAGAAGCAAAGATGAGTATTTAATGAATTTTTAAAAAAATACACCTCCACCTCCACATCCAACTCCACCACTTTCACTGCCGCCGCCGCCACCGATGCCACTACCTCCACCACCACCACATCCTCCTCCTTCTCCGGCACCATCACCACCAAAATTACCGCCACCTCCTATATCTCCACCACCACCACCAACTCATCCTCCTCAACCTCCTCAACCGCAATCCCCACAATCTCCACCTCTACCTCCACATTCATCACCACCTCTACTCAATGGCGGATCTAGAAATTTTTCAGGGAAGGGGCAATAAATAAAAGACTAAAAACACAAAAATAATTAAATAATTAAACAACCAAATACCTTTAGAATCTAACGAAGATTAATCTAAATAAAAAAAATCTAAAAAAATTAATTTCAATTAATCTAATTGAAATGCATATCAAATTATCAATTAAACAAATAAATCGGAATTGATCATCTATTCATGTGCTATTGTATTAATCATACAAAATACAAAGAGAGCCAAATCAGTAATAATAATATATATATATTTTGTGGTCATAAATTGTGATTTCATTGAATGACTTTAGTAGTGGCAAGGTTCCAAACATTAAAATAGATGCTAAGTGCAGTGATTCTATTGGGTGAATGAAAATGGTAGAGATTATATGGAATTAAATTATAAGGCAGAGTTTTGGGAATTTTACAAACCAAATGGTGGTGTCTTTATTGTATGAAACAAGACTACACGAAACACATCGTTTCATTAAAAAAAACCAACGCATCTCAATCCGACGTCGTTCACTTAAAACCTAGAGGAAAACAAAAGTTGAGTCAGGGTTGGGTCTTCTTCTTCAAGAGGAATAAGCCATTGACGGCGCCTCATAGAGCTTACATACCATAGCTGCTGTGGGCATTAGCAGAGGGGCATTTTCAGGCACCTCCAAAGCTTTTTCCTGCAAAGGGAGGTGCGGCTGCACCTCCTTGCGCCTCTGTAGATCCGCCAGTGCCTCTACTACCACCTTCACCTCCCATCTTTTTAACCTCAATCACCACTATCACTACATGATTAGCGCATAACACTTTCATCATGTCTATTTTAGTTATTATTCACATTTACAATAGTTTCATATTAAAATTTATTAAACGATTTTGACACTGTTTTTTATACTAATGACACTTTTAAAAATATTATTTACCAAACATGAAATTACTTTACAACTAATTATTTTCAAAACACACAAGTAACTTTTTTTTTTAAAACCGACAGAAATCCCAAACTCGCCCTGAATCTACTTGATTTATCCTAAATATAAGCAAAGCTTCTGACACGGCAGGAGGTGTTATTTATCAAAACCCTAATCGGAGTTTTGCTCGCTGTCTTTGTGAGTTCTTAATTTCTGAAAGATCCAATCTTTTCTTTTTGTTTTTATTTATTGTGATGATAAAATTGATTCTGTGTGGGTTAATTCGGTTAAGGGTGTTCAAAAATTGGCAAAACAGGAATTTTGGATTTCTGGAATTGAGTAATCGCTGATGATGAGAAGCATAAAGGCCATAAGCAGCGACGACGTTTATGCGCATGGGTTGTCGTTGGGATGAGGAATGTGCCAATATGCTAATCTGAGGCCCCCTTTTCTCTCTCTCTCTCTCTCTCTTTAAAACTCTGTTTTTAACATCATAAACGAGTATATACTGTTTGTTTGCTGAGAAAATGGCAAGAAAAGAAAAGAGTTTGTGGCAAAAATCAGGCTTTAATCAGTATCACATGTTGTCATCCTACTAAGTAAACCCCCTTATAGCTCATCCTTTTGGGGCGATTGGGCTTTAGAGGCAGTAATTTTGGTGCAGCGTGAGGCATGCATGAACCAGTGCTCATGTATGAACCTGAAAGTGAAACCAGCGAGAAGCAAAATGAAAAGAAAAAGAAAAAGAAAAAGAAAAAAAAAAGAGAGAGCCTAGAAGTTTCATAAAATTGGCATCCCAATTAGGGGAATTTTGATAATTCCCGACGAGTTTTCTCCGGGATACAGATTATTATTCTTGCCGACAAACATATAGATTGGAAGGAGACGAACATATAGATTGGAAGGTGTAAGACTGGTAAGTTGAAGAAGAATAGTTGTCTTGTTGTGTGGTTTGACTTGCAGGTTTAGAGTGAAGAGTTGGTAGAAGTGTTTGTACATAATATCTTCAAATGCTTGCTTCCAGGTTAAGTAAGCTCACGCTGCCCGCCGGCCTCTCTCTCTTCCCACTTCCCACATTTTTTGTTTATATACATTCAACTGAACTTGTTTAGTTCGGCATTGGTTTTCTGTTCTTACAAGGATCATCAGATTCGGCTACACCTCCAGACTTGAAGGTTCTCTTCTCTTTTGCTGGGCAGTTGGCACTCTGAGAAAGGGTTAGTTATGGGACCTGGCGGACCTGGCGGTGGAGGTGGAGGGCCAGGAGGAGGTGGCTGGGGAGGCCCTGGGCCTGGAGGACCTGGTGGCTGGGGAGGCCCTGGGCCTGGAGGACCTGGTGGCTGGGGAGGCCCTGGACCTGGAGGACCTGGTGGCTGGGGCCCCGGGCCTGGAGGACCTGGTGGCTGGGGCCCCGGGCCTGGGGGGCCATGGGGTGGCGGTGGTTTCTGGGGTGGACCTGGCTTTTTTGGGGGGTTTGGTGATGGATTATGCAACCTGGTATCTTCTTGGTAATTATGATTTATGAACACCCATTTGAATTTTTGTTTCAAAGGAATGATTATTCTTTGCGAAATTGTCTATATATGCATATGAAGTTAATTATGAACTGAAATCTGAAGTGTGTTGTTGTTGCAGCTTCTACTGCTTGTGCTGCTGTGGTTTGCTCCAAGAATGCTTTGGCGGCCCTCGTGGCGGATATGGTCCTCCCGGGGGACCTCCTCCTTTCTGATCCAGTTTGTTTTTGAAGTCGGCTGTTATTTTTAGCTTTGGAGCCATGTTTATGTAAAAGTTGCTGAGTTTATGTGTATTTGATTCCCTGAGTGAAAGTGTAACGTGAATTCCGAATCATCTTTTCAAACTGTTACTTTGAATCTTGTTATTTACTTCCAAATTGACACCTAAGATAATCGTTAATTGAAGTAATAGTTTACTTTGATGAAAGTTTAATTGAGAAAGAATCTTGTTCTTTTCCTCATTCAAAATCAGATGTCCTTATATGTTTATAGGCATGCTACAAAATCTGCTGACTTTTCTGTCTAAAGAATAAGAATTTGATTGCTGGTCAGAGTACTGTTAATCCCATTTCTTTCCTTGAGTTCCATAATGTCTGCATATGTACAATACAACACGCCTCAGGGAGGGAGGCCTGCCTATAAGTTACAATTTTGACTATTTACACCAATATATAACCCAGCAAAACAATCAATCCTCAAGTTATAATATTACTCTACTATCTGCTGCTCCCCAAGTACCGATTGGTGCACGATGTCTTCGTTGAGTGAACCAGGAGTGAATGGCACAAATCCTCTACCGCCAAAGACAGGACGCATGAAACTGTCATCAAACATTCTCCAGTAGTAATGCACAGAACGAACCGGTGTCATCAAGAGCATACGCAGAACAGTTCGACGGGGAATTCTATCACCGGCCATATCCCACTTTGGATCGTCCCCATTAGTGAGGAGTGGCATAGCCAGAGACATCTCAGATGATAATAATTCAGAGGGCATGATGCTGCCTGAGTATGTATGTTGTGGCAACAACCACCTTACAAGAGGCTTAGTCAATAATCCGCACACCTGCAATTGCCCCAAACACCGACTTAAGTGATAAGCAGGCAAAGAGCAGGCCTCAGTCTTACAAGAAGTAAAAGTTTTAAAGTGGATAAGGAATTTTACCACATTGGTGAAGAGAACAACTGTGATTGTACTAGTAATCATGACTGCGTTTCCACGGCGTTGAGTATGGCCTGACATTGTAAACTGAAAAACACAGCATATTAAAAACTTGGTTACATTAAAACAACAAGTAAAGTCATTAAATTTGATCCATTCCTTACCCAATTATAAGCAAGAGCCACAGATACAGCACCTCTCATGAGTCCTGCCCACCATACCGTTACCTGTTTGATTTTTGTCAATGAATCAGTCACTAAGTAATTCAAGACGCTGAAAAACTTTAACAACAGATACCAAAATAGCTAACCTGTTGCTTAAATCCAATTTTGTCGCTCTGATGTTTCTTAGTTAAGTTCGAAGCAAAACATAGGGGAAATACAAAAGCAGCTCTTCCAATCAGAACCAGGCCAAGTAATATCGAACTGACTCCAATAGAGGTCCCAGGACTGTTAAAAAAGAAGAAGAAAAATAAGCTTTTAATGACTTTAAAACAAATGGGAGGGTTGGGCTGCAGGGAAAGTCATCAACAATACTATCAAACTGTCCATTTGTATACATATAGGTGTTACCTCTCGCTTACAAATTTCCACTTCTCAATGTCCAAGGCATCCATACCAACATACAGGAAGATGAAAATCTCCGAAACAAATGATAATGTTGCAAAAGCATGCCTGCAGTTGTGAAAACAGCACATGAGAAAGAAACAGACACGTGACTTGTTTGTCCATGCTCTGTATATTTATACACACATACATGTCTGCTATGTTAAACTTTTGGAAAAGTTGGCTTACTTGGTTGTAACTCTTGAGCTTTCAGTTACATTGTGCCAGGTATAGTGAGACATGACAATCCCGCAGAAGAAAACAGTAAGAATGCCACTTAAATCGAACAGCTGGAAGATGAATAAAATTTTTCATTGTTAACAGAGTCAAACACCAGTCAATATCTAAAACCAAACTGGATTGAGCTTTCAGTCCAAGAGGGTAAATCAAAATCTTACTTCTGCCACCATATATGACAAATAAGCCATTAAAATCATAAGAGCAACTTCACGATCAGTAGAGTGCCTGCCAAGGTACAACTTCTTCATGATGTATGCACTAAGCAATCCGACCTGCAAGTGTAAAAGAGAAGATGAGAAAATGAGTCTTCCAAGGTACAATTATAAACCTGACCGAACTCCCATCTTTCTCTGTTTCTTTTTCGGTCTAGGTCTACCATGAAATCTCCCTAATGCCATTAGTCATGCACGAAAGCTGATAATATGAACATGAGAAAATGAGGATGTGCACAAAGACTCACAGCTATACCCAGCAATGTGCTTGTCAGAAACAGATATAAGAAATTGCCAATAAACTCCATCACAATGGTTGAGTTGATGTGAGAGAGATCAAATCTCTGGATTGCATTGAAAAGTACCACAGATGTGGCATCATTTACAACACCTTCTCCAAAGACTAGACTGTACAGTAAAGGCGTCTCATCTTGATTAAGCACCTGCCACATCAGATACAAACTTAATAATGATTTACAATTTTAGTTATCCACTGATTTTATGTTTCAATAAACAGGGCCATGAGGAAAATATACACACCTGAAGGGTGCAAACAGTATCTGTAGCCGAGAAGATTGCTCCAAGTGCTACACGTAGAGAAGTGAAACAAAACATAAGAGCATAAAGGGGCAAAAATAAGAAGTAATAAATGTTTCAAATACAACACAAATATGAACTCAAACAAGAGTGTAATTACACAACAAAATTTATGTAGATTAAAATGAGAAAGTAATAGAGAGATTACCAAGATAATCGTTCATCTCCAGGAAACCAATGTCCATTTTCTCGAATAACTGCAACGAACCTGGATCAAAATTACAATAGTTGCAACCATTATAAACCGTAGCTTTGGTGAGTTTCTCTTGCAATATCAGCCTTATACTGACCTGCTAGATTATTTATAACTTACCTAGCCATATAATGACAAATGATATAAAACTGCCAACAGCACCCAACAGCATGATTGTCATGAAGTTCTGGAAAAACCGCTTCTTTTTCACCTGGAATCTGGTATGTAAAATAATGAAACCGGGAAACTTGACGATCATGATGAGGCAGCATTGAATATAAAAGGCTGAGATGAGATTGATATGAAATACATGGCTTACCCAGCATTGAATATAATAGGTGGCAGAAGATATATGAAGAAAATATCTTCATTAAAAACTAAGACGCGTGAGCTTTTCCATTCGGTATTTAGAAGAATAACAATTCCAGTACAAAGGCCCTGCATTCAAATCAAACCCAATACAAAAATCATCCGAAAATTCCGAAACAATGACATGTGATTGAGTAAACCAAAGCTAGGGCATTTAATTTGGAGGAACTTACAATGAGAAGGGCAGTGACTGATTCAGTCATCCATCGACTTTTCTCCAGAAGATGACCAATCACAACGCAAAAACAAAGGAGCACCACGAATAAAGTTATGGAATTTATGGGAGCTTCGTCGGTGGTGGTCGATTTCACCCCCAGTCTCATCAAAGCAGAGACTAAAGGGAAACCCATCGAGATGGAGCCACTCAATCTCTGCAAGCTCCTGATAAAATTAAACTCAAATCGTCACAAAGGCTCAACTCAAAAAATACATAATGCTCAAACTTTCATAAGAAAATAAATTCCAGATACCAATAACTCTGCATCAAATTACTTCAATGAAAATTCAAACATAGAAACGAAAACGAGTCATGAGCGTAAGGCTTAAAGACATTAGAATGAAAATTTTCTTTTCTTTTCCTCCACTCCACTTTCTATGAAACCAAACAGGACTGGAAAAGAAACAGTGCGCACCTCTATAATATCAATGGCCGCGCAATCTACAGCAAGACGAGATGGAATTTGACCTTTAGAGAGAGAAAGGAGTCAAATAGTTTTAGAGGGAGAGAGAAGAACTGCGAAGCAGAAAATAAGAATCCAGAGAAAAAGAGACTTGAAAGACCGCGAAAGAAAAGAACGAAGACGAAGTCCTTTTATAGCGTTGAAGTCGCGGGAGAATCAGAGCCGTCCGAGTAAGTGGGCCCCAGCTCAGCTCTAACCTTGTTGCACACCCTACGCGAGTATTGTTACCGCTTTGGAAAAGGGAAAGTAAAATCTTTAATTGAAGGCCTGCCAATCAAGAACTGCCACCTGTGAATGTCTTGCCCTTTCTACCCTGGGTCTAGGAGTTGGTGCCCGTAGCATTACCTCTTTTTCTTGGGTAAAAACAAAAAAACAAAAAAAAAGGAAAAACAAAAACTAACCTTGTTTTTATCGGTTATCAACAGAAAAAATAAAAAAAGATGAGAAACCCTTGACGCTGCGTTACTCGGCCAACAACTTAGCCCCCCAGCAGCAGTTGTTTATGAATGAACAACAACTGCTGCTAAAACATTATCACTAAGTTTAGAATGTCCACAAAAAAAACTACAACAACATTCTCATCAAAAGAAGGTTGTGAATTGTTTTAATGTAAGATAACTAATTCGTATTAAGAAGAATATAAATCAATAAATATGTGGATGATAAATGTATTTCGTAATTTTTTTGTTGTTGATGTTGTTGGTTAATAATATATACTCATTGGGTCATTCATATTGCGCGCCACTAAAAGCTTATATCATTTTAATACTTACGCGCCATTAAACAGCCAAAATTTTTTCAAGGTTGAATTGTATATAGTTGTTAAATCAAGCGGCTCAATACATAATTGTTCAAGGACTTATATTAATTCCACTCAATTATTATTATTATTATTGATGCGGACTGCACTCAATTGTGCCACATGAGATTATCATGTCAGATTTGTTCAAATGTCTTTTTTCTTTGTTGGGTCAAGTTCAAATGTCATGTTATCTTAAATTCATTGCAAGAATAATCGTGTTCCGATAATGTTAAAGCAAAACAATTGTTCATTGTTGGGTTGGGCTAAACTTGAACCAATATCCAATTCATCCAAACTATCCAAACCCGGAACCAATCGACTTCGCCCAATAAGAAGTAGCTTGGATAAGAGAGTGTACTGGTAACAGGATCTATCATTCATCACCTATCACTTGTCTCGGGGACTCTAGCACAGACAACAAAACACTGATCACCAAACCCTAATTTACAGCCCTCGGCGCTTACATTCATTTGCCAACCTTGGAAAATGGGTTTCAGTCCCTCGTCCTGACTCAAAATCTGGTATTTACCAGGCGTTGTAGATGTTCCTGTAAGCTGGTTTCCGAGGTTTGTGTGGTTCAATCTCCGTAAAAGTGTAAAGCTTTCATGGGTTATCAGGAATGTTTGGCATTCAGTTTCTTTTAGGGTGTTTTTTGAAAGTATTTCTAGAGAGATCTATGGAAAAGTGACAAACTTTGATTGGATTTGGCGGTTTATCTTAGTTGATCTATAGTTTTTCGGTTATTGGATTTATCAGTGTAGTATATATCGGTTGAATATAGTTTTGTAGATCTACAAACAGTGCATCAGTGGCTGAAAACTGTGTATATAAGACCTTGGGATGAAAAATGGAGTGCGGATGTAACATTTTGTGGTGAATTGTGCTGATTGATGTTCACATTTGAGGGAAGAAATTTTTAATCAACGGTTGTCCCCTTTGATTAAAAGTATAGCTTTTAGCATTTCAGGCTTCTGGGATTTCAGTGATGTCTTTGAAGAGTATATTTCAAGATATGAAAGGTGAGTTTGGGAGCATTTCTAGGAAAAGCTTTGATGTGAAATTTGGTATAAGATCAAGGTCTCAACGGGTGGTTCAGGATACCACCTCATTTCGAGTTGATGCTTTGAAGCAGAGTTGTTGGGCTAACATGCCGCCGGAGCTTTTGAGGGATGTGTTGATGAGAATAGAGGCATCTGATGATACATGGCCTCCGCGGAAAAATGTAGTTTCTTGTGCTGGTGTTTGCAAGAATTGGAGAGAAATCATGAAAGAGATTGTGAAATCCCCAGAAGTTTCGGGCAAGCTGACATTCCCAATCTCTTTGAAGCAGGTTTGAGATAGTGGCCCATATCCTTCCTATAAAGAATAAATTGTTCATGTTTTTATCTAATTGTGTTCAATTGTATAATGTATTCGTTTTACCTTTAATCTGTTGCTTGTTATAACATACCCCTCTGGTTTGTATTTTTTGTTTAGCTTGATGAGCTACATTGTTATATCTTGAAATTGATTTGCAGAGTCAGGAAAAGATCCTTATATTGTATGTAGCAATGGTAGCTTCCCAAATAATGGCTGATTGATGATTGTTGTATTGAAATGTGCATGCAAAAGAAACTACTAAGGCTACCTCTCATATCTTCAGCAAAACATTTTCATAAATATTTTTCCGGCAATAAAGTCTTATTAAGGAGTTAAGAATTGTTAATCTTATTGTTATCAATTTAAATAACCACTGAAGTCTTTGCTTATATTTTGCAGCCTGGTCAAAGGGGATCCCTTCTTCAGTGTTATATAAAACGGAGTCGTAGCAACCAGACATATTATCTTTTTCTGGGTTTAAATCAAGGTAATTTACTGAATATTTGTCCCGAATGATTGTGCTGATCTAATGTTGCTTTTGCTGGGATTACTGTGCTCTTTGCATTGTCTGTAATGCTCATGGTAGGATTCGTAATGTGGTTTTAATTTTGGATTTCATTAAGTAATTTGGTTGTCAACAACGTAGTTACTAAAACACAGAAAACAAGGTTAAGTTTTCTAGAGTCTCCTTCTCAGATGTAATTTTTTAATATTAATTGTTTTAGCTTTTGTAATTGCCAGCCTCAACTGATGATGGGAAGTTCCTTCTTGCTGCAAAAAAGTGTAGACGCCCAACCTGCACAGACTACATCATCTCTGTAAATGCTGAGGATGTGTCAAAAGGGAACAGTGGCTTTGTCGGAAAGCTCAGGTATGTTTATCAGGCCTGTGAGATGACTAGTTCTTGATCCTCTTCTAGGCCTAAGTTCATCATCCCATTTTCCTTGAACAGATCAAATTTTCTGGGCACTAAGTTCACAATCTATGATGCGCAACCTACTAATACTGGAGCCAAAGTCACTAAATGTCGTTCAACCAGGCTTGTAAATATGAAACAAGTCTCCCCCAGGGTTCCTGCTGGCAACTACCCTGTGGCCCACATTGCTTATGAGTTGAACGTCTTGGGTTCCAGGTACGAGAAACATAACTTTCCTTTTTCTTTTCTCAAGTAATGTTTTGTATAAATACTGTGGTTGATTTGCCATCAAAATCAGAGGTCCGAGGAGAATGCAGTGTGTAATGGATGCCATCCCTGCCCGTGCTGTTGAGCCAGGAGGTGTGGCACCCACACAGACTGAATTTCTGCATAGCAACCCAGATAGTTTTCCATCCCTCCCTTTTTTCAGATCAACATCAACCCGGATGGAGAATTTCGAGTCTGGCGAGAATGGAGGTATGCTGGTATTGAGGAACAAGGCACCTAGGTGGCATGAACAACTCCAGTGCTGGTGTCTCAACTTCAATGGACGAGTAACAGTTGCTTCCGTCAAGAATTTTCAGCTTGTTGCTTCCCCAGAGAACGGAGTTGCTGCTGGCCAGGAGCATGAGAATGTCATCCTCCAGTTTGGAAAAGTGGGCAAGGATGTATTCACCATGGATTATCAGTATCCAATCTCAGCCTTTCAGGCATTTGCAATTTGTCTGAGCAGCTTTGACACCAAGATTGCTTGTGAATGATTGGCAAGCGCTAAGCAGGTTGCAATCCACAGTCGTAATGCTTGGAATTCCAGTAGTCTGTATTTAAATCAAAACCTGTTTCCTTTTTTCTTTTTATCCTTTTTCAGAAGTGCTTTTCGTATTCTAAAGATATGCAAAATCTGATTTTGCTTAAACATTATTTCCCTTCATATCTAGAATGATAAGCCTCCTCTCTTTTCTGTTTGGTTGTAAATACGAGAAATACAGTTGGATTGGATTGTCTTCAAAAATATTGGACCGGGCCGAAGGCTAGGCATATGCCTTGGGCCTCGCGTTGCCTCTTTTAGAACACAATCGTTGTGAGAGAAAACGCTCCCTCTGGGCTCCATGGCGTATTTACGGAGTTTTCAATGTAAAATTACAAATTCGAGGTTAATATTATTGACATGTCGAATTAGATAGATCCGTACTGTTGCTTTGCTTGTATAAAAGAAACAAATTTGAAGGATCCCGGTTTTTGCGTCACTCCTCGTTTCATATGGACAGAATTTGGATGAGCAAAACCTTTTAGAATTAAGAAACCCAAAGACGAACCAATTCAAAACTCTACTCACCTAATAAGAAATCCCACTATATATTTTCCTTTCCAAGTTGGGAAAGGATTAAGCCTCTGTATATTTGGCGATTTTACTCTCAAGTCTTAACAAGTTGTACAATTCTATCACTTTCATTAGTCCTCGAAGTTTTTCCTTCCCCCTTGTTTGCCGTTTCCAAATTCTTCTGCGTCGATAATGGGTTGTCTCTATGAATCTCATCACGAAGAGGAAAAATCTGAAACCAACAAAAACATTCCCATGTTGTTCTTGCTTGGAGAATTCTCTGGGGAATCAAATCATGCGTGGTTAAACCCTAAAAACCACACCTCCAACTCCAAGCTCATCAAAGTTCCAGAACTTGAGGACCAAACGGAGTGTCTCGCATCCGGGTTTGGTTGGTTGCTCATACAGTCTCGCAACACCTCCTCCCTCTTCTTTTTCAACCCCTTTTCACGTCAAAGAATCAACCTCCCATACCACCACAGCGTTATCACTGCTGCTGCGTTTTCAGCCTCCCCCACCTCCCCTGATTGCATTGTTTTCACCTATAGGATGCCTAGCGTCTTTGGCGTCCGTATTGACACTTTGCTTGTGGGACAAGAAACTTGGACCCGTCATGTTTTCATACGAGATCCAAGCTTATTCGGTGGATCGATCCAAGCCATCTATAACAAGGGATGCTTCTATTGTGTGGATCCATATGGAAAAATTGCCACATTTGATGCTAAACTGAGGACTTGGAACATTGTTCGTGGCAATGGTTTTGAGAGGGCTCGCAATTATTTCTTTGAGTTCAATGGAGAAATCTTTGCAGTGAAGAACAAGTCAGATTCAACTTTTGCTGAGAAACTTGAGAGGCTCAAAGTGGAAGGAGGAACGTATGGATGGGAGGAGGTAGACTTGGGCTGCTTGGGTGATGATGTTACACTGTTTCTAGGTCCCTATGGTTCCTGTGCTGTTCCAGGTTTAAGCAATGTTGTTGGGATGGAGAAGAAGGTTTTTGTGGCAGATCGTAGGCCTCAATCCAAGTGTCTTATGTACAACAAGAGCAATGGGTTTGGGATGGTCGCTGATGCAGGATTCTTCTCTTGGTGTTATGCCCCAATTTGGATTCAAAGCTCCTAGAAATCAAGTGTCATATAATAATAATAATAATTATTATTATTATTATTATTATGATTAGATTTTTTATTTCTTATTTTACTCATACATGTACTCTTTCTTAGCTACAATAAATAAAATCATTTACTTTCTCAGAATGCATAAAGAGTTCATGTGAATTAACATATGGAGTTTTTGGCAAAAAAAACATGGTTGATGATGGAAAAACATGTGATTTTTTATTTATAATGAAAAAAAAACGACCTTCTTTTAGTACATTATCTGAATAACACTTTCCATATCTTTTAGGTGATGAGAGAACTCTATATTTCTCAACATTCCTCAGGTGGGCATGAACATTTATGATATCATCAGAGAGATATGCTCATATGAATGCAAGTTGACTATGAATAATTATGTGCTTCATCAAGCATGTGTCTACAATATGAGTTAATACTCATTATTACAACCATCCAACACACACTTCGTTAGATGTATAAATTACGTCTAAATTACAAGGTAGAATATACACATTTAAGTGCAAAGAAGCAGGCTCACTACTCCGACCAATTCACTTAACACATATATGCTCTCTAAATGCGGGCTTAATTTATGTGAAAAGTACACAATATATATGCTTAATTATGTGCCTAAAACAATCGAAATGTTCATCATGGTTGGTGTGCCTTCCATTCAAACCCACAAACCAGTTTCCTTTTTTTCTTCTTCCTTTCTAAAAGCCATATGAAGTCACCATTTTTGCTCACACAGATACAGAAGTGTATCTGTGACTATGGATCTCATATTCATGACCGTTACACATTTATGCTCCATCCCTTTTTTTTTGGGGTCAATTTATGCTCCTTCTCTCTATATTCATATTTCTGCTTCTGTTGTGGCCCCCACTACGCTCCCCGGCCCTTGATCCAGCTAGGATCAACGCGGTCAATGTTCACAAAAATCTCACTTCCCTAAAATACCCTCGTGTATTATGGAAACATAAGATAAAAGTTGAGTAATTTCGTAAAATTGCAAGAAATCTGAAGTTTTGAATCCGCCTTGAATTTTGCTATGGTAAGTTTGTAATTTTGGGATGAGACAAAAGTCCAGAGGCCTACCTAATACGTGTCGGACCCTGATTGCTTGAAGTGAAAATCCAAGTAGTATATGCTGACAAAACAATTTTGAAGGTCGAGGGAGTGTATTTAAATTCGTACTCTTTCACAGAAACTCTCCCACTCTCTGCGAAAGCTCCACAGTGCCAACATAGAGAGAGAGAGAGAGAGAGAGAGAGAGAGGCTCTCTGCGCAATATCAGAAACCAGGTACTCTTTCATCTCTGTCTTTGTTTTTTTTTCTCTTCATGTTTTGAGTTTGAATTTTTATGGTTGTAGGAGTTCATGGGTTTTTATTTTTTTAATTTGCGAATTAAAATTTTATTTTTTGGGTTGCTGGGCTTGTTGAATGAGAGTTGTAAAAATTGATTGTGCAAAGTTCCGAGCTTGAAGGTAAGCAAGGAGAAGAAATGACGAGGCAGCAGACGACACACTGGTGGTTGTATGACAGTCACAGCAACTCCAGACGCTCTCCATGGCTTCAAACCACCCTCGCTGGTACCATCTTCACTTTTCCTTTTTGTTTTTTCTAGATCGAGAATTTTTTTTTTGGGGTTTTTAGCTTCTACTGTGCTAAAGGTTTCTGATTCTTGACCGTTGAAATCCTCTTTCTACACTTCTGAAATTTGAAAGTTGAAGTCTATTTTAATTGTTGTGGTGGGGACCTGTATAAAGTATAAAACTTTTACGCGATTTGAGTGAACATAGCTGGGAAGAATGGTCGGTGAGATTGCAAGTCGATTACCCTATTGGCATTGTTTAACAAGAAGACATGTGGGATTACTCACCTTCATTTCTGTAGAAGAAATTTGATGCTAAGATTCATGAAATTAGCTTATTGTTTACCGAGTTTAAAGACAAAATGGCTAGCCCACCACCTCTCCCAATAAAATAAAAAAAATTAAAATTTATAAAATATTCATGGATATGAATCCAAAAGGTGGCTTTGCTTATGTGGGAAGTGCATTTTTTTTAAGCTTAATTGTATGTTTTTAACTTTTTGTTTCTTGGATCAAACACGTTGAGCGCCAGGGGAAAAGTTCCACCTTTGTTTATAATATCGCCTTTGGTAACTTTTATTGTTGTGGAACTTAGCGATCAGTGGTTTAAACAAGGTTGTGTAAGATAACTCTCCCATTAACAACATTCTGATTAGCACAAGAATCAACTATTGGAACACTTCTGATGAAGTTTTGTATAATTTCTAAAGACTTATAATAGCTAATTCTTGGGTGTTTGACTAATTACCTCACTAGCATTTACTATGATAGTTGATCATCATGGTCCCCTACCCTACCCATGATGGAATGGTAGACTAGAAACTGGAGGGGATAGGGCTGGTGTAATTAACCCTGGATCACCCACCCGGAGGTGTACTATATCTTTTCATCATATGGCTCTGGCTCTTAGACGTGATATATAAAGTCAGTGTTTTGATGGTTGTATTATGCAAGGAGTTGTGGTGGTGGTCCTCACCTCACTGCAGATTAGGCTACTAAGGTCCACCCTCCAAAGACATTGTTAAAGTCTTTTTATATGTACCTTTCTATGAATGATTTCTCCATAGACTTTATATCTACTGTTTATGTTTATGGCCTCATCATGTTTTGGACCCACTGGGATCTAGTTATTTTCAAAACAACCTTTCTTAGGAACATAATACATATTGTACAAGAACAAAGAAAGTTAAGAGGGCTATGGGACTCTCTAATAAAAATATGAATCTCCCCATTATTTTTGTTCTCCTCTCTACTTGCTGTTTTATTTTGGGTCAACAACTCTTGGGAGTTGCAAGCAGTAACATGATCTTAGATTATAATTTTCATGGATGCTTCCCAGGTTGCAATAGTTTCTCCCTAAGTGAAGTTGTATCATTTACCAGTTTGTTCATGTTTTCACGTCACTAAATGATTGGTGGATGCCTCTTTCCTTCAATGGCAGACCTAGAGCATAAGACAGAGGACATACTAAAGCTGATTCAGGAAGATGCAGATTCCTTTGCTCAACGTGCAGAGATGTATTACAAGAAGCGGCCGCAGCTAATCAGCATGGTTGAAGAATTTTATCGGGCTCACCGGTCATTGGCTGAGCGATATGATCAACTTAAGTCTGATCCAGGAACTCGTCTCCTGACAACGTTAGGGTCTCCATTCTTTTCCTCCAAATGCCAGTCTGAGAAGTCAATGAGCGTGGTGGATCTGAACTTTGATAGCCATTCTGAAACTTGTGAACCTGAGGAGTACTCCGAGTCTGAAGTTGATGATCCGGAACTGGATGATGAAACCCAAGTTGATGAAGAAATGAAAGAGAAGGCTTCGGGTGGGGTTAGTGATGATGAGGTGAGGAAGTTAAGGGAAGTAATAGAGAAGCTTGAGGAAGAGAACAGAACCCAAAAGGATCAAATAAAGCAGAAAGATGAAGAGAAGAGAGAGGTAATAAGACAGTTAAGTTTAGCTGTGGATATGCTCAAAGAGGAGAATGTGGAGCTGAGAAAGAAGTGCCTTGCCAGAGAATCACCTAAAAATTCGAGTCCCTCTGAGGGCAACAAATTCACAGGGACATTTTTAAGGAAGTTGTTTAATAGGTATCCAAAGTTTCATCCTACAATTGTTGCACTCTAGATGTATGTTTACATGTTTGTAATATGTATAATTTGTAGTACACAGTTTACTTAGATGTCTATATCGATTATAGGGGCCTTTCCCCTTTAATTTAAGTTAGGAATTTGAAGTGTTATCTTTGAAATAGCTCTAACATTTTGATATTCTTTCTATGTTATTTGCATTGCCTGTAACTCAATTATTGTCTTTACTCAAATATAATTTTGATTTTGTACAAGATTCTTTGGTGAATGCATAAAGTTATGCGTCTTTGCAGCAGACACAATGATCAATCAAAATCAATGGTTCATATGGTTCAGATTCTGATTTATGAATAGGATCTAGTAGAATGAAGGTTTTTGTTCTTCAATTCATAAGACTCGTAACAAGAGAGGTGAAAGAAAGATCAAAACTGAAACAATAATTATGCATTGAGAGAGAAGAAGGTATAAGAATGGAAACAGTAAAGTACAAGACTTAAAGGCTTACAACTTTTATTTTTCTAAATTTTTTTTGGATACAATATCCTATCACAATCCATGACAATGCCACGAACTGCATTTACCTAACATCACACACTAAAGCATTCTATATATTCTAACCAAAATAGTTTACAAACATAAAGTGGAAACCACTATGAATTAACAATAATTGAAGCTTTCCACCAACATTGCTTTTTTTTCTTTCCAATTAGCACAAAATCTCTCACATCACACACCACACACCACACCAGAAAAAAGCATTACACAAACGAGCAAACCAGCAAGCCAAGAAACAAAATCACATTCAGAGGCAGAGATGAAGTTACAGGAGATGAATGGGAAACTGGCAGAGACCCTGATGGTGCAAAAGCCAACCCTGGTCCAGGAGCAACTGTGTCCTCTGGATTTGGAGGGCTCGGGCTTGATGGGATGGTGGGCAGAGATGACTCGGCTGGAGAAAGTGGCACACCACCAGGAGAAGGAAATAAAGGAGAAATATCTGGAGATAAGGTTGGAGAAGAAGATAGAGGAGCACCTGGAAGCAATGCTGGTGCAGCAGATATACTTGAAAACTGAGTTTCTGGTTGAGATTCCAAGGCAAGGGAAGAATGGGAAGCCATGAAGATCACGAACATTGCCAAGAATGAGCAAAAGGAAGCCATTAAATGATGATATAATCAATCAAATTCTACACTTGACAATAGTAAAGGAAGTTCAATAAATGTGTCTTTTGGGGAGAGAGAGAGAAGGGGATGGAAGAGTAAAGAGCTGGAGAGAATAAGTAGGGGATTAAAAGGGTCTTGTGAGAGAGTGGTGGTGGGGACAGAAACACAAAGTGCCAAATACAATTGGAAGCTGCTATGGTAATACAGCTCTGCATGTGCTGCTAAGGGACAAGGTTTCATTTGTGATTTTCCTCTGTACAGCATGAGGATGAGGTGTCTGTCTCTTTTCCCTTTAAGCATTTTTTTCTACTTCTTCTTCTTTTAACTTTCATTTGCCGCAGCCTGCAGTTGGTCCGTGAATCTGCTATTAGGCTTTAAATCTTGGCATGTAGACATTGCGGCATTAATTGAATGACAGTTTCTGTTAGTGGCATGCTATGTTGGTAACTTGTGACGGCTACAGATGCAGATGGGTTGGTTTATACTCTTTGCTACTTGCATCTACAGAGCGCAGAACAGTCTACAGAGTGAAAAATAAAAAATTTGAAATTTGGGTTTGGGTAAATGTTGTTTATTTGGACACTGTCACACTCACTCTTCTAAATTCTAATGTCAACCCAGGAACTGTTTTGTCAATGGAGCAAAAAATTTCAGAACTTGATGCTTTCTTCTTTTTAAGCAAAAGTTGGATGAATATAAGCTCCCAAGTCATTTCCTTATTAGAAATTTGGAAAGAGGTCAGCTAATGATCAAACAATGATGATTTCCTTTTCTTTCTTTTTTTGTTGGTTCAAAAATTTTGGGTTTGTGTATAATAGTATTCTGATCATGGTCTCTGCTTTTCTGACCGTTAGAGCAACCAAGAACCATACTTTATCCCGGTAGCCGGTAGATTTAGATAATAATTGGTTTGGTTTGGAGAGAGAGAGAGAGCGTTGTAGATTGTAGAATGATGGGCTGTGGTATTTTGGATGGATATTGGAACAGACAGCTTAGTCATGTGGTTTCTCTTTATTTAATCTGCAGGTTTGCCTTTTTAATTCGAATAATATCTCCTCGCCTTTATGGTCAGACATACAATCAGCCGTCAATACAATAGTATATATGTAATGACTTAGAAACCATTTATCAACCGTTGAGATGGCCGAGTTGGTCTAAGGCGCCAGATTAAGGTTCTGGTCCGAAAGGGCGTGGGTTCAAATCCCACTCTCAACAGATTGTTTTCATTTTTATTTTTATTTTTTAGGTTTTAGACCAGCATTTGAAGCCCACATTGGTTTATATTGGCCCAGGACTAAGTGGTATGTATATATATATTAAAGGTTTTGGACCAGCATTTGAAGTCCACATTGGTTTATATTGGCCCAGCCCCTAGTGGTATATCATTGGGTTTGATCAATCCCAAACTCTAGAACTTTTGGTAAGAAATGAAAGGCCCTTTTTGGTGTCAATTCAGTGGAAAAGTAATCGTGCATTTGGATCCATTTTCCGACTCCATGCACTGTCTCTAAATGTCACTATCATTCAGGTTGGCAGTCAATTCTACACTTTATTTGGTTCTTAAAATTTCTGGTGAATGATCCCCATCAGATTCAGAATGACAAATTAATCAGAGATTTAATAAGAATTTCATAGCATGTTACATTTAACATGTGCAGAGTAAATATATATATATATATATTTTCAACCATTTTTGCATGTTATAGTGATCAAGTAATCTCTACGTTTCTTTTGCTCACCACATCCACATGCATCCACATCCACATGCATATACTATTGGACCAATTTCTTCCTACGCGCCCCCAAAAAGACCACATTATACAATTTGACCACTTAATTTAATTTAGTGCTTGCTTATCATGTATATGTAATTTGGTAATTAACTATAATTTTTTTTATTTCCTTCTTTATTGAAATAAAAGTCTCCCACAATTTTTTCACCCACCACCACTCGTTAATTTATCTAACGTAATTGTAAATTGTTGCGTACATTATTTCACGTTTAGTTTGCTTTTTTACTTGGAATATCCACTTGGAACGACAATCTTGCAGACACAGCAGCATGCCCTTTTCTTTGCTTGTCGCTTCTCATCATTAATTCGTGCCTCGTATGAATCTAGAAAAACAATGCAGTAAAATTCTTTGTCTTTCTATTTTGCTATCTCTTTTTTTTATCACCAAAGAAAAGGAGAATGATTTTCATGAAACATGCATAATAATATTATGATACACATAATAATACTTTTTTATTGACTGAAGATAGCAAAACAATTTTATTCCCGTTATAATTAATTAAATTTTTCTCAAAGAAAAGAAGAAATGGGGGAAATAAAGAGGGAGAAACAGAACCCTGTGAATAGACATGAAGATTTGTAGAATACCAATCAATCACAGGACAGGGGGTGAGGTTGAACCCACCAGCCGAGTCATTGAAACTGACTTGTGCTTCAGACTTGTTTCGAAAGAAGGAAGCAAGCAATTGAAATTTATATATATACTAAAGCCCAATGCAACCAGATACTATTCATAAGCACTGTTCCTTGAACAGTGAACTGCCATAAAAACCCCCGCTTCACTGTTACGCAGCCTTATACTTTCCTAACAATACAGTAAATTGTCGATTTTACCCTTTTAAAAATTTTCCCTGATGTTCCCTTTTTGCCCCTTCCCATTCGCGTCTCTTTCGATTCGAACGTTTCGTTTGCTCTCAGCTTTCCAGTCCGTTTCGAACCAGTTGGTTGGGCTGGTTGGGGGCAGCCATGGAAGATCAGAGTTCACTGTTCTGCATGCGTGGGGGGCCGTCGATTTTCGTTTGGGGAGGCGCGCTGCAAATCCAGCCGCCCTTTTGGTCTTTATCTTATCGGTTCTCCTCTCAGATGTTGTGTTCGTGTGTTGCTGTTCCAGATGCGCTTCATCCTTCTTCTCATCGCACGGGTTTAGCTCAAAGGATTTCTGGTTTTCTAGGTTGGTTTATTCATTTGTCATGTCGAAAAATTGAGAAGTAAATCAGAAATTGTGTTTGGTTTGTTTTTACAGGGAGGAAGATCTAAGGAAAAAGAACTGGAGTAATCAATATGAGAACCCCCAGTCTGCTCATCAATCTGGTAATTGATGTCTGTGTGGCTGATATTCTGTTTGCGTGTGGTTATAGACTCCTTTTTTTAAAAAAAATTTATTTTTTATTTTTATGACTCCAGATCAGAATTATAATTCTAATAGATGTTATAGATTTTCTGTTTGCGTGTGGTTATAGATTTTCTGTGTGGCTGATTTTTTTATTTTTTATTTCTTTCTGTTTGTACTTATCTTGATTGTTTTCCGATGAATTGTTTCAGCAAAGATCAGTTCAACAGTACTCTGATATATATATTTTGATGTTCAACTACGAGTTTGTCATACATATGTGTGTTTAATGTCATGAAGAGGTCTTTGCAAGTAAGACTTTGTACTTATTTGTTGAATGTTATGTTTCTTTTCTCGCTTGGCCTCTCCGATATCACTCTTTCCTCCATCACATCATTTCCTTTAGTTGTTAAATTTTCTGCTTTTAGTGAATTTGAGGGGTATAAAAGGAAGTGGAGGGAATTGGGTTCGGTTGTGTGAGTGAAATTATGCATCTTTGTGTGTTATTTCAGTCCAAGTTTGTACCTTTGTATATATGAGTGTGTTGTTCTGTTTTGATAAATGGGAAGGCAGCTGTGATTGGGTTTCTATTGTTGTTAGATTTTGAAATTTTGACTGGTAAAGGCATTCTCAAGGGAACTGACTTTTTGGACTATGTTTGCTCTGTTTCAAATGCTTTGCAGTAAATCTTTCTCTGAAATGAACCAAAAATTATATACACTACTTAACCCAAGCAAACAAAAGTGGGTGTTTTCATGAGTCATAATATATATATATAATTAATTTGATGTTAAAGCTCCTTCAATTTGTCATTTTGGATATCTATATAAGTGCATATGTTTGTAAATCTTTTGAGAAGTAGATCATTTTAGATCCTTCTTAGGTTTTGCACTTCCTCTGTCTAAAGCACCTGTAATTTATAATACAATTTACATTAGAGCATATGCTTTGTAATTGAATCATGAGAGCATTGTTGAATGAGGGGATCCGTACAGAGTGGTTTCTTTCTGTACAGATTTTGCTCTAGCTAATTTTTTTGGTTTAATGAAAAGATTGTGCATGTATAAAATACTCAAACTAATTTCCTCTCCGATTTTTCTGTTTTTTTCTTCCTTTTTCTTCTTCTTTTTTTAAACCATGTTTTCTTTTGATATTTTGCAGGTGGTCTTTTGTTGCTTTGGATAGAGCAGTTTGGTTGGTGTTTTCAATTCTGTTAAGCAAGGGGTGAGTTTCTAGGCTAAAATTCCAATTAATTGTTTTAAGGTTTGTGAATAGAGCATAGGAATTAGCTAATGGCATCAATTGACAATTGGTTGGTGTTAATTTGTTGTTGTAATGATGGGTTTAGATGATTACAATATCTGAACATGTTGGTAAATCCTTTGAGTGTTTTGGCAATTGGGTACTTGAGAACTCCCAACATGAGGAGAGAGTGACAATGCGTAATTGATTGGAGGGAAAAACATCGTGTCTTTCTCTTTGTGTGTAGGTGGGTCAGTGGGGAATCAATCACTGGCCCTGTGTTCTGAAGCAGCGTTTATGAGACGCTCTCATTTTTTTGCTTGCAAATTGCAATTTGTTGGTATTTAAAGTAGTGGAAAATTTTCAAAACATTTCAAAGTGGTCCTAACTCTGATTTTCTGTTGTTTTTTGGTTTTTGAATTTGTTTGTTTATTTTGTTTTTGTGGAATTTTTTATTCAATACTCTCTCTCTCTCTCTCTCTCTCTCTCAAGGAAAGCAAAACTTGAAAAAGCTTTTCTGATCAGTAGAGTAAAAATAATACTTAGAAGTGAAGAATCACTTTATCTCTTAATTACTAGGACAACAAAACTTGAAAACGCTCTTTTAATCCAATAATATACTTACAAAGGTTAGAACCAAAGAATCACTTTATAATACTTCAATTGATCTGCTACATTTATTGGATTCCTGAGTATTTCTTTTTTCTTTTTTTTTATCAACTTTCATATCATATTAGTACATCCACCACACAGACACATCTTTCATGCTCTATTTTTCGTTTGTCTTGCTTCTAAAAAGTTAATTATTAATTTTCCTTGAACATGGTTTTCTTTAAAAAAAAAAAAAAAAAAAAAAAAAAAAAAAAAAAAAAAAAGGGGGAAGAAAGAAATGATGTCTATCTATCTATCTATGATAAAAAAAAACCAAGCCTGGTTTTGCCTTTCGTTGGAATTGTTGGGGGATGGGAGATATTTTTTTATTGGCTCTTTCTCCCATGAGAGCTTCACTGTTGAAGCTTGATCTGGCTTTCTTGCGGCTGTTGATTTCGTTTGTGGCTGCTATGGTGCGAATTGGTTCGTCCATTTGGTCTTCTTCTTCATCAGATAATCTTCTTTTTATTTGTTTGCCTTTTTGTCTCATATCATCTTCTTCCTCTTCTTTCGTTTGTGCCTGTGCTGGTATTTGTTGGGTTTCCTTCTTCAATTTTTCAGATGTCTTTCTTTTTCTCTTCTTCTTTTTTAAGCACGTCTTCTTTTGATGTTTTGTAGGTAGTCTTTCGATTGACGGTTCGAATGCCTCACCCGTTGTATCTCCCGATCGCTCCTCCTCGAGATTCAACGACAGCCATCCGACGATGACATGATCAATCGTCTGGGACCTGCGGTCTTTCTGAGGATCTCAATCAAAAAATTATTAAGCAGGCAAGATCTCTCTCTCTCTACTTGAGCATGTGGATAATGAACCCTAGGAGCTTAATATCTGTTTGCATCTAAAAGGAAATATGATTTAACACTGTATAAAATATGTAGAAACCTACTTACCCTCTGTTTGCTAAGAAAATGCAAGAAAAAAAACAGAAAATTTCGTCTTTTTAAACATTTTACTGTTGTTTTGTGGGTAGGAGTTCAATAATTATGCTTATAAGAGCGTTTGAGGTCACCCACTTAATAACATTATACATTTTATTGAAATCACTTGGGTTTCTGTGGAAACTCAAGGACATAAAGGCAAAAGTTTGAGTCTTTGTTCTATAATTATCTTGAATTGAAAATTCTGTGCCTTTCTTCTTTCTTGCATTTGCTTGGAATTACGATGAAAATTTCCTTTCATTGTTTTTTGGTTGTTGAAGGGTTTGAGCATGAGGAAAAAGGTGATTTTGCAGCCTCACCAAAGCATTTCAGGTAAGAACCATATCCTTGAATTGCCCTTTTGGACCAAAAGTAAGCCTTTTGTGTGACGGCTTATCATATGATTGGGTTCTATGTTTGAGCTTATGGATTGGTTCATGGTGGATTTGAATTGGCACGCAGAGTTGCTTGGGTGAAGCTGATGACTTTGTGCATTGCAGGACTACAACAAAATGGTGCAACTACATCTATTCGTGGACTTTGAAATAGAAACAAGGTTTGCATCTTTTAATCACCTCCACTGTATTTCAATTTCTTTCCCTTTTATTAATTTTGATTGTATTTCTCCGCTGTGATGGGATTGAACATGCTTTTGAACTGGTAATGGCAGGTGACTGTTTGTGCGTGAATAAAGGCTTGCCATTGCCCTTGGTGCTGATGTGGGACAGAGCCAGTGTATATGTACAGAAGTTGCGGTATACAATGTTCTCTCTCCCTCTCTTTAATTTCAGTTTTTTTTTCTTTTAATAGAATTTCGTCAAATATTTTGGTTCTGGATTTTTTGTGTTGAAGAAATTTACAATAAAGGTATTTTATGACGTTCTGTGTTTGTAAATATCTTTTGTAGAACAACAGAGAATGTTGACCGACCTTACAAGAAAAAACGAAGTAGGGTTGTGCGTTTGGACTAGCAAAGAGGTTTGTCAATCGTCCTCTCATCCTCAATTTTTTTTTTCAATTAGTCGATTACATCTCAGCCTTAAATTCACTGTTTTTTTTTATTTCTGTTTAATTTAATGAGACAATTTCTGTTACAGAATTCTAAATTATGCACTTCTTTTTCCATGTTAGGGTACTGGGATGCTAGGGGTTTCTTTTTATTCTCTTTTCCACTGCATATTATAACTTAGATGGGTATGCTTCAAGAAGGTTAGTTTTATTCTTGAAGAATACCCATTTGGTTTTAGACGTAGTTTATTTAGTTAAATATATGGCTACTGGTGAAATGGATTAGCCAAATATTGCATATGTAATATGCAAACAAATTCTTAGTATTGTTGCAAACAGTCAGTTTAAGTGAAGGATTGTTGTATGAAATTTGGTAAACAAATATCTCGAAATTATCTTCACAGTTTCTTAGGTTCCATTTAATTTGGTATTTATTTTGTGTGATATATTTCTCCTAGGGCGTGTCAAATGGTAAAGCTGCAATTAACGGCGCTTTTTTTGTGGTTGCAGTTCCACCAGTACCAGGTTGTTGGGAGGAAGCTCCCTACGGCATCTATTGAGCACCCTAAGATTTACCGAATGAAGCTCTGGGCCACCAATGAGGTTCGCGCCAAGTCCAAATTCTGGTATAATCCTTAACCCTAGCTCAGCTTTTGTGATCCCAAATGTTCATTGGTGAATTTGGTTAAACTTAATATAGTTGATTGATTTGTTTGGATTAGGTATTTCTTTAGGAAGCTGAAGAAGGTCAAGAAGAGCAATGGCCAAGTGCTTGCCATTAATTAGGTTTGTTCTCTCTGCTGTTTATACTCTATTTTTTCTTATTAATAAATTTATACCCATTTTGATTATTTGTCAGTGTCTAATGTAGTCAATGTTGTTTTGTAGTGGGGAAGTGGTTCCTCCTCAACTCTCCTCCTGGCTTAATCCAATTTGTTGCCAAAGGTCTCCGCCTTTGACCCACTCTTTTATCACATTTATTTCGCTTTTTTCTAATTTTGTTTTGATCATTTGAATCGTATTTTGTATTTGATGTTTGGCTTTGGTGGCAAATGTGAAGGAGGCTGCGTCAGAGGCATCCCCTTGAAATGACCAGTTGATTTGGAGACGTATATTTTCTTTAGAAATTTATAAATAAGCCCAATCCTAGACATGTATTTATAAAAAAACCCAAGCACTATTTAAACATAGAAACACACCCAAAATCAACCCCAAAGTCAACTTTTTGGGTGTGTTTATAAATGGGTTTTGAGTGTGTGTAATGATGAGTTTTGGGTGTGTTTATATATTTAAATAGTGCTTGGATTTTTTTATAATTTCAACCCCCATTTTGGGTGTTTTAGTGAAACTCCCTATTTTCTTTTCTTTTTTTCCTTCATAATTGAAGCCTCCACTTTGCTGAATAAAGGCTCCTCTTGGCTTTAGTGTTTCGTTTCAATGAATTTTGGGCTCTAACATGTCTGCGAAATTGCTAACCTTTTTTCCTATAGAGATGTTCAAAGTTTGAACACTATGTCCATTATTTGAATTCTAATACTGAATTTTAATTCTTCTCTCTTTTTAAGAACACTACCTCTATTATTTGGAATTGATTAAGATTATTTTTTGTGCCTGTATTTTGGCTAATTTTTTCTTTGGGAGCATTATGAAAACCTATCAGCATATCCACACCTTCTTCTACACCCTATTTCTCTGCACATTCCTCTCGAAAACTCAAATGCTTTATGCTCCACTGTAGCCTTTTGTAGTTTTCTCTGCTTTCACTTGGTTCCATTTTAAGTTTTTATTTTTTATTTCTTATTTTTTATTTTTTATTTTTATTTTTTTAAATCTTTATTGTAAATTTGTTATTTTAAATCCTTAATTTTAGGATTAGTTATGGTTTATTTTTATACCTTATAATGAATTGAGATGTGGACAATGAATGTGTTTCTTCCTTCATAGTTGTGCTTAAAATAATATTTCTCTTGATATCTTTTCTTTCATATATAGGTGACATGAAGAAGAAACAGGGAAGGAAATCTCATATGTAATGGGTATTTTATGTTGGAGGTTAGGTTTATTTTATGATTTTTTATGTTAGATTTCATACTGAATCAATTTGAAAGGTTCCCCTGAAGACTATATGAATTTCTTTTAAGTTTTTATGGTTATAAGTTATAACACATTAAATTTATTTTTCTTATCAGTTCTTTCAACTTTATTTTGCTAATTCAGTGAGAGGAGTTGTCAAAGATGGCATCAAAGCTTAGCAAATCTATGCTTGATGGGGCTGAAATTACGATTTGATCAGTGATAGGACTTTTGGTTAAATCCCAAGCAGGAAATGCATTCTTTGCCATAGTTCCCGGACAGGTCCTCTTGGCTTCCCTTGATGCTATCAGTAAGTTAATTAGGGTTCTATAACCTATAGGTGTTTATAGGTTATTTCTGCTTTTATAGCTTACTTCTCTATTAGATCAACATAGCCTATAAATGGCAATACATGTATCAGTTTTGACCTTAGGTGTCTATAGATCATCTATTCTTTTGTACAACAAACTTGCACATGGTTTGATTTTGTTATGGGTATTTGGTTTGATTCTATTAAAGTCTGGGTCTTTTGGTTTCATTGTGGCAATGACAGGTTATACTTTTGTCTGCCACATTTGTAGAATGCTTGGCGTATTAAAATTGTGGTTTGTGCAGTTGATTTTTTGGCCTTAATTCTGTAATAATAGCCATTGTCTTCACTAAATTTTCCTATTTGTCTACACCAACACCTCTACCAGTTTCCAAATTTGTAGCAACAGATTAAACACCCATTGATTTGATGCTATTAAAGCTCGAGTGTTTTGGCTTAATTCTCTCATACCTATTTAATAAATTGTCACAATTGTTCTAAGTTTGTTATCAATTGATTAAATAGACTGCAGTTATGCTTTTGTCCATCATATTAATAGAATGGTTGATGTACCTAAACTGTTGTTTGTCCTGTTGGATTTTGTAACTTAATTTTGTGATATGGTAGTTGGTCTTCGCTTAAATTTTTCTATTTATCTACACTAACACCTGCCATTTTCCAAATTTGTACCAACAGAGTTAAAACCCCTGCAAAGGACAAGAAAGAACAGAAGCCACCTCTGTAGCAAAGCCATCAAGAGAAAGATCCCCTTCCAACATACATCAAGGCAGAAAATCCCCTTCCACCACCCAGTAGCATATATATGTAAAGACCTGTCCAAACTCTTTTGAACAATGAACATCTTAAAACTGCTGATATTTTGATGCTATTATGATGTTTTAATTGCTGCTTGGTTTATTAAAATATGGTCAATATTTTAACATGACAAGCAGCATATAAAACGTGTTATTTGTCTATTTTTTGTAACGTAAACTTGCCAAATAAGGCATGATGCCACTATTTAGATCTCCATGTCTATATAAATAGTACCATCTTTCATATATTTTTTCATGATTTTGTATACATTTCACACGGTTTTAAAACCCGCAGCATCGCGCGGGTACCTTTGCTAGTAATAAAGAGGTACGAATGATGATGACAGTTGATGGAAAGCCACCATTTCTTACGTACATGTTACTTCACTCAGTTGTCTCGTGCTACACCACGCATCTTACAATTACCAACATTTTTCTGTACAATTTCCAAGTGTAAATGGAGATACAATTCAATCGTATAGATAACCTTTTCTTTTCCTTCTTTTCAGCTGTACCCGTACTTATTATATCAACCACATGACATTTTTTTTTGGGGGGTAAAATAAGAGGCAAAGTCCAAACTAAAAAGATTACACATGAACAAATCTGGGCCTCAAGAGACCATTCTTATCATCATCTAAAATAGGCTGCATCTGAACACATGACATTTTCACCATATCGTACCAAATGTCGAAGACAAGATATATGTGGTTCACGCTTGATAAATAGGTTATGTCAACAGAGAAGTATGTTCTTATTATTATAATAACGTGTATTTACATTTGTACATTGAGTTAAATCCAAAGATAAAGGGAAGAAGACCCAAAACCTAAAGTACAAAGTCCAAGAATCCAAGACTCAAGACCCTTTTCTAAGTGAAGAGTAGTCTTCTTTTATAGGTAATGAGGAGTCTCCATCTCTTATAGTATTTCAATGAGGAACTCCTTACCTGGCTTAGATTTATGACTTGTGGTAAGATTTCTTTGGATAAGGTGATAACCTATCATAGCATGACACGTAAATGATATAACTTAGTTAGTTGCTCGGTTGGTCACGGCACAAACATAAATCATAGATTTGGATTGGTGACTTATTGGTGAGATTTTTCAAAATGGAGTATGGAACCCTCCTACTTGAAATTATGTATTAAACTCTGCCTTATTCTTTGCAGCAACAGAAGCGAGAGAGAGAGAGAGACCATTGAAGTGGAGCAAGAGAAGGCAGTGATTATAGTCGGAGAGAGAGACCATTGAAATGGAGCAAGAGAAGGCAGTGATTATAGTCGGGGCTGGCCCGTCCGGCCTCGCCATGGCCGGATGTCTAAGCCGGCTTGCAATCCCATACATAGTCTTGGAAAGAGAGGACTGTTATGCTTCCCTGTTTAAAAAGTATTCATATGACCGTCTCCACCTCCACCTTCAAAAGCAGTTCTGTGAGCTTCCCCACATGCCATTTCCACCTTCTTGTCCCACCTACGTGCCCAAGAATCAGTTTATCCAATACTTGGACGACTATGTGTCCCGTTTCAAGATTAGTCCCATCCTGTACCACAGAAATGTTGAGTCTGCAAACTATGATGAAGCTTCTGAGAGATGGGTTGTGAAGGCGGTGACTAAAAGTAAAACTGGTGGCTCTGGTGAGATGGAGGAGTATTTTGGGAGGTTTTTGGTGGTGGCTACAGGGGAAGCAACCAACCCATATACACCAGAGGTTCAAGGTTTGAACACTTTTGCTGGGGATGTTCTTCACTCAACTCAGTTCAAATCTGGGGAGGGGTTCAAAAACAAGAACGTTTTGGTTGTTGGATCTGGGAATTCCGGCATGGAAATTGCTCTAGACCTAGCAAACCATGGTGCAAAGACTTCCATCATCGTTCGAAGCCCGGTACGACTTCATTAATTTCTAACTCAAATTTCTTGGATGTTTGTAGATGTAGGTTAGTTCAGCTTGTTAGGCAATAAGTCAGCCCCTTAGATTAGTTTAATTTAGAGTATAACTCGTATAAAAAATTTCTTTCATGTTTAATATGATAGTTATGTGATATGAATGCAGGTCCATGTTTTGTCAAGGGGGATGGTTTACTTGGGCCCGGTTTTGTTGAAATATATTTCGCTAAACATGGTGGACTCTTTGACGGTTTTGCTTAGCAAGCTGGTCTTTGGAGACTTAACCAAGTATGGGATAGAGAGGCCAACAGAGGGTCCCTTTTATATGAAGGTCAAGTACGGCAAGTATCCAGTCATTGACGTTGGAACCTCTAAGAAGATCAAGTCCGGTGAGATTCAGGTCTTGCCAGCAGAAATCAGCAGCATAAGAGGCAGCGATGTTGAATTGAAAAACGGCAAGTCGTACCAATTTGATGCAATTGTTTTCTGCACCGGGTTCAAGAGATCAACGAACTTGTGGCTCAAGGTGAAGATTAAATAACAAATTAATCAAATTAATTAAAAAAAAACAGTGTTTTTGATGTGAAATTTTTAATTTTTTTGTTACAGGGGGATGATTATCTTTTAAAAGATGATGGACTTCCAAGACAAAGTTTCCCCAACCATTGGAAGGGAAAGAACGGTTTATATTGTGTGGGATTATCACAAAGAGGAATATATGGGTCTAGTGTGGATGCTCAAAACATAGCAAATGATATCAAGTCATTTCTATAGTAACCAAACTGAAGAAGCTTGCTGCAATGTAGACAAATAATCAATAACAAATGGCTTTTTACTATTTTGTTAAGGGGTGCTACCACTTACAACCTACAAGCTACGCCAAATGATGAATGTTCCTTATTTGGGTTCCATTTAACTTCAAAACCTGAAATCTATTTTTTGTTAGTGCAACCACAACACAATCTCAACACTTGATGTACGTTGCTAAAGGAATATGCATGGAACTAACCTGTGATAGGATCACAATCTGTTCCCCTTTGAACCTAGCCAAAGAGTAGCGTGCCTTTGCCAAGAGTTTCAACTGACCAGAAGAGAAACCAAAAACCAATCAGTTTCCAAACCATAATGTGCATTCTGGTCAGCAAACGAAAAAGAAAAAACTAGTTAAACAGGGCTTTTGTGCTTAAGAGTTTCCTCCATGGTCACTACTTACTCCTACAGAGTCTTCACACCCTACATGAACATCATCAAAGCTTACAAGAGGTGTATGGATGGTGCAAGAAAAATACACAACATATACAACTAAGTTCCCTTCACACAGATGAAAGTTGGGAAGAGATTCTCACCTGTATACTTCCCGTTCCTCTCATAGTCATCCAAAAAATGAGACACAACTGTAGTAGGAATGACATATCCAATATTCTCGGCCTCTTCAGATCTGTAGACCTAAAAGAAGTGTCTCTTAAAATAATAAGGAAAAAGTTTTCATGCCACAGAATTGCCCATACAGCCAAGAAATCTAAGACCAAGTAAACATGGATAAACAAACTTTGACAGCAAGCCAACAAATTTACCTGAAATGCCACACCAATGCACTCCCCTTGATCATTGAATGCAGGTCCACCACTATTACCTACAATCTAGCAAAGTATAAGCAGTGGCTATGATAAACATGCAATAGAAAGAAGAAGGATTGTAATCTTGAGGCATCTAAGTGACAACAGAGTGTTATAATTGTAAATTTGAATCATAGACTGACCAGGATTTATTGCTGCATCAATCTGAATGCCCAACAAATCAGATGACCCATGAGCATATGACGTAACCTGAGGATATTAATAGTGAGAAACTTGATGCCCTATATTTATGTAACACATCTTAATTTGGATGGCATATTTATCTTTTAAGGACATCAACCGATTATCAGAGCCATATCCATCAGCAAGTAATAAATCATACAAGTCCACTCAGGTAAGGAAAGCCAAACCTCTATACGCGATACAACCCCCTTTGTTACTGAAATGGTATCTCCTCCAAGGGGATATCCTACAACAGTCACTGCTTCTTGTCCAATATAAAAACCACAGATACAACACTTAAAGGGGATGAACCATTGTTTGTACAAATTTCCCCACGAGAATATTCGATTGGAAAGATTCCCCTTTCTTCTTCGCCGCCTCCTTCTCCCTGCAAAATAGAACCAATAAGAGGACCACACCCGGGGGGGTGTTGGCCAAAGGCCCTCCGATGCCTAAATTAGTTCAATTGAATCATATAGAAAACAATAGCTAATAGGGTACGAAGATGTGTTTATGGTATAAACCGGGCGGCCGTAGCCTTATGTAAAAGAGAGAGAGAAAGGAGGTGGCTAGGGTTTGAGAGGAATTTTCTGCAGAGTTTTAGTAGGGATTTCAGACTTACCTCAACCCTTGTGTGTGGCCATCCTTTTATAGTTGTCTTAGAGGCTAGGGTTTCAGAGGAATAATTCCGTAGATGGAAGGGAATTATTCCTCCCCTTTATGGAATTGATTTGATTAATTAGAGATTTGATTTATTAGGGTAAATCAAATCCCTAATTGTGGTAGGTATCAAATCAAATCCCATTTCAATTAGGTAACTCCTCATTTAATTGAGAATCGGGTAGGAATTAGGAATCAATTCTCAACCCGATTAGGTAATCTTCAATTTAATTGGGTAACCCCCAATTAAATTGAGTAACTCCCAATTAGGTTGATTAATTCCCAATTAGGTCAAATAATCCCCAAATGGAATGAATTATTTGACATAGGGTTTTGATTTAATTTGGTTACCACAACCATTATGATGTTATAGCAGAAGTGTAGAAAATTCCAAACTTAGGTATAACAACCTCAACTTCTGCAGTTTCAGAAATAGCAAAGCTACATTGTTTTGAGGGGTAAGCTTCCCAATTGGAGTGGTTCTGCCCCTTTCCAGAATTCCTCACTTTCTACTGAAAGTAAAGCTATATCACAATCAACACCTCTGGCCAAAACCTGCATATCAAGTCACTAATAGTAAAGCTATATCATAATCCCCACTACTGATAATAAGTTGCAACATCGTATTTATCTCCAAGATATTGAGCATCACTATGTTAATTTTCTGAGGGTGAAATACCTTAGCCACATATTTGGTATCATCCCCTCTTCTCTTCACTTTAACCTGCATTCGTAGAGAAAATAAAAATAAATAATCAGACTGGACCTCTTGCCTAAAACATCATTTTGTATAAATACAGAAAAAGTAATTGTATCCTCAAGGAAAAACACATAAAAGGCAACATATAGAACAAGTGTGTATGTCTTCTAAAACCAAAGTTGATATACTTATGACGACAAAGTACCTGAGTATAATGCTCAACACAGTAGGCATTTGTCAAGAGTTTCCCGTCACCAATCATAAGTTCTTCAAAACACACACCCCACGGGCTAGTGAAATGAGTACGAGGATAAGAGTTCAAAACTTGCCTGCCTGTACTTGTATATTGTCTTTGTTTTTGCCAAGGAAGGGAGTAGTCTGGTGGTGAATGATCCCCATCAGATTCAGAATGACAAATTAATCAGAGATTTAATAAGGATTTCATAGCATGTTACATTTAACATGTGCAGAGTAAATATATATATATATATATATATATATTCAACCATTTTTGCATGTTATGGTGATCAAGTAATCTCTACGTTTCTTTTACTCACCACATCCACATCCACATGCATATACCATTAGACCAATTTCTTCCTACGTGCCCTCAAAAAGACCACGTTATACAATTTGACCACTTAATTTAATTTAGTGCTTGCTTATCATGTATATGTAATTTGGTAATTAACTATAATTTTTTTAAATACAAATTTATAAATAAACCCAATCCTAGACATGTATTTATAAAAAAACCCAAGCACTATTTAAACATAGAAACACACCCAAAATCAACCCCAAAGTCAACTTTTTGGGTGTGTTTATAAATGGGTTTTGAGTGTGTGTAATGATGGGTTTTGGGTGTGTTTATAAAGTGTTTTGGGTGTTGGGTTTTTTTATAATTTCAACCTCCATTTTGGGTGTTTTAGTGAAACTCCCTTTTTTTAATTTACTTCTTTAGTGAAATAAAAGTCTCCCACAATTTTATCACCCACCACCACTCGTTAATTTATCTAACGTAATTGTAAATTGTTGCATACATTATTTCATGTTTAGTTTGCTTTTTTACTTGGAATATCCACTTGGAACGACAATCTTGCAGACACAGCAGCATGCCATGCATGCCGCAAACCAAAATGGAGGACAAAAACTTTCCTGCCCTGCCCTTTTCTTCGCTTGTCGCTTCTCATCATTAATTCGTGTCTCGTATCAATCTAGACTTTGAAGATACTCAAAAACAATGCAGTAAAATTATTTGCCTTTCTATTTTGCTATCTCGGGGTGCACTTTTTTTTGCCACCAAAGAAAAGGAGAAAGATTTTCATGAAACATAAATAATAACACTATGATACATGTGATAATACTTCCAAATTAGCCGAAAATAGCAAAACAGTTCTATATCCATTATAACTACTTAAGTTTTTCTCAAAGAAAAGAAGAAAAGGGGAAGAAAAAGGGGGGAACAGAACCCTGTGAACAGACATGAAGATTTGTAGATACCAATGAATCACAGGACAGGGGGTGAGGTTGAGCCCACCAGCCGAGTCATTGAAACTGACTTATGCTTCAGACTTGTTTCGAAAGAAGGAAGCAAGCAATTGAAATAATAAAGAGGTACGAATAAGGATAACGGTTGATGGAAAGCCACCATTTCTTACGTACATGTTACTTCACTCAGTTGTCTCGTGCTACACCACGCATCTTACAAATTACCAACATTTTCCTATACAATTTCCAAGTGTAAATGTAGATACAATTCAATCGTATAGATAACCTGTTTATTTTCCTTGTTTGTTTAAGGAGAAAGTCAGCTGTCCCCTACTTCTTATTACATCAACCACGTGCCATTTTCCCCATGTTGTACCAAATGGCATTTTCAACAAGAAACAGCTCATTCTCTTGGTTTCTTAATTTATACGTTTTCGCATTATAATTAAGCAAACCAAACAAAAAAAAAAAAAAAAAAAAAAAAAACTGATTGATGAATCACTAGACTTGGTCACTTATTTGGTGATTTTTCAGAATGGAGTATGGAACCCTCCTACTTGAAATTAATGTATTAAACTCCGCCTTATTCTTTGCAACAACAGAATAGAGCTAGAGAGAGAGAGAGAGAGAGAGAGTTGGAATGGAGCAAGAGAAGGCAGTGATTATAGTCGGGGCTGGCCCGTCCGGCCTCGCCATGGCCGGATGTCTAAGCCGGCTTGCAATCCCGTACATAGTCTTGGAAAGAGAGGACTGTTTTGCTTCCCTGTGGAAAAAGTATTCATATGACCGTCTCCACCTCCACCTTCAAAAGCAGTTCTGTGAGCTTCCCCACATGCCATTTCCACCTTCTTGTCCCACCTACGTGCCCAAGAATCAGTTTATCCAATACTTGGACGACTATGTGTCCCGTTTCAAGATTAGTCCCATCCTGTACCACAGAAATGTTGAGTCTGCAAACTATGATGAAGCTTCTGAGAGATGGGTTGTGAAGGCGGTGACTAATAGTAATACTGGTGGCTCTGGTGAGATGGAGGAGTATTTTGGGAGGTTTTTGGTGGTGGCTACAGGGGAAGCAACCAACCCATATACACCAGAGGTTCAAGGTTTGAACACTTTTGCTGGGGATGTTCTTCACTCAACTCAGTTCAAATCTGGGAAGGGGTTCAAAAACAAGAACGTTTTGGTTGTTGGGTCTGGGAATTCCGGCATGGAAATTGCTCTAGACCTAGCAAACCATGGTGCAAAGACTTCCATCATCGTTCGAAGCCCGGTACGACTTCATTAATTTCTAACTTAAATTTCTTGGATTAGATTAGTTTAATTTAGAGTAGTTTAGACTATAACTCGTATAAAAAATTTCTTTCAGGTTTAATACGATAGTTATGTGATATGAATGCAGGTCCATGTTTTGTCAAGGGGGATGGTTTACTTGGCCCTGGTTTTGTTGAAACATTTTTCGCTAGACATGGTGGACTCTTTGATGGTTTTGCTTAGCAAGCTGGTCTTTGGAGACTTAACCAAGTATGGGATAGAGAGGCCAACAGAGGGTCCCTTTTATATGAAGGTCAAGTACGGCAAGTATCCAGCCATTGATGTTGGAACCTATAAGAAGATCAAGTCCAGTGAGATTCAGGTGTTGCCAGCAGAAATCAGCAGCATAAGAGGCAGCGATGTTGAATTGAAAAACGGCAAGTCGTACCAATTTGATGCAATTGTTTTCTGCACCGGGTTCAAGAGATCAACGAACTTGTGGCTCAAGGTGATGATTAAATAACAAATTAATTAAAAGAAAAACAGTGTTTTTGATGTGAAATTTTTAATTTTTTTGTTACAGGGGGATGATTATCTTTTAAAAGATGATGGACTTCCAAGACAAAGTTTCCCCAACCATTGGAAGGGAAAGAACGGTTTATATTGTGTGGGATTATCAAGAAGAGGAATATATGGGTCTAGTGAGGATGCTCAAAACATAGCAAATGATATCAAGTCATTTCTATAGTAACCAAACTGAAGAAGGTCAACAGTCAAATTTACCTCTTCCCTATGTTTTTTTTAATCGTTATTGGTTGTGATAGTGAAAAATCTTGCTGCAATGTAGACAAATAATCAATAACAAATGGCTTTTTACTATTTTGTTACAGTAAATAAATTACAAGAATTGATTGCCAGCTGACTGAAGCAAACTTATGGATACAAATTATTAGATTCTAACAGATGAGGAAAATTGTTACACTAACTAATAAAACCAAACTGAAAAAACTCAAAGTAAATAATAAAAGAGGAACACCTTGTCATGGCGTGAGAGGGGAGCCAATCTTTAAATAATTGTTGGCCTGCAATAACCATCATCTTTCTACTGATGACTTTGTATTCCTCCGGGATATAAGCAAATTATAATTTATGCCCAAATAATTCCATCAAAGCCAATTTCCAAATTTGAAACAGGACTGTCGCCAATGTCCTGATCGACTGCTTGGTTGTCTCCAAGTGAATCGACATAGGGTTCCAACAGATCGGAAGACCTTTCAGACGGAATCCCATAATCTTTGAGAATGCAGGAAGAAGCAGCTGTAGCTGCTTCCCTTTCCAAAACTGTTATGTAATTGTCTTCAAATTCAAAGACTAAGTACTTGTCCTTGCATGCTGATTAAGAGCACAGCACAACCATGAGAATCAGAATGGCACAAATTGAACAGGAAATATTTAAGGGGTGCTACCACTTACAATCTACAAGGTACGCCAAATGATGAATGTTCCTTATTTGGGTTCCATTTAACTTCAAAACCTGAAATCAATTTTTTGTTAGTGCAGCCATATGGTTGGCAGCAACATGCCAAAAACGTAAACAGAAACAGATAACTTGCCTGCTGATTGCTCATATCCTCATACCCTATGTTCACTTCATTTGCTAAGACCTATAGAAGATGAATCCAAAAATAAGAAAAAACGGCAACAGTTTAAAATTTTCAGAAACACAGAGTGATGAAAAGGATGATTCTCCTTTTGTACAACTTAACATGCATAATATATTACAAGGAGGGCAAGAGAGGACAAAAATTAAAGAAGCTACACGTTAAATATTGGCTTTAATAACCACAACATAATCTCAACATTTGATGTACATTGCTAAAGGAATATGTATGGAACTAACCTGTGATAGGATCACAATCTGTTCCCCTTTGAACCTAGCCAAAGAGTAGCGTGCCTTTGCCAATAGTTTCAACTGACCAGAAGAGAAACCAAAAACCAATCAGTTTCCAAACCATAAGTGTGCATTCTGGTCAGCAAACGAAAAAGAAAAAACTAGTTAAACAGGGCTTTTATGCTTAAGAGTTTCCTCCATGGTCACTACTTACTCCTATAGAGTCTTCACACTCCTCACTGCCAAAAGAACATAAAAAATGGTTAGTGTGCAGTTAGCACAAGAAGTTTATTACTAAAATAATTTATTCAGTGCCAGAAATGAGCGTGACATACTCTATCAGTGGTTCTGAGAGGGGGGTAAACACCAAACCAGCAATGATTAAGTAGGAAGGCTGACCTCCATCGATATGAAAGGGGACCTTATTGGGCCATAAAGAACTCAAAACAATCAGCATCAGGATGTTTATAAGAAAACAATAATAATAAGATTGACAACAATAGCTTTATGGCGTTGTAAAAAGAACCAAAAATTCACAACTTACCAAATGCACTCGTGGATTCAAAACTGCTTTAACTTTTTTGAATTCTCCAGCTCTAATAATACCAAGATCAGAAACGTCACCTGCAAATCTGTATAGGAGCATTGTTAGCCTATAAATTGCACCTATAAATGAACAAATTAGAACATGGATGAAAATTCTACAGGAAGGAATTCATATGACTACAATGACTATGAATGAAGAGATAAGAAAAGGCAAAAAAATCAAAATTTTAATAGAAAAAGGAATGTAAATTAAGACATAGAAGCTAGTGACTCCTAAAAATCGGCATTAGTGGTCAGAGTAGTGACTCCTTAAAACTTGCACACTTGGGTGCGCCTTAAGGCTTTTTTTATAGTATAATCTTTCATTTTTCCACAAGAGCAAGTACAGCCAGGCCCCATTGAAGGCATTGCAATGCCAAAGAATAATTTCAGGGGCTAACCAATGGATCAAGTATTCTTACCGGAACAAATAAGAAGCAGTTAAAAAGAAAATGCAGCTTTTAACTTAATTTCTTTGTCTTAGAACCAGGGATTTACTTTTGGCTAATGAGGTAGCGGAATGCAATGCGCTCATTTGATCGGAAAGGTACTGTTCCTTCACACCCTACATGAACATCATCAAAGCTTACAATCACGTCCCCCTGGAAAAGCAAAAGTACTATCAAAGTTATTAACAATTAAAAAAATCAAAATTTCAATACGCTTTAAATCCCAAGATAAAGGGAAACATGAGGACAGATTCTACAAAATTGATTATGGACCATAATATATTCTAAGTTGACTCTAAATGCCCCATTCATGATTACCTTTTCACTCTCCAAAACTAACTTAGCAACCTTTTCCATACAATTACTTTATTTCCAATTCTAATAGTTTGCCACTTCACATTTTCACTATTCTTTCATCATATCTTGAAGATATTTAAACATGTAATACTGCTAACATCTGATTATCTCATAAGCTGATAGCTTGAGAAGCACCAAAAATTTGATTTAAAGTTTTCCTTTGATGACTGTTTAACAAGTATATATACAACTCGAGTACAGCAATCACTCAAGATTCAAACAGCCAGCATACCTCCTTTAATACATTATGTGCATCAGAAGTGGGTTCAACTCTTCGTACCAGTACACCCTGCGCAAGCCAGATGTGATGAGTAAAAGCCTAAGCAAAATTAAATGATTAACAGATACAAAGCTAATATTATAATAACACAAAAACATGGCCTGATATTATATTATAATTTCTACATAAGTAAATTCCTGCACGGTCCACTGCCACTTCATATCTGCTACTCTTACATTTCTTATGCAAGAAACAATTTTAACCAGATGAAAGCTTTGCAATGTTTTTTCTGACACAGATACACCAGCTGATCCAGGAAACACTTAACCAGACAGAGAGACTACCTCAATAGACTCTACTTTTAAACACGCCCGTAATGCTGGATTCTCCAACTTTTGCAACAATACACCCAGGCAAGGGAAACCTGGAAGTCAAAAAGCATTGAGGTGAAATTAACTGAAAAAAATATAGCACTAATACTACTTTGCCGCTGAAGAAAGCAGCGGGTACTACACAGACAAGTTGAAATGGTATCCACAATCAATTGCTTTAGTTACATAAATCTTGGTACATTGCCATGGTCTATACCTTCTAACTCCCAGACAAGAGGTGTGTGGATAGTGCAAGAAAAATATGCATATACAACTAAGTTCCCTTCACACAGATGAAAGTTGGGAAGAGATTCTCACCTGTATACTTCCCGTTCCTCTCATAGTCATCCAAAAAATGAGACACAACTGTAGTAGGAATGACATATCCAATATTCTCGGCCTCTTCAGATCTGTAGACCTAAAAGAAGTGTCTCTTAAAATAATAAGGAAAAAGTTTTCATGCCACAGAATTGCCCATACAGCCAAGAAATCTAAGACCAAGTAAACATGGATAAACAAACTTTGACAGCAAGCCAACAAATTTACCTGAAATGCCACACCAATGCACTCCCCTTGATCATTGAATGCAGGTCCACCGCTATTACCTACAATCTAGCAAAGTATAAGCAGTGGCTATGATAAATATGCAATATAAAGAAGAAGGATTGTAATCTTGAGGCAGCTAAGTGACAACAGAGTGTTATAATTGTAAATTTGAATCATAGACTGACCAGGATTTATTGCTGCATCAATCTGAATGCCCAACAAATCAGATGACCCATGAGCATATGACGTAACCTGAGGATATTAATAGTGAGAAACTTGATGCCCTATATTTATGTAACACATCTTAATTTGGATGGCAATTTATCTTTTAAGGACATCAACCGATTATCAGAGCCATATCCATCAGCATGTAATAAATCATACAAGTCCACTCAGGTAAGGAAAGCCAAACCTCTATACGCGATACAACCCCCTTTGTTACTGAAATGGTATCTCCTCCAAGGGGATATCCTACAACAGTCACTGCTTCCTGTCCAATATAAAAACCACAGATACAACACTTAAAGGGGATGAACCATTGTGATGTTATAGCAGAAGTGTAGAAAATTCCAAACTTAGGTATAACAACCTCAACTTCTGTAGTTTCAGAAATAGTAAAGCTACATTGTTTTGAGGGGTAAGGTAAGGGATGAGTTTTATTATATCATGTCATATTTAAAATCTCAGATTTAGATCACGTGGGCAGTCAGTTTATATCATAATACTAATATATTTAATAATAGGTTTGGATAAAGCGGGTGCACATGCCCTCTAAAATTTGAAATTTGAAATTAGTTTCTTTTGACACAATGTTTGCAGTCACACTCCCTATGCTCCACAATTAGTATTCCAAATGAAACTATCTCAATATAAATATATATATGTGCAGTTTTTTGGGCTAATATTCTCTTTTGTATACCAGAAAATAAATTCTTGCAACCAACTAAAACATCTAAACCCAAGCCTCAGAAAGTTCGTTTGTTCATGTTAGTTTCTAAACTAACTAGATAGGAGTACTTTAAACCTGAAGATGTGGCAAGCTTCCCAATTGGAGTGGTTCTGCCCCTTTCCAGAATTCCTCACTTTCTACTGAAAGTAAAGCTATATCACAATCAACACCTCTGGCCAAAACCTGCATATCAAGTCACTAATAGTAAAGCTATATCATAATCCCCACTACTGATAATAAATTGCAACATCGTATTTATCTCCAAGATATTGAGCATCACTACGTTAATTTTCTGAGGGCGAAATACCTTAGCCACATATTTGGTATCATCCCCTCTTCTCTTCACTTTAACCTGCATTCGTAGAGAAAATAAAAATACGATGATAATAAAAATAAATAATCAGACTGGACCTCTTGCCTAAAACATCATTTTGTATAAATACATAAAAAGTAATATCCTTCACTTTCTTCAATACAGACTTTCTTCATCGGTCATGTTTTCCATACATATTATAGATAGAGATATGATTGTGCTTATGAACCCTCAAGGGATATGTCTTCTAAAACCAAAGTTGATATACTTATGAAAAATGTGCTTAGAAGGCTAAACCTATTCACTGACTAGATAAGTAAATGACACTTTTGTACCTTTCTACTGACTATTGACTAATACGGACAACAAAGTACCTGAGTATAATGCTCAACACAGTGGGCATTTGTCAAGAGTTTCCCGTCACCAATCATAAAAGCACTGCATTAAAGATTCAGATTATAAGTTCTTTAAAACACACACCCACACCCACACGGGCTAGTGAAATGAGTACGAGGATAAGAGTTCAAAACTTGCCTGCCTGTACTTGTATATTGTCTTTGTTTTTGCCAAGGAAGGGAGTAGTCAGGGGCTGTATGGGTGCAGTAAACCTAAACATATAACTGTTAGCTACAAATTGAGTGCGCAATGGATTCAGCAGATTTTGATGTTTAAGTGATAGGATTGACAAACACCATACTCAAACAGTTCAACAATATAACAATGAAAGGCAAATAGATTGTTTAAAAAACGACAACAGATATTTCAATTGGGAGCTTATATTACAATATAGAACCCACAGCCCGAACAATAACATTGACACTGACAGAGGTATTCATACCTTAACGACGGCATTAAGAAAATCAGCATCCTGAAGGCTCCTCGGTTCAACCTGAATCAAGTACAATCACCTCATGAAGATAAAACCAAAATTTCAAATTTAAATAAAAAGATTTTCAAACAGTGAACAGTTTTTTTAAAACTTGACTGTAAATTTATAACACAAACTAATCCTGCAATTGAATCATGAAAAGGAATTCAGTGCAACAATTATCCAACCTGTTGCTCTTTTTGATCAAGTGCAAACTCTTTCTTCTCTTTTCTTTGCGTTCCAAATGATCTATATGCCGTTGGTTGAGACTTTCCCTTCTTCCCTCTACCAGTAACACTCCATCTATCACCATTTCCGCTCAACTTATTGGGAACAGCTTCTTTCTGCATTTCCCAAGCCAATATTAATATTAATTAATCAATTATCAAGAAATTTACACAAACAGTAGTGCTTAGGGTTTCACCTCTGGTTGGGATTTAGCAGACGACGACGACGACGACGACGAGCCTTTTCTTGAACTGGAAGCTCTTTCTCTCTTGCTTTGACTAACAGGTTTAAGAGCATGGCCATTGCTTGACCAAAGTGACGTGGCGAAGCAGGGTTGGATGGAAACAGAAGAACGGAATTTAACGGTGGAGGTGAGTGCAGAGAAGCAGCAGTTGCCGACCGCAACGGCCATTTGAATTGAACGTCAGCTCACTGCTAAAAGAAGAAGGTTGAGAAGACGAAGTTACTCTTTTATAGGGCCGCGCAGCGTTTCCTTATCCGTAAATAATTGGACTTTTTCGGGCGTGGGTCTCTGAATTTTGGCCCCTACGGGTTTACTTCGAATGGGAGATTTCAGGCCCCATCTATCTTTGGGTTTCGGCTTAAGCTCATTCCATAACATGGGCTTTAAAAATGCGCACCACAAAGCCCATATGAAAAAACCAAAAGAAAAGGTTCATTGCCTTTGCCTCGGAAACATGACGAAGCGTAACAACTCAACACACGTGTGGGCTTCCGAAGTGGCTACTGTTGTCGGGGTAGGAAGGTGATGGAGCTGACTTTTCCATAAATGCCCCGCATGCTTTATAGGACGTGTCGTTCTCACCGTCTTAATTGCTCCTGTCCGTTCGTGTAATTTTCGCGGGCCTCAAACAGTTTTGATCTGCTGCTACTCCGTCTCCGTTACCTCCATTTCTTTAGTTTAACACTGACCTTGGGATGAAGCATTATTTATACAACATTGAATTATAAGTGTAGCCTGAAACTATGTAAATACTTCTTCCTTAGTACGGCGTTACATAAAATTTGGTGTAAAGTTTGCAAAAGTCTATGAAGTCCCCAACATTATAAGAAGATAAATACTTGCCATTTTAATGTTACTACCCAATTAATATTCAATGTTTTTAGTTTTGTTAGTGGTACATATATTAATAAGTATGCATTTGAATGTCCTAATCGTTAATGGTTTAATCACTTTGTAATTAGTCAAATCCAAACATTCATCAATGGTCATTTGGAGATCCCTTTAAAAGGATTATATTTAGACATATCAATGGATTGGATTTTAATATGAATCCGGTTTAATTAAAAGGAAATGATTTGGACTTTTCAATCCGATAATTAGATTACAATCTGAATCCGTTAATCCGATTATAAATGAATTCATATATGAATTGTATGTGTAAATGAATAATTTTAGTTTTATAGCACTAAAAATACACCTAAAAAACTAATTTTAAAGAAAAAAAATATCAAAAATTGATATAAAAAGTTGATAAATACAATAAAAGAATAATGCTACTAATGAAATTTTGAATCTCTTTTAGGTACATCTTAAAATAAATCCGATAATAAAATAATCTGTTAAATCTCATGAGTAACAGATATGGATTGAGATGTGTAATCCAATAATCCGAATCCGATAATCCAATTATAAATAGATTATGATTTGGATTAAGGTATATCCGATCTAAACCCTATCCGTTTACATGATTAATATTATTAAAAAATTAGCCAAATCTAAAGTGTGGGACAAATTCATTAGCATCATGAACATTCATTGGAAGTGTTTGTTGAAAACAATGTTTCATCTATTATTTGACTAGTACCATCAAATACCAAATAAAGAAAATGTGTCAAATTATGAGACTACATTGCATGATGAGTCCCCACCATAGTTTTTCTATTTTCTGATTAAAGAATGATAATGTACCAAATTTTTGGATGTATTATTATTTATAATAATTTATTATGTATATTAAATAACTGGAAGAATTTATGTTTCGCCACTTTGTTGTTTCAGTCAGTGATAGGTTTACCAGCTAACGAAGGGAACATACGACACACAGGAAGCCGAGCCGGTCTAATTAAGCGAAATTAATCCCCATGGACAATGGTTAAGCGACGCTTGCTCTTCATGCAAAACAAATACGAATTTAATTACAAAATTAAGTCCATGATTATTCGTTTTCTTTCTTTCTTTGTGGTTTTCACAAGACAGGCGGGACCCAATTTCCCCAAAATCGACGGTCAGTGTTGCCACACGCAAGTAAAGAAAAAAGGTGACGGAGAGAGAGATGACAAATGGGCGAGATGCATGAGGCGAGGGGCATGCACTGCAGGGCAAAAGAGCGCATCGAACTCATCGGCGCAAAGTAGCAAACACCGCCAGCCAGCATAGCAAAGCAAAAAATAGTACGCTACACGCAGCAACACAGACAGAGACCCAAATTAAACGAAAGAGTCTCAGAGAGAGAAAGAGAGGGAAGAGAGAGGGGAGCCAAAAAGAGGCCTGGCAGGTGCAGGTGTACCAAATCACAAACACACACATCTGCAACGCGCCTACATACATTGAACGCTGCCTGCACTGCACTGCACTGCACTGCAGCCTATCTTTCTCTCTCTCCTCTAGCTCGCTCGCTCTGGTGCACAACAACAACAACGAACGACATCCAGTATTTGCACTAAACGTTACAACGACATCACGCAGCTCACGCTGCTTGCTCACAGGGGCCTCTTCCAGAGAGAGAAACGCTGAAACGGCCGGGTGTGGAGGTGGGAATTGTGATACTTGCTAGTGGAGAGGACGAGAAAGTGTGTGTGTGTGTGAGAGAGAGAGAGAGAGAGAGAGAGAGAGAGAGAGAGAGAGAGGGGGGATTAAAGGAAGGCGACACATTAACGCTATTAGGTGGACGCGGTACCTGATTAATTCTTAACGCCTATTTGTCCTGATTCTCCCTCCCTCCCTGAACTTTCCTCTTCTACTTATTTTCACCCTTTTCTAAATTTCTCGCTTTCTTCTTCTTCTTCTTTTTTCTTCATCTTCCGCATATCTTCTTTTTTCTGTTTTGGCTCAGAGGCGGAGAGAATTGATAAATAAATAGACATGGCACCGAGGACGACTGCCGGTGTAGAAGGCTTGGGGCCCACCACCGTCAATATTGCCGAGAGAGAAAGCAGCGGATGTAGCGATGGTTCAGCCTTCCCTGCTGCTGCTGCTGCTGTTGCTAACAAGAATAAACGAGGTGGACGACCTGAACCAGTGACCTCTTGTTTTTCTTATTCATTTTTTGTTCATTTTTGTGTTGAACTCTGCTCGGAGAGAAAATTTGTAACTAAGCTCTGTTTTAGTCTTGGATTTTATTTTTTTTCCACAGTAAAATGAGATGCGTTGACCATTATTAATTTTTAATGGTGGATTTAAAAACTATTCTATTTTTGGGCTACTGATTCAGAAACGAATTCTACAGTGGGCATTTTGATTTTTAAGAGGTAGCTCAAGGCATGTTGCATCAAATTTTTATGATGAACATGTAGGATCTTCAACTCTCTGTATATTGTGGCCTGTAACAAGTCTCATTTCTGAAATGGGTTCTCAAATTCTTATGGACTTTCACTTTAGCGAGTCCTCATGGTTTGATTTTCACCCCCGCCCCATTTTGCCTCGGTTTGTTCTTATGTTTTCAATTTTGGTGTTAGGTGAGAAAGATGATTCGTACACTCGACTATGGCATGCATGTGCTGGTCCTAGTGTTTATGTTCCGCGCCCCGGAGAGAAGGTTTTCTACTTCCCTCAAGGTCACATGGAACAGGTTCTCTTCTCCCTCACCTCCTTCATTACTATTTCTTTTATGGCACTTTTAAGGACTCTGTTTCTTCTGTCTATTAAGCAAATTGTGAAGTTTTCATGCCATTTCTATTTGGTCCTCGGCACACCTTTTAGATGGTCCCTATTCAATCAATCCCTTCAATTTATTTTTGTCTGAGGTCCAAATAGGTAACATCTTTGCCTGTTGATCTAGAGTAGGTCGAGGCATATGCAAACGAAGATGGCAAAATGGAAATGCCAATTTACAATTTGCCTTCCAAGATCCTCTGCAATGTTGTCTGCGTTCTGCTAAAGGTAAATTGCTCCTCTCTCCGTGTGTTTAACAAAATCTGATGGGTATACTCTACAAATTATGTCTGGACTAGAAAATTGAATGGCTTACAATTTATGAGAATTTATTAATTTTTGAATGACTCATTTGCAGGCTGAAGTTCACACAGATGAAGTGTTTGCTCAAATCACCTTGCTTCCTCTGACTGAGGTTAGCTACTGAGTGCTGAGATGACCTTACTTAGGCCTCATAAGAACTTACAAGAAACTGATATTATTTCTTTTTGAAGCCATTAATTTTTTTTGTATGGCTCATAATTTGAAAAGTTTACGTTATTTCACAAGTTCTGGAATTTTTACATTTGATGATAACAACAACATATGTGTACTGTGTTGGCACCTTGCAGCAAGAACAGCTAAGTTTAGATGAAGAAAATAATCAACCCGTGCCTCAGAGCACCAGTACACGCTCCTTTAGCAAGACACTCACCCCATCTGACACAAGCACTCATGGTGGATTCTCTGTTCCGAAACGACAAGCTGATGAGTGCCTTCCACCTCTGGTTGGTTTTTATTCTGATGGCTTTCCATAACACCCATTACAAAATTTATTGCACACATCTGCTAAGCAATCAATTAACCAATTCAATGTGATATAAGTTCAGGTTAAGTTTAAACGAGGCATATGGGGATAAATGCCTTCATATATTTGATTTCGGCTTCTCTTGTTACTGTTTCTTGGGACAGATATGAAAATCTTAGAACCTAGTCAACCTAGTAATCTACTACTCTCACTCAAGTGACAAGAACTATGCTCGCATGTTTGGTACTTTGGATTATGCAAGTGTCATAGGAAATCTTGTCTCAGATCTTCACCTTTTGCAATCACCTCTACCTCATAAGATTTATATAAAATGCTAAGGATTAGAAGCCAGTTCCTTCACAAGTTATAGATGTTTTTGCAGGACATGTCTCAGCAACCACCAGTACAAGAACTCATCGCAAGGGACTTGCAGGGATTTGAGTGGCACTTTCGCCATATATTTCGCGGTATCTCCAAATTCAGACACTCTCAAACATCTAACTGTGGAAGTAACTTAAGCATCATTATTAGTACTTACAGAGTCAGAAACGAATGCATAACACTTGAATTTGTTCATTGTGTTCGACATTGCAGTTGTATACTTATGGATGCATTTCTTTGATTATTTCAATATATAGGAAATGTTTTTCTTTCAGAAATTTAAAATTCCTCTCATCATGCCTAGGGGAAAAAGGCAATTTGCCATGGTTTTCTGACTCCATGTAATGCATAATGGACCAACCTACAAATAAATGCTCACTAATATAATTGCATTTATAGTTGCAATTTTATTTCTGATTATCCTTCTTAAGTGTGGCGAACACTTTTAATTCTCATGCATGTTTCTGCCTTAACCTTCTACATTGGATTCATCATATACGACCAATATTAAATTTATGCTGCATCTCCCACAATGTAGGTCAGCCAAAGAGGCACTTGCTTACCAGTGGTTGGAGTACATTTGTGACTGCAAAAAGACTTGTTGCTGGGGATGCATGTATCTTTGTCAGGTACTCTCTCTCTCTCTCTCTCTCTCTCTCTCTCTCTCTCTCTCTCTCTCAAGTTAAAGGGTTAATTAATATATGTATTAGTTATCTGTCTTCACTTTTTGTTATCTAATGATTGTAATTCTTGCTTCAGAGGAGAAAATGGAGAGTTGCGTGTTGGGATACGCCGTGCGAACAAAAAACAGGACAATGCATCAACTGCTCTCATTTCAGGCCACAGCATGCAACATGGCATACTTGCCAGTGCTTTCCATGCCAATTCTACTGGTACCTTGTTTACTGTGTACTATCGTCCATGGTAAGCTATTTGATTCTGTGAGCTAATAGGGTTTATGTTTAATATCAGTGTCACTGGGTATACACATATTCTAAGGTTTTAAGCATGCCATCTTTTTATGCATATGCAGGACCAGTCCTGCTGCATTTATAATTCCTTGTGATCAATACATGAAATCAGCAAAAAATGACTACTCTATTGGTATGAGATTCAGAATGTGTTTTGAAGGTGATGAATGTGCAGAGAAAAGGTAATCAAGCCTTGGCTTCTGAGTGCAAGAATGGATGGATAAAAATACCATAGACACTGTTAACAACCTACCTTTTCCCCCTAAAGTGTCACTGTCATGGTGTTTTGACTGAATGTGGTTATTGTATGAACCAGATTGGCGGGTACTATATTAGATATTGAAGATAATGATTGTATCAGGTGGCCCCGTTCAGAATGGAGGTGTCTGAAGGTACCCAAGTTCCTGTTCTAACCATCAAAATCTCAAAATCTTCGAACTGATACATAATTATCTCATTAATTGATCTGTCCATCCAGGTCCAATGGGATGCCTCATCAGATACAAACTTGCATCCTGAAAGGCTTTCTCCTTGGAATATCATGCCTCTCCAACCTAATAAGAGAGCACATGTTCCTGATCTGATATCACCTGGGTTTCCTAACTTGGCCACAAATGGTCAGTAACTCTCATATTCCTCCCTGTGGAAAGTTTCTCTAGATTTCAGAAAAAGCTTCCTTCGTCAACACAGTTTGAATGATATTTCCAATTAAAGTCAAAATTAATCAACTTATCTCTCTTGTTTTCTTCATAGGCTTATTGCCAATTCCAGTTGAGTATACACCTCCAAGACAAAAAAAGGTCTTTCAAGGTCAAGAAATTAGTGACCCACCTGCTCATGAACCGGGTACTCAAAAACCACCATTACTACCGCAGTTCATTCCACCATCAAATCCTGACTGGAACTATACACAATTGGGATTGGAAAACAATCCATTGCATGACCCACTGTTTCAATGTCCTGGCAGTGCAATAGCTCCAAGTCTCACTAACCAATGGCCACCAATATTTAATTTTGGAGTCTTGGACAGTGTCGCGTTTAGAAGAAGCATGTCAGTTCCAAATATCAAATCCTCTGGGTCCCAGGACTCGAGGGCCTTCAAACCAAGGAGTGAGATTGAAGCACCCCTTGTCCAACCAAATAGCCGTGGTACAACCATGCTGTTTGGAGTCAATATAGTTACTAGTCACCCGGAGCTCCCTTCACCACAAGTTGTCACTTCTAGTGAACTTTTTAGTCCTTGTTCTATTACTCCAATATCTCAGTCGAGTGTTTCTGAAACTATCCAGATTTCAGAGACATCTAAGAGTGTTTCTGGTGTTCTTTCTGCGAAACAATGCAAGAACTGTTGCTCTGTCACTAACAGGAGCTGCATAAAGGTACATTACATATAAAACTTCTTCTAGGTTGTCTTTTCAAACAAGTTGAAGGAAACATTTATGCTAATTGAATTATCTTTATTGTTTTGCATTCTAAATTATTCAATCACCAAACTAGAATTTGATTTCATGCACCTTAAAAGATGTATCTGTGTGTTTAGATAACGAGCAACCTTCCAACTAGTTTCTACAAACTTCCAAAGAGCTGTGTCTGGTGGTGATAATGCTTTGTTGAAGTTATATGGTCAAGCATGGTTACTTGTGATTCAGGTCCCTTAGAAGGCACATGAATAGGCATTCTTATTACTTTCAAGTTGCATTTGTAGGATAATGAATCAATGTGCAGATAATGTTAAACACCTAGTATTTCTTCTTCTCACCTCCTTATAATGGTCGAGTTGATTGCTCAAGCTAACCTTGTCAAAATTTCAACGCTCTTTCAGGTGCTCAAATATGGAGCTCCTGTTGGAAGGTCGGTGGACCTCACACGCTTTGATGGGTATGGTGAACTCATTGCTGAGCTTGACCAGATGTTTGATTTCAAAGGAAGCTTGATCGATGGAAGCAGTGGGTGGCAGGTAACCTATATGGATGATGAAGGAGACATGATGCTGATAGGAGATTACCTGTGGCAGTTAAGAACTAGAACTCATACTGTGACTTAAAGTTTGCCATTTCTGATGTGCTGTACAAAACTGATCTGCTATTGGTCTTTACTAATTTGGTAATCATGTTACATATGCAGTGAATTCCAGTCCATGGTGCAAAAATTGTACATCTGTCCAAAGGAAGAAATCGACAGACTGAATCCAGGCTCGCCAAATGCAACATCCCTCTAATTCTTTGCTGTGAGGTCATTTGTGTTTATCTGTTCATATGAGGGAGTGTGAGACAGAGACAGGGAGAGATGGTATCGACAAACATGTCTGCATGAATAGCTATGTCCACTTGTGCAAATTTAATCATCTAGTGTAGCTACAGTTTGCACATTATCTAAATTTAGCCAAAAACAGAAGTTTGGTTGGTTGTTCTGAAGGATGCTAGTGTTTTGTGAGAGATTGCTGTCCTGTATAAAATCCAGATATATACACCTGTTCTGGTAGAATTATGGACCTGGGCAGTGGGCATGAATCATGATAGATACTTTATTCACAGTATATTATATTGGATAGTTGTTCTTTATTCACAGTGTATTATATTAGATAGTTATATTTATATGCAAAAGCATTTCCAGTTTCGAATTTGTTTTGCATATTGAGCTATAATGTGTGGGTTTTTTGGGCCTACTTATATGGTTTGGGCCCGAGCACCTTGGTTATCCGGGAAAAAAAAGAAAGAAAAGAAAAAAAAAGTGAGAGCAGCTTGTGCCTCGGAGGCTCAGCCTATCTCGACTCTCATCTGTGAATTTCCAGGCACACGCCCTTCATATATTCCCGCCACCAAACCATTTTCTCTCATCAAAGAAAATCTAGCAGAGAAAAGAAAGTAACCATGAAATCTTTGTATCCAATTAGACCAATTACAGCCGTCCCAAAGTTTAATTCTACCTCTTACTCCAAAATTTATGTTATCACCAGTGTTGCTACGCCTACGCTCAATTTCTGGGTTTCATCACCACATCCAATTCGCTCACTGAATGATTTTCCCAAGCCACACCCACACACTGCTCTAAGATCTCAGTCTCCTTCAAACCCACAAAGCAACGAGCAAGAGAAAGATGAAGTGGAAGAAGAAGAAGACCCAGATGCCCAAGTCCAAGACCTTGTGGTCCCAGAGCGTTGGTTGGTCCCTTCCAAGGCCTTGGAGGTATAATTTTCTCTTAATTTACAGAAATTAAATTTCAGCTGTTTTTGGATTTGATTATTTTGATTGAATGATATCTATTTATCTATCCAGGAATCAGAGTGGCTAAGGGTTACTTTGCATAAGTGGTTGGATGATGAGTATTGCCCAGAAGCCACCAATGTTGAAATCAGCAAGATTGCTGCTCAGTCATACTACAAATCTTTGCTGGGAAAACAGACTGACTTGGGTGAGATTTTGCTGAAGATGGCTATAGGATTGGAATCTATTTCCTACCAGGAAAGCTTCCATGGGGCATTCTCATCCGCCAACGCAGCAGTGAATTTGATTGCCCAACGGATAGAGCAGTCCTGATTTTAACTCAAACCAGTTGAAGGTTTTCACTTTTCACTTTTCATTTCACCAAATTAGTAATTTATCTTCTCCTGCATTTCCTATGTAAAAACAGTAAGTTTTCATAAATCAATCTGGCATGAAAAGGCCTTCATCTTTCGAATCAATGTCTTCTCATCTCATATGTCTTTGCATAGTGAGTCAGTGACAACTGATGATGAATGTTTAATGCACCTGATCTGGTGCAGGAAATTCCAAAGTCTTGAAAGATGTAAAACCTCCATCTACCACCAAATTATGCCCACTAACATATTTAGCATCATCTGAAGCTAGATAAAGTGCAGCATTAGCAATATCGTTGGGTTCACAATTTGTGCCCTCCAAGATGCCGGCATTCTGTGTTATTTCTATTAGACGCTGTATATCGACTCCCGGGAAAATCCGACTCATTTCTTCAAGTACAAATGGGGTTGGGATGGCAAATGGCGATATACAATTGACCCGAATTCCATGCTTGCTTAGCTCTGCAGCCAGAGACTTAACAATGCCTATGACAACAAACTTGGATACCGAATAGGTGTGCTGTGCAAGTCCTCCCATTAGTCCCGTGACACTGGCTGTGCATAGAATGGAGCCAGTTTTGCGCGGGATCATCACACGTGAAGCATGTTTCATTCCTGCAACGACTCCTCGCACGTTGATGTTCATGACACGATCAAACACTGCCAGGTCGAGGTCCACAATGCTCGGGGGAGTGTTGCAGGCTACCCCTGCATTGGCGTACATAATGTCAAGCTGGCTATGTTTAGAGATGGTGAAATCTACAGCATTGGAAATGTCGGATTCTTTTGAGACATCACAGGCGATGAAGGTCGCATTGGGACCGAGCTCGTTTGCTGTGACCTGACCAAGCTGCTGTTGGATATCTGCAATGACAACTTTGGCACCATTGGTGATGAATTTGGATGCAGTTGCCTTTCCTATGCCACTTGCTGCTCCGGTGATCAGCGCCACTTTGCCTTCAAGTCTGCTTTGTCACACATAGCAAAGCAAACATGGCCCAAGTCCAAGCATCAGTTGCAGACTTAAAGAATCCAATCAACAGAAAGGGAAAGCATCTGATAAAATCTAATTAACCCCATATCCATATCCATTCAAGTTTGCCTACCTCGCAGTCTGGGACGAAAATCCCATCTTGAAGCTTGGAGAAACCACAGGAGCTCTTGAAATGGTAACCTTTTTTCTGTTCAAAACTTCAAACCATTAGCAACTTTTATTCTGAGTTGTATCCAAAGATTAAATCTTATTGAATAGAGAAGAGACCCACCCACTCAGCCAAACAAAAAAAAAAAAAAAAAAAAAAAAAAAAAAAAAAAAAACCAAACCAAAAAAAAAAACAAACAACACCCTTGCAAATGAATTTCTGTCTGTCTGCATAGATATCAAAATAAAAAAGGTTAAGACAAGCAAACCTTAATGCAACCCTGAACATGGTTTGTTTTGTTGAAGAAGATGTGGTGGTTCTTGTTTCTTATTTCTATCGGCCAATTATTGAATATGGTTGGACCGACAAGTAGGATGTAAGAAAGCATCTTACATGGGTGGCAACGTGTGGGCCGTTGCATCAATACTTTTTCTTTTTTTCTTTTTGGGGTCTGAAATTTTGTTTAATGTCAATATAATAGTGTCAAACGTAAGCTTGCACTCACAACAAAATCTGGGGAATCTGGGGTTGGATTGGAGTGGAGGACTATATGACAAAATCTTTTAAAAATTAGTCAACTTTGAAGGATTATTATTGTAGTTGGCCATTCTTGAACAATGTGTATTGAAACTAGTCCATCCCTGTTATAATTTTCAGTTTCAGGGTTAATTCTAGAAATGCACAGCAAAGAAGATAATAACAAAAGTCTGATGAATTGGGGAGATTTGACAGAATCTTGGGTGGATCCAAACCCCTTTAAAATTACGGGGGCTATTGGATGAGAAACGTTTCTCATTGAAAACAACAATCCAACAGCCGGATTTAGAAATTGAGACATCCCCTCCCAACAACCCCAGCTGCTTCTCCACCCTCCCTTTCCTCTATCAATGGTATACATTCAACTTCAGCTGCTAACGGTGACCCTGATTAACTTGGCTCCTTCGTCGCAAAAGTAGAATTCTCCATTGTGAAAAGCAGCACATTCAATTCTTCAAACTGAAGACAGGGTAACAACACGCCGGTGTGGAATCCATTCATTGGCTCCGCGGTCGAGAACATGCAGCTCCAATTCGAAAGCATTGGTACGGCTCATGACAGAAACATTGCAATCTTGACAAGTGGGAGGGGATGAAAATGCTGCAACAGGACGCTGAGGCTCATGTAGTTGTGAGACTGGGAACTCTGGAAGGTCTATTTTCGCACGAGAGAAGGGGCAAAAGAAGAAGATTGAGCCGCATGACGGTTTTAAAAGAAGGAGCCATCCTTGGTTTGTTGCAAGGCAAGTTGCTCCTTTGAGTAATGGAATGTCAGTGATGGTGTACTTTTTACCAGTTTCACAAATTAGCCACTGGCATTGATCAGAATCTTCCTCGTACAGTAGAAACCCGCGTTCATGTGAAGATTGAGTGTGAGCTGAAGCAGGAGCTCGATTAGGCCAAGACGCTCTGCTATGTTTGATAACACTTCAGGAAGAATATATAGCCGCGTGGCTATAACCGTTTTTTATATATATATATTTAAATCCTATAGCCGCGCGGCTATACGTCTAAAAAATATATTTCACTATTATAGCCGACCGGCTATACTCCTGATATGAAAAATGTATTTAAATAGTCTTGCCGAACGGCTATACTTCTGATATAAAAAATATATTTAAACAATATGGCCGCACGGCTAGACCCCTGATATAAAAATATATTTAAATAGTATGACCGCACGGCTATACTCCTTGAATAAAAAAATATATTTAACACGTATAGCCGCGCGGTCATACCTCCTAAATAAAAAAAAATATATATTTACAGCGTACAGCCGGACGGCGATACTCCTTAAATAAAAAATAAATTTAAGAGGTCTAGCCGACCGGCTATACCGCTTCAATTAAAAAATAAATTCAAGGAGTGTAGTAGACTACTTACATAGTAGCGCCGCGCGGCTATACTCGTGAAATAAAATATACACGTTTGACCCCACCACCTCTACAGCTCAACAGCTCCGTCAGCCAACAAAATAAGAAAAAACCCCAACAAAAACGAGTGAACACAGGTAATTGAAAACAAAAGGCTTGCCCAGTATCGCACACAAGTAGTGCAAATGAAGACAAATAATGAACAAAGAAAGAAAATAAGAGGGGAGAGAGAGAGAAGCCAAAGAATATGTGAAAAAGACTTCAAGTGATTTTTGGCTATGCTTGAAAAATCAAAATGATAATCCAAAGGAAAAAGAAGGGAAGCAAATACTTTTAATTTCTTCAAGAAAATATGGTTCTGTTTCACACCCCTCTTCTCTTCTCCTGCCTTTGAGCCCTTAGAGACGCTAGAATTGCGACGAGGGTCTGCTGGGCAGCTATTGTGGATAGGAGTTCGTGGCTCAGTTTGACTAGATTGAACAAATTATTTGGGTTCGGGTAATTATGGATTTGGAGCAATAAATTATAGGGCTATTGAGTTATTTTGGTCTGATAATGATCTGGGTGATGACAATTTGACATCGAAGATGTGAGATTTGGCGAAGGGAGGTGAAAGTTGGTACATTTGTGAAGAAATGGCTGAAGGAACTGTTGCTGATGAAGTGGGCATTTGCAAAGGCATGTTTGGTTCAACTCTGCTTCTTTGGTTGTTCACGAAAAGAGTAGAAAAGATGCAAGAAAGTTTCTTGTTTATACTTCTTTATGGTTTGGTTTAGTTAAAGTTGGTGAAACGAAGTATCTGTCGGTTTTGTAAGTAGATTTTGTGTTTTGAATTTGATGAAAATGTATCTGTTCTGCATTTGTTGTCATCACCTGCTTAAACTCTACAGAAAACCAGAAGGCAACACCCAAAAAGCAATTGAGTTCTTAAAACACTTCATTCTTGTAAGAACAGAAAACCAGAAGAAGAAAAAAAAAAACCAGTGTTAAAAGTCGACCAAAAGCAAACTAAAGAAGAACAAATTAATGAACTTTATTCTAAGAAGAGATGAATGAAGCACTCAAAACTAATTACCAACTCTCATGTTTTGGGGAGGTTAGATAGAGTCTTGGGTGGATCCATACCCCTTTGAATTTACGGCTCTTGGAGTCTTGAACCCGATTACCAGTAATTGTCTCATTGAAAACAAACGTGCCAACGCCACCAGGCTGCATTTGTGTCCCACAAATAGAAATTGAAGCATCCGCTGCCAACCCCAACTTCTTCCTTATGTCCTTGCTCTGGAAATAATCCCTGCGACAAAAAAACTGATCCGGTGACTTCAACTCTTTCGATTTACATGAAACGACAATATGACGCCTCCAGCTTAGGTCTTTAGTACATAACGTGATCAGCTCATCCCTACTGTCGAAGAAGTAGAATTATTCTTTGACATAAGCAGCACATTTGATTGTATCTATGGGACGATCATACTTGTGTTGGATCCATTCACTAGCTCCGCGGTGAAGTACATTCAGCTCCAATTCATCACCACTCCTACGGCTGACTACACAAACTGTGCAATCTTGGGAAGTTGGAGGAGATGAAAATGCTGCAACATGGTCAGAGAGTTCCGAGACTGGGAATTTCGGAAGGTCTATTTTCATGCAAGAGAAGGGGTGAAAGAAGAACATTGAACCTCCTTGTTGGAAGAGAAGGAGCCATCCTTGGTTTGAGGCAAGGCAAGTTGTTCCATCCAATTCTGGAAGATCCACAGTGTACTTTTGACCACTCTTAGCTACCAATAACTGGCATTGATAATCAGGATCTTTATGATCATCATCCCCATTCATCCCATATAGAAGAAACCAAGGTTCAAAGTCTCGTGTAGATTCAATTTTGGCTGAAGCTGTGGAAGAGGCAGAGTTCCAAGCCTTGCAGATAGTACGGAAACTCAGGAGCTCGATGATGCCTAGACGGTCTGCTATGTCTGAGACGAGTTCAGAAGGAAGATCGGACCACTGCCTTTGACTCTTAAACATTTTGGCACAGTTGCTCATGAAATATGGCTACTGCATATCTCAAATTTAAGGAACATGGAAAAAAGACAGAGCAAGCACAAAAAGGAGAAACAAGACACACTTGAGATCTGTTGGTTTATCCATTCATGAATCATATTAAGACACCTTATAACAAGAATTACAAGCAGAAGCAGAGTTATTTCATTAAAGGCATCAAATTAAACAAGAATGTGCAGAGTATTGTTGAATACAATACTCCGTTGGCTCAAGTAGTATATATACTAATGCTTAGTTACCCCTAAACCTAGGTCATGTGTTGGAATTTCTCGTCCCCCAATGTTGCTCGTATAAAAAAAGCATATCAAGTTTTAAAGTTCAAATCTAAATGATGATCAGTTTTTGTACTCGTTTTTCTTCTTTTGTTTCTCAAATTCAAGATACACTGGAGATCATGATCATGGCAAGTTTCGAAAGAATGAGAACACAAGAACAAAACCCAATAAGGGTAAACCAACAGCTTCTAAAGTTTTTGAAATTGATCATGGATTTCTGAGAACAATATATGATAACTTAATCGTACCTTTGAGATTAAGCAAGAAGAAGCGCTTCAAGAATAGAACAAAGTCATTGGAAGAATTACAATCAGAGAGTTCTAATTTCAGTAGTTCACTACAGCTTTGAACTGTCAAAATAAATGAATGAATAAATACTGAAAGGATAAACGACAGCTTATAAGTGCCCCGGTCACGGTGTGGGTGGAACTCTTGGAGGTTTTTTAAACGACATCCCGTTTCACATGCCAAAGTGCAAGAAGGAAAAATGCAAAAAAAATTCCAAGAACCAGGGGCATTCCGAGAATTGAACTCGGGACCTCTCGCACCCTAAGCGAGAATCATACCACTAGACCAAATGCCCTTTTGATTTACAATGTAAAATTGTAAATATTTCTTTTGGTAATTCAGTCTTGAAGATTGAAGCAAAGTTCAAACCCCGTTAGCCAGCAACAAAAGGAAAAAAAGCTTTAAAATTTTATTTAATAAAAGAAAAAAAAACAAAAGAACAAACTTGAAAACAAAAGGCTTGCCCAGTATTGCAATTTGCAAACTTTGTTTTTGGAAGGATTTGAATCTTGATGATAAACAACCAAATTCTTATATCATGGTAAATATTATTATAGAATTTGTTACAAATTCATAGGAAGCTTCATGTAAGAAAATTGAAGCAAAACCCAAAGAGTTATATTATAAGCAAAACCAATTAAGCATTACATCAAAGTGTACCAACAGCAAACTGAAATAAAGACAAGAATGGTACTATCTAGCTAGGAAAGGAAAGGAAAAAATTAAAGAGCAAAAAGCAGTGATGAAGCAAATTCACAAGTCTCTTCTTTTGGAGGGACTTGGAAGAATTTTGGGTAGATCCATACTCCTTTGAGTTGACGGCTCTTGGATTCTTCAACACGATCGCCAGAAATGCTCTCACTGTAAACGAAACTGTCAAGGTCACCAGACTTCCTTTGTGTCCCACAAGTAGAAAACGAAACGTCCACGTCATCTGGCAACCCCAGCTTCTTCTTCATGTCAGTGTTCTTGAAATAACTAGCGTAAGCAATGAAATCTGATTTGGGTCCCACAGAATACTCAGAAGACCATCTGGAAAACCTCCAGCTTAGTGGGTTATGAAATAGTAGATACGATAATGAGCACACAGTCTCTACGGTCGAAAAAGTAGAATTCTTGTTTTTGAGTGTGGTAAACAGCGCAATTGATTGTACCGAAACCTGAACAAGGAATGTCATATTGGAACCATTCCTTGGCTCCGCGGCGAAGTAAATGTAGCTTCGGTTCATAATCATTGACGCGGTTTATGACAGAAACTGTGCAATCCCGGGAAGTTGGAACACACGAAAATGCTGCAACATGATCAGAGAGCTCCAAGAAAGGGCATCCCGGAAGGTCTATTTTTGTTTTGGAGAAGGGCCGAAAGAAGAACAGTGATGAAGCGCCACCACAATTACCAACAGCTTCACCTTCAAGACCTCGTTTCTTGAACAAAAGAAGCCATCCTTGGTTCGATGCAAGGCAAGTTGTTCCATCCAGTTCCGGAAGTCTCACGGAGAACTTCTTACCACTTTCTGTGACCAATTGGCAATTATGATCAGAATCCTCAGCATACAGTAGAAACCAGGGTTCAAAGTCTGGTGTGGATTCAATTTTAGCTGAGGCAGTGGAAGAAGCAGAGTTCCAAGCTTTGCAGACGCTCTGGAAACTCAGAAGCTCGATGGGGCCTAGACGCTCTGCTATGTTTGACGCAAGATCAGACCATGGAGGCCATTGTTTTATTTGCATTTGCATTTGGTCTCCAATAGACATTTTGCAAAAGCACTGGCCCATATTGTAATTTACTTTCTTAGCTGCTCCATCCATGCAGAGACATACACATATATATATATATATGTTAAAATCGAAGGAACTAACATGGAAAATAATTATGAACCAATAAGTGAAGGCTAGCAACTAGCAGTGAATATATAACCAAGTTGTTAACTTGTAAAAGAAGGCAACAATCTGTGAGGTCTGCAATTTTCTTAATATGTTGGGTTTGGTCTGCTATTTCTATCATTGGATCAATTTTTTTAAAAAAAACAGAGAGTAAGAAATACTTCAAATGGATTAAGAATATCAAATTCAAGGTACCTTATAACGAGAATTACAAACTACCTACACGCCAAACAACTTCTTCAAGTTCACCAGTGTTTTATTGATTCCAAAAAACCTACACCATAAAAATGAAAACATTAAAACAAAACATTTTCATATTCTAAGCACGAAGCCCAAAAGCCAAATGCTTAACCCTGAACCCCAAAGCGAAGCCATTTTAGACCTAAACATGATATCACCACCGCTACAAAATAGAAAAGAAATGCTGGATATATCATAATCATTGCTAGCTTACAAAGAAACAGAGCACAAAAAGAGCCTACAAGAAGAAATCAACTGCTTCTAGACTTGGATTTTTTTCAAATTAACATTGGAATTTGGAAGAAGAGAGAAAAATATACCAATACCTCTCTTTTTTTGTTACAAAGGGGAGAAGAGATTACTATACAACTGTGTAGTAGTTAATATATAGAACTCAGAGTTCTAAGATCACAAACAACCTGTGAATCCATGCATGTTTAGCATTTTGAGCCCTGGACACATGAAACCAGAAGCAGCTGAGAAAGCATAGACTGCAAAAGAAGCCAAAGGACGCAGAAAGAGGCCATTGTTGTTTCAGACTTTCATTCAATCGCAGTGTTCAAAAAATCGGCCTAGGCAGGCGGCTAGGTGGCTAGGCGGTCGCTAGAAGGGCTCAAGGCGGTTAGGATGTCGCTAGGAAGGCGCGAGGCTGTCGCTAGGAATGCGCGAGGCTGCTAGGCGGTTGCTAGGCGGTTTCTAGGCTGGCGCGAGGCGGCTAGGCGGTCGCTAGGCGGGCGCGAGGATGCTAGGCGGTCGCTAGGCGGCTAGGCGGTAGCTAGGCGGGCGCCTAGTGGGGTTGGGTCTTTTTTCGTTTCCGAAACCGGAGGACGAAGCTGCCTAAACCGAAGAAAACAAATCGAAGCTTGAGTTGATAGAGAAGAGAAATGGCTTGACTGCGAGTGAAGTTCCGTACTCTGCAAATGCAAGCTTCGTGTTCGTTTGGAATATATTTAATGCGTCTAGCCGCGCGGCTATACTGTTTAAATAAAAATATATTTATAGCGTATAGCCGTTGATATTCAAATCGTCTAGCCGCGTATATATATATATATATATATATATATATATATATATTTCCACCGCCACCTCCAGAGCTCAACAGCTCCGTCAGCGAACAAAAGAAGAAAAAAAACCCCAAGAAAAACGAGTGAACATAGGTAATTGAAAACAAAAGGCTTGCCCAGTATTGTACAAGTAGTGCAAATGAAGACAAATAGTGAACAAAGAAAGAAAATAAGAGAGGAGGGAGAGGGAGAGGAGAGAGAGAGAGAAGCAAAAGAACAAGTAAAAAATACTTCAAGTGATTTTTGGTTATGCTTCAAAAATAAAAATGATAATCGAAAGGAAAAGAAGGAAAAAAGACTTAATTTCTTCAAGAAAAGATGGTTCTTTTGTACCTTCACACCCCTCTTTCTTCTCCTAACTTTGAGCTCCCCCAGCTGACTTCATCTTTGCATGCCTCGAATTATTATTATTGTCAATGTGCTTGCTGTGTATGTTTTTGTTTGGTTCAGAAACATTTTAAACGGACGGCAGCATATAGTAGTTAATATATAGAACTCAGAGTTCTAAGATCACAAACAACCTGTGAATCCACGCATGTTTAGCATTTTGAGCCCTGGACACATGAAACCAGAAGCAGCTGAGAAAGCATAGACTGCAAAAGAAGCCAAAGGACGCTGAAAGAGGCCATTGTTGTTTCAGACTTTCAGTCAATCGTAGTGTTCAAAAAATCGGCCTAGGCGGGCGGCTAGGTGGCTAGGAAGTCGCTAGAAAGGCTCGAGGCGGCTAGGAAGTCGCTAGGAAGGCGCGAGGCTGCTAGGCGGTTGCTAGGCAGTTGCTAGGCGGGCGCCAGGCGGCTAGGCGGTCGCTAGGCGGGCGCGAGGATGCTAGGCGGTCGCTAGGCGGCTAGGCTGCAGCTAGGCGGCCGCCTAGGCGGGTTGGGTCTCTTTTCGTTTCTGAACCCGGAGGACGAAGCCACCGAAACCAAAGAAAACAAATCGAAGCTTGAGTTGATAGAGAAAAGAAATGGCTTGACTGCGAGTGCAAGCTTCGAGTTCGTCTGGAATATATTTCATGTGTATAGCCGCGCGGCTATACTTCTTAAATTAAAATTATATTTATAGCGTATAGCCGGTCGGCTATACTACTTAATAAAAAATATATTTAAAGCGTATGGCCGGTCGGCTAGCCTCTTTATATATATTAAATATATACATTTCTACCGCCACCTCCAGAGCTCAACAGCTCCGTCAGCGAACAAAAGAAGAAAAAACCCCAAGAAAAACGAGTGAAGACAGGTAATTGAAAACAAAAGGCTTGCCCAGTATTGCACAAGTAGTGCAAATGAAGACAAATAATGAACAAAGAAAGAAAATAAGAGGAGAGAGAGAGAGAGAGAGAGAGAGAGAAAGAGAAGCAAAAGAACAAGGAAAAAAGACTTCAAGTAATTTTTGGCTATGCTTCAAAAATCAAAATGACAATCGAAAGGAAAAGAAGGGAAGCTTAACCCTGAACATACTTAATTTCTTCAAGAAAAGATGGTTCTTTTTTACCTTCACACCCCTCTTTCTTCTCCTACCTTTGAGCTCCTCCAGCTGACTTCATATTTGCATGCCATCGAATTATTATTATTGTCAATATTGCATCAAACTTGGTTAATAACATATGTTGAAACTTGAAATAGTCAAATGATAGAGGAGGATAATAAATCACAACGTATGAAAAGGCTCCACTACCGTACCCGGTTGCCAGTCTCCCAATGTCTAGAGAGAAAGCCCCCTTCAGTAGAACATGAATAAGGTTACATATCTGAGGAGAATATTTGCTTGGTAGGTGAAAGCACAGAGAAATTTCAAGAGTAAAATTGGAAGCAAACCTGCAACACAAAAAACACGGGACATTCTCAAGGCCTGCATACAGTTTACAATTTAGATACTGTTAGAGACTGAATATCAATGAACATAAGTAAGGTGTGCCCTATATATTCAACATAGTTTCTCAAATCGTACCCCTTTTCGACCAAAAATGGAGAGAGGCCAAACATTGCACCAAATGTCAAAATGGAGCCAAACATTGAATACTGCACACAGATGCACAGAAGAGAGAGAAGGAAAAGAAAAAAACTTTAGTTGTTCTTTATCATTCCTATTGAAAAGGATCCTATAAAGATCTGAATGCAGAAATGAATTGTTAACTAGAGAATGAAAAGAGAAAAGACACGAAAAGTCGATTTTAAAAGAAACTGATCTGCATGGAGAGTATGCTTTGAGAAAGGCTAATGAGTTACTAACCAATATTCCGGCTACCGCAAAGATGGGAGATGCCTTGAGTGCCAATCCATGAACCTGTTTCACAAAGGCTCTCTTTTTATCTTTTGTTGGATAAACCTAAACCTAAACAGATATTAGGGTCAGCATTTGACGATTACCTTGAGAAAGAATGAAGTGGCAATGAGGACGCAGCCAAGTACCAACCCTGATGCAGAAGCCTGGAATAAATTGGAAAAAGTTATACTTCCCGAGTATGAATAGGAGTTTATCTCAGAAGATTCTTAGAACTAAAAGTGTGCACTAGTTTACCAAAATTAGAGGCTTTCTTCCAGCTTTATCCACTACGGCTGCGCCAAGGCCAGTAACCACAACCTGTGAAACAAAACCACATGAACATAATGGGGAGAAATCAAAAGATTCCAAGAGCTGTCACAGTAGGAATTTAGAACCTACGATTGACTGAAAGTCATCATGCTTCGCTTTGGTTTTAAAATTTTCATGCTCACTAAAAATCTTCTTGTTTGTTTTTGTTCAGCACAAATTATTACAGAAAAATTAGCGACAGAAACTGAGAAACACAAAATCCATGCATGTTTAGCATTTCGAGCCCTGGACACGTGAAACCAGAAGCAGCTGAGAAAGCATAGACTGCAAAAGAAGCCAAAGGACGCTGAAAGAGGCCATTGTTGTTTCAGACTTTCATTCAATCGCAGTGTTCAAAAAATCGGCCTAGGCAGGCGGCTAGGTGGCTAGGCGGTCGCTAGAAGGGCTCAAGGCGGTTAGGATGTCATCAGGAAGGCGCGAGGCTGTCGCTAGGAATGCGCGAGGCTGCTAGGCGGTTGCTAGGCGGTTTCTAGGCTGGCGCGAGGCGGCTAGGCGGTCGCTAGGCGGCTCGAGGATGCTAGGCGGTCGCTAGGCGGCTAGGCGGTAGCTAGGCGGGCGCCTAGGGGGGTTGGGTCTTTTTTCGTTTCCGAACCCGGAGGATGAAGCCGCCGAAACCAAAGAAAACAAATCGAAGGTTGAGTTGATAGAGAAGAGAAATGGCTTGACTGCGAGTGAAGTTCCGTACTCTGCAAGTGCAAGCTTCGTGTTCGTCTGGAATATATTTAATGAGTCTAGCCGCGCGGCTTTACTTTTTAAATAAAAATATATTTAAAGCGTATAGCCGCTGATATTCAAATCGTATAGCCGCGCGGCTAGACTTCTTAAATAAAAAGTATATTTGAAGAGTATAGCCGATCGGATATACTGCTTAAATAAGAAAAATATATTAAAATAGTATAGCCGAACGGCTATACCGCTCAAATAAGAAAAATATATTAATATACTCCTTGAATAAAAAATATATTTAAAGCATATAGCCGCGGATACTTCTTGGATTAAAAATAAATTTAAAGAAAAATTTAAATAGTATACCCATATGCCTTAAATAATAAAAATATACTAGTATAGCCGGGCGGCTATACTATTTAAATATTCGAATATATTTATATATATTTCCACCGCCACCTCCAGAGGTCAACAGCTCCGAAGAATCGAGCTCTCCTCTGCCCCCACCTCCTCCGTCACTGCTCAACAGCCCCAATTCCTTTGGTAACTACTAATTGCAATCAATTTTCTCTCTTTTTTTGCCTAGTTTTGGTATAGTTTTGAATTTTCGATCGTGTTGTCGACCAAGTGTTTGATGTTTTGATTGTGAAGGATTTCTGGACTTCTCTCACCTAGCGCTCGGCCAGCAGAGTTAGGAACTTTCCTCACGTGTAAGGGAACTACGCGGTACATGTCTACATCCCAGCCAGGTTACCAAATTCTCTAATTCTCAGTTCCTCAAGAGATGCTATATATTCCTGTCAAGGTAGTAAATGGCATGCCTTTAGGTATATGATCTTTGAAATGCTCTATCAGATGATCAACGTGGGTTAGGAAATGAGTTAAGGAGTTGAAGATAAGAACCTGGATTTCTGCTGCTTCCTGAGATACGTCAGCATCTTTGCCACGAAGTTTCTGCAGTGCAACTTCAAAATCTCTCTGGCGTCCTGTCTTTGCCTGCACCGATGATGAGTCATAATCTACGTCTTCATTTTATTGAATGTTACCATCAGATAAACAGAAAAAGGAAAGGAGAATTACTTTCTTACCAACCATCTTGGAGACTCAGGAATGAAAAAGAGACCGAAAATGATCACAGCGCAGGGAACAATTCCTGCAATCACCACACAGATGAGCCTCACCACTGTATTAGAGATCATAGGGTATTCTAATTAAAAACACAGGTTGTCTAAGAAATTCACCGATTATTGCTAAAGCCCTCCAACTTACTTCCACCCCAATGATGAAGGAGAGAGACACTCCATCATTAACTATAAAATAAGCAAAAGGAAAAGTTAGTTAAAATTGGAAGCCAGCCTGCGACACAAAAAACACGGGACATTCTCAAAGATAGAAGCAGCAGCAGAAGGCTTTGATGAAATAATGGAGCTTCGTTTCCGGCAGACGATGATGGGCGCAGTTGACTTGTGCTTGGCAAGCAAAGAGTCTGATATTTCAAGCTGATCAGGACGTTTGGGCGGTTGCGTTGGAGGAGGAGGACAAGGTGGAGTTGTGGTGGGTTGTGGTGCATGTACAGCAGCAGCAGGCAATGAATCTGATGGCTCAGATGAAGGTGAAGGGTTGGGGGTGGTCTAGTGATTAGATTATTCTTCTTCATTTCGTTTAAGACAAGGCGTCGAAGTTGGTGAGCAGTCAGCGACTCCAGAGAGGATTTGGGGAAGAAAACGACGGCGTTGTTGAAGAGGAGCAGCAGGTCTCGGTAGAATGAAGGAGCGGAAGACGAATATGTGTCTTTGTGGAGCTCGCTTTGTACTTGTCACTTTCCTGTACATGCAGCCACATCGTCATCATGCTTCGCTTTGGTTTTAAAATTTTCATGCTCACTAAAAATCTTCTTGTTTGTTTTTGTTCAGCACAAATTATTACAGAAAAATTAGTGACAGAAACTGAGAAACACAAAATCCATGCATGTTTAGCATTTTGAGCCCTGGACACATGAAACCAGTAGCAGCTGAGAAAGCATAGACTGCAAAAGAAGCCAAAGGACGCCGAAAGACGCCATTGTTGTTTCAGACTTTCATTCAATCGCAGTGGTAAAAAAATCGGCCTAGGCAGGCGGCTAGGTGGCTAGGCGGTCGCTAGAAGGGCTCAAGGCGGTTAGGATGTCGCTAGGAAGGCGCGAGGCTGTCGCTAGGAATGCGCGAGGCTACTAGGAGGTTGCTAGGCGGTTTCTAGGCTGGCGCGAGGCGGCTAGGCGGTCGCTAGGCGGCTCGAGGATGCTAGGCGGTCGCTAGGCGGCTAGGCGGTAGCTAGGCGGGCGCCTAGGGGGGTTGGGTATTTTTTCGTTTCCGAACCCGGAGGATGAAGCCGCCGAAACCAAAGAAAACAAATCGAAGGTTGAGTTGATAGAGAAGAGAAATGGCTTGACTGCGAGTGAAGTTCCGTACTCTGCAAGTGCAAGCTTCGTGTTCGTCTGGAATATATTTAATGAGTCTAGCCGCGCGGCTATACTTTTTAAATAAAAATATATTTAAAACGTATAGCCGTTGATATTCAAATCGTATAGCCGTGCGGCTAGACTCTTTATATATTTCCACCGCCACCTCCAGAGCTCAACAGCTCCGTCAGCGAACAAAAGAAGAAAAAAACCCCAAGAAAAACGAGTGAACATAGGTAATTGAAAACAAAAGGCTTGCCCAGGATTGTAGAAGTAGTGCAAATGAAGACAAATAATGAACAAAGAAAGAAAATAAGAGAGGAGGGAGAGGGAAAGGAGAGAGAGTGAGAGAAGCAAAAGAACAAGTAAAAAAGACTTCAAGTGATTTTTGGCTATGCTTCAAAAATAAAAATGATAATCGAAAGGAAAAGAAGGAAAAAAGACTTAATTTCTTCAAGAAAAGATGGTTCTTTTGTACCTTCACACCCCTCTTTCTTCTCCTAACTTTGAGCTCCCCCAGCTGACTTCATCTTTGCATGCCTCGAATTATTATTATTGTCAATGTGCTTGCTGTGTATGTTTTTGTTTGGTTCAGAAACATTTTAAACGGACGGCAGCATGTGGGCCCTACTTCTGCTTGCATTGCATCAATAATTACATTGTATCAAGTATAGAGGTTACTAGTTTAATAAAGAAAATTAGTGAGGTAAATCCTAATTAAAGTACCAAACTCTGTTTTTGGAAGGATTAGAACCAGATTAAATTTTTATATCATGGTAAATATTATTCTCTTACAAATTCATAGGAAGCTAATCCAATGATTTAGATGAGTTGATGCTACGTGTAAATCAATGCTCTATTCTTACAGAGCATATGGGTTTGAGAGTTCAAATTTGAAGAGTTGATATAGACTGAGATTGCACAAAGTGAAAAGAAGAAGAAAACTTTGTCCATGCAAGCAAACCAGAAACCAAGTTCACCAACAAAAATTGAAGCAAAACCCAAAGAGCTAGAAATTGAAGTTGATAGAGTCATTGTTATAAGAAAAGTACCCCTACCTTACCTTCAAAAACAGAAGAAAACCAATTGAGCATTACATCAAAGTCTACCAATAGTAAGCTGAAATAAAGAGAAGGATGGTACTAGGAATAAATCAAACGAGAATTAGGCAAAAAGCAGTGATGGAGCCAATTCACCAAGTCTCTTCTTTTGGAGGGACTCGGTAGAATTTTGGGTAGATCCATACCCCTTTGAGTTGACGGCTCTTGGATTCTTCAATACGGTTGCTAGATATGCTCTCATTGTAAACGAAACTATCCTTGCCACCTGACTTCCTTTGTGTCCCACAAGTAGAAAACGAAACATCCTCATGATTTGCCATTGCCAACCCCAGCTTCTTCTTCATGTCAGTGTTCATGAAATAACTCTTGCTAACAAAGAATTTTGGCTGCGGTCCCGTGGGATCCACAGGAGACCATCTGGAAAACCTCCAGCCTACTAGGTTATGATCAGTAAATACGATGAACAACCGGTCTCTATTGTCGAAAAAGTAGAATTCTTGTTCATCAGTCCTGTAAGCAGCGCATTTGATTGTATCGATTCCTGAACAAGGAATGTCGTGTTGGAACCATTCCTTGTCTCCGCGGCGAAGTAAATGCAGCTTCAGTTCATAATCATTGATGCGGTTTATAACACAAACCTCACAAGCCCAGGAAGTTGGAGCACACGAAAATGCTGCAACATGATCAGAGAGCTCCGATAAAGGGCATCCTGGAAGGTCTATTTTTGTTTTGGAGAAGGGCTGAAAGAAGAACATTGATGAAGCACCACCACAATTACGAACAGCTTCACCTTCAAGACCTTGTTTCTTGAACAAAAGAAGCCATCCTTGGTTTGATGCAAGGCAAGTTGTTCCGTCCAGTTCTGGAAGTCTCATGGTGAACTTCTTACCAGTTTCTGTGACCAATTGGCATTTATGATCAGAATCCTCATCATACAGTAGAAACCAAGGTTCAAAGTCTGGTGTGGATTCAATTTTAGCTGAGGCAGTGGAAGAAGCAGAGTTCCAAGCCTTGCAGACGCTCTGGAAACTCAGAAGCTCGATGGGGCCTAGACGCTCTGCTATGTTTGACGCAAGTTTAGGAGGAAGATCAGACCATGGTGGCCATTGCTTCATTTGCATTTCGTCTCCCACAGACATTTTACGAAAGCACTGACCCATGTGATGTATTTTCTTAGCTGCTCCATACAAGCATACATCAAGTTGTTAACTTGATACAGAGACATATATGTTAAAGTCGAAGGAACTAACAAACAAGGAAAAGAATTAGGGTTTAACTAGCAGCGAATATACAACTTGTAAAAATAGGCAACAATCTGTGAGGTCTGCAATTTTCATAATATGTTTGGTTTGGTTTGGTTTGGTTTGGTTTGGTGTTTATATTCATAGTGTATGTATATAGTATTTCTATCATTGGATCAAGAAAAAAAAACAGAGTAAAAAAATACTTCAAATGGTTTAAATTCAAGATACTATAACGAGAATTACAAACTAAAAGGGAGAAAGAATACCTACGTACACGCCAAACAACTTCTTCAAGTTCACAAAAAACCTGCATTATAAAAATAAAAATAAAAACATTAAAACAAAACATTTTATAAATCTGAATGCTTAACCCTGAATATCATAATCATTGCGAGTTTACAAAGAAACATAACACAAAATTAGCCTACAAGAAGAAATCAACTGATTCTAGAGTAAACTCTTGTTTGAAATTAACATTGGAATTGGAAGAAGAGAGAGAAAAATATACTAATACCTCTTTTTTTGGTTACAAAGCAGAGCAAAGGGAGAAGAGATTACTATACAACTCACAGTTGTGAGATCATTAGTTCACAAACAGCCCGTAAAAATATAAAAACATAACTGAAATTAAAAGGATAAAATCATCAAAGTATTCCAGTTTAGCTAGAATTCTTGGGGGGTATTTATGTCCTTTTATTTCAGTTCAAATTAAAAAGCGAAAAGCAAAAACATCAGGGGGGCATTCCGAGAATTGAACTCGGGACCTCTCGCACCCTAAGCGAGAATCATACCACTAGACCAAATGCCCGCACGTTACTGGCTAGCAATTTTATTTAATATAATAGATAGAAATCCGATATTTTCCCTCCAAAAACCCTCGCTAAAATAAAATCCTCAGTCTCTCTGTAATTTTGATTTTTCCCTCCAAACCCTAACAAAAGCCCTCCAAACAAAACCTTCCAAATTCCAATTCAATTTCCCTGCTTATATCATGTCTTCCCCAACACAACTAAAGCAACCAAATTTCAGTCTGTTTGGGTAATGGAAGAGTGATTTGTTCTCTCAAAGATAGAGTGCTTGACCAACCCCTTTGGGCTATGGCTGTTTCTCACACTGAAGCCCAGACCTCTGATTTTCCGTCTCATCCATCTGGTAATGATGATCTTCAAATTTTTGTTTTTTTTGTTTTTTTTTTCTTCTCTTCCTGACGATTCTTCAGGGAAATGGTGTTTTTGATCCGTATGTTGCTGCTTTGATTTGCATTCGAATATTAGGTCTGATTAATTGGAGTTTCTGTTGGCTTCTAATTAGGAAATAAACTCAAATGTGTCGATGAAGATGAGGAGCAGCAGCCACAATTCCAAGACACTGTGCCCTTTGAAGATACTTTTGTGCTCGATAGCCAATCCATGGAGGAAACCCAGTTACTGGATCATTCAGATTTTGGTGACGAGACAGGGACTGGTATGCATGAGTACGAGGAAGAAGTGGTGCTTGACAGTGAGGACGAGGAAGTAAATGGAAGTAGAATATTGAGTGTTAAAGCCCATGTCTTGTCTAATCAAAAGTTCAGTCTTCATCATCTGCAATGCGGTCCAGGTTAGTATATACTATTTGCACTGGAGGTGAAATTGTGAAAATTTTCAACTTTTTATATGGGGCCTTCTTTTTGTGTTGTTTTTGTTCATCACATCACGGTTGGTGTTATATAACTTAATGTTTATGTGGAATATGTGTTAAATGAATCTTAAGTAAGTGATTTTGAGAAAACTTTTCTTTTATTTGAATACTTTGAAGGAGGAAAGGATGAGGGATCTCCGCCGCTTGCAAGGTTAAATTACATTGGCTCTCAGGAACCTGGGGGGGAGTCATCCCAAGCCAATGCACTTGATTTTGTGGATCATTTTGTGTCGTTGAACGATGATCTGGGTGGCTCTCCGGGAATTGATCACAGTAAAACCATCAAGGAGAAATCCCCTCCTGTCTCAAGGACAAAGGGGTCTCAAAGGTTGGCTAGGATGATTAAACTTGAGTCTCAAATTGAGAGGGCAAAAACCTTTGAATGGGTTGATCCTCCTGAGGAGCATAGAGGGGTGTATCTCTTTAACAAGAAGATACAATCATCTATTGATTCTGTAGACTGCCACCAGAGATCTATTGTTGGGCATCAGAAATTCAGGTTTGTTGATGATAACATATGCATTAGCTCGGGTGGTGAGAGCAAAGAGAGGAAAATAATTCAAAGCCTCCATAAGGAAATATCGGAATCTGAAGAGAATATTGAAAATGAAATTGTTAATGATTTGGAAGAACAGTTAGATACAAAATTGACAGGACTGCAGTCGGAAGCTAGTGCCATAGGAACAGATATAGTTGACATGTTTGATGTTGGCTTTAACACACAAATTGCTGCTGAAGCTATGGAGGCCTTAGCATATGGGGATCATCTTGACTGCAATTCTGCTGATGCTTATCAAGGTATGGAGAACACTGCAGATGTTGTTTCAGGAGGTGCTACAAAGAATACAGCACTTTTGGAACATCCTTCTCTTCCAAAGAGTGATTTTCCAAAGATAGGAGCCATTAACATGAATGCAAAGCGAAGAAAGCGTTCCACTAGAACAGTAAAGAGAAGATTTGCTTCATCTCAAAAGCAATCTCAGAGTCGGGAGTCAGATCCTGATTTGGCAGCACAAACAACAGTGAAAAGAAGCAGATTCTTTTCTGAATACTCTAGTAATTCTGCTGATGCCAATGGAAATTTATGTAGACAGTCTCCTAAACCTACCAAGAATAGAAAGCTAGAGAGAGCTACTGGAGAGTCCAACCTTAGAGTGTTGGAGAACAATCTAAGTTCACCCATATCAGCTGGGCGCAGCTTGCTTGGTAAAGGCCAGTCTCAAGGGCATTGTAAGAATTATTCTTCTGTTTCCAACCAGACTAGGCAGTCAAAGTCAGGGGGTAAGTTACTTGGGACTGAGGATGGACCCAACAATCCAGGAGAAAGGATGAACAATGTTATGGAGGATGGTATTATTAAATACAGAAGAAAGAAGAGATGTTTAAATGCTCATCCATCTGAAACAATCAGAGGGGTTGAGGGTGGATCTAACAAGCCAGTAGGAAGGACGAACAATGTTAAGAAGGATGATATTATTACCTACAGGAGAAAGAAGAGAATCAGTGCCAAAGAAAATTGTCCCAAATTATGTGTTTCATCTGAGGGAGATAGAGACATAAACGCCAGTAGTTTAATCTTAGATCTATGGAGCCATCCCAAAGGGAAAAGAACACGTCTCAATGCCCGAGGCAAGTCTCGCAGAACTACTGTCTTCTTTACTCCTTTTTCAATAGTTGATGGAAAGGACAGCTGTTCCCCTTGTGATGAAATGCCAGAATGCTGCAACGATATAAAGGGGAAAGCACAGTCATTATTGTTATATTGTTATCCACCTCAGCATTCTTCTAATAAAGATTCTGACAGAACCTTGCCGGCATTGCAATCTGGTAAGCTAGATAGCACAGATCCTACATCTCTGGTTGATGTAAAAAGCCAAATTTCAGTTGTATTATCTGGTTCAGAACACACTGCTCCATCTAACTCTACCACTGGCATAAACGTGGGATCATCCAAATATCTGTCTCATGATTATTACAGAAAGCCATTCAACAAAAACTTGCCCAAATCATCCCTTTTGAAAGAGCTTATTGGACTAGGTATCCCTGAGTCAATAATGGATTTCACGTGGAAAGATTTGAGAAGGCGAAGAAATATTGCATATGTTCGAGTTCTGTTTAGCCAGCACTTGGACGATGATATCATTAAGCAACAGAAAAAGGTAGATTTTGATTTTGCCTGATTTTGAAACAGCTAGACGATCCACATCTAATGTTTCCTCTTTTCTCCTAATAGGTCATTGCACGACTGGGCCTATCCATTGCATCATGTTCTATTGATGCAACACACTTTGTAGCAGATCAATTTGCGCGTACAAGGAATATGTTGGAATTCATTGCTCTTGGTAAACCAGTGGTGACACATTTGTGGCTTGAGAGTTGTGGGCAAGCAAACTGTTTGATTAGTGAGAAAAGCTACATTCTGAGGGATGCCAAAAAGGAAAAGGAAATTGGCTTTAGCATGCTTGTTTCACTGGATTGCGCAAAAAGGTGTCCGCTTCTAAAGGTAATGTATAAGCTTTTGTTGTTCCTTTGACTTAAAGATAATACTGTTTATCTTTCCTCGGTGTTCTTATATTGTTTCTGCTTAACTAGCAGGGTCGAAAAGTCTTCATCACGCCAAACATAAAACCTGATAGAGAAATGATGATTAGCTTGGTGAAGGCAGTTCAAGGCCAGGTATATGTATTGTCATTACATACATAATTTAGTAGTTAGTATCCATTGTTGATTTCCATGATTTTATTACCCTTTTTATGCATGTTTAAATTTAAATAAATATATGTTCCTCAGCCAGTGGAGAAGGTTCAGATACCTGCAGCAAAGGATAAAAAGAGTTTGGAGGATCTTTTGATTCTTTCTTGTGAAGAAGATCGTGCGATCTGTTTGCCATTACTTGAGAAAGGTAGCGGCATTTCATCCATCCTCTCTTTCATATAAAATCGTCTCAGTCAGTAACTTAGACTCTTGTAAAATATTATGCCTTGCAGGAGCAGCAGTTTACAGTTCAGAACTTGTGCTAAATGGCATAGTTATTCAGAGACTGGAATACAAGAGGTCAGTACTATACTTGTAAAAGAAACATAAGCCTAATTAGTGTGCTTCGGGAAATTAGTTTAAGAAGTCCTTGTTTCTCTATTTCTTCGGCTTTGCAGACATCGGCTCTTCACAGCTCTTGGCAAGAGGAATCGCCCATAGGCCTTAAGCCTTGGGCCCTTTCCGCATAACCAATAACACTCTGTAAAATCATGTAATTAGTGTTGTTTTTGCCATATCGGTTCGGATTACTTCATGTTGTAGTGAACCTGGTATACGGTCCTGGAAATTGTTTGGATGTCGGAAGGATCAATCCTTCTATCATTTTTGTTCTTTTTGCTTTTTTATAAGGAAATGAAAAGGGCTCACGAGACAATCAAAATGAGTTGGGGGAAGAAAAGCTTAAAATCCAACATCATTTACAAGATCTCTATGGCTCTGCCACACCATAAGATCCCGAAACATGTTATCGCAATCGGCCTCACATTAATGACTGCACATTTTTTACAACATGCTCTTACAAATACGAACCATCAAAATAAGGTGTGATTTTCAGAAGGGTTACACGGCCTACAAAATTGTTAAATTGCACAATTTCCACTACTATTACAGGAAGGATCCTCTCACGATCCCACAATTTCCACCTTTAACAACAAATGACAAGCTCCTGGTTCACATCACATGATGAAAGGACATTATACCAAGTTATGGCAGAAGACTTCTCGAACGAAGGTGCTGCAACATCAGTGATATTCCCTGGTTTTCAAGTGATTGCCTGTGATGAGAAATACCATGGAAGTCCAATGAGAAAACCAGGAAGTCCCAATTACATGATACCCCCCACCCATAAAATAGGGTAACATGGTTACTCATACACCATAAAATCACAAAATGCAATAATTGTTGAAAGTTTTTCCTTTATCTTAACAAGTTTAAGTGGTACTCACGTTATACTGGAGAACTTACAAAAATGATCAGAAACTGTTACAACTTTGGATTGGACAGTTGATTTATAAAGAAATTGAAAGCTTCATTTGTGCCCAACAATCTTATGAACCACAGGTCCACAGAATTTTGCACTGCATTTTTGTTAAAACAAGATGCAAATAGATATATTTGGTGCCTACATCATGAACTTACACACTCTTGCAAGATGCCTCAGTTTTCTTAAGTACAGAAATACCACATACCAATTTGACCACATTACTGACTAGAATCAGGAGGTTGGTTATTGGGATTAAAACCATCATAGCCTCCACTTGTTGGTGGTGTTTGATTGGATTGATACATTGGAGGTGGAGCCATAGAAGGGACACCAATAGAAGCATTTGGTGCTGTGCTGCCAGGAACTGTTGGTGGAGGATTCATAGTGGGAGGCCTCATCGGAACATTTAATTGACCAGGCATTCCAGGAGCACCAGGTGGAGCCATCATTGGCATCATGGGTGGAGCAGAGCCATATCCTCCTGTCAACACCAGGAAAAAGCAAAAGATTCAATATAAAACATCATTACTATTATATAGTAAAATTCTTCTGCCAGCAGTAAATTGATGCATGTTTGACCAGTAAAAATTATAATTACAACAATAGGCTAGCAATGGGATCTAGAACACAGCTGCATCACAAGGTAACACACCATTGCAATTGTTCGCAGCCATGGAGAAAGGGATGCTAATTGATTGCATAAAACACAGATCACCAAAGGACAATAATTAAGTGAGCACGAAAAGGCATTCCATTTTCCCTGCCTACAAGTAATGTAAGTCTCATGTCAAGTAGGTAGAAGGACAAGCAATCCATCAAGTCGATAACAACAGAGTTACATATATTAGAAACCCAGAATGAAAAATAACAGAACAATAATGCAAAACATTGGTTTGGTCAAGCCGTGCAAAAAGTATGCACACCAACATGCAAAATACATACACAAATAAATCACAGAAACAGCACTACAATGGAATGCCAACGAGAAACGAAGATATACTGTATTCAAGATTACCTGGAGCTCCAGGCATAGGTCTTGGCAAAACTGGAGGCCTCATCCCTGGGACCATTTGTGCACCTCCAGGCATTTGTGGCATACCAGGTGTTGGTAGAACAGGAAGACGGGGCCGCTGAGCCATTAAATGTTGATTGTAAGCTGCACCAACTTGCCCGTAAGCCGCAGCTTGGCCAAGGTGCTGGCCGAGGTGCTCCTTGATTCTTTGGTCAACCAAACTTTGGGTTTGTTGCTCCTCAAATTTCTGATAGTACAACCTCACGTTTGCCTGAAGTTATGCACAAAATCAGTGAAGGAGAAGGCCAAAAGGAAGTGGTGATTTACTCTAATGACATAGAAACCAACAATACCTTGTGTTTATAACCAGCATTGTGTTGCTTTCTAACTGAAGGCTGAAAAAAATAGGAAAACTACTTGTCAGCAGCAATAGAGAAGATCATGATTTCACTTCCTCATTGCGGACAGTAAGCTTAACATGAAAGATGCCACAATTTTTTTTTAAATGCATGCGTACAGAAAAAGAAAATTAGATATCCCTGAGTTGCAAGTGATGAACACATGGGCAACTAAAAAAGGGTCGATGGCAATAACCCGAAAGTTCCCAACGTCAATCAACTAGCAGCTACGCTATTCTCCCATTTATTTTGACTAAACCCAGAATCATAAACCCCATAATAAAAAATTCCGCTCAATGTGATTAACTCTTTAACTCTAGCAAAAAATTATCAAAAAGCAAATTCAAAGCTCTCGGAAAAAGTAAAATCATACTTGCAAATACAATTCAAAAACAAAAAAGAGGAGAGAGAGAAGTGTTACCGAATCGTGGGTCAAATAAGTGTCACAGTAGTCACAATAATACCTGAAAATTAGAACCATAAACAGATTAAAGATATAAAAAAACTCATGTCATTTGGATTAGAATCGTTAAAGCTATCCAATGAATGAGATAGAGGTGTTACCGAGGCATTGCTCTGAATTCTTCGCAGGAATTGGGGTTGAGAATCGAGAAGTAGTGAAGCTGTACTAATTCAGAAAACCCTAGGGGACAGAAAGAGGAAGAAGCTTCTGGTTACCGGTGAAAGAAAGACGAAGGTTTTTAACTAAGTGGGCTGTGGGCCTCTTTATTTAAACGAAGAAACAAATGGAGTCCGTGTTACAAAACGACTCGTCGTTTTTATCCTACTCAGTGTTTCTTTCCCGTTCGACATAAACAGCGCAAGTCATACCTCCAAAGTCGGAATTCGAACGCAAATCCGCTTCCGGAAACTCTGCTTTCAGGTTCTTTCTACGTCAGACCTTAACTTTTGTTTGATTCCCGAGAAAACTTAGGAAAAGAAAAGAAAAGAAAAATAGAAACAGAATATGTGTTCCAATGTTGTTGTTTTCATGGAAATGGAAGATAAGCTAAGCCAAGTAGTTAAAGGTTTTAGTCAGAAGCTTCAATTTTTCGGATCCTCGGATCCCAAACATTTTAGAATTCTCAGTCCAAAAATAAAATTGTTTGCTTTTTTTTTTTCTTATGACTTTTGTAATGTTTTTAATTGAAATATGCAGCAGACAATGAAAGTGAATGAGAAGCAGAGTTGGGCGGTGTCGCCGTCCGATGTTGTTTATCATTTCGGTACGAGTGGACTTTCCGTTGCGGCTGCCACCGCGGTAACTCATCCTCTAGGTAATTTCTGAAAGCAAAAAAATTTACTCTTTTACTTTTTCAGCTTCCAATATGTTCGATTGCCTGTGTGAATTTTGCACTTGTAATCTTGTGGTGTGTGCTTGAAATTTGTAATCAATTGGTTACTGTCAGATGTGAATGCTAGATGGATAAAATCAGAGCTCATTGTGTGCTTAGTGTTATAGCATAATTTTGTTGTTAATATGGTGATGCATAGCTTGTTGTCTTCTCCAAAGTCTGGTTTGGTTGATCTGCATAAATTTGGGATTGCTCCAAGTGTCATAGACATTATGGTATTAAATTTGGTAAATTTAAAGAATTTTCATTAATGTCAAATTGGGATGCAGATGTTCTCAAAGTCAGGCTGCAAATGCAACTTGTTGGCCAGAAAGGCCCCCTTACTGGAATGGTATTATTCCCCAGCTCTTTTTAGCTCATGCATATCTTCATCCAATTTATCAGAGGAGATTGTGATAGGGTTGATATACAGGGACGATTGTTTCTCCAAACTTTTAAAAACGAAGGGCCAAGATTTTTGTATCTGGGGTTGGCACCAGCATTGACAAGGTCTGTTCTTTATGGGGGTCTCCGTTTAGGCTTGTATGAGCCCTCAAAGTATGCCTGCAATTGGGCTTTTGGGTCGACCAATATTTTTGCGAAGATTGCATCTGCAGGATTTGGCGGTGCAATTGCAACTGCACTGACAAATCCAGTTGAGGTTTTGAAGGTAATGCCACCATGGAGGGCTTAGTTGAACATATTTTCTCTCTTTTTTTTCTCAGACTTCACTTTAAGATCATTTGCTTCCTTCCATTAGGTGCGGTTACAGATGAATCCACACTTGAGTAAAGGTGGGCCAACGGGAGAACTGCGTAGGATGATTTCTGAAGAGGGAGTGAAAGCTCTTTGGAAGGGGGTTGGCCCTGCTATGGCCAGAGCTGCTACGTTGACTGCATCACAACTTGCAACATATGATGAAACCAAGCGGGTCAAGTTCTAAGCATGCTATTTTTCGCTTTGAATATCCACGAAGTAATTTCCACTGTTTCTAAATCATTAATGTTTGATTGGCAGTATGAAAAGAATCCGTCTTCATTTTTCTTTTAATTCTGTCTGACTTTCAGGTTTTGTCCCAACTTCCTATGATTGCAGATATTGATCAGGTTGACATCACTTGAAGAAGGATTCAATCTACATCTCATGTATGTATGACACTATTGTGAACGTTCTTATTGTCTGTCTAAGATCCTTCATTTTTTTCAAGCAAAGTTGATTAACTTGGTGTTCTGAGAACTTGTCACTTTGAAAACAATTTAAAGTGGCTGCCACTAAAACGCATGCAGTTGCACACAGAAGTATAAACTGAAGAAGGATGAAGATTATGTTTATTTGGGACATATAAGTTGATCTGGAAAGTTGTATGACTAACAGAATAGGAGCTTTTTTTTATGAGATTATAAGTTGATCTGGAAAGTCTCATGTTTGTTTGAATTTTCCCATAAACTGGTAATCCCAAGAGCTAGCCTGGTGATTCTCTTCCAGGTTGACCACTATTCTGTATGAGATTATTTATATTGTTCTTGTTTAAAACAGAAGCAGTTCATCTTAGAATGTAATTTGAAAAGTCTGTCAACTTTGTAGTTTTATCAAATATATTGATAAAAACTAACCATATTTTGCACCTTATGAAGCTCAAGCACAGTCGCAGGCATGGCGAGTACCCTCATAACTGCACCAGTGGACATGATAAAAACCCGTCTGATGTTGCAGAAGGAATCTAAAAGGATGGGAAGCTATAAAAATGGATTTCACTGTGCATACCAGGTATACATTACATATTCTCTTCTTTTCTGCTGCAGTTTAATGATGCTTTTTTGGTGTAATTGGGCATGATAACCGGGTCCTATTTTACTTGTCACTGTAGCTTTTATTTTACATAGTTCGTAGTCGACTATGACTTTCATTGAATCTCAGGGTTACCTATCTTTCTTATCTGATGTTCTATAATATTTGGTTTCAGGTTATGCTTACAGAAGGCCCCAAGGGTCTTTACAAGGGGTGAGTTTCTCTTCAGTCCTGAATACTGGTGCTTTTTCGAATACACATCTGGTTCCATACAATCTAGACACACTTATTGCTTACTTGTTGAAAGTTAATATTGCAGAAAAGCTTCAAACTTTCCAATATCTATTAGAATGTATTGGGATTGAGTAACTACAGAGAATTAGTGGTGCCTAATCTCTTAGAATGCCATTGAGTACAATATTAATAAGGTGATAACTTGTCAGGAGCCTTGCAACTTTTGCAAGATTGGGTCCACAAACTACAATTACCTTCATACTGTGTGAGAAGTTGCGCGAGCTTGCTGGATTGAACGCAATCTAGTCTTGGGATCAGCAATCTGCAATCGCCGACTCTTCTGGCTGTAATGAATTCTTTTCAATTGGAAGATAAGCTCACACCACATTCCCACAAATTCCCATTTAGGGGAAGGGGAGTTCTTTTTTACTATACTAGCTTCTTGAGTTTTCTAGGTGGTTTTACAGTAGCATTGCATTATTAAGGAGATCATTATGAATAAGGTCTGCATGTCATTATATCCCTTAGGAAGAGGCTCCAATTATTTTGATCACATTGTTTTGTGTACCGTGATCCCACATTTTTTCGCTCGAAACTGGGTGTATCTAATTGAACAGTGTATCTCCAATAACCCTTGTCCCTTGCATTCGTGTTGTGTAAGAATAAAAGAAATGGTGATTATTGCATCACTCCATGGTTTTTATATTTTTTGTGTAACAAGCTCCGGATACGTGCAAACACTCGAATAATGAAAGGTCATTCATCTATGTTACTTTTCCCTTATCTATCTACTGTTTCGAGTATTTCCAGCAAGGGGACCGCCGCGGGGGGGGGGGGGGGGGGGGGGGGGGGGGGCGCCAAAAAGCTGTTTACAGCAACAAAAAGTGGCCCGGGCAAAGAGTGGGATCCATCGAACTGGGCTGGCTTGAGGGGAAGGCTGACGTCACGTTGACTTCAGCCTTGCGTCCAAATTTTTTTAATCGTCCACGTGGCGCTAGGCTCTCTGATCATATTTTTTTCCAGCAATCCAATAGTAGCCAATTTTTGTACAATAAAAAAATGGAAAAAAAATACCAAAAAATTTATTTTTTTTTTTTTTTTTTTTTTTTTTTTTTTTTTTCTCTTATTTCCATTTTCAACATTTAATTTAAAATGTCTTTATCTTTTTACTTTCATTTATTTTTATATTACTCCATTTACTTAACAAAGGCATTTACTTAAGTTTACAATGTAAATAAGGAAGTACCCCTATTTGGATTCAAATAAAAATACTAGAAAATCAAATTCCCACCAAATCAAAATATGAAAAATCGATTTTAGTGCAAAATACGATTTAGGCTAAAAATGATGGCTCATTAAGTCAATATATACTTCATATTAAAATCCCATAAAATCAAGTTTTCTTATTTGATGTGTAAGGAATAAAAGCCGCCAAAAATTATCTTGAGAAAATGATTATTCCGAAAAACCATTTTTCATACTTAGTCAATATTGCACCTCTGCTAAAAAAATTATGGGTCCTTCATTGTCTATAAATACCAACCAATACTCTTCACTTTTAACACAAAATCCTCATACTTTTTTTTTTCTATAAATACCAACCAATACAACTAATAAAATAAGATACAACTAATAAAATAAAATCTTATCCGAAATGAATAGTATTGACATGTAGGAACTCAAAAATCTTATTCGAAAATATTATCCAAATTAATTGTTTAAGTAAAAAAAGTTGTGAAAAAAACAAAAAAATAAATAGTGTTTGCCATGGCAAAAGGCAACTGCTAGAAACATACTTTGCTGGGGGGCTAGGGCAGCCACTATTCATGTGAATAGTAACTGCCTGCCCTAGGGCTCTCCTTGCCATAGCAAAAAGCAAACTACTGGAAATGCTCTTAAGCAACGAGATTTATATGCAAGCCAGCCAGACCTCATTGTATGCGTTTGATTAGAGATTTAGGTACAACTAACTTGTATTTTGACTTTAAGGAGAATTTTGCCAAATGGGTCCTGGTTCTGTATACTAGTGTAGTCAAAGACGTCAAGTCTTGTAGCTGATCAAATTAATTCAAAACAAAACGTCGGCCCACTTCTAGCATTTTTGGACCCCGGCCCGGGAGATATTCCAGCTTGCCACGTGGCATGCAAGGATTTGGGTCCCACCAGCATGTGAGCTGGTTCTTGGTGGCGTCCAATGAATATATTTCCTAATCATTATCGAATGTTGATTTTAAATAGAAATATATTTTCCTTTTGCCGTCAATAAAATATTTTCTTTGCTTTCTTATTAAAAGGAAACTACCTTTCACTTTGGATTTAAAGTAAAATTTTTTTGGTGGAAAAGATAAATATATTATGATTGGAGAAGTAAACAAAAGCCATGCATGCCTAAGTTTAAGTGAAAGTCAGTGGTTTTGTCTCTGTGCACGCAAGCCCTGCAAGTTGCAACGTTAAACAGTGATGTGGCGCTGTAACTGTCGTTGGACAACCTTGGAGCCTTTTTGAGGAGAAGCAGAAGCAGCAACAGCCTTGGCCTTTGGCGGGACAGTCTGGCGTCCTTATCCTTTCGCCACGGTTTCCACGCTAAACTACTTTCCTACCCTTCCTTCTTTATTTACCATCCTGCCCCTCCTCTCCCCCTACGTACGAAATCCCCACCTGCTTTCTTCTTGAAGACACAGCCTTTCTTGTGAAAACGACCCCATCTCCGGTAGTCAACGACTCAACAAACAAACCCCAACACTTATTTTTAAATTTTTTTAAAATCTAAATTGAAGTTTTTCTTTTAAATAAATATTTTCAAAATGCTATAATGATCATCACAGTTTTTAGAGGCCATTGTAAACACACGATAATTTTTCAATGTGACATTGACGCCACAACTTAACGTGATACATTCATGCTATTACAAGTATTATTTTCATTAATATTATATCATATAATATAAACTTATCATTTATACATATTATAACACGTGAATTAGTATAACGGCAAGACTCAAAAGTTTTCAAACGGGAGATACATGTATCTTATGGCTTATTATATACATGTCTTCCTGTTGCTGCATATGAAGGAGGAATGTTGAGAATGGACTAAATAAATACAAGAAAGGGCCAACACATATACGGGCATACATGGTGTCTTTTCTTTTTGGTCCATTGATAAACTGGTTGGAGTAGCTCGTATTCACATGCCCAAATTGAGCAACTCTTTGACATGCCACCGTTTTATTTAATTTTAAAATGAAAACAGGTAGGAGAACTTTCTTTCACAGTAATTAAGTTTAACACAAATACAGAGTAAGCAAAACTTTGTCCTTTGTCCTTTTTTTTTCGGTTGTCGTTCCTCTTTTGAATATAATTGTTGTCTCCATTGGCACGTTGATGTTGAGTGAGGGCTGTCATGTTTGGGCAGTCTCTCAATTTTTTGGAAAAGTGTCTACATTTTCTTAAAAAACAATATTCCTTCTTTGTGTTTCAACAAGACTAAATTGGGGAAGTTTTTATATTTTTAAAAGTGTAATGAATACACGTAGACTTGGGCCCATCGTAATTTCCTCCGCTGACGACAATGTAAGGGTATCAAGGTAAAATCGTCGACACTCCTTGCGACCAGTGCACGTACAAATTGACCCCAAGGCATTGGTAGATGAACTGGAACCGCTTTCAAGTGGCAGTCCCGCAAATAAATTGGAATCCGAGGGTAACAAAACTATTTTGATAAATAAGTAAATCTATTGAAGATCCAACTTTGCCATCCAGGAGCACCCCAATTTTCCCTTCGACGACTCTACGAAGAAAAAGAAAGGCTCAAAATCCTTTTACACGGAGAGAAACAAGACAGAAAATAAATACAAACGAACCGAGAAGTTAGAGAGAGAGATAGTGAAGTCATTAATGGCGGAGGGGAAGAAAGAGAGAAAGTTGAACAGCGAAGACAGCGTGAAGCTGTTTGTCGGTCAAGTGCCGAAGCACTTGACCGAAGCTCAACTCCTCGCAATGTTCAAAGAGTTCGCTCTAGTAGACGAAGTCAACATCATCAAGGACAAGACGACGCGCGCTTCCAGAGGTTTCAAATCTCTCTCTCTCTCTCTATCTCTTGCATTCTCTCTACTAGTTTGTGATTTGGTTTTGAGTATAGAGTAATGTGCGTTCTTGGTTTGGCTTTTGGTAGAGAATGTGTGTGATTTCCGCGATTTAGAAAATTGTGTTTGAGATTTGTGGCGTTTGAGTTCCTGAATTGGTCTTTCAAACCCTAATTTGTTGCTTCGGTGTTTGTGTGTGTTTGCAGGGTGTTGCTTTGTGATATGTCCGTCGAGGCAGGAGGCAGATAAAGCGGTCGATGCGTGTCATAATAAGAAGACTTTGCCCGGGGTTAGTGCAATTTGTATCTGTTTAAATGGATTGATGTGCTTCTTTTGTTGTTCTAGTTGGTAACTTCAAACTTCGGAGAATGTGATTGGAATCTATCGCGCGCCCCCCCCCCCCCCCCCCCCCCCCCTTCCTTTTTTAAGTATGATTAGAATGATTTTCATACGTCATCCTTAAGCTATCTCTTAATGATTGAACACTTGACGTTATACAGGAAGAGCAGGTGTGTAGTCTTTGACTAGTTGTCGATCACAGATTCACTGTTATACTTTCTTGTGTGTATTTGAACATTTAATAGTAACTAAACCATACCCACTGACTTAATTCGACAATGTTGACACTTGTGACCAAAACGTTCTGCAATTAATATTCCATAGGAAAAGTGAAATGACTTGCTCATAGTAAAGTTCCTTTGTTTTTTTTTTCCTAGTTAAATTACAATAGGCTCCTTTGGCAACAATTTCATCCTTTTTACAGACGGCTAGCCAAATTTCTCTTTAGGTACTTTCTATAGGCAAAATGAACATGTTGCCAATCACATAGCAGGTGCTGTAGGATGTAGTTGATGAACTGTATATTATAATTTGCATATAGTAATGCAGATTATCCTGCCAATATCTTGCAGTGGAAGAGCATGACCATAAATAAGAAATGGGGTATAATGTCCCACAAAATAAGAGCAGAATCTCTTCATATGAACCTATGGAAGTGAAAAATTGGTTCTGCCCCGTCAAAGTTGTAAGGGGCATGATGATTAGTAAGCCATAGTACCCTGAAAAAATTGATGCAATCAAGCCAAGCTTAAATATAGCTGTGGTGTCAATTTACAAAATAGTTAAACAAAGAAGGTTGCATGCTTGTTTCAGAAGATACAAATATCAGTGACCTTAGTTAGATCATGTGAGTAAACTATTGACCATTTGGCCCACATTTTAGGCAATCTTCTTTTGGTACAGTATATCCACTAGAAATCATGATTAGCAGATTGATATTTGGACAACTTGATATAAAATATGTGCTTATGCAACTTGGAATTTTCCTGGCATAGGTCTTAGAGCGACTGGGGGAGCCTATGTAGGCCTTGCTGGACCTTCAAGTGGTTGCCCAGGCAAGATTCTCAGTTGGGCTCTTGCCTATGCCTGCTAATGAATTGTGATTCAACTGATTAATGTGACTTTCCTCATTTGTATTACTTGATGGAAAATATAAGGTCAACCAAAATATGTTTGGCTGTCCGCATTATTTCCCTAGGCCAGTGCTAACTTTTCACAACTTGTGCTTTTAGTGCTCTTGATGTGTTTTGTTATTCATTCTGATTCAAAGCCACCCTGTTCTTTTGTCCAATTCAGGCATCTAGTCCGTTGCAAGTGAAGTATGCTGATGGCGAGTTGGAAAGATTAGGTGTAATATATTTTCATGATTTAATTACTGATGTTTCCTATGAAGTTTTGTTGAACCAATGCTTATTGTATTTTCTTTCATCCCATTTATTTGTTTATTATTATATGGACCCTGATTACTAATCTTCGCCTTCCCCTTCAATCCAGAACACAAGCTCTTTGTTGGTATGCTTCCAAAGAATGTTTCCGAAGTTGAAGTTTCTACTCTTTTCTCTAAATATGGAACAGTAAAGGACCTGCAGATATTAAGAGGCTCTCAGCAAACGAGCAAAGGTAACTCCCCCTCCAAGGGTTGGTTTATTGCTAGGGAACCTCTAAAATATACTGGTCCTCAACTAGTAAATGAATTTACCATGTCTTTCTCTTTCTGGCAGGCTGTGCATTCTTAAAGTATGAGACAAAAGAACAAGCTCTTTCTGCCCTGGAAGCCATGAATGGAAAGTATAAAATGGAGGTTTGTGTCTAATACATGCTTTGGTGGCTGGAAATGTATATTGAAATTTTTTTATGTAATTCGTATTGGATGCTCTGTTTTCTATTGCTGGCTGGCTTCCCCCCTTCTAAATATTTACATAGACACCCGCATTGGCAGAAACATATATTCTTTTCTGATTGAGTGGACAATAATGATGAATAATGAGTCATCAATTGAAGAGTTTGTCTTATTATCAAAGTTAATTAAAAGGCTTGTATGCGTACTAATTGACTGATTGAGTTGAATTTTATCATTGACATTTGCTTATGGATAATGACAACTTGGTGTATGGATGTATTGGTACAATTCTATAATCCACTCTTTTGGTTTGCGTTCTTTGGGTTCAAGTGTTCCTTTAGTTGTCAAGTGGGCAGACACAGAAAAAGAAAGGCTAAGTTAATTAAAAGGCTTGCATGCTTACTAATTGACTGGTTGAGTTGAATTTATCATTTTGAACGTTTGCTTATGGATAATGACGACTTGGTAGTATGGATGTATTGGTACAATGCTCTATAATCCACTCTTATGGCTTGTGTTCTTAGGGTTCAAGTGTTCCTTTAGTTGTCAAGTGGGCAGACACAGAAAAAGAAAGGCTAGCTCGGAGAGCTCAGAAAGCTCATTCCCAGGCTGTTAACGTGCCAAATGCTGATTCACAACATCCTTCGTTATTTGGAGCCTTACCTATGGGTTATGTTCCCTCATATAATGGTTATGGTTATCAGGTCAGTCTCATGTCTCTGTAAACTTTTATTTTTTCATGGTAAGAAGAAAGCATAAAGCATAACCATTAGCACGTTTGGAGCTTTCTTTGGCATTATGCCCTAACCTATATATGAACTCCTAACTTAATGTCTTGATATTCTGGTTTTTGGTTATATTGTCTTATATAGTAATGGAGTAATGTCATTTCATTTCCTCTGTAGGCTCCTGGGGCATATGGACTCATGCAATACCGCCTACCTGGACTGCAGAACCAACCAGGTTTCCATAATATGATACGCCCTGTAAACCAAGGAAATGCTTTGCATGGTATCAGGCCTCGCAATATCGCCCCCAGAAATTTTGCAATGCCTCCTGCAAGTTATGTGGGCTCTGCTTATCCTGCAGTTCCAGGTCTTCAGCATCCGATGATGTATCCTGGAGGAATGATGAGTCACCGGCCATTGAGTTCACCTGGTTCAGTGTCACCTACAGTTGTGAACAGTAACCCAGCAACATCCTCAGGCACCAGTAGAAGTTCTGGGGTTCAGGTTGAAGGTTGTTATCTATACATGTATTATTGAGTTTTTTCAAATTAAAAATAAAGTTCTTGGTGGTGGTATTTTGTCAATTACTCTTATCTTCTCTGACTTAGGTCCACCTGGTGCTAATTTATTTATCTATCACATACCTCAAGAATTTGGAGATCAAGACCTTGCCAATGCTTTTCAAGCATTTGGTAGGGTTTTGAGTGCCAAGGTTTTTGTTGATAAAGCAACCGGCGTCAGCAAATGTTTTGGTGAGAATATTCTCTAGTTACTTGTGATTGTCATGTGAGCTATGTGGAAATCTTTACGTCTAATCAGTCTCAATTTTCAGGATTTGTAAGTTATGATTTACCAGAGTCTGCTCAATCTGCTATCAGTATGATGAATGGATACCAATTAGGTGGTAAGAAATTAAAGGTTCAGCTTAAGAGAGACAACAAACAGAACAAACCATATTGATTTGGAGGTGAGTGATGCAAGGACAAAATTTCTCCGGCTGCATGCAAACCGAATGTATGGGAGTCAACTCAACTTCATCAACATTGTAGGGTGGATTTAGCTGATCTGCAATTATATGGGTTATTCCATCCTACGTGTAACTTCCTCAAGGGAATGAAAGTCCTGAAACTTGTAATTCATGGTGCATACTGTGCCAATACAATCTGTAATTTGTGAATCATGAAAGTTCATTTAGACAGTAACTATCAATTTATTGATTCTTCCCTCATGAACATCTGGTTGTATAATTTTGTTGAATCATTCATGATAATTGATCCCCGATTCTTTTGTTTCCAGAGTTCAAAGACATTATTTCATATTTCTATTTATTTCTTGGTTAGGCACTTGTTGTATCCTGACTTATTTAACTATAAAGCAGGCTATCCCTTCTGCATTCTTGTTGTAAGAGTTTGTTTTCCAAATTATGTGGCATATCTGGAAGTTGAAGATATTAAGTAGCTAAACAACCATTCTTTTAGTAGAAAAGGTGCGTTGTTGTATAGGCGTTCCAGAATTCATGTTAGATAAAGTGGTTGTCTATACCATTGTGAAAATCATAATTTGAATGTTGTGCATCTGATTTATATTTTAATGCTAGTCCATATTTTATCCTCTCTTGTTCATTATCTATATTTAATAATTTTTGCCATTTAGGTTGAATTTGAATTTAGTTTTGTTGCCTACCAATTAATATGTACTTGTTTCTCTTTATGTTAAATCTTTCGTGGAGTTTACTGATGAGACTGTTGTGATTCAAGGTGTTGGTCTTTTCCAAATTAGCATCCAGCATGCTGATTTTCTCTGTTTTGTAATGTTGGAGATGTGTTCCCTGGGCTCATTTGTTTTGACATGTAGGAGCACTGGATTGAAGGTTCAGCATGTTTGTATGTATTCTTAGCTGTTGTTCATCAGTACTAGACTGCATAAACATTGCTGATGTTGGAGGGTAAACGTAGAGTCTGCATCTCGGGTCTCAGTTGTTGCTTCTTTGCTATGAACTGTCAAATTATCAGGTGAGAATGAGCCATATTTTAGTTGCAGATGCAAGAATTTAAAGCACCATTGTTGCGGTCCAGATTGTAATTGATGAAGGTATGATGCCATTAACCTTAGAAACCTCAATAATTCCTTTTGGTGCACTTGATGAGAATTTATTATTTGTTTTAAGCAGAACTCTCTCTCTCTCTCTCTCCCTCTCTCTCTCACACACACACACATATTTATTCCTGTAGTACCCTTTTATGTACATTCTGGGCTTGTTTGGTAGGGAGGACTAGACTAAACTAGAAAAATACCTACATTTCATGTGCATCGAAGGCATAATATGGATATGTTGCCTAACTTTGAGAAGAATGGGGACTCTCTATAAGAGGTTGATGACTAAAACTTATCCCCCCTAATCCCCTTGAAAATGGTGGGATTATGAGGGATAAGTTTTAGTCATCAACCTCTTATGAATAGTCCTCCTTCATTCTCCAAGTTAGACAACAATATCCATATTATGCCTTGATTGCACATGAAATGTAAGCATTTTACTAGTTTAGTCTAGTCCAGTCCAATCTAGTCCTCCCTAAGAAACAAGGCCTCTGTATCTTGATATAAGCAGTCAAGAGTTTGGCACTTTTGAACAAGTTCAAAATTTGACTTGTGTGTATGTGTGTTGGTCACATGAACATGTAATAGCTGGTGGTGGTTTTCTTTGGTGGATGACAAGTGTCTTCACCTGTGATAAAATCCCTTGCTTTTGAAATGGATGAGATTTTGTGGCTATCATGGAGAGCATTCTGTGAGTTGACCTAGTTAAAATAACTTGTAATGGAGCATATTAAGCTGAAGACTTCGAAAAAAAATGAGAAATGCAGAAACTTAGACCACTTGGATTGAGTAATGAGTAGGGTTCAGGATGACCTAAGTCGAAGAATCTGGATTGACATTGTTGTCCTTCATGTGAATGTAATTTTTATTTTTGATATTACGTGGATTTTAATAATTACGACATATTTCATGATCATCATCGGGTATGCTTTATGTTCAGATATAATCTAGTTTATTAAGAAAGTATTTATATAGTCGATGCTGGTAGTTATTCGTGCATATTATCATCATTATGACATTGGTATGCGTATAAAGCAGCCGGCCATAATTATTTCATGGTCATTTTGGGTATGTTTTATGTTCTAATCTAATCTAGTCTATTTTATACAACTGGATTCTTCAGCTGTAATCAGGTATCCACGTCTAGTTTTGAACACTAGTAGGCTCATAAATTTCCTGACGTGATATCATTCTTGGATGTTGAGCACTGTTTCTCTTCTTCTAGATTTGGTAATATTCTACCCCCTTCTTTTGGATCTTTTATTGAAATTTTGAAATGACATGTATGGAGGTCTGTTAAATAGATAATTTGTTTGTGTGAGTGCTGGTTGTTGGTTAGACTGGTAGGACAATTTCTGAATGTTCTTTATCTGTAGTTTGATCTGTGCAGCGAGCAAAGCTTCGTGATGCTTCAGCTGGATGCGGCATCCTTCCAGCCTTTTTGGCTTAATGATCGATGAATCTCTGAGGCCCAACAATGAAGTCTCAGATATCAGTCATGGGTGCTTCTTTGTTCGTCCCAATGTTTCAATTTCCAGTCCTCTTGTAAGCACAAGTTAATATATTTTGATGCTCTTTTGTTTCGTTTTGTTGTAATTGACTTGACCTTTTTACCCTGTGGGAGTGAGGTTTATCACGTAATTCTTCTTAAGTGTGCATCTTTAAGCTTCATTCTATATAGTGGAGACTTGGAATTAATGAAGTCGGATATGATATTATCTCTACATATTTATTTTGGGATGTTCGGATGGGATATTATCTCTACATAGTGGAGACTTGTAATGTGGCTGTTAAGTTTTCGTTTTGATCATCGGAATATTGGGATCCCACAGGGATCTTGTAGGGTTGACAGTTTCTGAATGCTGTTAAGCAGAGAATGAAGAAAGAATACACAGATTGACCTTAACAAACACGAGCTTATCCAAATTTCATGTCGGGGACAACATACTGACAGTTGCACACAATTTCAGACTGGCTGAATCAAGCTCCCTAAGATAAACTAACAGAGTTACACACAGATCACCACTAACATGGTAGTGAGACTAAACTTCTGACTAAAGCACATTCTAGTGGAATGGTAAGGTTAGAGATCCTATTCTACTACAAACCAAACATAAGTTCAGCCCAAAGCTGAACCTGACTACTCACAAGTCACAAACAACTACAAAGCAAGCATTGCATTCCCAAGCTTGCTTGGTTCAACTAAATCCCCTCACAAACCATCATACCATTTACAGAAGTAAACAAGACCGTTGACATAAAACCAAAATCCGCTGAGAAAGCAATGTTCAAATCACCCAGAAGATGAAATGTTGGTCAAACGGATCCGTTAGATGCAATCGAGGGCTCCACAAATTTGTCCACCATCTCCATTTCATCCATGTTAGCACAGGCTATTGATACAGGGATCTCTGTATCCATGTCCTGTTCCACAGCTACAACACATTTTCCTGAGTCTTCTTCCCCGTCACTTGTACTAAAACCAGAATTCCCATTCTTGCTATCAGAAAATGATGTGCCAGACTCCCCGTTGAAGCCAGAGCAGCTTTGAGGACTCGGACAATCCCCATCTAACTGACCTGTTGGTTCATCCATTATTTCCAAACTACTTGTGGCAGTTTTAATCTCATCCAGTTGTCTCAAGAAGCATTCTTCTATCTCACTTAGTGACCGGACTTCATCTCGGTCTTCGCTTCTGTGGCTGCTGTGGGGATTCTCATCATAATCTGATGTTGGTCCACTCAACTCAGAGCTACTTTCCATCTCCATCTCGTGCTGGCTATCAAAGTCTTCGTCTGTTTGATGATCAGATGAACGAGATGACATGGGCGAATACGAACCAGTATCAGTCTCTTCACGTTCTCTTAGTGTTTTAATAATCAGGGTCTTAAGCAAATTCATTACTTGAACAGCATGCATCAAGGCCGTCAGAGGATCAGACATCTGGTATGGAAAAGAGTTGCAAAACGAAATAATCTGTCAATCTTTACTATTTAGCTATATTAGGCAAGAGAATGACCTCTTTTCTCCTGTTTTAGATTTACCTGAGTCATGTTTGGAGCGAACACCATAGCGATATTTCTCGGATTCATTTTGTTGAATTCTTCCTCTTCAACAACATCAGCCATCAGATCAATAGCCCAATTGAGTAATGCAGCCTCAGTTGGCTTTAGCTGCTTCACAAGCTCAACGCAGTCCTCTTCTGTTTCGCATTGAAGTACTTGTTGAGGTGATAGTCCATCCAGCACTCCCGAAGGAAGCTCTCGAAACCAGGCCTTAATTAGACCTGACAAACAATGGACATCAATGTCATCTGGCACCATACCCCTGTTCAATTGGTTTCTCACAATCTCCTCTTGGCTGTTCTCCGGGTTTATACGGAATATTCCTTCTGCCTGCAAAACTTCCAAAGGGACTAGTAAGAAGACTGATACAGAAACAAGAAAAACCCCAAAAAGATATATAAACAAAAACTTGCACCTTCAATCCTCCTTGTGAGTATAACCGCTCCTGCATTAGCAAGAGAATGGTAGGGACACTGTTCCCTTTTGAATCAAAAGACAACTGCATTGACTCTACTGAGACGCCAAACACACTTGCACTGTGAAAAGTAGATGAGTTACAACAAGTTAGACTATGTAAAAATGAACTTCTACCTTCCTTTGTTAGCTCAATTAGAACATCTACATTATAAGGCACAATCTCAGCAACCAAAAATGTATGGACAAGCAATTGCCCCAAGTAAAGAACTGTGTGTTTCCCCAACTTCAAAATCCCACATCAGGAGCTTAAAGTTAAAGAGCTAAATCAGCTCAAATGCAGTTGAGTCTCAGAAAGCAACATTTAAAAAACAGCCTAATTCAGAACAGTTTTTCCATTTCCAAGCATTATTCTAAGCAAAACCCAAGTCAAATTTGACAAATCTAAGAGTGCCCAGAAAGCAAAAACAAGAGCTTTGGTTACCTAGCACTGGGAACTCGACCAGGGATCTCAACCTCGAACTCAACTGGAAGACCCAGAAAGCCATTGAAGCGGTCGAAGGTGACATGAGTGATGTGCTTGACATTTGTGGGCCACCCGATGTCCAAGTGATGGACGGCAGAGATCAGTTCTTCACCTCGCTCAACATGGCAGGCCACCATGGATTTCCTTATAGCAGCCAAGAGAAAGGCTACCAGAGAGAGCTGGTTCTGCTCTTCCAGCTCTGAGCTCTTTGTTGCCTTGGCTCCTCCTTTCACATTCCCACCACACCCACCTCCCCTTGTCACCATTACAAGCCCTGTCATCTTTACCTCTGTCTTTCTAGTCTATCTCTTCTCTAGAATGAGTGAGTGTTGGCAGTGAAGAGAGAGAGAGAGACAGAGAGAGACAGAGAGAGAGAGTTCAAATATCAGCATGGGAGGGGTTTAAATTTGTGAGGTTTTGTTTCAAGCTCAAACGGCCACCCGTTTCAAATTTTACTTTATCCACCATCTTGGGTAATCTGACCTTCTAGTTGATGGTAATAACAAAGGTGCCATTCTACGAGTGGCTCCAGAATCCTAGACTTGTGTTTTATTTATGTATAATACTTACATCAATTAAAAAACCTTACGGTAATTGGATGAAACAGGGTCTATTATTGTATTTTAAGCAACGAAACAAAAGAGAATTATTAGTAAAGTGAAATTATGAAATGACCTTCCATCAGCCATCAGCCATCAGAAATCAGGTGGAATTCATAATGCTCATTGGAATTTGGGGACAAAGCAAATTCTTCTTCGCCTTCTTCTTCTTTCTTTCTTCCCTTTTTGCTTTCTTTCTTAGGGGAAACAAAAAAATAAAACAATTTGAATTCGTGGGATATGACCGTTGAAGATGATGATTGTGTTTGGTTCCTCAACTCGAATATAGCACAAAACTGTGAGATAATGGAAGGAAATAAATTGGATCAAATGTCTGTGATATTGCATTAGGCATATCATCATTTTCTGTATTTGCCAAAATATTTGTCATTTTGTCTTGGAATTGGAACACCTACTCTATGTTTTCTGAGAATTTTTGCATGTTTTAGATCCACGTCCACCAATGCCATTGTAAATAAGCTCGTCCTGTTTTTGACACATACACATGAAAACTCTAGTTTGAAATTGAATGGTTCCATCCAATCCAAGTTACCATTACTATGAAGAGGAGAGACTGTATAGAGGAGCGCACCAGATTGAATCTTTGTTGCATTCGATTCGACATTGTTCAGACTAAATGGGCCCCACCGCCCTGAGATGAGAATTATTCGAATTTCAAAACTTTAGATCCCGTTACCAACTCATGATTTTCTTTTAATCCCTTCTTTTATTTATATATACTTTTTTTTTGGGTCCGTCAATTGCCATTCATTTCATCCTGTTGTACTTTTTTTCTCTCTTTCTGGACAAGTCCTTTTTGTACTTAATTACAGGACACAGAGACACAGCCAGTGTTCTTTCTTTTTCTCAACGGCAATGAACTCATTTTATTACATGTGTAATGTAACACACCTGGTGTATTGTATTGTATTGTAATTTGTATTTATGTGAATGTACGCGAACCGTACATGATGATACGTATGACTACTCTATTGGCAGGTTTACCATGTACAAGTATTATATTTATTTATTTTTTGATTGTTGACTTGCACAATGAGAAATATGAACTCTCAAGCATTTGAGTCATTAATTGCCTAAAATCATATATATATATATATATAAGAAACTCCAACTTGGTGGTCAGTCAACTATTTTTTTCCAATGATCCAAATCATCTATTTTTTAGGTCTTCATTCATAGATCATCCTTACAAAAAATTAGACAAATCGGAAACCGTTTCGACATCCAATTGTGTCTTACAAAATCAATGAACACGGTGCTTCAAGAAAGTACTAAAATTTCAATAACTCAATTGAGTGGTCAAATGATGTCGGATTCAAGTGATTTTTTGTTGAGATGATCTTTGAATGAGTATCTACAAAAGAGACGGTTTGGATTAGTGAAATACAATCCAGAGTGGGGCCTACAAGGGGTGTCCCTCAAATAAGCTTAGTTAAAGGATCCCTCAATGGAAGCTCTCTGTATATATATATATATATATAAATGTACTAAGTAGTCACTCAGAAATACTTGTCTCATAAAGAAAAATGAATGACAAAATCAATTTGTTTATATATATATATATATATATATATATATGATGGACCGTAGAGAGTCATGTGTTGTTGTTTTCATAAATGATTATTGACCTATTCAGAATCACTTTGAAAGGAACCCTCGATATTGCAATGAATGAGTTAGAACTCCAAATTTATATATAGCAAGTTGTATTAATTTGTATGATACTTACCAGTTGGATTTTTTTAATTGCAATTAATATGATAATTAATTTAAGGGTGTGCTGCCACTGCCAGCCACACAAAAGTCAAGCTTTGAGCAAGTTTTGGACCAGAAAAGAAAGAAAATGACAAATTAAAATGTATGCCACCCACCCAGCAAATTCCTCATTTTTGATTGAATATTGTCTCCCTCTCCATCTATATTCCTGTGTTTGAAAGCTGTGAAGAGGCCACACCGTAAAATTCACGTTTCAAATATATATTAGGCTATGACCAAGTACAATAAGGACAGCTCAGCTCCATCCAGTGGACCTTTTCAAACATTTGGTGCCCTCCCCATCTGCACTGCAAGTCAGCCTGCAATCTTCAAGGAACATTTTGATGCCCCACACCACACGATTACATATATTTTTTTTTATCTGATTCATCAACACTAACAAACAAACCAGATTTCTAATATATAAACAGCACAACACATAAGACCAAGCAAGCAAGCACTAGTTGAATTGAACCTTAATTTGAGTGCATGCAGATGTCGAGGCCAACAATTATCTATACTAATTAATTCCCAGTCAAATAAGCAAGTTAATTAATTTCGATCACAAAATATATATATAATTATTCTCTTATTCGGATGTCTGCATGTTATTATCATGCGGATACTATTATAAATATGTAGAAAAATAAGGAAGTATAGTACAAAATACATGACATTCGTATGATAATAAAATCCAAATGTCTACACGAGAATTTCTGTATATGCATATTAAGATAGTTTTTTGGACCGCACGGCATATGGACAATCTTTTCTTGCGGGAAGAAAATGGAGAAAAAAAAGGGGTGTGTACTTTTCTTGAACAAGTTTGAACGACTCTTTTTCTTCTTCTTTTTCAAGAATTAGTGGCTAAACATCAGAACATTTTATTCCTTTATCTTGATTGACACTTTTGTTATGTTGGAAGTGTTGTGTTGGTCATCAGTACTAATTATGAGGCTAAACACTTTTTTTTCTTGGTCGACTTTCCTTGAAATTCATGCAGCACGCCGGCCAAATCCAAATTAACAAGAAGAGTTTAAACTAAAACTCTTTTCTGAAATCTGCATAAATAAAAATAAATAAATAAACACTTTGAGAAAACATCACGTACGTTATCTAGTACATAGTTTTATTAAACTAGTTTTCCATTAAATTACACAATATTTTTTTACTATTTCAAGTCTTCTTCTTTCGGTCGTTTTTGAATATTTTGTCAACTAAAAACTGTCAGCTAGACAAGTCTCTGTCTAGGAACAGGTATACTTTTGACTAACAATTTCAGTCATTCATTCCATATTTTTCAGAGACTTATTACTTGTATTTTTTTTTAAGTACAAAGGTAAAAAGGAAGCTTCGGTAGCCCTCACAAACAGTAAAAAGCAAATGCAAGATAAACATGAGCCAACAAATTCTCATGGGGGCCAGGCATGGAGCAAAGCAAGTAAATCAAGTAATCAAGTTGAGATTAGGCAAAGCCATGTGCCAGATACGTGGCAGCACATGGGATGGGATAGATATGAACTGCCCTACAAGTTTTGCCCATCCATGTAAAACCATTATGTGCTTTTTCCTTCTAGAAGATTAGGTTGATTTGATCGATCGGCCATTTATAGCATAACATGGCTAGCTTATTAGTTGTATTGTATTGCCTTCCTTCTAGAAGCCAGCGAGCCAGCCACATGTTTCATTATAAATACATGTCCATTTCAACGGGTTCCCTTTTCCATAATTTTTCTATCATGCCCATAATTTTGATCAATTCAGATATTTTAGTAATATTATTTTGAGAGGAGACTGACCTGACGAGGGAAGATATATAGGAGGAGGCCCCCACGACTTTTTTAAGTGTCAAACAAGACAGCCTGCCTGCGACGTCGCTTACTATTCCTCTTTATTTAGGCCTGCCTATTTTTTGCAGCCTTAAAAAGAGAATTTGATTTTTGTGTGTTTGAAATGATTCGTTCATGGTTTCCTATGGAGGCAGACATGGACGTGCAGAAGCAGAAGAATGCTATGCCTAAGGCTGTGGATTTGTCTTCTTTCTTTCTCTTTGAAGCCAGTGGTGATTCTGAGGCTGATCAGAATTACCCTGATCCCAGTTTAGCCATGGCTGAAGATGATGCTCAATCATGTAGCTATGATTCAACTGATATTCCTGATGCTGATGATGATGAGCTACATGATATTGATGATCAGGGTGATTCTGTTGATCAAGCATATAGTCATGGCGATGATGATGACGACGAGGACGAGGAAGAAGAAGATGAAGAAGAAGAATGTTCATCAGTTTATCATCAAAGATGGGGTGGTGGTGAACATAATAATATTGGGATGCCATTGCCATTAATGGGGCACCAGCTGAAATCAACTGTCTCTGTTGATTCAACTAAAGAGTATGAGTTGTTGAATGAGGTGGAGAAGAGCAGGCTATTCTGGGAAACTTGCTTGGCATCATAAGACTGGCTGGCTCCATCTTTTTTTCCTGAGTCATCAATTTTCAGGTTGTTTCTCTTTTTCTTAAAGAGGTGGGGGAAAAAATTAAGCCTGTATTTAAAAAAAAAAAGGCAGGTTGGGAAATTAGAAGGGGTTTGTGTTAAACAGTTCTGTATTTTAAGTGATATATAGAAATTGTATATAACAGATTCAGATGATCATATCATTGTTCTCATCATTTTTCACTATCTGCACACCATGTATCATATATTTCTTTCCAGTTGTATTAGATTGGCATTAGAGTTAGAATTATAGGTTCTGGAATATTACCCAACTTTCTTTCTGGTATTACTGTTAGGGGGAGAGGTGGGAATTGTTAATTATATCAGCACAAATAGCTCTTGGTTTATAACCAGGAAATTGTCCCACTCATAATATATGTGGATATATATTCACACAGACAAACATATTTAAACTTAGAAAATTGAACACAGAAGAGTAGGCATTAGTGCTGCACTATGTGACACTGTTGGCAATGCGCTTTGGATTCTGATGGATATCTCTCTATGGGGTATGTATGCATGTCTTTAGAGTGACTAGACCAATACAGTGGTTTCAAAAAGAAACATGCAGCTAAAAGCAGTGGTTCTTGATGAGATTGAGTTCCACTTTCTTCACAGTAAAGTATGGTTTAAGGTTTAGTGGTAGATACAGCAGTTGATCAACAAAACTCGTTCATAAGAAAAGCTAACATATTCTTATACTCTATAGGAATCTCCTCTGCAACACAATATGTTAAATTTTCATAAATAGGTAAGAATTAGAATACAATCAGGTCGCTTCACTAAATTTCTTCGAATTCGAGTGATATATATTATAACAAGCAGAATCTCAGGCTTTCTATGATTGCACCAAGAAGAATTATCATAAGCAAGCATAAGTGAGGACTAGACTTATGACTACAAATCATTTGAAATGAAATGTCAAAGTTAGAGGTCCTATTCTATTACAAATCAAGCATAGGTTCAGCCCAAAGCTGAACCCTGACTTGCTCACAAGTCACAATCAACCACAACCAAGCATTCCCAAGCTTGGTTCAACTAAATCAACTCACAAGCATCATATAATTAATATACAGAAGAAACATGACTGGAAAGCAAACTAAATCCATCTCCAGAGAAGAAATGCCCATCAGACAGGTCCAGTTGATGCAAACAAATGTATAGGTGAAACAGGCTCCATTTATCTGTCCACCATCTCCATTTCCTTCATTTTTGAACATGATACTGATGAAGAGCTCTTTATATGTTTCCCAGAGTCTTCCCCATCACTTGTACTCAGGCAACTTTGAGGACTTAGAGACTCCCCATGCAACTCCCCTGTTGATTGATCCAAGCTATTTGTGACAGCTTTATTCTCACCCAAATGTCTTAAGAAGCATGCTTCTATCTCGCTTAGCGACGGGACTTCGTCTTCGTCTTCGTCTTCACTGCTGCAGCTGGAGTGGCCATTTTCATCAAAGTCTGATGCCGGTCCCCCTAATTCAGATCTGGTATCCATTTCTTGCTGACTATCAAAGTCTTCATCTGTTTGATGATCAGATGAACTAGATGACATTGGTGAATATCCACCAGTTTCATCATTCTCTTCCCGTTCTCTCAGTGTTTTCATAATCAGGGTCTTAAGCAAATTCATTACTTGAACCGCATGCATCAAAGCCGTCAGAGGATCAGACATCTGGTAGGGAAAGAATTACAAAAGGAATTAATTAACCCATCAATTTTAACCATTTACCAATCAATACCAGGCAAAAAAGATTACCTGAGTCATGTTTGGAGCAAAAACCATAGCGATATTTCTTGCATTCATTTTGTTGAATTCTTCTTCCTCAACAACATCAGCCATCAGATTTATAGCCCAATTGAGTAACGCGGTCTCAGTTGGCTTTAACTGCTTCACAAGCTCAACAGATTCCTCTTCTGTGTTACATTGAAGAACTTGTTCAGGGGATAGTCCATCTAGCACTCCGGAAGGAAGTTCTCGAAACCAGGCTTTGATTAGGCCTGCCAGACAATGGACATCAATGTCATCAGGTACAATGCCCCTATTCAATTGGCTTCTCACAAGCTCTTCATGGCTGTTCTCTGGGTTGATACGGAATATTCCTTCTGCCTGCCAAACATCCAAAGGGGGCTAGTAAGAAGACTGATAAGGAAAAAAATAAGTAAACTGAGAAGAGAAATTCACAAATGCAAACAAAAGATGGTATTGTTATCTCACAAAACTTTGTACCTTCAGTCCTTCTTGTGAGTATAATCGCTCCTGCAGTAGCAAGAGAATGATAGGGACACTGTTCCCTTTTGAATCAAAAGACAGCTGCATTGACTCTGCTGAGACGCCAAACACGCTTGCACTATAAAATTAGATGATTTACAAGTTAGAACTATGCCTTTTTGAAGATTCAATTGTAACTACAATTTCTCAGCAACCAAACAAGTAGGCAAATAGGGATTTGCCTAATACAGAATTGTATGCTAAAACCCCAAATCAGAAGCTTAAGAGCTAAATCAGCTCAAAATGCAGGTCACCCTCATAAATCCACACTCATCAAGCAACTTACTTTAACTGTCAAAGATTTAAAAGCAGCCTAAAGAACCACCATTCAAGCATTCTAAGCGCAACCCAAATCAAATTCCATAAATCTAAGAGTGCCCAGAAAACAAAAACAAGAGCTTTGGTTACCTAGCACTGGGAACTCGACCAGGGACCTCAACCTCGAACTCAACAGGAAGACCCAGAAACCCGTTGAAGCGATCAAAGGTGACATGGGTAACGTGCTGGACATTTGTGGGCCACCCGATCTCCATGTTGTGGACGGTGGAGATGACTTCTTCACCTCGTTCAACACGGCAGGCCACCACGGATTTCCTTACAGCAGCTAAGAGAAGGGCTACCAGAGAAATCTGGTTTTGCTCTTCCTCTGAGCTCTTGTTAGTTCCTTTAGTTCCTTTCCCATTACCACCACCACACCCACCTCCCCTTGTCACCATTACAAGCCCTGTCATCTCTCTCTCTCCTCTCTCTCTGCTCTGTTCTGCTCTGTTGTTGTAGCTTACTAGTTTGACTGTCTGAAATGCTGAAGCGGTCACTCTCTCTTTGAGTGTTGGGAGTGAACAGTGAGGTTTTTGAAGTTCCAACTCGTTTCCAAAGTTCAAACGGCCACTCGTTTCAAATTCCCCTTTATCTCTAGACTTTAGTAATTTGACCTCCAAGTGGATAGTAATAACAGTAGTGCCACTATACCGCTTTCGTTTGGTGCTTTTGGATTGGTTAGTCAAATCTTATTTATGAATTTAATTAACTCAGTGGTTAACATCATTTATTTAAGTCCTAAGGAAGCATTGTTGTTAATGAGATGGGTCCATAATGTGATTTCCCAAGAAATCCTGGGCCATCATCGGTCATTGGAATTTGGAAAACAAAACAATTCTTTTATTTTTCTGGCTAAAAGAAAGAAGCGGAAACAAACAATTTGAATTTGAAGATCGGACCGTTGAGAAACAAGGACGGGCCCGCCAATAAGGACAACTTTCATGTGTCCAACAGTGAGGGTCTTTTTATGCCACTGCCATTCTCGTGAAGTAGATGGGTTAAAATTTTGTTTCTTTTTTCCCAATTATGTTATATTATTCTTTCTTTTTCCAAAAATATTTGTCATTTTGTCTACAAGACTGGGGACCCAAGAAGATCCTGGTTTTGAACATTTGTCATTTGAGTTGAGAGCTCAATCAGTGGTGGTGGTAGTTTCATTTCATTGGATTCTATGTTCACTGTTTTTGGAGCCTTGCACATGTCAATATAGAAAATGCCTGCAGACTATATCTTCTGCATACAAGTTTTTTTTGTTTTTTTTTTTTTTTTTTTTTTTTTTTTTTTTTTTTTTTTCCCTCCCTTTTAGAATTTATCAAATTTATCAAATCTAGAAAATTAAAAAACTAAAAACTCAACTTAACTCCTGGCTTAACAAAAAGACACTTCTATTACACATGCATATATCATGCTAACTAGTAAGAATATTCATATTCGCCCGTTACACTCGAATTTGAATTCCTCGGCAAAAAGTTTTATAACACATCTTTAAAAAGAAATTTAGCATGACAGCCCTAAGACGCGTAGCATTATAACCATGCCATTGCCAATTGACCATGGTGTGGCAGACTGCCATGGTTAGTGACAGCCAATGACCATTTACCCTTGCCATCTTTTGTTAATGAAATGGTTATAAAGAACCTTACTTACTAAACAAATTAATGAATGACTTTTTGTTGTTAATTTGTCCTTTCTCTAGAACTGGTTTCCTGGCTGCTGAGTTCTATTGATTGAATTTGAATCCAACTCAAATTTATCATAAACATTTTATATGGATCACTGTGGTTGACGAAAGAGCTTAGACTAATTAAAAAATTAATGAATAATCTCTAATCATAGCATTAGCTAATTTAGCAAACTTTTCAGAATTTCAGTTCATCAACTTATGAGACAAATTCGTATCAAAAAACTTATGAGACAAATTTTCTTATAATGGTATAATGTATCATCCAATCATGTAGACTGACGGATATCATTCATTAATCATGTCTTGGCTAATCAGTAGTGGGACACGTTTACAACAACTAATCATGTTTTGTGTCCACAATGTCAACAATCCTTTTTTTAAAAAAATCTCTAAGCAAGTGAACGAGGGAAAAGAAAAAGTCAACACTGAACCCTATGTATGTTTCTGCTAAACCACGTTCGTCCTATGATGTCCCATCCCGTCATATTAGGGACACCGACACGAGATTTTAATACCAAAAAAATGAAAGAAAAAACAAAACACAATGTTGTTAAGTTTATCTAGACCACTTTCACGGCATCAAATCTGCATTAGCAATTATAGACTGATGAACATAATTATCATATATTATTGTGGAGGCTAACAATACTTCTAGGGGTATCAATTATTGACGAAACCCATAAAATAATAAGAAGATGCGTTTTGTTTCCCCACTTGGGATGCCATACAGACTCTCCTCCTATAAAAGGAAGAATTTGGTTTTGTACAATGCATTGTAGATTGGAGAGCTTAGAGAAACAAGTTAGTAGATTAGATAATTAATTAGGGAAAGTGAGGTTCATCAACGAAATTCAACAGGAGTTCACGTTTAAAATGAATGTCAATATTCTGTTAGTGGCCTTTGTAGTTTGTGGCCTTCTAGGGGCCTGCCAAGGAGGCCAGCTGAGGAAGAATTTCTACCGGAGCACGTGTCCTTCAGCAGAGGAGATTGTCAGAAATGTCACCTGGAACCATGTCTCCAGTAACCCCAACTTGCCTGCAAAGCTCTTGAGAATGCATTTCCATGACTGTTTCGTCAGGGTAAGCCTCAACTGAAGCTATACATAGATATATATATGCATGGTTTCATGACATGCAACATTTCAATGCTTATATATTGTTCATGTTCATATTGCTTATGATATATATATTCCTCTAACCTTGTTGAAGAATGCATGTGAAATATTTGCAGGGTTGTGATGGCTCAGTTTTGTTGAATTCGACAGCAAACAACACGGCAGAGAAGGACGCAGCTCCAAACTTATCTTTGGCAGGTTTTAATGTTATTGATGATATCAAAGAAAACGTAGAGAACAAGTGTCCAGGAATTGTATCTTGTGCTGACATCTTGGCTTTGGCTGCCAGAGACTCTGTTTCATTCCAAGTAAGACATTCTTTAGCAAAGCAAAGCCTAAAATTACAATTCATATGTATATATATATATGCTGCGGCATTGCACTCATGTGTTGTATAACTTTTGATATATATAGTTCAAAAGATCGTTGTGGAAAGTGCTCACGGGTAGAAGAGACGGCACAATTTCACGAACTAGAGAGGCCTTGATCAACCTTCCACCACCTGCCTTCAATTTCACCCAACTCAAACAGCGCTTTGCCAGCAAGAATCTTACAGTACATGACCTTGTGGTTTTATCAGGTATAGTGTACTCCAGAGACGATGATAATTAATTATTTTTTCATTATTTTTGTCAAAACGATATTCTAAAGTACTCTAACTAATGTATGGGGAGTGAGATTGAACTCGGGTCCAAGAAGATATGCACACTGTCTTAGCCAATTGACCTAACCCACACCTGCATACACTATAGTCGATAGCAAATTAATAATTAATTAAAAGCAAACATAAATGGCCAATCTTAATCTTATATATAATATATAAGTATTTTTATTGTGTAGGTTCACACACAATTGGAGTAGGGCACTGCCCCACCTTTAGCAACAGGCTCTACAACTTCACTGGAAAGGGTGACCAAGACCCTTCTCTGAATGCAACCTATGCTGCATTCCTCAAGACTAAATGCCCAAGCCTCAACGACACTACAACCAACGTGGAAATGGACCCTGGGAGCTCTTTAAAATTTGACACTGGCTACTATGCCACCCTCAAGCAGCACAAGGGACTTTTCCAATCTGATGCAGCCCTTTTAACAAACAAGGGTGCCGCCAATATCGTCCAGGAATTGGGTGACAATGACAAGTTCTTCACAGAGTTTGCTCAATCAATGGTGAGGATGGGAGCCATTGAGGTCCTCACAGGCACGTCCGGTGAGATTAGGAGCAAATGTTGGGCTTCCAATTAATCAATCAAATTATTGGGTGTTTGCCATGAATAAAGTATAGCCTAGCTAGCTAGCTTGTGGTCTTGTTTCAATATATCCTTCGGTATTTTTGTCTCTAGTAAATTAGCAATGTGGCTCTATCTATAGCCTCTGTTCTGTATTATTGTTGTCAACTTGTAATACATCGGAGGGATGTTTTCAGTATTATTTATTTATTCTCTCTTCTTCCATATTCCTTAGCACTAGTATGGATCCTAATCTAGTCTTTCATTTCCTTGTGATACCATAGAGTGGGGAATCAAACTTGGGTGCAAGAGAGAGGTCACATATATCTTGGTCAATTGGCCTAATTCATATTTGCGACACTTTTATTATATCACCAACATTAATCTTGTAAGAACTTTTATCTCAAAAAATAAAATAAAAAATCTTATATGAACTTATGAACCGGATTAAACACTAACATTGCCAAGGGACACCAAGATGCAAGAATTATATAGTGAGGGCGTTACATATGACCTTTAGGTGAGATCTTATTTCTTAACCGTTGGATCAGATTAATCAATTTAATTCAACGGTTAAAAAATAAGACCTCATTTAAGGGCCATATATAAGTTCCTCACTATGGAATGACTCTACCAAAATGCACTACAAAACTTTGGGGGGTTTTTAAGGTTCCAATGGTGCATGAACTCCTGATCCAAAAATAAGAAAAAAGCCCAAATCAATTGGATAAGCCCGATCACATACCGACCCAAAGAAGAAGTACTCTTCCTCATTACCAGTAGTATTCCTTCTCCGATCCTCGCACAACACCACATCAGTCTCCCACTCAACATCAACTCTTCCCCTTCCAGTTTCCAACAGTACTATTATTCTTTTCCTCTTTCCCCTTCCCCAAGTTTTTGTAAATTCCCTAACTTTTCTTTCTTCCTTTCTTTCCCAAATCCACACTCTTCAGGAATCATTTTTCAATATCAATTCCCTTCCAAGCACCGACTTCTCAATCCCTATTAATAAAACCACAAAGCCAAACCTTTCCTTCAACTATTGAATATTATTATATCACCTCTCTCTCACTCTCAGCCAAAATCAATAGTAATTCGCCAAATCCCAAAGATGATGCTCAGAGTTCGCAGCAGAGACGGTCTGGAACGAGTCACTGTAGATAACCCACAACACACCACTGTCTCCCAACTCAAAGCCCTAATCCAAACCCAGCTCCGAATCCCTTTCCAGAACCAGACCATCTCCACCAACCAAAACCTCCTCTTGGCCAAGACCCATGACGACATCTCCCGATTCACCGACATGGCAAATCCCAACACTTCTCTCTCGGCCCTCAATCTCTCCCATGGCTCCATCGTCTACCTCGCCTACGACGGCGAGCGCACCGTCGCCGGCCCCACCTTCCACCCGGCAGGCTCTTTCGGTCGCAAGATGACCATGGACGATCTCATCGCCAAGCAGATGAAAGTCACCCGCCAAGAAAACCCGCACAGCGAGCTCGTCTCCTTTGATCGCGATTGCGCCAATGCCTTCCAGCATTACGTCAACGACACGCTCGCTTTTGCGGTGAAGCGCGGTGGATTCATGTACGGTACGGTGTCGGAGGAGGGAAAGGTGGAGGTGGATTTCATATACGAGCCTCCCCAACAGGGGACTGAGGCGAATTTGGTGTTTTTCAGAGACCCAGATGAGGAAAAGTCGGTGGAGGCTATTGCAATGGGGTTGGGAATGAGACGGGTCGGTTTTATATTCACCCAGACGGTGAGCCAGGACAAAAAAGACTATACTTTGTCGAATAGGGAGGTTCTTCAGGCCTCGGAGTTTCACGCGGAGAGTGGCTTGAAGGAGTGGGTGACTGCCATGGTTAAATTGGAGGTGAATGAGGATGGCGGTGCTGATGTGCATTTTGAGGCTTTTCAGATGAGCGATATGTGTATTAGATTGTTTAAAGAAGGGTGGTTCGAGACTGAGATTGAAGAGGGTCATGATCCAAAGTTGTCCAAGATGAAGAAGGATGTTGTTGTTGGGGTGAAGGATACTAGGGAAGTGGACAATGATTTTTTCTTGGTGGTGGTAAAGATCTTCGATCACCAGGTACGCTTAAGTTCACTATTTTTATTTTCTCTTGTTTTACTTGAACGAATTGAATTGCACTATTTATTTAGATTGTTGTTTTATCTTGCTGATCAATGTTACTTTTTGCCCCTAACAATCACGTTCCCTGTCGATTTGTAGAACACCCTATTGTTGTGACATAGGAAATGAACTGTTTAGAAATGTTAAGCATGAAAGAATATGAACGAAGAAGACTCAATCTTATTGATCAAAAGCTCAGATGAATCTTTACAGAGAGTACAGATGACCATTTATATTCTCTGTTAACAATATATCTAAGTAATCTTCAACTTAACCAACTCTCTGAGATTGTGACACTTGTCACAATCTGATCAGTCTAGTGCTGTAGGCAATAAAGAGACATGGTAATTATGTTTAAAATCGTGTTGTAATGAAGGCTGTTGCATAGCCTGATTCCTTGTTTATTCAGGTTATATCAACAGCTTTATCTGGTTTTGAATTGCCTGCTGTTCAATAGATGTTTAAGACTGGATGTGTGAGAAAATTTTGGTGCTGTTGTGTGTGTGTGTGTGTGTGTGTGTGACGATTCCCTTTCCTAGTTACTGTTGTGCTCATAAGGTTCTGAGGTATATATGGTTATACCTACAATGGACTATTTTTATTTCAATAGCTGATGGTTTTAGATTAGCTTTAGTTCTGAACCATTAATTACCAAGAATTAGACCACCATGCTTATTTTTCAAATTCCAGATACCGTTGACACTGAAGCTTAAGCTAGTTGACCGGATGGTGAGGGTGTGTAGTGTTAATTGATAATGTGGGTAATTTGAATGTTTGCAAGTTGAGTAGTTTAAAGTTGTTCCTTTTGGTTTTTTATTTATTTATATTTTCATATCAACATTTGCCTTTTCTTGGCTCCAATTTGTGATTTCAGTAGTTTGATTTGGTTTTGGATTCCCTGCAAAACCATATGGGGTTTTGTGGCTTTCTAGCTTGTCACTAGAGTTATAAGATTTGTTTTAATCGGTAGAGCAATATTGAACATCTTAGAGCTCAGAGGAGTTAAATCCACTTCAAGTTGATCTTTGAAAGGAAAAGTTCATTTCTTAATTGCTAAGATTCACTAGGGTTTACTCTATGAGTGGTTGATCTTGGAAAGGGCTCTAATAGTGACCTTACAAGATTCACTCAACTAGGGTTCGTTAGCATGGTGTATTGTCTGATATCCAATTTTTATTTGGTGCGAAGTTATGGAAATACCTAGTGAGGGCTCTGATTGCTAGTCCCACAAGTATTATGGGTTGACGAGGTTGAACGTATCAAAATGACGGGAGTGTAGGGATGCATGGATTATACTCATTATCTGGGAACGCTTGTTGCATGTGACATTTACTGTCGGGAGACAACATCTAACTTGATCGTCCAGTAATCAGTGAGATATCTGTTGGGAATGATTTACAAATTATATGTTTTTCCTTATGGTTCAATGTATACATACATATATATGTCTTGTACAATCACTTTGCTGCACAAGTTTACCTAGTTACTGTGTTCTGCATTATATTAAACTATTCTGCAGCTTCGTCTACTTGGGTTTCTTATTGTAAAGAAGAATCAACTGTTGTTCTCACACGAATTTGTATCACAATGCAGGGCCCACTTTCATCATCTTTTCCTATTGAGAACCGTAACACCCCAGTGACGTTGAAGGCTCTGAAAAATCATCTGGATCGTGCTAAGAGTCTTCCATTTGTGAAGCGAATATCAGATTTTCATTTGATGCTCTTGCTGGCCAGGTTTTTAGACGTAGCTGCAGATATTCCTGCTTTGGCAGAGTGTGTCCATACAGAGTCACCCATACCAGAAGGTTACCAGTTATTAATCGAGTCGATGGCCAATGCTTCTTGATGCTGCTTTGCGTGCCCTTTTGGAAACCGATACATTCTAAGATCTCAGATGAGTGTGGCCAAGCAATGATCCTTTATTGTGATTAGCTCCTCCTATGCAACAATCCCTGTTGGTTTCTTGTGCCATGCATCACACAAAAAGTTTGCTTTGCCGCTTGAGTAGTTTAACATGTCATTTCTCAGGCACTTTATGTACTAAAAAATTCAAGCATATTATTGCATCAGATGGTCTGGATATTTATGCTTGCCAGAGCGAGGCTTGTGTCATTGTCGATGTATTATAATTTTAAATTTATGAATTCATGTTCATCTTGCAAATCATCATCCATGGACGCGAAGGTCTCTGATTAGTCTTGTGCTAAAATTTCACTGCAAAATGCAAATGGTCTTCCGATGGTCTTAACGTCTTTGTGCTTAAATTAAATTTCATCGCAAAGATGGACTTTACGAAACTGACAGTCCAACATATTCTGTGTAAGGGAATGGTAAAATGAGCAACAACATGTGCTGATATAAGCCCGCTATTAAAAAGAGATTATAATTTTTTTTTATAGACATAGGTTTAGTTAAGTTGATTCGAGTTATAATTTTCGGTTTAACGAGGGAATAAGTTTATTCCGGCGAATTTTGTTGGCATAGAAGAACATTGGCTGGCTTAGAAAAAAATTTGCAGACAATATTTTCATGAAAAAACTTTCATTTACTAATAATTATTTATTTATTTATATAGAATCATTTACTATTTGTTACAGTTTTTATTAATATAGCCGAAGGAGTAAATTAAAAAAAGAAAGTATAACTGTAATACGCGCTCCATCACAAACATTGGTGAACATAGAAATTGTGTGTTATCTGTGAAGTATTATTGACTCTCTCAGATCTTACTAAAAATTCCATTTCACAGGCGGGAGATTTCTCCCTCTCCCTCTCCCTCTCTCTCGCTCTCCCTCCCTCCTTCCCTCTCTCCCTCCCTCTCTCCCTCCCTCTCACTCTCTAACTCTAAATTAAGTTAGGGCAAATCTTGTGGTCGCAGAACCAGTGGGCCATGGAGGAGCCAGCCTCAGCCACAGCCACAGCCACAGCCACTGAACCATCGACTGTCCTCCGCGTGAGTTTCATTTCTCTTCTCTCTTTCTTTCTCTCCATTTGGTGAAATTAGATATATCTTTGACCTGATTCGGTGTGTTGCCGATGAGTAGCAGAAGAGGACCAGGGCTCAGACTCATAGCACTGAGAACCATGAGAGGACCAGCGCTGGGAGTGACCAGGCGGACCGCGAGAGCTCACCCGATGACTTCGAAGAGACTCGTCCTAAAGCTAAACGAGGTCGACCTGCCGCCGCTGGCACTTCCGCTGCGCCACAAAAACTCGCCACTCTCACCTTGATTGGTACTTCATCTCCCACAGCAATTATATATATGTTGATATATATATATATGTATATATATCTCTGCTATAATAAACACCATGAATTCTTTGCTAAATTCCATGAATTCTTTGCTAAATTACCTGTTATCTTCATTACTTGTAGCTTGCATTTAGTTAAATAGTTTAACTGGATGTTTCATTTAATAAGTGAAGAAATTTTGAATGAACGAGATGGGTTTTTGCAACTAAATTCTTAAGGGACCTTCTACATCCATGACGATCAATGACCCATTTGCTAAAATACCCACTAAATTGATACATGATTTCCTGGTTCATACAATACCCGCTAAGTAATCATGTAGAATAGTGCTTTGGCGAAAAAAAGAAAATCATGTAGGATGTTGTTGCGTGGTAATATTACTGTTGGGACACGACCCATGACATAAAACTTTCTATTCTCTTTTTTCCATGACCAGAATTCTTGTGAACTGAATCGACCTTTAATTTTTGAAAAATTTTTACACCGTGACTCCTAAGTTCGAATATACACTATGTGGGGATTTAGTATACACATGTACACAATTAAATTCACCTTGGTGTCTAATCTTCTGCAGAAGTCATCAAGGGCAACGGAAAACTTATTCCTCAAGCAGTCAAGCTCTGGGTCGAGCGATATGAAAAGGATCCAAAACCTGCTATGGTTGAACTCTTGATGATGCTATTTGAGGTAATCTGGAAGATATTTTAAGAGGCTTCTCAACCAGAATAAATTAAGCAAAAGTAACACAATTTCAAAATTCCAGCTAATAGTTGAAGGCTAAAGACAGATCTAAAGGATATTATAAAAGAGTGAAATGGGTTGGGTTTCCCCATCTCAATCGGACATTTCTTTTCCTCAAATCAAAATACTTAAAATGACTGATTTTGCAAGTACAGGGTTAACTAACAAATGTAGCTCGAGTATGTATGATGAGACTTATATATGTGCAGGCATGTGGCGCCAAGTATCATATCGAAGGAGAGTTGCTGGACGAGACTGATGTTGATGATGTCGTGGTTGCTCTGGTCGAGCTTGCTAGAAGTGTATCCTGCATCTCTTCATTATTATGTTATCTTTATGGTTTTTTCCTGGTTCAGGGTTTTGTCATATGCCATCTTCCTTTTACTTGTATTTCACTTTTTTATGCTATCTTTCAGTTCCCACTGGAAAACCAAATGATCTAAGCTATCAACTGGTCATACATCAACATTCTTTTGCCCAAAAATTTTCCTTCACTCCTTTGAGCTCCTAGGGTAACGTTGAAGATTACCAAAGTTCAAAAAAGAAGGAGTTTAAGAACTTCAAAGATAATCTTCAATTGTTCTGGGATAATTTGGTCCGTGAATGTCAACATGGGCCATTGGTTGATCAGATTTTGTTCGAGAAGTGCATGGACTATATTATTGCTTTGTCATGGTCAGTGCTAAATTTTTTAAAGTTCCTACTGTTAAGGCTAAGTTTATCTATTAACTAAGCTCTGTGATAAATTTCCTGGTTTTGTGTTAAGCAGCACTCCTCCAAGAGTTTATCGTCAGGCTGCTACTTTGGTGGGTCTCCAACTTGTCACATCATTTATAACTGTTGCTAACACACTTGGTGCTCAGCGAGAAACTACTCGTAGACAATTAGATGCTGAAAAAAAAAAACGAACTGAGGGGCCTCGTGTGGAATCACTGAACAAGAGGTTCTCAACGACTCATGACAACATAACTATATTAGAGCAGATGATGCGCAAGATATTTCAAGGGTAGGATATTCTGACTTAGTATTATTAGTAAGAAGCAAAGATGAGTGATCTGATTTGATAGAATTCCTGTTTTATGATAATCCTGTAGTTCTTTGTTACAGTCTAAAGCTATCATTGTAGGTTATTTGTGCATCGCTATCGAGACATTGATCCAAATATTCGGATGTCTTGCATAGAGTCACTAGGGGTGTGGATTTTTTCCTATCCATCAATGTTCTTGCAGGATTTGTACTTGAAGTATCTTGGATGGACATTGAATGATAAAGTAAGTTTAAAATTATGGATAAGTCATAAACTAATTTCCTTTCTACTTCTTCTTATGTGCTAGAAAAACCTCATTTCTTTTCCTCTTTCACTGCTTCTAAGAGTGCTGGTGTAAGAAAAGCTTCTGTCCTTGCGTTGCAAAATCTTTATGAGGTTGATGATAATGTGCCAACTCTTGGTCTATTCACTGAAAGATTTTCTAGTCGGATGATTGATCTTGCTGATGACATCGACACTTCTGTGGCTGTATGTGCCATTGGCCTTGTTAAACAGCTACTAAGGTGACTGCCCGTTTGGGAACTTGTTAATAAATTAATAATTCCCTGTTCACTATATGTTTGAAATCTCATTGAATTAAGCATTTTGTATGCTGCAGACATCAGCTTCTACCAGATGATGACTTAGGTCCTTTATATGATTTGCTTATTGATGATCCAGCAGAGATCAGGCATGCTATAGGAGCCTTAGTGTATGAACACTTGATTTCTCAAAAGTTCAATAGCTCCCAATCTGGTGCAAAAGGTTTCACTCTTTTGGAACTCTATTGCTTTTTGTGGATTTTATGATTCTATCAACCAAATTATTTTTCCCAAAACAAATACTTGTGTTCATCACTGTATTCTTTCCAGGTGATGGCAACAATTCTTCTGAGGTCCATCTTGGCAGAATGTTGCAAATTCTAAGAGAGTTCTCTGCAGATCCGATTCTAAGCGTCTATGTCATTGATGATGTTTGGGAGTACATGAAGGCGATGAAGGTTTAGTGTTAACTCTGATCGTTTCATCCTTTCATAAGTTATAATACTTTAAATGTATGCCTTATAAACCTTTTATTGATAGTTACTTCTTCAACCACCCCCCCCCCCCCCCCCCCCCCCCACCACCACCACAAAAAAAAGTAGTTTTCCTTTGGAGAAGCTACTTTAAATTTATTTTCCAATGGACATCATTATGGTATTTTCATAATATATAATAGTATTAAGAGAACCCTCATTGTCAACCTTCTGTTTACTTTTATTGTTTCTTATGCTGGTGGTTCGTATTCTGTTTGCAGGACTGGAAGTGTATTATCTCCATGCTCTTGGATGAGAATCCTTTGATTGAGCTTACTGATGAGGATGCAACAAACTTGGTACGACTTCTTTGTGCATCTGTCAAAAAGGCTGTAGGAGAGAGGATTGTTCCTCCCACTGATAATCGGAAGCCATACTACAGTAAAGCTCAAAAAGTGCGTAAATTTCACATTTATCTTTTGCTCCTTTGTTTTCTAAAGCACCGTTTCAATTACAATGTAATTATTGTTCTTTTGTCAGCTCATAAGGTGTTTTTTACTTGATTGGGTAAGCCTAATGTAATTTGGTGCTTTTAAATTTGGTTATTGGATTGTTCAGTTGCTGTTGCCCTTATATGTCTGCTGACTCTGCTCCCTTTGTAATCCAGAGCAGACTTACTCTGTATGTTGTGTTATCTTTGTATTGGTTGGTCTTTGTCCAAGTTGGCCAAAGCATGTATTGGAGCATATTTTATTTCAATCAGTATTTAACATGCTTTCCTTGAAGTTTACTGCCCTGTTTGTGCCTTTACCAGCTATAAGTCGTTATTTTGATTTGTGTTGGTTTGACTGAAATATACAAAAGAGGTTTGGATTCTAAATTCCTTCTTTTGAGTATGTCAGGAAGTATTTGACCACAACAGACGAGATATAACTCTTGCCATGATGAAGAACTACCCATTACTTCTACGTAAGTTCATGGCTGACAAGGCAAAAGTACCATCACTGATTGAAATTATTGTGCATATGAATCTTGAGCTATATTCCCTGAAGAGGCAGGAGCAGGTGGGTAACTGCTTGTGTTGTCCTTGCTTGTTATATGATATTTCTTTACAACTTAGTCTGACAGCAAGTGCTTTTATGCTTTCAGAATTTCAAAAGTGTCCTTCAACTTATCAAAGAGGCATTTTTTAAACATGGCGAGAGGGAGGCTCTGAGATCTTGCGTAAATGCTGTCAACCTTTGTTCCACAGAGAGTCAAGGGGAGCTAAAAGATTTTGCCCGTAATACATCAAAGGAACTCCAGGATGAGCTTATTGCCAAGCTTAAATCTGCAATGAAAGAAGTGGCGGTATATTTCAACCATATACTCTTTTCGTCCTTGCCAACTGTCCAATGATAAAAAATTAATGTGATCTGGAACTGCAGGATGGTGGTGATGATTATCCTCTTCTTGTAAATTTGAAAAGGTTGTATGAGCTTCAATTGTCAAGAGCTGTGCCTGATGAAAGCTTGTATGAAAATTTTGTCTCGACTATTCAGAGTTATACAAACAGGGACGATGAGGTGTGTTAAATGTGGTTGCATAAGAATAGAACTCCACTTCTTTTCAGATTTTCTTGCAGTTACTCATTATTTTGCTGCTGCTCATGCTCATTTCAGGTTGTCAGTTTTCTGCTTCTCAACATGTCTTTGCATTTGGAGTGGTCTCTGCATTCAATCATAAATAGTGAGACTGTCTCTGAAGCATCGTTGTCTTCTATATTAGCAAAACGCAAATCCTTGTCAGAGCAACTAGAGTACTTTCTTAACAGCCCTCCTGAATTGGAGGGTAATCGTTGTAATCTGCTAGCTTGTAGGGTAAGCATTTTGCTTCGATTTGTGGTATTTCAACAAAATCACACTAGTGAAATAATTTGGATTGGATTGAATGTTTATGGAAATTCGAATTCTAGTCTAATGAAATATTTGCTATACCCAAGGTTTGTATACTGCAAGCAGAATTGTGGTTTCTGTTCAGAAAGACAAATTTTTCTTCAACAAAGCTGGAAAGGTTGGGATATTATCCAGATGCGTCCATTCTTCAAAAGTTCTGGAACCTTTGTGTACGACAGCTCAGTATTTCAGGTAAGTAATTTGTTCTTACTTTCATCTCTGGAGCTAAAAGTAAAATTTTAATTTCCGGTTCTTTTTCCGTATATAATTGGACTTGTAATCTCAGGCCCATAAAAAAAAGACTTGTAATCTAATAACATAAGTGATGCACATGTTGAACTTAACTTTTGGTTATGTACTCAAAGGTCAATTATGCATCAAGATTACTTTCTCTGGGAAAGAAAATATATTTGTGTACTCATCTTGCTGTATAAATATACTTTCCAATTTCTTTTTCACAGATGAGGCAGAAGATGATGATGCGAACAAGGAGTATATTGAGGAGGCAAACAGAGATGCAGTGATGATTGCTGCTGCAAAGTTGGTTGCTAATGATAAAGTTTCTAAGGTGAAGTTAGCATGTGTTGTATATATACTGAATGGTAAATTTCACCCTGTTAGATTAGAATCATGTGTAGTCTGGCAGGTTGTGCTTTGTTATCCTAGCATTTAGTTGCTTATGATTAAGCATGTAGGAGTCCCAAAATGGATTCATGCATGCTTGATTTTATATATTAAGTTTTTGTAGGTTACCTAAAATTGATGCCTAATGTAGGAGTATCTTGGTCCGGAGATTATCTCTAGATTTGTGATGCATGGAACAACTGTAGCAGAGATTGTTAAGAATCTGATTACTTTTCTGAAGAAGAAAGATGATGATCTTCCCAAACTTTTCTTCGAATCACTAAAAAAGGTATGACTCATGAATATTGTTGAGTTCTTAGTTGTTCCTGGTGGTGGTGGGGGGTTTGGAATTATTACAGTTGGTTAAACTTGCTGATACTTGTGTGCTGATTATGAAAAAAAGCTTTCTGATATTAGTTCTGAATAAAAATGAGCCTTGGTTTGCTATTTTGTTGCATCTCTGTACTGAGGTGATAGTCAACGTTCACATGGCTCTGCTTATTTTAACTGGCTTCAACTCAACCTAAGTGTTGGAAAGTTTCTTCTTACTTTTCTCTAGCTTATTTGAAAGAAAACATTTCCTAATGAAAAGAAAACTATAGTATCCTCATATGTCCTGTGGAAAAGTTTTCTGCAAAAACTATTTTCTAACTTGTGAAACTATTTGCCAAAACTGTTTTCTATGGAATCTAATGAAAAGGAAACAGAAAATATCTTGATGAATATATCATATTGCATTTACCAACTTGGCCGTACTTCTGTTGTTGGAACCCATTTTTCTGAAGCTCTTAAATTTATGATAAGGGAAAAAGAGTTCAGGTTCTTATTGCAATTTTAAGCACTTTTTTAGGCAATTACCAGAAGCCGCTTGTGTAAACATGCACTTGTAGATGGGGATACGGGTCTATACTTAATTATGCTAGAAAAGCGTAGTCTTTACTTTTTCTGTCCTATTAGTTTTATAAAAAATGTCTTGTTTTTTATTTTATTTATTGGACTAGGCTTACCAGCGGTATATGGTTGAACTTTCTGGAAGTGATGATGAATCTTCAGCAAGCAAGCGTTTTCAAGAATGTAAAGAACTGGCTGCTCGGCTTTCTGGAATGTTTGTAGGTGCCGCCAGGAACAAGCACAGATCAGACATTTTAAAAATTGTTAACAATGGCATTGAATATGCTTTTCTAGATGCTCCAAAGCAGTTATCTTTTCTGGAAGGTGCTGTGCTCCATTTTGTATCCAAACTGCCAACACCTGATATCCTGGACATGTAAGACTTTCACTTATATAATTTTATCCTCTTTAGAAGCTTTCCCAGCTTATATTTTCACCATCTTCTAGTTTAATCCTTATAACTCTTTTTTTGCAAGTAGTGTGAAGGATGTCCAGAGCAGAACGGATAATGTAAATACAGATGAAGATCCTAGTGGCTGGCGCCCCTATCACACATTTGTTGATAGCTTGCTTGAGAAGTATGCAAAGAATGAAGGTATCCAAGGTATCACTAAACAGAACTAGTCTTTTTCGCTTTCCTCTATGTAGTCAACTGATTGAGGTTATTTCATTTTATCATTGTATGTCCCTGTAGTTTCAAATGCCTTCCTACTGTGTTAAAGATACTCAACTAAAACCTCCTTTTATTCCTCACTGTTCTTTGTTCTACTTGCCCGTCCATCCTTGTCTCCTTCCCCCTAAATGCACTCTAATGAGTTCTGCAGCATGATGTTAAGACAGTTATGGAAGGTCGACTGAGCGGTAGGTTTACAGGCTTTTTTTTTAATCTGTATAACCCTGCAGTTATTCTAAAACCAAAGTTTCCACATCAATCGAGGTAACCTAGAGAGTTAACCGCTCAAACATGCCAAACATAGGGCATAACATGATTGTGGATGCATTCCTGGTTCTTGGTTAAGCATCTGGAGCCATCTGTTGTATGCAATTGAATATGCTCTCTTTTGCCCATCCTTGGAAGACTTTCCTTTTGCATTTATTATGTGGTGTTAATTATGTCACTGATTAAGCACCTTCTAGTCTTTGCAAGTACCATATCCTATTGTGTTTAATCTGAACACTGGATAATCGCAGATGAAAAAGATGGGACCTCTGTAAAGCGCAGGGGTCGTCCACGCAAAAGGCGTCGAGGAAAGGGACTTTTTGATGAGCACAGTTCAAGTGAAGAAGATGATTCAATAAGCGCATCTGACCATGAAAATGCTCAAGATGAAGAAAACAAGCAAGATGACGATGACGATGAAGATGCTCCTTTAATACATTCAATTAGGTCATCATCCAAGTTGAGATCATTGAGAGTGACAAGAGAGGAAACGAAGGCCAGATGAGGACATGGGATTTTAAAAGAGCTTAAGATAATTTAGCTGCTTCAAGGATGTCAGGTATGGAATTATGGGATATGTGCCTGGTGTGACAGATTGACACACTTGCGTTTCCCTTATGGTTTGTTTACAAAGAACAATTTCTGGTCGTATACTAAATTGAAAAGCAATTGCTTCTTATCACAGAAATGTCCCCCAATAGATCTATATATCTTTTAGATTTCTATTCCAATTGTATGCCCTATTTGGAGATATGAATGATTTAGTTTTTGAGTAAGTTGATTTTCGTTACACTGATTTTACTGGTTATATGTAGGTGGCTGATTGATGGTTTTCTTTTTGTTTCCTGTGCAGCATCCTGGAACTAGAACTGCAACCTGCACATTGTACATTACAAGGTATATATAGCTCGTTGGTAACACAATGTATATCTAATGACTTTGATCGACCTAGGCCTTGGGTGAAGATACAAGAATTTCAACTCCAGTTAATGTCTATTGTTTTTGTGTTGCCTCTATAACTGTTGGGATTGGAGATCCAATCCAATTTGTGTATAATTGAGATTAATTAAGCCTTGTAGTATTATAGTTTCAGTCTTTTTTCTTTGGAAATTAATATTTTAACATAATCAGCTGTAGTTTACCTATTATGATGTACTAAGTGACTTTTTGAGCGTAGTAATGCTACACCATCATTAGTCGATAACAGTAGAGAAAATTGGCAGAGGGATGGATGATTTGGAGGATGAGCAAGTTCTTGAACATAATTTGTATACATTTTATTATTTAAATTATAGGGTTCACAATTAATTAAAATAAATAGAGGAAAAACTAAAAGCTCAAGAATTACACGGCCTGTTACCTACTACTAACGATTCAGTCTTCCAAGACCATCCCAGATGGTGATATGGAATCCTACGTCAATGGAAACATATCAAGGGTGTAGACTACTTAATATGAGCCAACATTTATTTTCAGTAAAACTGAGACTGCTTGCAACAACATAAAAGAAACAAACATACAGAGAAGATTCCAAAGAAACAAAATTGCAGATGCTGTCTTGCCATGATAAGAAGAAACCTCGGGCAGGTGATAAGTAAAAACGTAACCATGAAGCAATCAAGTTTCATCTTCTTCCCGTGATCCTCAACAAAGGAGAAATTATACCCTGTATCTCTTGCAATGATTGTTGTATTTGTATTTCCTCCTCAACAGACCTTTCTAATATGACCCTTCAAATTATCAGAAGCTCTAATGTCTTCAGCCCTCATCTCAAGAACCTTCTTTGTCAACCCCATCAACAGTCCAAGGTCGAGTGCTTCTGCAAAAACATCAGCAACAATCCGAGCTCCTCCGAATCCACATTCGAAACACATTTCAGCAATTTCTTCCTTGCTACCAATTCCTCCATCACAGCCACAGCATTCTCCGGATTCTTACTATCCAACAGGTACACTAGAGCTTCCTTCTTCAGCGTCTTTTGCCTCCTCTCATACTTGGAAAGCGGCCTCTCTAGCTCCTCATCAGAGCCACCCTCAAAATCTTTATGAGTGAAGTCTTAAGTCTTACATGTGCATGATATGATTAAGATATGCACATTTCTTTATATGTGCAGCGTTTTCTCACACGCGTATGATATGATATGCACATTTTTTATAGGGAGATTCACTAATATACCCAATATAGGAGCCCAAATTATAAAAATACCCCATATGAAATGAAGTTTATAAACACACCCAAAATCCATTTACAACATAACAAAGAGGCCTTAACTTCTTATAAATTACAAAACTACCATAAATTTCTTAAAACAAGCCCAACCTCAAAATCTCATAAAAATACCCAAAACACAAAATAGGGTATTAAAGTAATTTAATAATCAATATTAAATTCAATAAGGCCAGCTGTCATTTTTGGAGTTTTTTTTGGGTTTGTTTATAGAAATTCAATGATGGAGGGTTTATTTATAATATTAGTGCTAAGAATGGGTATATCACTAAATATCTCTTTTTTATATGTGCGTTTTCTTTATTTGTACATGTACGTGTATTCTTTATATATGCATAAATGCGTATATTATGTTGAAGGAAGAATATAAGTTCCACTATTAATATCACTGAGGTTTTTTATGATAAAACTTAATAAATACTGGGCTTTATATGTGGTTAAGTTGGGGACAATATTAGTGTTACTAGTAGTGAGCTGCTAACCCGTCAATCTAAAATTTAACATGGTATCAGAGCAGGTTGATTGACTTAGTCTTTACCCTTACCCTTATTCAATACGCAGTGTTCATGTGTTGCACTTGAATGTTTGACTCTGATGTAGACTTGGCTCCACATATGGCCCACTATATGATGATTCGACGTGACTCGTGAGTGCATGTTAAAGAATATAAATCTCAACTTTACTAAATAAAATAAAATATAACATATAATAAATTATTCCAATACTAATATCACCAATGCCTAAAATTTATAAATAATTAAGTTGGAACTTTGTAAATGATTCCACTGCTAATATAACATATAATATCCTCCCTACGAAATTTAACATATTCATCGTACACGCTGAGTTTTTAGTAAAGAAAACCTTTTTTTTTTTTAAGTCAGTAATTATCTTCTCTTGTAAAGCTGAGGGACCAACAAGTCGAATGAATAAGAGGTTAACCAAATCTCATGCTAGTCATTATCAGCAATCATACAAGTTAAGACTTGAGACACAACACCACCACCAAAACACCAAAATTAGAAAACGGCAACAACTAAAAAAGAGCGTATATAAATGTAAGTCTCAATCCCCGTTCCTCAAATCATTACATATTTACACTTCTCCAAATCATTCACTCCACCCAATAAAAACCCGCGAATCTCCCTCTTGCATTTTTCCTGTTTCATCATCTCTTTCTTTCAAAAAGTTTGAAACTTGAATCTGGTCGTCGCTGCAACTCCCAGGTCAATTTTCTGTCTCAATTTACGTTATTATACTCTGCAGCTAGTTGTATTCAAGCTTAGTCTGTTTTCATTTACTTGCGCTGTGATTTTTTCTTTTCTTTTTTCTCTATCTGAAAGTGTATGCATTTGTAGGGTTTTAACGTTCAATTCACTTTGCTTGCTCTAATCCTAGGGTTTTCTGATGTGGGTGTTTGAAAAAGATTTTTATTTTTCTGCATATCGAAGTTGTCATAAGCGTATATTTCGCATAATTTAACTGTCAGAATAAATAAATTAATAAGTAAATAAATTTTCAACTCTCTCTACGCAAGTAACGTTCCTTACAATTCCCCTACTCTTTTCCATTTGAAGTTCGTTCAAGCTTCCATTTGAAAGAAGAAACTCCCCTACAGTCTATGGTATTAATTATCGATCACTACCTGCATATTTGTCTAGTAGTTTCGTATTAAGAAGCAAGCACAATGTTTTTTGCATCTCATTTAAACTTTCATAATTTTCAGTCTAATATCTCCCGATATGTTGATATTTTCATATGTACAGATTTTTTGTTTGTCTGAATGCGTCTAGATCCTTAATACTTCTGTCGGCATTGATATTTGAGACAAAAAAAGTTTCTTCCCCATTATCTTCTTCTTTGTGTTGTCATTTCAAGATTCATTAGGGAAATTTCTGAAATTTATTTTCTCTATGTGCCTTAAAAATCTCTCTCCCCCACCCCAACAGTTGTATTGTTGATGAATTTTATGGATTCTTGAAACAGCACTACTAACATAAATCTGATGGATTCTTGAAAGATGCATCAGTAGGATTTTACTCCTTTGAGCATGAATGTTCTTATATTTATCCTCATTATGTCCAAGTTTTTTTGTTTTTGTTTTGGCGTAGGTTTTGTAGAATGAGACATGCTAAGGAAGAGCCGTCATGTAGTGGTGCACAAGTAAGATCCTGAACAACCAAAAGTTGACTGTATGAGTACATTAGTTATTGGGATCCAAATTTTCTCTCTGTCTCGTTCCTTGCTTTTTAGTCCAAGTGGTCCATATGAAATCCAAGAGTTCTAATGGATTTTTTAGTTTTATTATTAACCCCTGAGAAAGATGAGTTCTAATGGACCACTACAATTAAGAAGCAAGGATAGCCAAGAAATGGACAAATTTGCTTTTTAGACTACCAATTAGTTTTACAAATTCAGTCTGTTAGCATGAATAAGTTTTAATTTATTTGTGTGAACAGGTTATTGACTTAGTTTCAGCAGTCAAGGAGTTACATGGGCTTAACTCTCAGGAACTTAATAAATTACTGAAGGAATCTGATAATTTTACTATTCACTATGTTACTGAAAAAGGATCAATATTGAAAAAGGTCAGAAATCATCCTCGCTGTTAGAAATGCCATATTCTTCTTTTGATACCTTACCGTTTTATGGATATGTCATTTCTAAAATGGTGTTATGTTTCAGATCGATGCAGAAAAGCTTGCAGGCTTTCTTCCTCTGCACCTTATTGCAGTGCTTATGTCTTCTGACAGAGACGAAGCTCTGTTCAGATACCTATCATGTGGCATTAGGCTCTTGCACTCCTTGTGTGATTTAGCACCTCGACATGCCAAACTTGAACAGGTTGCTTATAATCATTTTTAGTCCAAGTTTAATTTTCTTTCTGTTTTACCGTTTGCATGCCTTTTCTTGTGATCACAATAAAAAATTATGTAGATGCATGATTATTCAATTTTGACGTGAGACTTGAAACTTCATATGATCTGTAGTATTAGGTGAATTTGTTATATCTTTGCTCTTTTCTATATACAATGTTGCTGCCGATAATTAATTTAAAAAATTAGTGTAAGGGTGTATATAGGATGCCCAGTAGCTTCTCTGATTATAAATGAAACAGAGATGTTTTTACTTTTCATTTCGAGTACTAGGGTCTTTCTTGATTGTAATGAATCTTGTCGAGGTTTTCCTTCTTATTTGGGATAGGTGTTTGAAAATTGGTTATTGAACTTAGGATCTTTATTCTTAATGGAGACACAGATGTGAATAGTTTTCTGGCTAGTTGCCTAAATTTTTATACTGTCATACCAGTCAGTGTGCTTGTTAATGGAATTCTTTTCAACTCTGATTACTTCATTGCTCTTTTCCAAACCGTTATAAAATTCTTGTGGAAATAGTATATGAAAATGAGCCACTATATCTTTTATGGTTACAGGTTCTGCTAGATGATGTAAAAGTGTCAGAACAGCTGCTTGACCTGGTGTTTTATATACTAATTGTTTTTGGTGGTTATGAACAGGTTGTCCTTAATCCTTACCTCTGAGATCTATTCTCTTTTCTCTTTTTCTCCACTGAGACTCGCTTTCATGATGCAGAAAAATCACAATTTTGGTGGGGCACCCCTGATGTATTCTGCACTGGTTGCGTGCAGTCTACATCTACTAACAGGTTGTATATCTTCGCAATGGCAAGATCTTGTTCAAGTATTGCTTGCACATCCTAAGGTATTATTAGCAAAAAATGATTGTTTTAAGCTGCTATTCATAGAAAATTGAAACCTCTAGCAAGCTCTTCTTATAGCCATATGTTTTCATGTTCATGGGATTGTTATGCAGTTTTCTGCTTCTTTTGTTTTGTGTTTGTGATGGTACGCTTGTGATTATCATATATATTTTTCCGGTTATCCTCATGCTGACACATTGATGCATGTGCTCATTGTAAAACTTATCTGTTACAGGTTGACATATTTATGGATGCAGCTTTTGGTGCAGTTTGTGTTTCCATTAAGTTTCTGAATATCAAGCTGTCAGCTCAACATGATGAGTTCTGTACAAAATCAAGTTTGACTACCGAACAAATAGTGCACTCTCTCTGCCAGCAATGTGAAGCCTCCTTACAGTTTCTTCAGTTGATGTGCCAGCAAAAATTGTTTCGGGAACGGTTACTCAGGAATAAGGTTTCCAAACAAGATCTCTCCCATTCTTTAAGTTTGGAGTAAATATTATTCCAGATATGTCTTATTTTTGTTATCTGTAAGTTTGTAGTTTAAACTGAAAGCAGAAGTTTCCTGGGCAGATACTAGATACTCTCTAACTGCACTTGTATGCAGTAAACTAGTTAGGACAGGAACTTAGAGGGAGGGAGAATTTAATATTGCAATAGTGAGACAATATTCACAAGCAGGAAGTTCATGGAAGGCAATCTTGAATGTGCTCTTGTAAAGCTTAAGGACTTGTCCTTTACGTTATTTTGTTAAACACCCAATGATATCACAGTTTTTGTCATTTAAGTCAGTCATCTGTTTTTGGTACTGTACAGGAACTATCTGGAAAGGGTGGTGTTCTATTTTTGGCTCAAGCCATCTTGAAGCTAAACGCTGTGCCTCAATTTGCAGCATCTGCTAGAGTTGTGGCTGCTGTATCTAGGCTGAAAGCTAGAATACTTTCAATTGTGAGTCCTAGTGATGAAACTACTTTTAAATTTCCTTGGGACATTCAACTGCTTTAGAATCTAGTACAGCTTATTGTATACCCATGTGCAAAAACCTCAGTGTCCAGTCACTGCTTTCCTTGTTGCAGCTGTTGAATCTGAGTGAAGCAGACAGCATT